GACTGAACACTACCGCTGACGATGTGTTCGATGTCCTCATCTTCAGCGTAGGCTGCTAGGAGGAGGTTCCACGCGGTCTGCAACAGCGTCAGCGCAGTCGTGCGCTGACTTCGTGCTTGTCTGGAGATGGCATCCATGGACGACCGCGAGAACATCTCGATCACACCACTGCTCTTGGGAAGACCAGAATGAACCGTCGACTTGTGGCCATTGACGCATGGGAACCGTGTCCTGCCGACACCATCCAGCTTTTCCTTCCAAAAGCGACGGGATCCTTCCAGATTGCTCGTGTAATGATGCTTCACCGCACTCTCGAGCTGATTGCGGCTAGAAGAGGCAGATGGGCTGCAGGGATCCTCGTGCAGCAGGTCGATAGCCTCCTTTTGGAGAAGATCGAGACTTCCTCCGTCGAATATGGCGTGCATCATGCTGAGCACTACCAAGCATTCGCCATCATCAATTTCCCTTGCGGGAAGCAAAAGACTGAGATGCCAAGGAGGCTGGTCGAGACCGATAGTGTCCTCAACCCTTGCCAGGTGCTTCTCCAGACACGCGGTCAGCGTTGTGACTGAACAATGCGTGCTGACGTTGCCGTAGTCGGTACCAGGTGAGAGGATGCACTGTGCAAAGGGGGCTAGCTGGTCGTCTATCGGCACAAACACGGTCCTGTAGACATCGTGCCTTTGAATCACTTGTCGAAGAGCATCGTAGAGCCTGCGAGCTTCCGATGACGATGCCATGTGGTACACCGTGTGGTTGATGTACGGTCTTTTGAGGTCAGAGGATCCAGCTCGAGTGAGGAAGCTCGTAAGCATGCCGGACTGCGTTGCTGTAGTTGGTAGGACACTCTGCAATCGTAATCTCGCATCCTCGTTTGACAGAGCGGATAAGACCGCACCACGGCATCGGTCTCTGAAGGAATCAAGGGATTTGCACCATTCTTGCTCGCGCTGAGCCATCGAATCTTGATTCTGGCTGTGGTTGCTAGGCTTGGACGCGGCTGTACTCGAAATAAGGCGAGCGAGATCAGCGCAGGATCCAGCTTTCAAGACATGTGCTACATCCAGTCGTCTAGCAGCGGAAGCGGTGGACTCCTCGCGTCTGAGCAGCTGCAGAAGGCGCATTGCAGCAAGGCTGTCCATTCCAAGCTCGAAGAGGTCGGCTGACATCGAGATAGAGCTCGCCTTAAGCTGGCATACTGTCCCGATAGCTTGCACCACTGCTTGTGAAGTCAGATCGTCGGTGAGACTGGCTTCTTGGTGCTGGGGGCTGATCTTGCCGCCATCATTGCCGGTGGATGATGACAAGAGCTCAGAAACGAGCTGAGTAAGACGTTTCCGATCCGACTTGCCAGAGATTGTGACAGGTAGGTTGGAATGTACGATGTACTTCCACGGACGCATATGAGGAGGAAGCTGCGCCTCCGCAACGGCTCTGCAGTCAGCCTCCGCGTCTTTGCCGCTGATGGAAGCTCCGGCAAGCACGATACAGCATACGAGTCGCTCGCTTCCACTGATTTGGCCGTGCGACGTCGGCGGTCGCCAAACGACATTGGCCGCGTTCCGAATGAGTTCACTCGACTGGAGTACGGAGTCCACCTCGGCAAGTTCGACTCTTCTGCCGCTTAGCTTAACCTGCTCCGCGTTCATTCGGCCCAAGATCTCGATCAGAGGACGTCCATCACGATCCCAAACCAGCCTGGCTCGATCCCGGGTTCGATACACGCGCCCAAGCGGCGCCAAGGTCGTAAAGGCATCTTCGGTTGCTGCTGGCATGTTGAGGTAGCCCATGCCGACATGTGGACCCCCGATGACAAGCTCGCCCGTCACGCCCTGAGGGACGGTCTCGAGCTGCGTAGCTGCGCTGCCTGGATCGTGATACTCGTGGACAAGGGCCAACGAGCAGGACGACATGGGTGTTCCAATGATGGATCCGCGGTAGTCGGCTGGGAATGGCTGCAGGAGCGTGCAGTTGACGCTCGCTTCTGTGGGCCCGTACGCGTTGGCCAAGCAGGTGCGTGCATCATCGGCGGCAAAGTTTCGGATGACGGTGGCGTTCAAGCTCTCGCCCATTGTCCACAAGAAACGCAGGTTCGGCACTTGGTGCGGACGCAGCAGGGTGGCGACACTGGGTGTCGCCATCATGATGTCAGCGCCGCTGGTGCGCACGACGGTCTCAAGATCGGAGAGCGTGAGAGCACGAGGGGCGGAACATAGGGTGCCGCCGACGGAGAGCGTGACAAAAATCTCCATGACCGAAGGGTCGAACACGGTGGATGCAAACTGGAACCACTTGAAGGTCGAAGACGAGGTCGCAGGACCACGTTGTAGAAGCGTTGGGTGGAGGTGGTCCGCATGCGCTGCGATCGATGTGCTTGCAGAGTAGTGCGAGATCTGGACACCTTTGGGCGTACCCGTCGTGCCGCTCGTGAAGAGTACGTACGCACATTCTTGTTCGTGCTTATCGAGCCCGATGTCCTGGGAGGTAGGAAACTTGTCTCCATGCTCGAGTTCTGCCAAGGTGTCGGTGACATTGATCCACTCTACAGATGTGGGCATCCACTGCGGTGGGTCTGAATCCTTTTCTCCCAGCAGCACAGCTGTGTCGAGCTGCTCAAGCAACAACGCAAGTCGAGCGTGGGGTGCGTCGGCTGGCAGCGGGCAAAAGGCAAATCCGGCTACCAGGATCGCAATGTAGGAAACGTACAGCTCGAGCGAGGCGCTCATAACCATTGGCACGACAATTTGCATAGAACCCTGCTTCTTGCTCTTTGCTTGTGCTTTGCGGAGCTTGTTTGCGAGCACGAAGGCCGCATCTCGTAATTCAGCATACGTGAGGGTCTTGAAGTTGGCCGAACCGTCTTGATCGAGATCCTCGAGGAATTGGACTGCGATCCGTTCAGGGAATCGACGTGCTTGCTCCAAAAACGGTTGGTGAAGTCTCGTGTCCCTTGTGACATTGGTGGTTGCAACCGAGTTCAGGACCGAAAGAGGTATCTCTGATTCGGGCATGGCCGAATTGAGGACTTGACGGCAAAAGTGAGCACAGATACCCCGAGCCGCTTCAGCAGGCACGGCTTGAGCGAAGCGAATATTCACTTCGACAGTGCCTTTGCCGTCCCCCTGGATGCATTCGACTGCGATGGCCACGTCGTCATTGACGGTCGATGTTGGGGACGAGGCCCGGCCAGACGCAGTAGTGAAGCTGATTGCGATACCTGAGGGCGGCATCTTTCCACCGTACACAACTTGCTCCTCCATACCATCTGCGGATGCCAGGCACGATTGCCTAGCATCAACATTTAGTTTGAAAAGCACCTCGTCCGCGTTGCAGCCGACCAGCTGCGCTACAAAGGTGGCCAGCAAAGAGATCAGCTCGTGCTCATTATCGGAATGTGCAAGCCTTTCGACCGACTCCTGGCTTGCTCGAAGCGTAAACTTGAAGGTCCTATCCCCAATCGGAGCTCCGGTCGCTGCACCAGTCGAGTAAGGATGCAGCGCAGGTAGGCGGCTCAGCGTTCTCCTAACCATCATTTCCGATTTCCTAGGCGAGGAAGAAATTCGGGTTGAGTTCTTTCAGGTGGATATGATGATGTCGCTTTGACTTGATGGATCGTCGTCGGCAGTGTTGAACCCAAGGCAAGCTTGCAAGCTCTCGCGAGTATATAGGCATGTAGGCTTCGATGAGATCAGAGGAATGGCTGGCAGCTCGAAGGGCTCTGATGACTGCGTCGCTGCTGAACGCCATCCCGACAGCAAAAATTCAAAATAAAACAAATTGAAACGGCTCTCACACAACACAAATCTGTGTACTGTAATCAGATAACGGCACGTCTCCGAACTCCCCGGCAAGACAGAGACCATTCGGACCGCTGCGGTCGCACTGCAACAGCTACTACCGGGATCAAGTACCCGGCTGACCTCGCCAGTCTTTGACGACGCTGCAGCGTGACTCGGCTGCTGTTCTTCTCGGAGCCGCAACCAAGCGTGTTGTTGCTTGATTGGTCCGGGACGCCTCGGAAAGGGGTCGATACAGGCGAGAGAAGTGACGACATCATCGGCATTATGCTCCAGACACGATGAGCGGGTCGGTTATAGTTTGCTTCGTGTTCACGAAAGAATGACAAGCGCCTGGTGGCTCGAGCGCCACACACCTCTTCTGGGTCGTTCGCAGATTCCCTTTTGCGCAGGTTCCGACGGACATAGCTTCGGTCCCCTCTCCCGAAGAGTCAAGATGTGGCTAAGGCTTTGTTCGCAAAGACCGACTTTACCTGCATCCCCTCAAATCTGCACATCGCTGCTGCACTGCGTCGGCAGTGCGTCGCATGCTGCGTCCGATGTCTTTGCATTGTCCCCCACGCTGAGAACCATTTGGGCCGGCCCAAATGGGTCTTCACCCGTTTTAATTAATTAATTTATCGTTTTTGGGTTTTTCTACCATTTCCACAATTTTCCGGATTGCCGAACGGAAGGGGTTCACCCAGAGTCGCCATAAGTGGTTGGTGCTGCATCAGGTAACGGCATTTGTTGCCTCGAAAAGGTGCCGAGCAACGCAGCAAGCTGCAGTGTATACTCGACTGGTCATACTCTCGCGTCACAATAGGATAGCGAAACACGAGTTATCTCTTTGGCTTTGCTCTGACGGAGAAGACCGGTGTGCCGAACCGAGCCCAAGCTAACCTGATTGCACTAGTTGTGAAAGGGGTGGAGGGACATGCTCAAAGCTCGCTTCTTAAGCCCAGCACGATCCCCGTCGAAGATGTCGGCCGGAGCGGCAATCGATCTTCTTCCACTCTCCGTCCTTTGACTCCTCTTCACATGCAAGCTTTTCGAAAGCCAAAGAAGTCTCAAGAGCCTGGACGTACTCAGGCCACCTGTATAGCTGTACTGCTGCCTTAGGAAGTTTTTTTATAATACTGAGAGATAGTACTTCAGCCGGGCTTTCTGCGTCGTCGAAACCACCCTCTCTCGAAGCACTTCTTCGAACCACTCTCGCCCTTCATGACCTCGTCTCCGTTGACGTATCTCGCGGCTGACCCTTCCGCAGAGCTAAGTGGGGTCTATCATCTCGTGCTGAATCGACCACAGGCGCGCAATGCCATCTCGCGCGCTTTACTCCAAGACATTGTACAATGTCTGGCAGCATTGCTTCACAAGATCACCGAGCCTAGCTCGCAGAACTCGATGCCACGCGTCCTCATCCTTCGGGCCGAAGGACCGACCTTCTGTGCTGGTGCAGATCTAAAGGAGAGGAGGCATATGTCGGACAACGAAGTGGTCCACTTTCTGCAAGATGTCAGGCAGATGCTCGATGAGTTCGAGAGGCTGCCAATACCCACTCTTGCCGCGATCGAAGGACCGGCCCTAGGTGGAGGACTGGAGCTGGCTTTGGCTTGCGATTTTCGCATTGCAGGTGAGTTGGTCAGGCCCAGAGATGTCATGAGTGACTGTACTTCGCTGACGACAAGCATCCTCGTCCCTGTCCGATTGGCTCTGATCATCAACAGCTGCCTCGGTGGACAAGATTGGATTCCCGGAAGTCAAGCTAGGCATCATCCCCGGGGCAGGCGGAACCCAAAGAGCTCCACGAATCATAGGCATGGTGAGTGTCCTGTCCTGTCTGTGCCTCTTGTTCATGACCAAAGAATCCTAATATCCTTCGCCTCTATTCTGTCAATCCTTGCAGCAACGAGCAAAAGAGCTTATCTATACCGGCGCCCAGCTTGATGCGTCGCAAGCCAAAGAGCTTGGTCTCATCGACCATGTCTCTCCAGGTTCGTCCTGCTTGGAGCTGTGTCAGGCGCTAGCCAAGCAGATGATCCCCTCCGCGCCTCTCGCCCTTCGAGCTGCAAAGATGGCCATCAGTATGGGCACCAACGTGGAGCTGACCCGAGGGCTTGATCTAGAGTGGGCCTGTTACGAGCCCTTGCTCGAGAGTAAGGACCGCAGAGAGGCGCTGGATGCCTTTCACCAAAAGCGAAAGCCAATTTTTATCGGAAAGTAGCATCGTGGCCGTCGCTCAGATATGACACCATCAGAATCGAAAGACTCCCTCCTGCTCAGTAACAAAATCAAGCGTGAGGGCGACGTGCGAGCAAGCGATACAAATCTGAATTGCACGTCAACTGAGAAGTGCGAACGAAGCTCGACCTGATGGAAGGAGTTGTTAGCTTCACTCGAGGATGCCTTCCTCCAGGAAGCGGTCGCGTCGCAAGACGAAGAATACCGCGCGCTTGTGGGGCAGCTCAACTTCCTTTCGGATTTCTTGCGGCAGGAAGGTAGCCAACAGGGGAATTATGTCGAGATCGTAGCGGGGCTCACCAACGACGACCTCTGTTCGGGGGTCACGAAGGAAGCAAGCGTGCTTGAGCGACACCATGCAAGCTGTGAAGCGGTGCTTGCCACGGAACTTCTCCTCGCCGATGAGGAGGTGGGTGCCTTGATCGTAGTTGCCCAAGCCGCCAACAAAAGCGGCCATCCCGTCTTCTTTGCTCCAGACCATCTCGCCGTATCCCGCCGGGACGCCGTCCCAGAGAACAAGGACCCCCATGGCGTGAGGATCAGCATTTTTCTCCTCGATGTACTTGCTGTGCTTCTCTTCGGGCCCCTTTTCACGCCATCCGTGATTGACCCGATCGCTGTTTTGCCACCTGCAGTACGCTTCGAAATGCTGCGAGTTCGACCTATCGATATGCACCAGCTCGAGGTGTTGGGAGCAGGAGAAGACGTAGCGAGAGTAGACCACAGAGCCGGGAGCCGGCTTGGGCGGTCGCAACGGGTGCATCGCGAGGACGGGCGGAGAAGTGCTCTGGGTAAACGCGGAGACATACGGGAAGAGACCATTCGAGGGCACAGGGGTCTGCAGCCAGTGAAGATCGGAGGGTGCACCAGCTCCTTGCCAGAAAGCATTGCGATCGAGGAGGACGAGGTCTGCGTCGGTGGGCGAAGCAAAGCACAAACCGACAGCAACTAGATGCGATTGCTGTCGAACCGCACCTTGGCCTTGGAACAACACAGGGAGACGATCAGACCACTTGTGTCGGATCCAAACTGGCATCGGGAGAGGCAATCAGCAATTCATGCCATGGTCAGTTCGTGTGAAGACAAAACCCCGGCTGCTTTGAGACTTGACATACAGGCATAGATGGCAGCCCAGATTACCCTGAGTGGATCACTGGTCTCATTGAGGAGCTCGAAGGCCCATGCGTGTTGAAAGGTGGCCCGTTCCTCGTTGACAACGCCGTGCAAGCTCGTCTTGGCAAGACGATCCAACTTGACCCATCTGGCCACAGCATTGAAGGCATCTTGTTCAGCCTGTACGATCGAGATCGTGATCGTAGTCTCGGACGCATTGATGGAATCCTCGTCCGATTCGACGTCGACGTCGACTTGAACCCTGACGCGAACCTGGCGACCAGGCAAGGTGAAGAGGTGCTCTCCGCGTGCGAGAAACACTCTCTCATCCTTGCGTGGACAGAACGTCGCGCGTAGGCCTGGCTGACGCACTGCCGGGCTCGCGGAAATGGTCTGAGGATTCGTCATTTCGGTGTCGGAAAGTGGGAACACGAGCTTGTGCGCGAGTCTTGAGGGGAAGAGGACGGTCAGTCGAGCATTCGACGATACGGCCCTTTTTCTACAAAAGAGACTCGACAAAGCTCACGCTGAAAGCTGAGGCTTCGACAAAGTCCACTTTGTCGTCAAGTTCCGAGGTCGAACCACGCTGCGACGAGGTGTGCTGCATTATGGACAAGTCATTGTGCCGGCACAGGCGAGCAAAGTCCTCGCGAATCCGCAAGAAAGGAGCCCCTCGTGAACTTTACCGGAAACTGTGTGAGTCCTCTCAGGAAGCCCCCACGCTGATCGAGGTCCGCTCGAGAGTCCTATGAACAATGCAGGATGACCTCGCACCACTGTGCTCGCCATACGAAGCGCTGACACCCACCATGCCTTTGCCCCTGCTTCACGCAGGACTTTTTCTTTTTCAAGCCATTTTTGTTTTTACTTTTTCCGTTGTTGTCTTTTTGCCTTTTTCCATTTTTGCATGGTCCATTTTTGCATGGATGATCCGGAAATTCGGGTCCGTCCGACCCGAAGCGGCTCGTCTAAGCGCGTGGAAGCCGAGGGTGTGCATTAGCGCGTTTGCCAAGGAATGGCGCTTATGCACGATCGACTCGAGCACATGCTTTGACTTTATCAGATCGCGCTACTTAATCTGATAACATTGTCCGCTGCGCGGCTTCCATCGTTGCGCCCCAGCCACAAAATTTCGGCTATATCGGCTGCCTGCCACCGTAATCTGATTGGTACCTTGCACTCCGAATTGACCCGTGAGCTGCAATGACCTCGTGACGCTCACGCCGTTCAAAGACGTGAAAAGGGCCAAATTCTCCGTCGACGAGAGCACACTCGGCTAAAGCGGCAGAAGACTGTACATCGCAATACTGTACAGCCGAATTGGAGGGCCGACCCATTGCAGGCGCAGGCAAATGATGTTCTCGTGGGAACCGATGCCAGGCTAGTTCAACTGTCTTTCAACAACGGGGACTAGGCGAGCTCCTGTTTCCGGTTGTCTGAAACATGCCATACCATGCACCATTTTCAAAAGACGGTCGTCGCTACTCCACGGTCTGCAGCAAATTGACCATCGACGACGTTCTGAGCTGCTTAAAGTACATCTGCAGAAGGAAGAAAAAAAGAAAAAAAGCCACTCTGGACGAGGTTGAAAAACCTGGGTACCGGTTGACTTTGGGCGGCGTCCTGAATGCCTCAATCCTGCCTCTGTCCCTCTGCAGAGCCTGTAAGCAAGTAGACGAGAGAGAACCGTCGTTGGAATATCTTCGAGATTTGTATCCTCGCTTGACTTTCAACGCCTTTCCGGTCTGCAGACGAACTTTTTTTTTGTTCGACAAAGGTAAGTCGGCTTGCTTGACGAGTTGGACTAGGAATGCGCTTTTTCAATTTCCTTGAGTGCGATCGATTCACACCGCACTAGCTGCCTTCTGTACCTGACACACAGCAATTGGCCGCTTTCCACTCAGACGTTGTCTGCGATCCGACATAGCTTCGTGAACGGGAAGACTCTTCTGGCCGCACACAGTCGAAGCGAAGCGAAGCACCGCGAAGAAACATCGTCTCCAAGCCGTCGCCCGCGGTCTGATACCTGTCAGGCTATACGGTCTTTCCCGTCTTAACTCAGCAACACGATTCAGTCCGTCTCGCCACCAGCTTCGTCAAGATACGCAAAGTCATCTTCTCGTAAGAGCTCAAAACAGGGCACTCGGCTTTTCCTCGTTGAACGCCATGGCGACTGTGGACGAAAAGCAAGCGATCCGGTCGCAACCTGATCCAACATCCCAGGATCCCGAGCAGGCCCAGACGCCACCTTTGACGGTTGAGCCATGGGAGCCGCGAGCATGGTGGAAAAGGGTCCCCTTCTTGAGCACTCGGGTGCGTCCTATCATCTCGGCGCTGGATCCCCAGCATCCTAACGCAAAGATGACTCCGGAAGCAACTGCCAACTGGTTCTCGCTCTGCTGCTTTGCCTGGATCGATCCGATCCTCACCGCGGGCTATACACGCCCTATGGAGAAAAATGATCTCTATCTTCTTCCGCCGGACCGCTGCTCAGACCGCCTCGGCGCTCAGCTACTGACTGCACTCGACGAAAGGCAGAAGCAGAGACGCGCGGCGATCAGCGATGATTCGAAAAAGGAGGACAAGCCTGCCAAGATCCCGTCCTTGATGTGGGCCATGAATGACATCGTCTTTCGCTACTTTTGGATTGGCGGCTTCCTCAAGCTTCTCGCCGACATTGGCACCATCACAAGTCCACTGCTTCTTCGAGCTCTCATCAACTTCGGTCGAGACTCGTACAAGCTCAGAAACGATCAAGGCCAAGCCCCTCCCATTGGACAGGGGGTGGGTCTTGCCATCGGCTTGTTCCTGGTTCAGGCCTTGTGCGTCTTTCTCAACGTCCACGCCTTCAATCGCGGCTTTGGAACGGGCATCATTCTGCGTGGAGCGCTCATCCAGGCCATCTTTCAGCGCGGCATGAATCTGTCGACGCGAGCGAGAACCACAGGCGGTCTCGGAGTCAGCAAGCTCGTCACGCTCATCAGTGCGGACGCTACGCGTATCGACTATGCGGGTCAGTTCTTCCACATGGCCTGGACGAGCGCCGTGCAGATCGTCATCTGCATAGCTCTCCTCCTTTGGAGTCTCAAGTACAGTGCGCTGCCTGGCATTGCCGTGCTGGTGCTTATGAGTCCAGTACAGACCGTCATCACCAAGCGGCTCTTTGTACTGCGCAAGAAGAGCATGGTGTGGACCGATAAGCGCAACAAGGCCGTCAACGAGGTTGTCGGAGGCATCCGCGTCGTCAAGCAGTTCGCGTGGGAACAGCCGTACTCGGATCGCGTCGCCGAGCTGCGCAAGAAAGAGATGGCTTTTCATCGCGTTCGGCTCTACCTGCGATCGCTCAACCTCGCTCTCGCCTTCGCTACGCCCACCATCGCCACTGTGCTCAGCTTCGTCACCTATGCTCTTGTGGGAAACGAGCTGGATGCTGCAATCCTGTTTTCCTCGCTCTCGTTCTTCACCCTGCTTCGCACTCCTCTGCAATTCTTGCCTATCGCATGGAACGCCGTCGTTGATGCCAAGAATGCGGCTGATCGTATCGAAAAGGTATTTGACGCCGAGATTCAGCATGATCAGATTGTTCGCGATCCTGCCGCCGAGGATGCCATCAAGCTTCAAGATGCTAGCTTCACTTGGGAGACGACACCATTCGCAGCCACGACAGAGACGGTGGCGACGCTCGATGCACTTGACTTGACAGTCCCGCGTGGGGCGCTCTGCGCCGTCGTCGGCGGTGTCGGTAGCGGCAAGAGCTCCCTTGTTTCTGCGCTAGCCGGCGAGATGCGACAGACCCAAGGCAAAGTGACACTCGCTTCTTCGACAGCCGTGTGTGCACAGACTGCGTGGATCCAGAGCACCACGATTCGCAACAACATTGTCTTTGGCAACGTCTTTGATCCAGAACGCTACCGATACGTTCTCGACAAGTGCTGTCTTCTTCCAGATCTTGCCACGCTCGCCGAAGGAGATCAGACTATCGTAGGCGAGAAGGGCGTGTCGCTATCTGGAGGCCAGAAGCAGCGTCTCAACATTGCACGCGCGCTCTACCACAACAGCGAGATTGTGCTCCTGGACGATTGCCTTTCCGCGCTAGACGCGCGCGTGGGAGCCGACATCTTCGCCAACGTCATCGCTGGCCCTGCATTGCAGGGAAAAACACGCCTGCTGGTAACGCATTCACTCAACGTCCTGCGTTCTTGTGACTGGCTCGTGTACATGGAGAACGGTCGCATTGCAGAGCAAGGTACCTACGACGAGCTTGTCGGAAGCAAGAGCCGTGTGGCTGAACTTGTTTTGAAGCACACGAAAGATCAGAACGACCAATCCAAAGACGAAGTCGGCGAGTCATCCGAGGGCGATCCGGACGCAAGGGCAGGATCGATCCTCGGATCGCACCCGGAAGACAATCTAGCACGGCTTCGCAAGGACGGCGGTGCATCTTCAATCAGCTCCACAGTCACTATGGAGGACGATCGCAAGCCGGACCTGTCCTCTGATCGGTCCGACAAAGAGGTGGAGAAGAAAACGGAAAACGAGGTCAAAAGCAAAGCGTTGATGCAGGATGAAGAGCGATCGAGTGGATCCGTCTCGAGGGCCACCTATCTGTCGTACCTCAATGCTGCGCCTCTTTCCGTCCTTTTGCCCCTCTTTGTGCTGGCAGTGCTGGTGTTTCAAGGCTCCACGATCATGTCCCCCGTGTGGCTAATGTGGTGGCAAAGGGGTACGTTTGGCCTGCAGCAAGGCGTCTGTATGGGAGTGTACGCCATCTTCGGCATCACTCAGTCACTCGGACTGCTCAGCATGGGCATCATCTTCTCGACCTTCACCATCAAGTCGGCGACCACGCTGCACCATCGAGCCCTCCAACGCGTGCTGCACGCTCCATTTTCGTTCTTCGACACGACACCACAGGGACGCATCACGCATCGCTTCAGCAAGGACATGGATACGCTCGACAACATCATTGGCGAAGCGATGCGCACGCTCATCGGCACGGTTGTACAGGTGGTTGGATCGATCGTCTTGATCGCCATCCTGACGCCTTATTTCTTGATCCCGGTTGCTGTGATTTTGGTGCTGTACTTCTGGATCGCGGCCTACTATCGCTCGACGGCTCGGGAGCTGCGCCGCATCGATGCGGGTCTGCGTTCGAGCATGCACGAGCATTTCAGCGAGTCGCTGCATGGACTGGTCACGATTCGAGCCTTTGGTCAGGTCGACGCCTTTGTTGCCGAAAATTGTCGCCGTATCGACAACCAGAATCGCGCGTACTGGCTGGCGCAGACGTGCCAGCGTTGGCTTTCGACGCGACTGGACTTTCTAGGTTCGCTGCTCATCCTGTCAGTCGCGATCCTGGTGGTGGCGAGTCGGTTCGACATCAGCCCCGGAGAGTCGGGTGTGGCTCTTTCTTACATCCTCACTGCACAGAGCATCTTCGGGTGGATGATCCGACACGCTGCGGAGCTGGAGAACAACATGAGCGCCGTCGAGCGTGTCCTGCACTACGCCAACCACATCGAGCAGGAGAAACCGTATCACGTTCCTCAGGTCGACCAGGCGCTGGCTGCTCGAGAATGGCCGGAACGGGGAGAGATTCGATTCGACCAGGTCGAAGCTCGGTACACCATGTCTGGACACAACGTCCTCGATAGGCTGGATCTGCATATAAAGGCTGGAGAGAAGATCGCCTTTTGCGGACGCACAGGGGCTGGCAAGAGCACCTTGGTCACCACTCTGCTACGCACGCTGGAGCTGAGCGGTGGCAGCATCACTGTGGACGGCATTGACATCGCCACAATGGGTCTCCATCGTCTGCGAAGTTCCATCTCGCTCATTCCCCAAGATGCCGTGATCTACAGCGGCACGCTGCGATACAACCTCGACCCGCTTGGCGAATGCGACGACGCTACGCTGCACGATGCCCTGCAACGCACCAGCTTGACCGATCTGGCGCTGGACATGACCATCACCGAGGAAGGTGGCAATCTGTCTGCGGGCCAACGCTCGCTCATCTCCCTCGCCCGAGCCATGGTGCGAAAGACTCGCATTGTGATCCTAGACGAAGCGACGGCCAATATCGATCAGCAGACCGACATGCAGATTCAGGAGGTACTCAAGACCGAGTTCGACTCGATCACCACGCTCACGGTGGCTCATCGGATCCGGACTATCTTGCACTCGGATCGTGTCTGCGTGCTGGACAAGGGCCACATTGTCGAGATTGGCCCGCCTGCCGAGCTTTGGAGACGTGAAAAGGGGCCATTCAGAGCTCTCTGCGACAGCGCAAACGTTCACTTCAAAGATGGGCAGTGGCATTGAACTGACAATGTATCAGAACGAACGCAGCGACCGTTTGCAATATACAGTATTCAAAATAAGCTCGATGAGGTTGTCAGTTTCTCTCCTGGTTGCCGCACGATATAGAACCTGCGCAAGAAGCGAGGTCCTCCTTGATCAAGTATCGGAACAGTTCGGCTGCAAGCCAGAGTCAAATTTTATCAGATCGACTCTGAGCCGGGCTCAGTCGTCTGCTTATACTCGTAGACTCCAGCCTCGGCTATCCTGGTAAGATTTGTGCGCCGACCCTGTGATTGGGTTGCTTCCTATGCCCGAAAGCAAGGAGTTGCTCTGCCAAGAAAAATCGTCCCTCACCAATCCAGCGCTTTTGTTCTTGCTGCAGGCTCCGCATGGTCAAGTATGCTCTCAGCTGTCGGGTCTCACCTCGTCGTCGAGATGGATTTGTTGAGTGACTGATGCAAGAACAATAGCATGTCGGGAAACCGAAGCCTCGGGAAAGAAATTTTATAATAAAAGAATAATCCCTGTCCCTACAAAATCTGGGTGTCCTCTTCTTGTCTTTCCCTTTCGCCCATTTCTTGTACCGGTAAAAGAATTGCATTCTCTTTCGGCGTCGAAAGGAGCGCCACCTTCTTGCTTCGAATAGGGCTGACCAGGGCTATCCAGAAGGCGCTTACAGGCTTCTGGGCATACCGCGTGCTTTCGTGCATCCTCCCCCACTCTCACCGGTTCTATTTTATCAGATCAAAGATTTTTCCCCTTTCTCGTCGGCCTCTCTCGATCGATATTTCGGCGACACTGTCTTTTCGCCTTCGGACGATCACGGGACCACTTTAGCAAAGAGCCCCACCCAGTGTCGGGCTGGCTGCACTGTTTCAGTCATGCAAGTCCCCGAGAAGCCAATCAAGTGGCGAACGTCGAATGCGGCCCCAGCAAGCCCTTGCGGCTGTTGCAGTCGCCTGAATTGCTCTGCGCACACCTTTGAATTTACGACCACATATCCTTGCTCGGAAGTGATGGCCATCTAGCAGGTCTTAGTCACGCCATGCCGCAACACAACTGCTCTTCCGGTGTGGGTGCAAGACTGTCAACGCATGTAAGAGTTTGAGCGCGGGAAGAGCTCGGGAAAGCTCGGCTAGTCTGACTCGATGCTCAGTCGCCCAGTACCCTGTCCCGTGAGCGTCCTTCCACGAATGAACATTGCCGGGAGCACGAGGGGAGTGAGGAAGAAATTTTCTGCAAGGTACAGCCGACCTCCATGCTTGCTAAACACCGCAAGACGGACGGTCCCTGACGATGAATCGAGCCGAAGCTAGCAGATTGTTCAGGTCTGTGTAGATACATAAGAGGCATTTCATCCATCGAGATAGACAGTCGAGATTTCCTCTCATCCGTTTATACTTACAGCCTCGGCACCCAAGCCCGTGACTGGACAGTAGGCCCTCTTATCTCTGCAACCATGTCGGCCAAAGCCCAGGAACACGATAAGCCCGAGTCCGAGCCTCGCGTCTCTTCCTCAAGCAACAATTCGCCTTTCAAGGATGACGAGGCTGCTGTCGAACAGTCTACTTCCGTCCGTGGCCCGAGCTTGATGGCCAAGAAGGATCGAGTCAGTGCAGTTCGCGATGCTGATGCTTCGAGCGCGCACGAAGGCCAACAGGAAGGCGTGAGCCGTATCGAAGCGCTCTACCGGGTCTTCCCTCGCAATCATCCCGTGGTCTGGTCTCTCTACGCGAGTCTGGCCGCGGTGACCATCTGCTTTTCCCTGGATCAGTCTACTACCGCTGCGTACCAGCTGTACGCCACCAACACGCTCGGTAACCATGGAACGCTTTTCGGCATCATCGCTACGGTCGAAGCCATTATCAGTGAGTCTTTTTTGGCTTGTCACGGACCCTTGAAGCGTCGATGTGTGCTTCGTACTGAGTTTGTCCCTGTGTCGCTCGGCGAACGCATGTTTCCGATGCAACAGACGCTGTTTCCAAGCCTTTCATCGCCAAGATTTGCGACATTTTCTCGCGACAGACGGCCTACCTTATGGTCGCCATCTTCTATACGGTCGGCTTTGTCATCTGCGCCGCTTCGCAGACTCCGGCTGCCTTTGCCGTTGGACGAATCATCACCGAGGTTGGCCAGGCAGGCTTCGATCTGGTGACCGACATTGTCGTTGCCGATCTGAGCTCTCTGCAATGGCGAGGCGTGGCCACCGCCTTGACTTCGTTCCCGTTCATCTTCCTCCCCTACTGCGGCAGCAACATCCAGGCGCGTCTCGCGCCGCCGGGCTACCCCGAGGGCTGGCGATGGGGATACGGCATGTTTGCCATCATGGCGCCTGTCTGCGTCACTCCCATCATCTTGGTGCTCACGTATTCGGATCGCAAAGCACGCAAGGCGGGTGAGCTCTCGTTCGCTTCTAGTCGACTCGAAACCCAGCGTGCGCAGGAGCAGGGAACTCTGCAGGTGCGACGAGACTCGCTCAAGGACCGCTACGCCAACCTGATCCGGCTTTGCAAGGAGATGGACCTTATTGGACTGTTCCTTCTGGCAATGTCGTTTGCTCTCATCCTGGTGCCCTTCAGTATCTACAAGACGGCGGACAAGCAGTGGCGCAACCCTTCGATCATCGCCATGTTTGTCTGCGGCGGTATCATTCTGGCCATGTTCATCGCTTGGGAAGTACTATACGCCACTCATCCGGTGATGAACAAGCGAGTGTGGTACAATCGCACTTTCCTGCTCGCCGTCACCATCGACATTTTTTACTTCATGGGTGGCAACATTCGATCGGTCTACTATGCCACCTATGTCAACGTTGGAACCAATCTGTCCAGCGTCAATTGGGGCTATGTTGCGAGTGCGCTGCCGACGTCTGCACTGTCTCTATTCGGACTTCTTGCTGGCCTCTACCTGCGATTCTTCCACCGATACAAGATGCTCCAGATTTGCGGTCTGGTCATTCGAATTGTCGCCATGGGCCTCTACCTGTACGGACGAGACCGCAATCTCACGACCATGGTGATTGTATGGGCGCAGATCCTCAACTCGCTCGGCGGCGCCTGTTCGGTTGTGGGCACACGAGTGGCATCGCAAGCTTCGGTTCCGCATCAAGACCTGGCTTCCATCATTGCCCAGCTGGGCCTGTGGACTCGTCTTGGTGGTGCGATCGGATCTGCGATTGCAGCCGGCATCTGGACGGGCACGCTAGACGATCACCTGGCTCAGACCGACCTGACGCCTGCACAGCAAAAGACGGTTTACGGAAGGCCCGCCAGTGCCAAAACCACGTTCAAGTGGGGAACGCCTCTTCGCAACCAGATCATCGCTGCGATGAGCCAGACGATGAAGCCTATCCTGATTGCTTCGCTGGTCCTCGCGTTCATTCCTCTCTTCGCAGGCTTGGTTATGCCGAATTTCTACCTTGGTCGGACGCAGAACGCGGTAGACGGTACGGACAACTCGGGCCGCGTCATCGAGTCGGCCGAGGAGAACCCCAACGCCAAAATCAACAAGAAGAAGAGCATCTTTGCTCGTTTCTCTTTTGGCAAAAAGTAGACTGCACGACAGCGTATCCACACGCCAAATGCAGAGTCTACATCTTCAGGGCCATTGTCAATTTGTACCGTCCAAACGCTTTGATCGCCGAATGCTTGACGGCAAAATGGCAAAATAGGAGAGGGAATTAGAAGGCATCAAAAGGACTGAAATGAAGAGGCTTGACCGTGCCAGACCCAGCTTTTAAGACCTTTCTCCGACAAAGCCGGACTGTGCCCTCGGCAGTTGTCGCATGAGAGGAGCGATCGGACCAAGCTGGTCCGAATGCGTTCCGGCAAGTCACACAATGGTGAACGGTTCGCAGCAGCAAGGTGTGCTTGCCGTTGACTGTAGCTACCGCGCTGCAGCCGAAGAGGAGAAAACTGGGTGTCGAGGAGGATGTTGCTCGCTTATTCTTTGCTTCCATTTTTTTATTTCTCGAAAATTCTTTTCTTTATCAGATAAAACGAAGGCGGGTTCGGCAGGCATGTTGCGCGTAGATAGCCGATGTGGGTGTCTTTCTGCGTGGGCGAGCTGATTGGCTACGAGCGAAATGTGGCTGCAGCAGACCGGCAGAAAGCATGGGAACCGCAGCAAGCGAGCTGCAGACGTTGTCACTGCTCGGCGAGAGCCGGTGCGTCATCGGATGGCTTGCGTTCACTCGCGTGCGGTACGCAAGCCTGGTTTCGATCCGAAGGTGTCGCTTTAGAGCCCGGAAAGCTCTGCGCGCGCGCCTGTGTGCGTGCTGTGCTATGCTGTGCTGTGCTGTGCTCGAGTCACAAAAGAACTGGTGTCCATGTTCTCCCTCAAGGTCACTTGAGGTTTGCCTTCCAAGACTCGTTGTTCTTGGTCCCCGCTGACATCTGTGTTTCGACAACCTCACCTCTCTAGCTAGCCCAGCATTCTTTGCCGCAACACCGTCCTTGGACTCCTCACCTGCTTATTCGCCACGCTCGCCGTGATGACGGTCGATATGAATTTTCCGGCACCAGGCGCCAAAAAGACGGTCGCAGTCTTGGGAGCATCGTACGCGGGACATCGGGCGATCCAGGTGCTGGTTGCGAGCTTGCCCGAGGACTGGCGGGTGGTCGTGTTGGAACGAAACACGCATGCCAATCATCTGTACGCCTTTCCACGGATGAGCGTGGTGCGCGGACACGAGCAAAAAGTGTTCATCCCCTACACCAACATGTTCAAGCCCGCGCTTGCTCTGCGGGATCAGCATCAGCTCTTGCATGCCAACGTCTTGGAGCTGGACCAGCAGAATCGACGAGTCTCGTACGAGCTGATCAACGACAAAGCAGCAGGCGTGCAGTGGCTACAATGGGACTATCTCGTCTATGCTCTGGGCAGCCACCTTCCGGATCCGATCAACGTTTGGAGCGGCGGCAGCGAGCAAGGCAGCCGCCAGCACGACGGAAGCAAGAAGATGGGGGTGCAGTGGCTCAGGGATGCACAAGACAGAATCGAAAAGGCAGATTCGATCGTGATCATCGGCGGAGGAGCTTTGGGCGTCCGTAAGTACCGACTCACCCGAGCTGATGATGGTTGCTTGGTCGAGAAACGTAGCACACGAGACTAACGAGATATTCACCTTGCGTTGCTTGGGCGAGAACAGAACTGGCAACTGACATTGCGGTGACCTATGGCCGCTCAAAGAGAGTGACCTTGACTCACTCTCGCGCCCAGCTGCTGCCTCGCTTCGACCCGTGGATGCACGAGAGAGCGGCTGCGCGGCTGTCCGAGCTAGGAGTTGAGCTCGTTCTCGGCAGTCGCGTCGACCTTGGCTCGCTGAGCAGCGACAGAAGATCGTTCCGGCTCCTCGATGGGCGTCAACTCGAAGGTGATCTGACGGTGAGTCAAAGCGTCAGGGTCAGATTCGTCGCAAAAGGAGTTCATGCGCTGACCGTGCCCTTTGATGATGCTGTGAACTGACAGCTGTTTTGCCTGGGCCAGACACCCAACACGCTTCTTTTGGGCGAATCATCGTTAAGCGAGTCGGGCATGGCCAGAGTCGAACCGACACTTCAGCTCTCGAGCAATCCACGCGTATTCGTGATCGGCGATGCTGCGGATGCCTTCGGTGCCATCAATGCAGGCCATACAGCGTGGGACCAGGCCGAGATGGCCGCCAAGAACATCCTCGCGCTCATCTCGATCAAGCAAGGCCAAGAAGCGGTCGAGCTGCAAGAGTACAAGCCGACGCCCCCGGCCATCAAGGTGTCCCTGGGCATCGATCGAGCCATTCGACAGACGATGGGGGGCGAGCTGATCGAGGTGGACAGTGGTGTGGTCGATCTCAACTCGACGAGCATGTGGACTCGACGAGGTCTCGGCACTGACGATCTTTGGCTCTAAGCTGTACTGAACAATAGCGGGTCACATACGCCAGTCGATAGGATCACTCCTTACTGTCTTAGATTTAGAATCTCAAAATGCCGCACCGACGCCACGCTTCGATGGTCAGCTGTCGGATATCGCGCTGTCGAGCCGGTACGGAATGAAGCAGAGTGTGCGACAGAAGCGCCCGTCGAAATGCCGTTGCGTGGGCAGAGCCAGAGCGGGCGTTACGGGCAGTGCTTCACTGTAGCTCATGTCAAGACACTTGCCCTAGACACCACCGCAACAGCAGCATGAAGGGAGGTGCCGCGGGCTGAAACGCGGCTCCACCGCTCCACCGACCCCCAAAGCTACCGAAGCCTAGCCAAGACGCGTCTTCTTAGCGAACCCCACCGTCCTCTCCACCACTTTCTCAGAAGTGCAAGAATACCCTGCATTCGTCTCGGCATCTTGGATCCCTTTCGCCGATCTACCAACTTTACCCACATGGAGACCGGTGGAGCGCAAAGCGAGGCTCCGAAAGCTCGCAGGCGCAAGTGACGGCTGCACGTGGAGTGTGGCGCACAACACATTCTTACAACGCAGGTACCTTCAGCACCCTGTGTCACCCTGACGTACCCCACATTATTACCCCGCGTTGCTTCATGCGAAGGATCTAGCCTGACAGCAACGTCCGTGCCTACTTAAGCGGCTGGATCTCTTGCTCCTCTAACGACGCAGGCAGCATATCCCTTCAAGCCTCACTTTTGCCCTCACTCGTGCAGCGCAGGTCCTTGACAGACACTGGAGATCGACCGACTTCAACCATGTGGCGAACCGTTGCATTGCTGGCTTCAACAGCGCTTGCTGTGCAAGCGGCGCCCGCCGATCGCGGCATCTTCAGCCCGAAACGCATCTACTTTGGTGCCGCCATCCCCGCAGATCCAAGCAGCGTCAGCTTCGAGCCCTACTGTGGATCCATCACCCTCAACGAGACACACCCGGTCGCTGTCCTCGACTACGGCAGAGAAGTTGGTGGTACGCCCATCTTCACTTCGAGCAATGCCGCCCAGATCGAGGTGAGGTACACAGAAGCGTACGCTGGTCTGCTCAAGGAGCAGGGGGACGGTCCTTACCCTTTCTCCACCATGCTGGCCGATACCTATCGCAGTCACAACCTCTCGATGCATGCCGGCGAACAATATCACGCGCCCTCCGTGCAAGGTGGTCAGCGATGGCAGTCTATCTCTGCTTCTGGTCCAACCACACTTGACTCGGTCGGCTTCGTCCCCTCTATGTCGACTCTGGATGCTGACGAGGTGCCGTCGCAGTTCAGCTCGTCCGATGAGACCTTGAACGACATCTGGCGTCTCGGAGCGCGCACTGTGCTGGCAGCGTGCTTCGAACAAGCTTCGCAGCCGTCGACGTGGTCGCCCAGTGCGCAGGGTGTCCTTGTGCCCGGTCAGCGACCTGCTCTGACTCGCAGGTTCTATGCCATGGAACCGTACACGCTCACCTTCGAGAGTCGCATCGAACTCGGCGGAACCGGCTGGGCGGTCGGGTTCCCGGTCTCGACGCTGGATGGCGGCCTTCTTCTGTACATCCGCAACGACACACTCACACTAGGGTACGGCTTCTCGCTGCTCAATCAGACGAGCCTCAACTCTTACGTGCTGGAATCGTTCACGGTCTCGGTGCGCAAAAAGCAATGGCTTGCCATTCAGACCGACGTTTCGGAAGGGAGCCTTGCGGTCAGGATCGATGGGCAGAGCGTCTTCAACGTCTCTTTGAGCAAGTACTGGCTGCCTAAAGCTCCCCTTGCGCAGTCCAGAACTCGCGGCTCCTTCGGCTTTGGCCCGTGGCAGGACCACGTGGCTCGCTATCGAAACGTCAAGGCGGTGGCGACCAACGGCACCATGCTGTACTCGAATGACATGAAGGACACCTCGGGTCAGCTCCTTGAAGAGTATGGAGTGGCAACCAACCGCTTTGCGACATGCCTCGATGGTGCCAAGCGAGACAGGCTGGTCTGGCTCGGCGACTTCTACCACACCGTGCACACTGTAGCCTCGTCATCTGCCAGGCGTGATCAGATCGAGGGTACGCTCGACTATATTTTCAAGTATCAGATCGCAGATGGATCGGTTCCCTCTTCGCCCGGAATGGGCTACGATCCGGACAAGAGCATGGCAGAGGCGGCGCAACGAGGCAAGCCCAACTACCTGCTGCGCGCGGACGCCAACATCCCCATCCCTCTTTCGCCGGGAAGCTACGGTCTGTTCGACTACGACATGCTCGGTCTGCTGGCGTATCTGCGCTACATTGAAAACTGGGGCTGGACCAGCTGGGCCAAGGCCAACTTCGAGCACGCTTCGAACATCAAAGACTTTATCGTCTCTTCCGCCAACCAGACCACCGGTCTGATGAACTTCCCAGGCTTCCTGGGCCCAGCACAGGGGTCGGCCATCGGCTTCCTTGCTCTCAATGCTCTGAGGAAGTTCGATGCGCTCTCGCCCAACTCGACGGTCATGTCCACTGCAGACAAGCTGCAGCAGGCACTGTGGACACTGTGGGATTCCGACAACGGGGGCTTCCGCATCTCGAAGGCGGACGGCAACTTTTCCATCGCTGCGACTGCCTTCGCACTCGAGAGTGGAGCTGTGATGGCCAATGACACGGAGCACGCGACGGCGCTACTGCGTCGACTGGACCAAGTCAAAGTTCCCATCGGAGGCTACCTCGACACTTCGGCTGCCATCGACGATCCCACCGCCAACATCTCGCCCAACATCAATGGCTTCCTGCTGGATGCGCTGGCAGGAGCTGGACAGCACAAGATGGCGGCCGAGCTGACCAAGAGCATCTGGACCCAGATGTTGACCAATGTCTCGACCAACACGGGCACCACCTGGGAGTACATGAGCCAGACGGGTCAGCCTGGTCTGTCGTTCTTTACGAGTCACAGCCACCCCTGGTCGAGCGCGCCCACGTACGTGCTGCCACGATACGCTGCCGGCCTGAGACCACTTGCTCCCGGGTACACCAAGTTTGTGGTGGAGCCCGTACCGGAAGCGTACGGACTCAGCTGGGCGAGCGTGGACCAGAAGACCGAGAACGGCTACATTCGCGTTCGCTGGAACCAGACGGATTCAGGTTTGACTGTCCGAGTGAAGGCGCCCGAGAGCGCGGTCGGCCAGGTGGCGTACACCTCTTCGGACGGGACACGCAAGGTGGTGGACCTCCAAGCTAGGTCCGGCTGGCAACAGACCTCGTTCTCTTAGTCTAGAGCACAGTAGACTCCACGACCTCCCAAGCATCGAAATCATATCTGGTGCCGCAGATCCGGGCGGAATGAATTGGGCGGTGCTGCTACCGGCTGAGATGCTCACGCGGCCTTGAGACACTCGGCCAAGACCTCGAGGAGACCCTTGCGGGCCTGGGTAACGTGATCTTGGGCGCCGGGTTGCTTGCACTGGGCGACGTGGTGGGTGATTGTATCTCGCAGCGTTGCCCGGAAGACGTCTGGGTGCAAGCCACCGTTTGGTTCGGACGGATCTCCTTCTTCGCGCTTGAGATGCGGAAGCACGTTGAGAATGACGTAGCTGGCGCGGAGGCTGAGGTTGATGCCGTTGAGCTCTGCCTGAGCTTGTGCATCAGCTTTGTTTCTCGGCTGACCCGCGCTGTGGGCTTGCAGATCGGCTCGCTCCCATTGGTTGCGAGTGTCTTGGCCGGATCGATCGAGCACGAGGTTGGTCAGCAGCACGGGGAAGAGCCTTTCGAGGGACAACAAAGAATGTGCCACCGGCTCGGAATCGGACACCATGGCTAGGATTGCCAAGCTTGCCATCCTGGTTGCAAGCGAGGGTTCTCCGCCTGCGTCGCTTGAGGGTGATGTTGAGGCGCCAGAAGACCCATCTCCGTTGATGTGGTTTAGGTACGCCCAATCGTCGACCTCTGACAGACCGAGGAGGGTTCTGAGGCGCAGAGTGAGTCGGCTCTGTTGCTCGTTCGAGCCATGCTTTTGCTCTGAGCCCGAAGGAGAACTGGCGACAAAGTACGCGAAAACTTCCTGAACCTGGAGCAAATTGACTAGCAGCTCGATCCAGGCCCTTCGAAGCATGGCGTGGTCTTCCATGAGCAGCTGTTCGCATGCGTGTGCGAGCACGGACGTCGAGCAGAATGTGGTGCTCGAGTCGCTTGTGACTTTATCTCTGGTCGCAGTCTCGAGTGAGAAGGCGGCAATGCTGAGGCAGATCTGAGGAGAGAGCGAGGCGAGGTTGGTGAGGGCGAGGAGAGCCTCGAATTTTTGGAGCTGGGAGGCAGCTGGGGCGAGCAAAAGGCTGCAGATGACCGGGGTGACGGAGAGGAGGCCTTGCTCTGATGGGAAGAGGATGGAGGGATTGAGGGAGATGAGGAGTTTTGCCAGAGCCTGCAAGGGTGCGAGGTCGTGCGAGGTGACGCTTGGCGTTGATGGATTTGCGCCTCGAGAGAAGAGGCCGATCCGATTTGCGCTCGACTGCCCAGCACCAGCGTCGGTGTTGGGTGCAGGAAGAAGGTCGTGAAGCACGGGAGCTGCGAGTGCTAGAACAGCCTTGAGTGCGCCTTGCTGTACGGCCTTGCCGCGCACGGTGCGGTCTTGCTTTGTGAGGAGGGCCAAGAGAGCATCGCTGCAAGCAGTTCGGACGCTTTTGCTGGGATTCACCTTCAAGCTCGCACTTGTAGAATTGGGGGATGGACGACCTGCTAGAGCGAGAGAGCAGAGTGTTTCGATGCCTCTGGCGTCCAAGACGGCGGCGCACCGCTTGTCCGCTTGTTCGACCGTCCCGAGCTCGTCTTCGTCGTTGTCAGCAGTTGCGCTGTCGTTCTGCTTTGTCTCTTGGGCATTGGCGAACTTGCGCAGCCGACGAATTTGCTTCTCTTCGGCTGTGAGGGTCTTTGGATATGCGGTAAGGTTGGAAAGGATGGTGGCGAGACCGAGTTGGAAGGCGCCGTCGAATCGTTGGCTGTCCACTTCGCCTGGCTTGGAAGTGTCGGCAGCCTTGGGTGTGGAGAGATCGAAAGTGGTGCAGAGGATTGCGAGGAGGCGCGTATCGGCTGCCAATCGATCTTTGAAGACTGGCTGGACTGTGAGGTAGGCCAAAGCTTCGAGACAGCCGAGCTGTATGCTACGATCGAGTTCGGCTCGAGCGGCTTGGTCGATAGACGAGAGGTTCTGAGACGATGCAGAGCCTGGGCCGCGACTCGGTAGCTCAGAATGAATAGCATCGAAGAGAGAGTGGTCCTTGCGTTGACGTTCTGACCTATCCTGCTGTATCTTGCGGATGTGGTCCTGCTGCGACGTCTGCTTGGAGGAAAGCGACTGAGACAGACCCTGAACGGATTCCGAGGCGGTGGCGCGGTAGATTTTGACGTCTGCGAGCCCAGATAGGATGGCGATTGCGTCGGTTTTGGGGTGCGAGTCCGAGGCGGGCGCGGACGAGCTGGTATTTCGAGGAACGCAGGCGATGTCGAGCCAGTCGAGGAGAGCCTGCTGACCTGCCAGAAACTTGCGTGTGACTGTGGAGTTGGCGGCGGAAGAGACGAGCTCTGCGACGGCCAAGCTGACGAGCTGCTCGTCGCGCAGCTGCAGCGGCTGAGCCGAAACATGCGACGATGCAGAATCGGGGGCGGGGCGACGGACGGCATTGCAGGCATCGGGAGCTTCTAGAACGAGATGGAGGATGCCCTCTGCGATGAGAATGTCGTGCGCCTCGGTGGGCAGTACGCTGAAGAGAGCCGCCAAAAAGTTGAGCGCGGCGAGCAGGCTGCGGGGAGTGGTGTCGGCCAGTTTGGAACGGATGACGGGAGTGAGCAGCTGCGCAAGATTTTCGTCCGTGATCTTGCAAGAAGCGCTTGAGGCAGACGCCGAGGAGGAGCGCGAGGCGAGCGTGACGAGTGCGGTGCTGCGCGCCTGCTTGAGTTCGGTGAGGACGGCATCGGTATCCTTGCGCTGAGCCGACGAGTGCTGCGCGAGAGGGGCGCAGTGGGAGAGGGGGGCGAAGGCATCGACAAACGAGTGAGCCGTCGAGGTGGACAGCGGCTCATCCGAGAGCGAGAAGCGACGGATGCTCTCTGCCAAGCTTTCCGTCTCTGCCTCTTGCATGATGTGATGGGTGATGGATGTGCCAACGCAAAAAGCAAGGCGGGAGCCAAATCGCGAATGCACTTTTTCCGAAAGTGTTGCTCTGCGGATACTCCAAGTGCGGATGTTCCGAGACTGCCGCTGCTTCGGCCTGGATCCGTGTGGAGTGAGGTGTCCGCATTTCGGAACTCGGAAGACACGTCCGAATCTAACAGTTGTGGCCGGCGCGCTCCTCTCCTGTGCTTCTGCTGCGCCGTTTTTTCGAGATGAGCAGCTTTGGTGGGGCCTGAGGGCAGGGAAATTTTTTGAGAAGGCAGAGCAGCGTTGCGAAGATGCATCGGCGTTGCGAGCTGCACTTGACCCAACACCATCACCATCTCCTCAGACTCGCCTACTCCTCATCACGACTCTGAATCCGCAATTGACGCCTTCACACTCGACGGTCACGTCGCTCTGATCACCGCACCCATCTCGCGGCTCTGATCATCGCCTGTTCTCATCCGGCATTCGCACCCTCCACCTCCAGCGACTGCATACAACATTTGGCATCTCGTTGCGATACCCTTCAGTCTTCCAGTTTGGTTTCGGCTCAGTCTACCTGCCAACTCTATCACCCTGCGCCGTTGTCCGCGCTAGTCCCTGTTGTCCACCACATACGCCGAGCATGCGAGCATAGCACCACACGACATCTTGCGTCCAATTGTCTCGAGATCTTTCTAGGCACTCTCTTGCCCGCCGCACCAGCAGAGGCCTCGCAGCGCGCGCAAGGCGGATCTTCCCTCACCATCCCCCTCAACCGCTGGCCGCGCAACGCCCTACACATCCGCCACCATGAAGCAGCTCGTCTCCCAAGATGCGCCCAAAAAGATCAAGCACATCCAGTTCGGTGTGCTCTCCAAACAGGACATCGTCAACATGTCCGAGATCGAGGTCACAACCAGAGATCTCTACACCATCGGCGAGGCCGAACGCAGACCGGTAGCCAACGGCACCCTCGACAGGCGTCTCGGTGTATCAGATAAGAACTCGCTCTGCGAAACCTGCCACCTCAAAATGGCAGACTGCGTCGGCCACTACGGCTACATCAAGCTCGTCCTGCCCGTATTCCACATCGGCTTCTTCAAGCACACCGTCGCCATCCTACAGAGCATCTGCAAAAACTGCGCAACCGTCCTCCTCGAAGAGCCCGACCGCAGAAAGTTCCTCAAACGCTTCCGCCGACCCAACCTCGAAAACCTCGACCGCACACGAACCTTCAAGGCGGTCAACACCATCGCACGCAAGGTCCTCTACTGCCCAAAGTGCGGCTATACCAACGGCACCGTCAAGAAGCAGGGTCAGCTCAAAATCGTCCACGAAAAGTTCAGGGCAAAGAAGACAGCCGCAGAACACGAAGAGTTCAGAGCATCCTTCGCCACCAACATCAAGATGGGCAACGGCGACATCACCCCCCACCTCAACAAGGCACAGGAGGATCTCAACCCGCTCAAGGCACTCGACCTCTTCAAGCGCATCTCGGACGAGGACTGCGAGCTCCTCGGCCTGCGTCCCGAGTTTGGTCGTCCGGAAGAGTACATCTGGCAGTACATCTGCGTCCCACCCGTCTGCATTCGTCCCTCGGTCGCACAGGATGGCGCCACCAACGAGGACGACGTCACCATCAAGCTCACAGAGATCATCTTCACCAACAGCCTCCTCAAGCTCGGCCTGGTCAAGGGCGGCAAGGGCACCACCACCAGCCAGCTCGTCCAGCAGTGGGAGTTCCTCCAGCTCACCGTCGCGCTCTACATCAACTCCGAGCTGCCAGGCGTCCCCACACAGCCGGGTCAGAAGCCCAGCCGCGGCTTCTGCCAGCGACTCAAGGGCAAACAGGGTCGATTCCGCGGCAACCTGTCAGGCAAGCGTGTCGACTTCTCCGGTCGAACCGTCATCGGTCCCGACCCCAACCTCAAGATCGACGAGGTCGCCGTTCCCCAGAGAGTCGCCAAGATCCTCACCTACCCGGAGCGCGTCTTCGAGCACAACATCGAGCAGCTCCGCCAGGCCGTCCGCAACGGCACCGACGTCCATCCGGGCGCCAACTACCTCATGGACGGCAAGACCGGCTTCAAGCGTTTCCTCAAATTCCCGGGCATGCGCGAGGAACTCGCGCAGAAGCTCCGCGTCGGCGACGTCGTCGAGCGCCACATCCGCGACGGCGACATCGTTCTCTTCAATCGACAACCCTCGCTTCACAAGCTCTCCATCATGTCGCATCGTGTCAAGGTCCGACCCTGGCGTACCTTCCGTCTCAACGAATGCGCCTGCAACCCCTACAACGCCGACTTTGACGGAGACGAGATGAACATGCACGTTCCTCAGACCGAAGAGGCCAGGACGGAAGCCACCATCCTCATGGGTGTCAAGCACAACCTCGTCACGCCCAGAAACGGCGAACCCATCGTCGCCGCTATTCAGGACTTCATCACCGCCTCCTACCTCATCTCCAAGCGCGACCGCTTCTTCGACCGAGCACAGTTCTCCCAGATCTGCAGCTACTTTGCCGACGCCAATCTGCACATCGACATTCCACCACCCGCCATCATGAAGCCCGTCCGCCTCTGGACGGGCAAGCAAGTCATGTCGTGTCTCATCCGTCCCAACAGCAAGAGCCCGCACATTGTCAACCTCGAGGCGCAGTGCCGTACCTTCGAAAAGCCCACCGGCGGCCATCCCAAGGACATGTCGCCCAATGACGGCTGGCTCGTCATCGTCAACTCCGAGGTCATGTGCGGTGTCTTTGACAAGTCCACCGTCGGTGACGGAAAGAAGAACTCCGTCTTCGGCGTCATGCTCCGCGACTACGGGCCCGATGCGGCCATCACCGCCATGAACCGACTCGCAAAGACGTGCGCCCGCTGGCTCGCCAACCAGGGTTTCTCTCTCGGTATCAACGACGTGATTCCTGGCCCCAATCTGCGCAAGAACAAGGACGCCAAGGTCGAAGCAGCCTACGCCGAGTGTCTGGACCTCATCGAGAAGGCCAAGCGCGGCAAGCTCGAGAATCTGCCAGGATGCGACCAGGAGCAGACGCTCGAAAACATGATCTCCGGTGTGCTCTCCGGCGTCCGAAGCGACGTTGGTGAGATCTGCATGACCGAGCTCAGCCGCCACAACGCGCCGCTCGTCATGGCATTCTGCGGTTCCAAGGGTAGTAAGATCAACGTCGCACAGATGGTCGCCTGTGTAGGCCAGCAGATCATCGCAGGCTCCCGTGTGCCCAACGGCTTCCAGGATCGATCGCTTCCGCATTTCCCCAAGAAGTCCAAGGACCCGCTCTCCAAGGGCTTCGTGCGCAACTCGTTCTTCAGCGGTCTGACGCCCACCGAATTCTTATTCCACGGTATCTCGGGACGAGAAGGTCTCGTCGACACTGCAGTCAAGACGGCCGAGACCGGCTACATGCAGCGTCGACTGATGAAGGCGTTGGAGGATCTCTCGACCCACTACGATCTCAGTGTGCGCAACTCGGTTGGCGGTGTGGTGCAGTTCATCTACGGAGACGACGGCCTGGATCCTGCGGAGCTCGAGGGCAATGCCATGCCCATCGAGCCCTTCCGCCTTTGGCGTCACTGCGTCGCCATTACACGTCACCTGCCCGGGCGCGGACTATTCCCTTACGAGATCATGGAGATCGTCAAGCGCGAACTCACCAGCCCCAAGTTCGTCAACACGTGCACACAGAAATATCGCGACTCTGTGCACGAGTTCCTGCACGAGAACGTGTTCAAGCGCGCCGTCGCCGTGCGCGAGGCGTTTGGCATGTACGGTGCCGAGGAGCGCGAAGAGCACTGGGACGAGCACACGGATCTTTCCATCGGCGCCAACCGCGACCAGTGGGCGATCGTCGACAACAAGACCAAGGTCAAGGAGGCGGCCATCGTCGCGTTCCTCCACCAGTGCTACATCAAGTACATGAGGGCCAAGATCGAGCCCGGCTCGGCTGTGGGTGCGGTGGGAGCGCAGTCGATCGGCGAGCCAGGCACGCAGATGACGCTCAAGACGTTCCACTTTGCCGGTGTGGCGTCGATGAACGTCACGCTGGGTGTTCCTCGTATCAAGGAGATCATCAACGCGGCCAAGGTAATCAACACGCCCATCATCGAGGCCAAGCTGGTTTCGGAAAAGTCGGAGCGCGCGGCACGCATCGTAAAGGGACGAATCGAGAAGACGTACCTTGGCGACATCGCCTCGGTGATCGAAGAGGCGTGGGCGGCGCAGTACACCTACCTCGGCGTGCACATTGACATGGACGCGATCCAGAAGCTCCAGCTCGAGATCACGCTCAACGACATCAAGTGGGCGATTGTCAACGCGCCCAAGCTCAAGATCAAGGAGGAGCGTGTGATGGTGGTGCCCAAGAAGAACCGCATCCGCATCTACGTGCCGCCCGAGGGCGTGGACAAGGAGAGCGAGGTGTACTACAACCTCAAGGCGCTCAAGCGTGCGCTGCCGTCGATCGTCGTCAAGGGCATCCCGCAGGCGACGCGTGCGGTGATTTCGGACGAGAAGGGCACGCGCAAGTTGCTGGTGGAAGGCTACGGCCTGCTCAAGGTCATGACGACCGAGGGAGTGATCGGCACGCAGACGCACACGAACCACGTGATGGAGATGCAGTCGGTGCTGGGTATCGAGGCGGCCCGCACGTCGGTGTACCGCGAGATCGAGACGACCATGTCGGCGCACGGCATGAGCATCGACCCGCGACACATTATGCTGCTCGCCGACACCATGACGTACAAGGGCGAGGTGCTGGGCATCACGCGATTCGGCGTGGCCAAGATGAAGGACAGCGTGCTCATGCTCGCCAGTTTCGAAAAGACCACCGACCATCTGTTCGATGCGGCGCTCTTCGGCAAGAAGGACGAGGTGCTCGGCGTGAGTGAGAGCATCATCATGGGCAACCCTGCGCAGACGGTCGGAACGGGCATGCCGGCTCTGGTGGTGCCGGCGCCAAAGCTGCCGCCGCGTCGTGCGCTGTTGTTCGATCGTTGAAGCTCATCGTCACGGTACAAATGCAGTTGATTCACTGTGCAGTGTCTGTGCCTGTGTGTGTGCCTTGATCGGAAGAGTGAGGGTCGATGGCGCGGCGGAGCTGATCTTTGGAGCGTCGGCGATGTGGGGGTTTGCGTTCGGCTTCTGTGGACACGGACCACTTTTGCACCGAACCGAGCTGGAAATCCGGGGTAAAGTCCGGCGTTCAAAGCTGGCCGGTCATGTACCTCCCTCCTCCATCCTCAACTTCAAGTCGCGGTATGATCCTTGGTCGCACCTTATCTTCTCGCTTCCTCCATCGCTTGCGCCTAGAAACGCCCAGATTCAAGTCAGTCAAGCTTGGCTGGTCAGGATTCGTCACGATGACAGCCACACGCGCCTACTCGCGGCTGGTACGCTTTGTTCCCGCCGACACGCAGTCCACCAGCACTACGCCCCTAATTGGCGAGCCTGTGGATGCAGAGCTCGATGTCGGTCAAGCGACGTACTCCTCTCAGCCTGTGAGGGTGCACGTGTACTCGGGCACGTCGATCCTGCATCCAGGCGAGCGTACAGGCGAAGAAGTGACCGTAGGTCGTCTTTTGTCGCCTCTCGCTCAGAGCGAAGTGGGTATGATCCGATGTATCGGATTGAACTACATCACACACGCAAAGGAGGTGGGGATGGACATTCCGACTGTCCCCACGCTTTTCACCAAGCCTGATACAGCTCTGGCAGGACCGTGGCCGCAAAACACGGTGATCCCGAAAAGCTTCGTGCAGGACGATGCGGCGGATTACGAAGCAGAGGTGGTGCTCGTCATTGGCAAAGAGTGCAAGAACGTCTCCGAGCAAGATGCCATGGAGTATTTGCTTGGGTAAGTCTGCCCAACTACAAAGGATCGATCGTTCGATGAAGTTGACTTTAGCGCTGGAGTGGGTAGGATCACGGCGGCAAACGACGTTTCGTCGCGCAAGGCGCAGTTTTCACAGTCGCAGTGGAGCTACTCCAAGGGCTTTGATGGCGCATGCCCCATCGGCCCCGCTTTCGTCCACAAGGACGCTATCGGAAACATGACGGAAGTGCAGATCTCAGCAAGTCTAGATGGTAAAATCGTACAAAAGAGCGACCTCAGGTATGTTCCCCACCACCAACAATCGGAAAGATAGGATTAAACTGACCTCACCGCGTCTCTGGGTTGAAGTGATCTCATCTTTTCGATCCCCAAGATCATTTCGTTCCTGTCGCAGGGCACCACGCTTCGCGCCGGAACCATCATTCTCACCGGGTACGTTGAGCTCCGGACTACCAACTGCTCGCCTAGCATGTCGATTACTGATCCTTTGCATTGGTCGAAACAGGACGCCGGCGGGAATCGGCTGGACCAGCCAGCCCAAACGCACGCTGCAGCACGGCAGCACCTTTGCAGTCACCATCTCGCACGGTGTCGGCACACTGATCAATCAGATCGAGCATGAAACCTAAACATTAAGTCCTCATCGCAAGTCCACTCGGACAGCGCTTCAATGAGGCTCAGATCCACACTCGGTTAGAATCGAGCAATGCTAGCCTCTGTTGCTTCGCATGTTGTACGCGACCCGAACCGAGAGGTCGGGGCTTTTATGGAATGAAGAAAGAAGTGGAGAGGGGATGGAATCAAGCAGGGACCTGGAAGGCGCGCTGCGAGCCGCTCGAGAGGGTGTTTGACTTTTTGCGACGCTCGTCGGGCGTGCCCACATGCATGGGTGCCTGGAACGCCGCCTGCTTTCCCTTGGCCTCCGAGGGAGCAGAGGTCTTGTTGGAGATGACATCGTTGTCGTTGCCGTACTTGTACGCGCCGCTGGCCACGCCGTTTGCCTTGTCGGCCTTGGACTTGGCGAGGAAGCTAAAGTGACCGCCGACGACGGGGCGTGCGAGGAAATGGATGAGCGGATCCTCGGGCTGCTTTGGGAAGTCGCCCGTGGTGCTCTCCATAAGATCAGTGAAGGGCGCATCGGTCTTGCCATCCTCGATGAACTTGTACAGCAGCTCGATGAAGAGCTTGTGCGTCGCCGGGTCGTCGGACGCAGCGGCCGCAAACATCTCCCAGTCGGTCTTGGTCCACTTGTGCCTCGAGTCCAGAGGCACACCGTACTTCTCCTGGACGCGCGGATACCACGCATCCTGGATCTTGTACACCGCCTCCGGGACCAGGTTGAGGTCAAGCATGCGATCGGCAAGCAGATTGTACAGCGTGCCCCACGAGGCGTCGGTCTGGTAGGCGAGCTTGGTGTGCGAGGCATCGTGCGAGATGGCGAGCGTCTGCCACTGCTTGATGTAGGTGGTCGAGATGTTGGCGTACGATTTGGCGTCCTTGGAGTGACCGAGCATGTCGGCGATGCGCGACATGGCGGCGATACCTGTGATGCCCTTGATGGCAAGGTCGGTCTGGTTGGCGAGCGTGCCGGCAAAGTCGTCGGTGGAGAGCTGCTCGGCCGGGATGAGGCTGTCGGCCACAAGGTACTCGGTCCACTGCTTCATGATGTCGTAGTGCTCCTCGAGGAAGGACAGCGCCTTGGACTTGCCCACGAGCTGAGCCCAGTGGAGCGTCATCCAGATCATGTTGCCCGACTCTTCGACCTGCATGGGCTCGTCGTTGCCGTCGTTGTGGCCAAAGGCGTTGGGATACGTGCCGAGGTCGTGCACGCACCACTTGTTGGGGTACAGACCGGACTCGGTGTACTCGAAGAGCGGCTTCATCAGGTCGCGCAGCAGGTTGGGGTTGGCGTAGGAGAGCAGAGGGAAGAGCGGGAAGATGACGTCGACGGTGGACATGTCGCCGTTGGACGAGATCTCCTTGAGGAAAAGGAGCGTGTCGGAGGTGTTGTACCTGCCCTTGGAGTCCCTGCTGATGGTGATCTCAAAGGTGGCAAACGCCTGACGCACCGAGAGCTGGGTGATGGCGGCGTACTTGTCGCCGACGTCGCCTCCGCCGACGGCAGCGCGCGAGTCGTCGGCGACCTGCTTGTCGAAGGCCTTTGCGGTCTTGAGGGCGTTGTCGAAATCGTTCATGAAGAAGGCGACGGCATCCTCAAGCTTGTCGCCAAACTCGGACTGCCAGTACCCGTAACGGTCCTCTTGGTAGCTCTTTGTGGATTTGGAGCCGGGTTTCTTTGCGCGGATGTAATTGACATAAGGGGTGCGCATGTGACCGACGACGAAGAGCGCGTCCTTGTCTGCGTGCTTTGCGTCAAAGTCGACGGCAAAGGCGAACGAGTTGTCGGGGCCGAGGACGGGGCCGTGGTCGAAGGAGAGCTTGCCGGTGTCGATGAACTCGGTGTGGGTGACGACATTGTTGTTGTTGCGCGAGTAGAGGCCGGTGTGGTTGCGTGCGGCGTAGGTGGCATTGCCCCACTCTGCTCGTTGGCGGAACTCGGTGTAAACTTCGGGATGCTTGCGCGTGACAAAGAAGACCGAGGTGTCGTTCTTCTCGTAGTACTGCTGGTCATAGGGGAAGTCTTCGTAGTCGTAGTCGTGACCGGTGACCCAGCGCTCGTCGATGTCGGTGTAGAGCTGGATGCTGCGGCCCTTGATGGTGGAGGTGTCTAGCTCTACGTGGAGGTAGCTGAGCGGCAGACTCTGGCGGAGGTAGTCGTCCGGGGTGATGGGGGTGAGGAAGGTGACGTTGAACCTGACCTTGTCTGCCTCGAAGGCGAAGATGGTGCGGGTGGCGGTGTACTCTGCGCTGAGCTGCTTGGCGGCCTGGCCGGCGCGAACGAGGGTGCCAAAGCCATTGCCCATCCACTCGTAAGTGACGTTGTCGATGCGGATGTAACCGGTCCAGCCGAGGCGGAACTCGCCGTCTGCGCCGTAGGAGGAAGTCCAGAAGGCGGGCCACTGGCCGGCGAGGTAGCCACCGTCTCCGACGGTGTTGGGAGGGGTAGAGGCACGGTTCGAGCCCGAGGGGAGCCAAGCATTGAGGTAAGGGCTTCTTACGGCGAGCGGGAACGAGGGCGGGTTGACGGGCGAGAAGGAGCTCGAGGAGAGCGCCGAGTCAGCATTGGTGATGCCCGGGTTGAAGCTGGAGGAGCCTGAGGAGGAGGTGGAAGCGGGTGAGACGGCTTGAGGCGATGCAACGCTGGAGCCTGCGGTCTTTTCGCCGTTGGTGACGAGCTTGAAGGAGGGGGCATTGAGGTCGCCGCTCTGGAGGGTGACCTGCTGGGCCTGCTGGACGCTCCACTGAACACCGGGCTGAGTGGGGTCCGAGCTGAGGCCGACGAGCTGCTGCGCCTGAGGCAGATGCTTTTCGGAGGGAGCGCGGGTGATGTCGGCGAGCGCCTCGTAGAGGGTCTTGAGGCCGTCGGACCTGGCGAGGGAAGCTTGGGCAGGGGTGGGAGCCGAGAGGAGAAGCGCTGCGGCAAGCGTCGAGGCTGTCGACGCGAATGACAACCTCATGATGTTTGATGAAGAGGGTCTATGGCTCGGAAGAGCAAGCGTTGAGGTGGTGTATGCGCGTGTGGATGAACGAAAAAGTGAGAAGGGGCTCTAGCTATATAGGGGAAAGCAGGAGAGGGTGGGTCGAACAATGCGCAAGAGATGAATGCAATGCGGATCAATGTGGGCTGACAGCGGGTCGCGGATAGTCTATCTAGGCTTGCGGCTGCGCAACGAGGGCTGAGAGGAGGTGTGATCCTGAGTCTAAGCGAAATGAAGCGAAGCCTTCTGGTGCGGTACGGTAGGTCCTGTAGCGGATGGATTTGAAGCTCGGATGAGGAGGCTTGTTTCTTTGTGGAAGGGGCGGATGAGGAAGCGAAGGAGACGGTGCTACTGCAAGCGGCGGCGGCGGCAGCGCGGATGGAGGATATGAAGCAGTGGTGGGACGGGGGTGAGGAGAGGGTCACGGCTGCAGACTAAAGGTAGCGAAGTGGGGCTCCGTGCGCAGCTGAGGCACACGATGGGCGCTACAGCCGAGCGCGGGGGGGAGGGGTGTCAGGGGCCGCCGCACTAGAGCCCTGCGCTCATAGCCGGAGCTCGATGCACGGCAATCTACTCTATGCGCAACGCTCCGCTCCGCAATCGCCAGCAGACGATCGGCGTAAAAGGCGGCCAAAGCCGAGCCCAAAGTGGAGGCACCAAAGGGCGCGGCGAGGAGCCGCTCGCGTGAGCAGCTCGCGCCGCCTGTCACGTCAAGTGACTGACTGGCTGGATCACTGACAGCGGCCGTTGCAGATCCGCTCTCGTCTTCGGCTGATCCGGGGCGATCAAGCGAGCCCGCCAAAAAAGCCCTTCGAAGGAACCCACCAAATTGAGCGACGCGCTGCCACGTCCCACGCCATCCATCCTTCGCATCACACCCGACGACGGTCGTCTGACTTGGATCGTGGGATGTGTGACTGCTGAAAGGATGCACTCTCGGGATGCGACCGTCGCCGCGGGCGATGTCAGCCGCAGCAGATTGACCGGTGCTCGTCGACCGCTGCTCGTCCCCGCACATGCACCTCTCTGCAGGATGAGAGCACCGCATCGCCGTCGGAGCAGCTATTTTCGACGCCCTGCCTCTCTCTCTCTCTCTCTCTCTATCCTTCACGCTCAACTGTCACCGAGTCTGAGCCAGATCACACGCTTTGCTCGACACTTGATGCCGACTCTTATATAGGCTCTGGTGCGTGGAAAGCGTAGACAGGCAGCGTGTTGCGAGCGTCGCGAGCTTATCCCGCGCCCTCCTGCAGCACCGCCGCATGCATGCACCTTTGGCCCCACCTGCATCTGTGGGGAACTGCCAGCCCAGACCGCAAAATCCCAAGTCTAACAGCGGAGAGCTTTTTCGAAAACGATCTTGCTCACTTTTGCACAACCGCTCGGAACATCCCGCAGGCACCTCCAGACAAGCATGACCAAATGACAATCGCATGGCTATTTTGTATCAAACTACTCGAGCGTGGTTCAGGGCGTCTCTACTCACTCCTCGTCGAGAGCGCTGTTGACTTCGCGGCTGATGCGGTGCACCGCCTTGAGGTAGATCTTGACCGCCTCCGGGTCGACGCCCGGCGTGATGCCGTGGCCGAGGTTGGCGATGTACGCGCCTCCGCCGCCAAAGCCGCCCTTCTTGGAGCGCAGCATCTGGTCCACCTTGGCCTCGATCGCCTCCTTGCCGGCGTACAGCACCGAAGGATCCATGTTGCCCTGCAGCGCCAGACGGTGGCCCGCCTCGTTCTGTCCGCTGGCATCCTTGAAGCCCGCCTTGCCCGGCGACGCCAGCTCCACCACCTTGCGCGCCACGCACGGCTCCACCGTCCAGTCCAGCCCCACAACGTCGTACCCCGCCTTGACCACCTCGGGCAGCGAGTGGCCCAGCGCACCCTTGGCGAACACAATGAGCGGCGGGCAGGGGATCGACTTGGTCGACAGGATGTCGCGCACCGACGCCGCGATCGAGCGCAGGTACGGCAGCGAAAACTGCCGGAAGTCGGCCGGCGACAGCTCGCCCGCCCACGAGTCAAACACCTGGAGCAGCTGCGCGCCCGCCTTGACCTGCCCCACCAAAAAGTCGGTGCATACATCGGCGATGCGCTGCAGCAGCTCCTTGGACTCCTCCGGATACTTGAACAGCCACGTCTTGGCCTTTTCAAACGTCTTGCTGCCGCCGCCCTCCACCATGTACGCCATGAGCGTCCACGGCGCTCCGCAGAATCCGATCAGCGGCACCTCGCCGTCCAGCTTGGTGCGTGTGAGCTTGATCGCCTCGTACACGTAGCCCAGCTCCTTCTCCACGTCCACCTTCTTCCGAAGCTTCGTCGCAACGTCCTTGGGCGTCACCAGAGGGTCGGGGAAGTGCGGGCCCTTGGCCGGCAGCATCTCCACCTCCATGCCCATGGCCTGCGGCACGACCAGGATGTCCGAAAAGATGATCGCGGCGTCCAGCAGTCCCGAGTACCGTCGGATGGGCTGCACTGTGATCTCGGACGCCAGCTCCGGGTTGCGGCAGCACTCGAAAAAGTCGTGGTCCTCGCGGATCTTGCGGAATTCTGCGCGCGGCACAAAAGGGGGAACATGTCAGCGGTGTCGAGCGGCAAAATGAAAGGGAGACAGCTCTGATAGCGACTACTCACCAGGCAGGTACCTTCCGGCCTGGCGCATGATCCAGCATGGTGCGCGTTCGGTCTGGTGGCCGCGTGCGGCGCGGATGATGAGGTCGTTCTTGAGGCCTTCTTCGGGCTTGCGGCACTCCTTCTCCTTGCGCTGCGTGAACGACTGCAGATGCTGCATCCCGGGGATCTTGGACGTCATGCTGGGCGAAGAGCGACCTTGTGGAATCGGGTCGGCTCAGTGAAGATGGGGGTTGGTTGGAACAGATGGCTGTCCCGGCGCGCGTCGGGAGATCGAGGTGGAGTCGGGGGCGGCACTTGTTGCGTTTGTTGGCTCCTCCGGCCGGCTCTTTTGCAAGCGAGCTGAGCCCTGGCGCCATTTTTCCTCGCTTTGAACAAGTTCGGAAGTCGGGCCACATGGACGCAGTGTGAGCTATCTAGGGTATAACAATGTTCGCATTTATTATCGACCTCACACTCGCTGCCTCGCCAACTTCGTCACGATGAGTCAGTCCCGCTTTCCAGGGAGAGCGGACGTCATGATGGCGTTGATGGCGTTGACGAGGAACAGCGCTGGATTGTCTCAGCTGGCTTATCCAAGGGTTGCAAGCTATCCGCGTTCCGGCTTCCGCGACATCATGCGATCGAGGCGGCGTGCGCTGTGCTGCGTCGGTCCACGTGCTGCGCGCCGAGGATTTCGACGCACGTCAGTTGGCGCGGCCTTCTCGCTATTTTCCACCGCGATCAGCATGAGAACACCACAACTGCCACCCCCGAGATTTTGGGCACTTCCGAGTGCTCATGAATGACAGCATGATTTGCACATCCGTCCAGAGGCACGTGGCGCCCTGAGCTCAGCAGGGATCTCCGTTCTGCAGTATCGCCCCCAACATTTTCGGGTATCGGAACAGGGCTGTCCGTTGCGGTGGGCTTCCGCTGGAAGGAGCCATGTAGTGCAGCCCGAATCCCGAATCTCCGCCCGGAGGAAAAGTGTCACCCTGCGTAGCCGTCACTCTTCCGAACAATGCTCTTCCGCTCTGTCAGCTTCCGTCAGAGTAGAGATAAGGCTGTGTACGCTTCAGTACATTCGGTGGCAACGCATGTGGGTCCGAAGCCTCAACAGACTCATTATGCCCCGTGAGGGTATCAAAGGTGGCTCTGCTCTAGAACGGTAGTATCAGCTCCCGTCCCTTGCTGTAAGACGCAGGTAGCATCGAAAGTGTACATATATGAGCCCACTACTTCCTGGTATTCTCTCCCTCATGAAGCTAGATCATCTTACCTCGTAGACTCCAGACATGCCTAAGATCGCCACCATCGACCCGGTCATCATGGCCACAGCAGTATCGCGCCGTGCTTGGACGAGCCAAGACCTAGCCCGAGGGCCCTATGGCTACCTCCCTGTGCTCTCTGCACCCATCATCTTTGCCTGTCTATTCGCCGTCTCGGGCGTATGGCACTTTGCTCAAAACCTGCGCTACCGTCAATGATGGCTCGTCATCCTCACCTTGGGGTGTCTCTTCGAAGCCGTGGGACACGCACTTCGTGTCTATGGACACTTTGAACCGTTCGATGTCAATGCGTACATCAGCATGCAGTGTATCCTCGTCATCACGCCCGCCCTGATTGCGGCGGTGGACTTTGCCATCCTTGGCAAAGTGGCGGTGCTCTTCCCACCAAAGTACTCGCTGGTCAATGCGAGGTGGATCCTGCCCTTCTTTGTGGCGCTTGATGTCGCGTCGCTCGGCGTGCAGGGTGGTGGATCGGCGATTGCTGCCATCGCACAGATGGACAACAGAGACCCTACGTCGGGCGGAAATATTGTCGTCGCTGGTCTTGCGATTCAGCTCGTCGGATACATTCTCTTCAATACGCTTCTCGTCGTGTTTGTGCGTAGGTGCAGCAAGGATCCGCCTCCAGAAGTGCTTTGGAACAAGAAGACACGCACCTTTTTGGCGGCCACCGCCGTATCGAGCGCGTTGATCTTTGCGCGCAGCACGTTTCGCCTGATCGAGATGAGCGTCGGCTGGATCGGCGTCATCGCAAAGACAGAATGGACCTTCTACGTCTTTGATGCAGCCCTCGTCACGTTGGCCGTGTTCATCTTTAACGTCTTCAACCCCGCCGTGTATCTCGGCCAACTCTCCGAAACCAACCGAGGCAACAAGGACAGCGTGGCGCTCGACGAGCGAACTGCATCGCAAGACTCCGAGGCTTCGTTCAAGGCGTGATTGTCCTGCGCCGGCGCCGCAGAATAGATAGAGGTTCGGTCATCGTTAAAGTGGCGCCGTGTAGTCGAGTACCAAAAACACAGAAATCTCACTTTGATGCGGCTCAAAGTCGCAACGCATCATCTCGACCGCAGCTTGACCCGTGTGTTCCGAATACGCAGAGGACGAGTTTGAGCCACAACACCGCACATCCCGTTCCGATGCTGCCAACCGTCGTTGGTGTGGTGAGCTTGGTTGGACCCTGCATGGGATGGCCGAAAGTGAATCCATTTCGACGCCCTAAAATCGCTCGGCATTTAAAATGTCGCCGATGATTTTTCGATCCCTCCATCATTCGCCCCGCCTTCTCATCCACCACCTCACCATGGTGCCTTCAACCTCTGCATCCGGCGAGGCGGATGCATTGCCATACACGTCGCCATCGCTCATCACCGTTCTGGTGCTGAGCTCGTACCTGCTTCTGCTCTCCATCTTCTACCATGCCTTCCAACGCCTTTTATCCGCCGGGATCCTAGGCCCACTCGTTCTGGGTGCGATATACGCGCGACCGCTCGGCGACATCCTTCCCCCCGACGTGCAGTCGACGGTCCTTTCAATCGGATTCCTTGGGCTGATATTGCTCATTGTCCAGGGTGGTGTGGATGCGAGGATGGACATCCTCGCTAGCCCCGTGAACCTCGGCATGGCGGTGCTGGTGGGTGCGACCGGTGTTGTGCTGCCCATCGGGCTCAGCATGGCACTGCTACCGGCGGGGTTCGGGTACGGGTTGCTGGAGAGCTTTACGGTAGGCGCTGCTCTGGCATCGACTAGTCTGGGTACGACCTTCGCCGTGCTGAGTACGTACAAGGATCGCACGAAGGAAAGCAGGACGGGAGAGAAGACGCAGCAGGGGATTGCGGATACGCGCGTGGGGACCATCTTGGTCGGTGCTGCTCTGCTCGACGATATCATCGGGCTCGTGATCACAAGTGTCGTTTCCACACTCGGCTCATCGACTCAGCCGGGAGGGGGGCTGAGCTCCGTCCCGCCGTGGACGATTGCTCGGCCAGTGGTATCGTCCTTTCTGCTGCTCGTCATTTCATGGCTTCTGTCGAGGTACATCCTCGCGCCGCTTGCTCGGTCCATCGTCATCCCGGCACTGATTCGATACACTTCCGCAGCTCGAACGTCCGCAGACACCTCGTCGTCGGGTCGAGTGGCTGCAGAATTTCGACGCGCCATGGTGGGTCTGCACGCCAACCTCGGTCTACAGCAGATGATCGCTACGACTCTGCTGGTTTGCACGGTGCTTGCGTACTGCGCGATCAGCGAGGAGATTGGCTCGTCTCTGCTTATCGGCGCGTTCTGCGCAGGTGCAATGATGAAGTACCTCTACACGTCGTGGGCGGGACTTACATCGCCTCGCGATGGGCAAGCCTGCGTATGGTCACCCGAGCACCTTTTTTCCCATACCCCGCTGGGTGTGGTGCAAGAGACGCTGCTCATGCCGTTTTTCTTCTCGAGCATTGGCTCTGCCATCCCCGTCAAGTCGATGTTCACCGCCAGCACGGTGTGGCGCGGCATCATCTTTGCCGGTCTCATGGCGTTGGCCAAAGTAGCCGCGGGTGCGTGGCTCCTACTCGCCGATCGACTCGAACGTCGCAAACCCAACGACATCCAACTCGGTACACTCAATCCAAGCGCAGAAGAAGAGGGTGTGCAAGAGCCACCAGTTTGGCCAGCGGCACTGTTTCTCGGAGTCAGCCTCATGTCGCGCGGCGAGATCGGCTACCTGATCATCAACATCGCCAATCGCTCCGGCCTTGTTGGTCAACAGGCTTTCAATGTGGCCATCTGGGCTATCACACTCAATACCCTCGCGGGCCCACTGGCAATCGCATTCCTCATGCGCTCCCAATACGGTCCCCTCCTCCTGGGCCTCTCACCAGCTTCGCGTCAAAGTCGCTGGTGCTAAAACCTCATGCACGCTCATCTGGAGAATGTCAGAATCATGCTTCAAAGTTGGTGCCCAAATGTTTGTACGCGCGTATGCTGTCTAGTTGGTGTTGGGCGTCCAGACGTTGGTCTTGAGCGTGGAGCCGCCGCTCTCAAACGACTTGAGCAGCGTCGAGAGCTCCTTGCCGCTGCTCGAGCGGCGCATCTTGGGCGTGAGCGGTTTCTGGGGCGCGTGGAACTTGCTCAGCGCCGGAGCATCGGATGAGAGCTGCTGCTGCATGCCCGCCTGGCCGCGCAGCCGTGCCTCCTCGATCGTCATCTGTGGGAACGACGCATCCCAGCCCGACGATCCCTGCTTCTCCTGCTCGTCGCCTTCCGCAGCACCCTGGCTCGTGGCTTCCGTCACCGCCTTGTCGTCCGCTCCAAGCACCTTCTGCGCTGCTTGAGCAGCCAGCCCCTGCGGCTTGGGCGCGTCGGCGCCCGTGGCACCGCGACGCTCTTCGCCCGAGACGCGGCCTTCGAGATCCCAGTCCTCCTCATCGGCGGGCAACCCGGCCGCCTCAGCATCGTCGTCGTCGTCATCCACGTCGCCGTCCGAGCGCGAGTGAGGCAGCGAGACGATCTCGTCAATGCCGCCATCCACCGCGTTGGACGAAGTGCTGGGCGTCATCTTGCCCTTGCCGGCCGCACTGGCAGAACCAGTAGACGCGCTTGTGCTGCCAGGGGCGTCCTGCTTCTCTCCCGTGGCCGGATCCGCCTTGGCGCCCTGCGGCGTCTGCATGTTGCCCTGCGCCATCTCCTTGTTCACCGCCGCCTCGCTGCGCTGCTGGCCGGCGGCGTCGCGCGACTTGCCGCGCTTGTCGAGCGCGGTGCGCACGAAATGGCGTGCGCTCTGCAGCGCCTTTCTGCTGGCATCGAGGAAGAGGAACGCCTGGAAAACGTGGACGCAATCCTCGTACAGCTCGTGACGCACGGCGACGCCCGAGAGCGACGCCTTGTGCGCGAGCAGCGTCACCTCGTCGCGCAGCACTTCGGCATCGCCGCACTGGATGAGCAGCGGCGGCAGGCCGTGCATGTCGCCAAACAGCGGCGAGACGTACGGATGCGTGAGATACTTGTCGATGTTGTCGCCAAGATACGCCCAGACCGGGTTCATGTGGTCGCCCGACTTGGGCATGGGCAAATAGTCGAACTCGGCGTTGGTGTCCCACGAGTCGCACGACATGGTGAGGTCGACCCACGGACTGAAGAGCATGGCGCCGCTGGGGAGCGGGTAGTCGTTGTCGCGCAGATAGTACATGAGCGCGAGTGCCAACCCACCGCCAGCACTATCGGCACCGAGCACAATGTTGCTCGGCGGGATGCCGAGGTCGTCGGTGAGACGGAAGTAGGACGCGACGCAGTCGTGCAGCGCACCGGGGAACTTTGTCTCGGGCGCGAGGCGGTAGTTGATGCCAAACACACGGCATTCGGTGTACTTGGAGAGCGAGATGGTGAGCGGACGATGCGTTGCCGCCGACATGACAAAGTACGCCCCGCCATGGATGTAGAGAATGACGCGCTCCTTGCCCTTCTGCTTTCCGCTGCGCCACTCTGCCTGGAGGCGACGCCAGGTCTGCTTGCCCACGACCCACTCTGCGCTGATCTCGCGCTTGCCGTCCTCGGCGGCATCGGCCTCGGCGAGGAATCCGCGCAGGCCGCGCTTCTTGACGCGGAAGGTGACGGGTGTGATGAGGCCGTCCTTGGGGGTGGGGAGGAAGGCGCCGAGGTCAAAGAGCTGCTGGAGGCCCTCGATGGAAGCGAACTCCGAGTACTCGGCGACGTCGCGGAGGACGCGGGTGAAGACGGAGGTCTCGATGCCCCACGACTTTTTGGGCGGGCCGTAGATGGCGTGGGAGGCGACGGCGGTGCCGATGGAGACGCCCTGGGAGACGAGGAAGGGGAGGTAGCGCCAGGCGTTGGTGAAGCTGAGCTTGGTGGGCTCCCTGACCTTGATGGCGGGGTTGAGACGTGCGGAAGCGGGCACGTCGGTCTTTTTGTACTGGTCGAGGAGCGAGTTGAGCGTCTTTGTGGACTCGGTGTCCTTGCGGTTGGTCGAGCGACTGGCACGACGAGGTTGGCTGGACGATGCGGCTGGCGGGGCGGCAGGACGGACGGTGGTTTCGGAATGGCCAGTGGATGAGGCGGAGGGGCTCGCCTGGCCATCGGCGACGACGTCGTTGGCTGCGGACGAAGAGGCGGGTTCGCGGCCGCGGTTGAGGGTATCCTCGGCGGCCTGGGCGACTGCAGCTGTGCCCGAGGCGCCGGGCTGTGAAGGCGTGGATGAAGCGCCCGAGCCTGAGCGGCCCCAGCTCTCGGGCATCCAGGCCATCATGACGGTGAGGTCGAGAGCCATGGCTGAATCGCCGCGCTCCTTCTTGTGGGCGTTGGTCAACTCGGCCGGCTCGTCGGTCATGGTGACGGAGGAGTCGGCGTTTGCGAGAGGTTTGTTGGGCGTGGGGTCGGTGGGGGAGGGCAGGAGCGAGTCGCCTCGCTTGTGGGACTGGAGGTGTGTGGCGATGGAGAGGAGCGACTGCTGCTTGTGCGGGAGGGCGTCGCCGTTTTGCTGACGCAGGGCGTGGAGTCGCTGGAGGTGGTTGATGGCCTCTACGGCGGTGACTGCCTTGCGGAGCTTGCGCATGGCCTCGAGGTTGCGGAGAGCGCCGTTCTTGAGGCAGGCGCCCTTGGAAGCTTCTTCGTGGAGTGGGGGCAGGTCGGCGAGCCAGGGGTGGGCGAGAGCCTGGTGTGCGGTCATCCTCTTGTCAGCTGTGCAGAGGCACTTGAGGATGAAATCCTTCGCGGTGTCCGAGACCTCGGACCAGTATTCGGGCTCGAAGTGGACGTCCATCTTGATGATCTGCTGGAAGAGGGAGGGCTGGTCCTGGCCGTAGAAGGGGGTGTATCCGCCGAGGAGGGCGTAGGCGATGACGCCGCAGGACCAGATGTCGACGGCGGCGTCGTAGCCCTTGCCGAGGAGGACCTCGGGCGAGACGTACTGTGGGGAGCCGCAGGCGGTCATGAGGAGGCCTTCGTCGGGGATGAAGCGGGAGAGGCCAAAGTCGGAGATGACGACGTCGCTGGGGTCGGACTTGTCGCGGAGGAGGATGTTTTCGGGCTTGAGGTCGCGATGGATGATGTCGTGGTCGTGGAGGTAGGCGACGCCGGCGAGGAGCTGCTTCATGATGTGGCGTGCGTCGAGTTCGTTGTAGTGGACTTTGGAGACGAGGCGGTCGAAGAGTTCGCCGCCGCTGCAGAGGTCGGTGACGATGAAGACGCCCTCGCGGGTCTCGTAGAGGTCCCACATCTTGATGATGTTGGGATGTTCCACTTTACCGAGGATGGTGATTTCCTCCTTGAGCATCTTTTCGTTGGAGTCCTTGAGCGGTTTCTTTGCGATGATCTTGAGCGCGCGCTCTTGTCCGGTTGCCTTTTCCACGACCGCTTTCACGACGGCAAAGGAGCCCTGGCCGAGCACCTGGGGCAGGACGGTGTACTTTTTGGAGAGGGCTACGGGTAGGAGTGGTGTGCCGTCCTTTTCGGTCTCCTTGAACCAGGAGCGGAAAGCGTGATGGAGGTGCGAGCCGACCATCTTTACGTGCTGTCGCGTCGAGGAGGAGCGGCGGTGGCCAGCTGAAGCGGGTGTTATAGTGTTCCGGCTCTGAAAGAGGGCAGAGAAGCGGTGGGTGGGAGCGAGAGCGAAAGCGAGAGTGCTGGCGTGTGTTGGTGGCGACGGGACTATAGCGTGATGGGAGGAGCGAGGCGGGAGACGTGCAGCGAGGGAGTGATGCAAGGAGCGCAGGGATGAGGCGTGCGAGCTGGATGGATGTTGCACAGGCGCTGCCGGGGTATCGTTGTGGTGTGGGTGAGTAGGTGTATGCGGAGAGGAGGAGGAGGTGGTGGTGGTGGTGGTGGTGGTGGAAGGTGGGGAAGGGTGCGGCGCCATCTGTATCGGGAGAGGCGAGGAGCAGCTGCGATGCAATGATGCCGACGTACGAAGCGCGCGCCCTGAAAGGAGAGAGAGCGAGAGAGAGTGCGTGGAGAGACGCGGCCGTGAAAAAAACGCAGCTCAGCACCGCAGCCTTTCGGAGCATCCTCTCTCGGTGAATGCAAGTGTTGGGGCGATTGCAGCTGCAGTGCTGTGCTGCAGCGTGAAAGCAGACGCGCCCTGACCCTTTCTTGTCACTCTCTCCCTCTGCTGCACCGCCCACCTCCACCTTTGCCCAAACGCGTGCTCATCTCCTAATCCCACATGCGGAAAACGAAACACACTCATGCACCCGCGCTCTAACAGATTTTGCTCGATTTTTTCCATTCACTGGCATTCAACGATAAAGCATAGGCTATCTAAGCCTGGCGGGCGACACGATACAGTCGCTCGTCGTGCTGGTCCTTGAGCATGTCGAAGCCACGCAGCGAGCTTTCGCCCACGAGCGACTGCACAATCGCGCGCAGCTTGTCCAGCTCCGTAGCCAACGTGAGTGCCGCCATCCTCGCCGTCGTGTAGCGCAAATACATCGGATCGCGCAGAACGCTCCATCGCAGCACGTCCGAGCCTTCTCCACGGCCACCGTCAGCGCCCTTGCGGAGCAGCTCGCCGATGCGCCGGTTGCGAGCAGAATACTTGAAGTGGTTCTCCTGCAGCGAAAACGACGCGTGGTTGAGCCGCTCGCCGTTTCGCAGCGCTTTCGAAAGCACGTCAAACGTCAGGCAGATCTCGGAGAGGTACTGCGGATCCAGCAACGCCGTCGACGACGACAGCATCACCTCCCAGTCCATGTGGCTTCGTGCGTTTGTTCCAGGAGTTGCACGTGGCTTGTCGCCCTCCGACAGCGTCGCGATGCCGTCGAAGGCGCGCACGCTGCACAGGATCGCTCCGAGCGACTCCACGATCGTCGCATGCACGCCCGCCATCTGCACGTACCGCTCGGCCGGCCAGCGTCCGCGGATGTGGAAGTCCATCGTGGCAAGCCCGATCTGCATCGGATACATGGCCACGCGCGCATTCACACCCATGAATCGCGCGCGGATCAACGACTCCCGCTCCTGCCACAGCTGCAGAATCGCCTCGTTGCTCGAAACCTTGGCGTCGGCCCCGTTCGTGTCGAGCTGGTTCGCGAACTGGGCTCGTTCCGACTCTTGCTCCACCAGGCGGTTGCGGGCGATCCACACCTCCATCACTTCGACAAACAGCTCGTTGAGCTGGCGTGTCACCTTGGCCATGCTCTTGCGCAGCAGCAGTCGACTCGACGCCGGCCGCGGCAGCACCATGACGATCAGCGCCACCGCCATGCCGATGATCACGAGCAGCGTACGCTTCCACGCGACCTCGATGCCCACGCCGCTGTTCACCGTCACCTGCAGGTGCGTGTCGATCCAGGAGTAGCCCACAATCAGCACCACCGACACGTTGAGCATGATCGCTGGCAGCAGCAGCATCTTGGGCGCAAACACGCGCAGAAACACCAGCGGCAGGAAACCCACCGCCGTCGCCGCACCGATTCCATACGCATTGCCTCGACCAAGGCCCGTCGAAATGTACCAGAGCACGGCGCCGTAGAGTAAGCCGATGACCGTGCCGATGAAGCGCATGGCAAACGTAAACACCAGCTCGCCGCCCGAGAGCGCCGCGGCGGTCTGCGCCATGATGAGCGCCCAGATGCCGCGGTTGGTGTACACAAACTGCGCCGTGTTGGGCAGCACCGCCGTGATCCAGATCGCAAACGTCGCAATGCACATGCGCAGCGCAAACACCCCCGTCGGCCCGCTCACAAAGTAGTACGTCGCCGCCACTCCGCGTCCGATCCGGTGCGCCACACTCGTCGGCGGAAGGGCGTCCGGATCGCGAGCGTAGTGCGTCTGCTTTCGCTCCCGCCTGGCTTTCTTCGCCTTGGCAGGCACAGCAGCCTTCTCCTCGTCTCGATCCCGTGGAGCGCCGGACTGTGCGGCCAGCGTGTCGTCATCCTCCGCCTCGCTCTCGCCCTCGAGGTGGTCGGCGACATTGTGACCTTGGCTGGATGCGCCATCCGAAGCGGTATGAGCACGATCCTGTCGAAAGTCGCGGTCCATGTCGTCTTCCCTCTCGAATTCGCCCTCGGCGGGACCGAATCGATCGAGACCGTCCGAGGAGCCGCGCTTGTCGCTCGTGAGCACGCGCACCAGGCGTCCGAGATGCTTGGGCCACCAGATGCGCTTCTTGGTGCCTGCGCGATCCGCAATCGCCACCATCTCGGCGTGGAACTGCGAGATGGACTCGAGCGTATCGATGAGGTTCGTCACAAACACGAGGCAGACGTGCAGAGGTCGCGCACCGGAGCGGAACGAGTGGATGGACTCCTTGGTCTGCAGAAAGTGCTCTTCCAGGTCGAAATCCGGATGCGTGGCGCGAAAGTGTTCGGCATACGGCTGCAGCAGCTCCAGACGGCGGTCGTTGAGCAGATCTCGACGCGTGCTTTCGAGCTTGGACCGGGACTCGTGCAGCTGGGCGAGCACCTGGTCGATGGGCTGCTTCTGCCTCCACGCGAGGTTGGCGCCAAAGTACGCCTGCACCGCACCGATCGAGTCGGCTGCAGCCTCGAGCGACGGCTGCGAGACGCGGTTGAGGATGTTGAGCATGCGCGACATGGTGACCTGCTGCTGCGCCTCGCTCGTAAAGATGTCGCGACGCACGCGATGGATGGTCACCGTCTCGTGCAGCCGGATGGGCTGCAGCTTCTCCTTGGTCGGCACCGCCTCGGTGCCGTGTTGCCCATCGACGTCGTAGCCATCCTCGAACTCGGAAGCATCGCGCTCTTCGTGGAAGGTGCTAGGGTCGCTGATGCCGAGCTCGTGGTGGACGAGACGCCAGAAGGAGCCGAGCAGCGTGAGCTGCAGATTGACCGAGCGCGTCTTTCTGTACATGAGCTTCATGTCGTGCGCGCTCAAGTAGGAGCGGTAGAACTCCATGCCGAGAAAGGCGGTCATGCCGTTTAAGCCTTCGAGCTGCTCGGCCAGGGCGGTACGGTTGGCCTGCACTTTGGCGAGCAGACCGGCGGCTGTGGTGGATGCCTCCTCCTCCGCCTTGAGGCTGAGCTGGAGGTAGTCGCTGGACGGCTGGTCGAGGTGCGGACGAGCCGAAGGCGTGGAGGCGGGGTCGTGATGCTTGGCCACGTCTGCGAGTGCGTCAGTGTGGAGATGGAGCAAAGAGCGTGTGGTGTCGAGCATGGCGACGAAGCTGAGCTGCCACGAGTACGAGAGGGTCTCTGGGAAGATGAGGATCTGCGCCGCAAGACAGATGGCCATGGCGCATCCGATGGGAATCATAAAGATCTCGCCAAGCGTGTAGCGTGCGTAGGGAAAGAGGGGGCCGTAGGTGGTCATGATGTCGAGCACGATCATCAAGAAAATGGATCCGATCTTGAGCTTGGGCAGCTTGACCTGCATGACGGCCACGAGGTAGACGCCGAGCATGAGGAACACTCCGTAGACGGCGGTGGAGCGCACGTCGAGGTATTCGCCGCGGAAGACGGCGGCGGTGACGTAGGCCTCGGGATTGGTGGCGCTTGCTGCTCCGGCACGCACCCTGCCCACGGCGGACTGCAAGAGCTGCTGGCTTCTAGCGCGCGAAGCGGCGGCAGCAGCCGCACAGCCCCATGCCCAGCCGGTCAAGGCGCCCACGACGAGCATGCCGAAAGCGAGCACAAAGATGAAGAACGGCATCGAGGGTGGCACCATGAGCGTGAGCATGCACGAGAAGAACGCCGCCTGTCCGAGCACCCGCAGAGGCGGTCCGGGGATCATGAGGACGAAGGCAGCCCAGCTTGCGACCCAGCATCGTGCGAGGATGCGGAGCGAGCGAGCCGACTTGAGATTGTCCACGATCCACGCCGGCATCTTTGAGGCCTTGTTTGGCTCAGCACGCGGCGGCTTCGAGTTGTCGTTGGGCTTGGCGGCTGCCATGTCGCTGTCTGTTGTCGCCATGGTGGCAGGTTCCTACGTCTTTTCGAGCGGATCCTCTTGGGTAGCGAGAGCAGTATATGCGTACAGTCGCTGTTCTAGGGCTGGGACATCTTAGGGGTTCGATGGAGGTAAGGTGGGCGAGAGGCAAGCCTTGTGATCAATGCCAGCTGGTCCAGAAGAGGCATTCCAGGCCCAAATGCACCAAATGCACCGAATGCACAAATGCGCATCCCCGCATCAAAGCCTCGAATCGAAAGCACAGCTCAAATGCGGCTAAGCGCTGCAGTGCTGCAGTGCTGCAGTGCTGCAGCTGATTCTTCGGCTCGCATGTTCCGAAAAAGAACAACGGCGCTCCGCTCCACCCAAAACACCAAAACAACATCCTCCATCGTCACAGTCTAACAGCTGTTAATATTTTCTCATCACTCTGCGTTCGGCCTTCGAGATCAATCGGTGCTTCTCAATGTGACGAATGAATGACAGACTGAACGACTGAGTGGATTCCTGAATCGATGTGCGAGAATTATTGCTGGTCGCCCCATGTGTCGGCAGCGTCGTGACGAAAGTGACAAGAGTCTCCGCGGAAGCAGTTGCCCATCGCGAAAAACTTGCACGGCTTGGTGTGCAGCTTGGACTGCCACGCTCCGGCTGTGGATCCACCGCCGCCTCCATATCCYCCTCCTCCGTACTGGTTCGAGTGCGGGCCGGACCACGCTGCACCATTGTTGCCGTAGTCGTAACGCGGAGGCTGCTGGTACGCTTGATGCCCACCGCCGTACTGCGGGGCTGCACTCGAGGTGCGCACGTAGTCGTGGTTGTACTCGCCCGGGTAGCTCTCTTCCACCTGCCTCGCGGCAACGCCGTGGCCCTTGGCGGATAAGCTCGACAGCAGCGACGAGATGCCGTCCGTCGTCACCTGCTGAGAAGCCATGGCTGCGTTGACCGCAGACGCAGCCGGTCCGCTGCTCTTGGCTCGGTCCACAATCGACTTTAATACGTTGATGTCAAAGTTGAGCCCGGCAGGCGCGGGAGCGGGCGCAGAGCTAGCGGAAGCCTCGCTGGAAGGTGCCTTCGATGCCTTTCCGCCCATCAGCGGCCCTACTTTCGAGAGCAGGGCACCGATGTCGGCTTGCGACGGCACACCGCCATCACTCCCGCTCGCTGCGCCAGCGTCGGATGTGGATCCTTCCGCCTTGACTTCCGGCATGCCTGCTTCCTCCGCATACGCATAGTCCTCACCGCCCGTCACGTCGGCCTCGCCCATCCATGGCGTCGGAATCTCCACGCTCTCTGCCCCCTTGAGCTCCTCAGGAGTCTCCGAGGTCGTTCCCGGACGCTCCAGCTGGCTTTCATCAGGGCTCGTGGGCGCCTCGCCCTCGGCGTACACCACCTCTTCCAGCTCCGCATGGCGTCGCGTCTGGAATGGCCCCTCGACCGATTCGCTGCCCAACACCACTTGCATCATCTCGGGTACCTCCACCTCACGCGGCTCGTACCAATCCGTCTGCGCTTCCATCGTGCTGAACGACTGGCGCAGCGCATCTCCCTCGTCGTGCTCCACCCCTTCCAATCCTTTCTCCAGCAGCTCGGCGTGCTGCGCATCGTCCTGCCCATAGTCGGCAGGCTCGATCAGCCTCACCGCCACCAGCTCGCTGTCCTCCTTCCACGTCACCCGCTTCTTCACCTTCTTCTTTTCTTGCGTGCCAGCCTTGCCTTCCGCTTCCTTGCCAGGTCGTCCCGCTGCTCGACTGGCGCTGCTGTTGCTGCCGCTGTTGCCCCCGCTGAGCGTACCCAGGAAGTTCATCACACTCTGGCCCGCGCTCATCCTGTTGGCACCCGTCGCGCCAGACGACACCTTGCTCGAGGCCGCAACAGGCTTCTTCATGCTGTCGGCTCCGAAGAAAGACAGGCCCGGCTTGGCGCTTGCAGACGACGATGACGCCGGCTTGGCCGTCTTGGCGGTCCCGGCGGCAGTGGCCGTCGTTGATGTGGCCGTCTTGTACCGCTTGGTGCTGCTTTCGCTCGTGCCAGCCGCATCCGAAGGCTTGCGCTTGACAGCCGCTGAGCCCGTGGATGCGGCCGGTGGGCTTGCCTTGGACGACGACGTCGACGTCGAGTCTTCGGCCTCAATGACTTTGGTCCATTTTATTTTCAGACTCTCGGCGAGTTTGCGTGCGCCGGGGTCGACAGCGCGCAAAGAGACGCCCGTGATCGCCTTCCCCAAACCGGCCTCATCGGTGAGATACGCCTTGCGCATGGGCACATAGTCTAGGATGGCGAGCAGCGGCAGCAGCGTGTCTCTATAGCGTCGGCTCAAGTCCGGAGCGCCTTCGGTCACCTTCTTGGGCGGCACCGTCTGGCGCAGCCAGGTGGACAGGATGTGTCGGCCTGCGGGGCTCGCCATCCATGCGCCGAAAAACTTTTTGCGTCCTGTCTCGGAGAATCCCTTTCCCTTTTCGAGCGTCGCGATCGCATGCAGCGTTTCCACGAGCGACTTGCGCACTTCGGCACCCGTCGAGACTGGTCTGCGGAATCTGCCCTCGGCATCGAACTCGCACAGGATCTTGGTCAGCTGTCTCGCCGAAGTAGTGGGGTCGCGCTCGACCGAGAGCCGGCCAAGCGGTTGTTTTGCCTTGGACCACAGCACGCCGTCGGCTGTCGCCAAGGGCTTGGCGGCGTTGGGTTGGGCGGCAGCCGTATCCGTACTCGCGCCGGAGGAGCTTGCTGGCTTTGCCGCCATGACTCGTGCTGGCGGCAGCGGGGGTGTGCGAGGTTCTGTGCTGGATTCGGCCGAGCCAGATGTTGTGGGGTGGGGGTTGGACGATGTCGACGGGAGCGGTTGCTGCCCTTCCATGCTGACCGACTGGGCAACACCAAGAAGCGAGGTGAGCTTGAGTTGCCGAAGCTTGGGCTTCTTCTTCTCACCGGACGCATCAGCTTCAGAGGAAGCCGGGGTGGCTTGCAGACTCGTCGTGGACCCTGCAGGCGTTGAAGAGGCGGCCGGCGTGAAACGCAGCGCGTCTGCCAGAGAGTGCCCGGACTGATCGCCGTAGTTATCGTGAGGCGGTTGTGCTGCGCCGTTGTACGCCGGGGGTGCCGATGCAAACGAGGAGGGCTGATACGACGCCTGTGATACCGGAGCAGCTCCTTGCCACTGGGGCTGATGCTGGTGGGGTGCTTGAGAGAGCTGCTGCGTCGCTGCCGGGAAGAAGTTTGCGGGCTGCGGAGCGGATGCTGAAGGATGCAAGATGGCTTGCATGAGCATGTCCGGGTGAGCATTCGGATACATGGCCTGCAGCTCGCGCATCATGTTGGCGTCGAGGGTGGATGGCTGGGCTGGATAGCTGCTCGAAGCCTGAGGCGCCCCCGAAATTGGTTCTGCGTTGAATTGTTGGAGATGATGTGATGCCATCACTTGCTGCTGCTGCTGCTGCTGCTGCTGCTGCTGCTGTTGCTGCTCGTAATGATTATATGGCGGCTGCTGTTGTTGCTGTTGTTGTTGCTGCTGCGCGTCTTGAAAGGCATGGAAGGTCTGTGTACCTTGCGCACCGATCGGCACCATGTCGCCATTGGCAGACTGCCAGGCCTGCTGCATGGACCAAGCGTCGTAGCTCGTTTGCGGGTCCATGCTGGCGTCGTTTGACTGGGAAGCGAGAGAACTGGCGTGTGCAAGGAGTCAAGTGGGAGACAGGAGTCAGTGATTGCCTTTCACACAAAGCTATCAAAATTGGACCAGTAGAAGTGATTCTCAAGAGGCAGCGACAATGACATTGGCCTCGAAAGGGTCATAGTGGCGAGAGGAGACACTATGAAGCAGAAGAATGGCGGGGCAGCGGATGCGCAACTTGACATGCAGGGGCGCGCGGAAAAAAATCGGCAATGTTATGCCATCTTTTCGAAATGCAGAATTGGATTTTTTTTTTCGGCTTGGACAGCGAGCAGCGCGCTGCGCTCCTTTGTCCCGCCAAAGCGACTGCGCCCGCGCTTCATCTTCGTCCACCCCTGCTGCTGCCCTCCTTTGCCCTGCTGCTGCGAGTTGGGATTGGCAGCTTCGAATACAAAATTTCGAAACTTTGAACCGCGGTGGTGGGTCTTCAAATTGGGCTTTGAAATTTTGAATTGGGGCACCCGTCAGATTTCTCTAGTCAACTGTTCGGCCCGCAAAGCAGGCCGGCTGATCGCTCAAAGCCTTGCAGCAGGCGACCTTGGCCGGCTGGCTGTTTGGCTGGCTGGCTGGCTGGCTGGCTGGCTGGCTGGCTGGCTGGCTGGCTGTTTGGCTGTTTGGCTTGTCTGCTCGTCGGCGTTTTGCAGACCCGTTCATGCGCAGCTGATGCTACGCTCTTAAGGTCGTCATCGCCGCTACTATCGAGCATGGTCATGTTTTGGCAATACTTACCCTAGATGATGGGATGGCCTTGTGGATTTGTTGGCGGGATGGACACGCCTGTTGAGTCTTGCGAATGGGGCGGCCGAGTCGAGGTGAATGTCCCTTTGTTCGGTTGGGCCGTGAAGGAGTGGAACGAGAGCGATCCACTCAAATCGGTGCGTCTCTGGCTCCTCGGCCCAAACGAATTCAGAGAAGGGAGGTTCGTCGACAACTGCTCAATCGTCTCGGTGCAACACACAAGAGCCGTAACGCTGGTGCTGTGAGCAACGACGCTGGGCTGAGCGGCGACGACAGACGTCCTCTTTCACCCCGTGTACTACAGACTGGAGGTCGAGATGCACTTGCTTGGCTCCAATCCCAAAGCGGATGCAAAGTCGAAGCGAGTGACAGTAATTCCAGAAGGCGATGCAAGCCGTGCGTCTGCAGACGTGCAACGGTGTGTGACACCAACTTCTGGCCGTGGTCGACGACAAGCAGCAGTGGGTATCCTTCGCTGTATGCGAGAATGCTCTGACGGCCAGCTGTGATCGACCCGGAGTCCTGCGCCTACGTCTACTCCCAGGCTATGTGTAGGATGAGCGGCAAGCAAGTGCACCTCAACCTTCTGATCCGGTTCAAGACGAGGCGGGAGATATGAAAGGCAATGGAGGTCGAGAAGGAGGCATCTCGGCCTTGCCTGCGCCGAGCTAGTCTCGCGTCGCAACGCACTCGCTCGTCACGGCCCTGCGCCGAGGCTGTTGACCCGCTTGGCAATACACTCAGCACACGCTGCGACTCAGCCACGCGCTGGCCCTTTTTTTTTCTCGGCCGCATTAGCCCACGAGTTGGAATGAAGTTAGGCGCGGCTGTGATTTTGGTGATTTTGGGGTTCAAGTGCCGTTGAAAGGGTGCGAAAGTGGGCGGTGGAAGTGGTTGGCTGCGCTGAAATCACAGGCGCTAATCGGGTTGGCGAGGCGAAATAGTTGATATACGGCAGCCACTTTGGGCGGCTCTAATCAACGCCCGTTCCCTCCTTTCCACCTTCGATTCCGTTTCAAAGTCGGCCACTACTCTATTCTGCCCTTACAAGAAGCTATCGAATCCGTCGGCGCTATTCATCCCGCAGACTACAGTAGCAACCCAAAGCGTTGTTGCCCTTTCAACTCGTTCTATTCCTACGTAGCTTGTGTAAGTGCCCTTTGCGAATGTCCTTGCGAAAGCCCTCGCACCTGGCAAAGCACGACAGTTGTTGTACCTTGAACTTTGTCGTGCTGTCAACCGGCTGTCAAGCTGGCCGCCCAGCTGTCAAAGAAGCGTCGGCTGGCTTCGTGGGGGCTGCATTTGCGGCACAGGAGTGAAGTCGGCCTCGAGGCACACCAGGATGGGATTGACTGCGTCGTGTCCACAGCGCTCGCCAGCAAATGATGCTAGCACTGTGCCTGCTGCGCATCGAGCTCGTTCCAAGCCAGCTCGTCGCCTCGTGTCCACGCCCCTCAGACCTGATGCGACCATGAGCAGTACGAACAGCAATGCTGACCTCGACCTCATCCTCCTTCTTCCTTTCACCTCTTGGTTTCTTCTATGCTGCTCTTGGCAACTGGATGCGCTTGTTGCGATCCTTGGCGGCTACGACGACCGTGCGCTTCCATTTGGCATGCTGCTCGGCTTTCGGTGACCCTGCGGTTTTTGGACGCTGATGTTACGTCGCGTCTTGACCGTGGATTCTCCGCTTCCCCGCGCGTTCGCGCCACAACGTGACGCGCCGCCGCACCGCCTCCACCTTTGGCCGACTCTTCGCGCTCGCCGTTGCTCCTCCGTCCCGACCGCACTGCAGCGCTTGCCCCTTTCTGACATCGTCGAGGTCGCCACTCGGACGATCCGCCCGTTTTCGCCATTGACATCGCAGCCGCGTCGGACAGCGACGTGCATACGCCGCCCACCATCTTTGCCGACATGAACGCCGCCAACTTTGACCAGTATGGTCTGCTGTCGCATCAGCACGCGTCACATCACCACCAGCAGCAGCCGCATCACCAGTTCAACTCGGCGCTCGCCCATTCGGGTGCACAGGGCGATGACATTTTCATTGCACGACAGACGGTAAGTGCGATCCTTGATTCCAAGACGAGAGGGATTAGTTTGGGCTGACTGGGATTTGATGTGGATGATCACAGATGTTTGATGCGGTGAGTCGGTTGTCTGCGCAGCTGCGGCATGCGGCCGATTCGTGCGATGCATTCGTCAAGGTGGTTGCGCGTCAGAATCCGAACGTCGCCGCTTTAGTGTTGGCGCAGCAGGGCAATGTGTCGAGTGCGGGTGGTGCAAGTGTACCGTCCACATTTGACTTTCTCAACAACATTGCCAACGGTTCGCATGCGGTCAGTACAGCTGGAGCCGAGACGGCAGCTGCGGCAGGAACGGGGGGAGCGAATGGGAAGGAAGCCAAGAAGTTGAGCAAGTTACAGAAGCGCAAGGAGAAGCGACTTCGCGATCCGGATGCGCCCAAGCGACCTCCGAGTGCCTACCTGCTGTTTCAGAACGAGGTGCGTCAGGAGATCCGCAAGAAACATCCCGGTCTGCCGTACTCGAGTGTGCTGCGCAAGGTGTCCGAGGCATGGAAGGAGTTGACCGACGAACAACAGAAGGTGTATCACGATAAGACCACCGAAAACATGGTCACCTGGAACCAACAAAAAAAGGAACACGAAGCCAACATGAACCCCATCTCCCTAGACCCCTAAAACCCCCCCGAACCCCCCTTGCGATGCATGTACACTACGAATGCGATTTTTTTCTATACCGTCCCACCCGTGCTCCAACCGTTACCGTCGCGTCAAGGCTGGTGTTTGTTGGGAGAAGAAAAAAAAGTTGCCATTGTCCTTTAGAAGGCGCGTGCATGCGGTGGAAAAGACGCACCCATCAAAGCGTATGTGTGTGTGTGTGCGGAACCAAAAACGAGTGTATGTATGCTTGGAAGCGAATAAACAAAAGATGCCATGAATCAAAAACAAAAGACGTTCCGCCTAGACAAAGGGGAAAGAGTGAGGAAAGAATCGAAGCACTGGAATGAAGTGGGTGCGAACCGGAGCATGGAGCATGTGGGGTTGTTTGAGGGCGCACGACTTAGAGAAGGTAGGCGCCCGCCATGACAGCGACGACCGAGGCGGCGATGCCGACAGCCGAGCCGACGAGCGACGAGGCGCCCGACGAGGAGCCGCTGGAGCCCGAGCCCGAGTTGCCGGTAGAGGCGGAGCCCGAGGCGGAGCCCGAGTTGGAGCCCGAGGCGGAGCCCGAGTTGGAGGCACGGCCGGTGGACGAGGCGCTCGAGGCCGAGGCGGAGCTGGACGAGGCGACGGACGACGACGACGAGGGGACGATGGACTTGATGCCGTTGGAGATGGTGGCGGTGGTCCTGCAGTTGGAGGTGGACGGGGTGGAGTAGGCGCCGGTGGGGGTGACCTGGTCGGCGGCGCCGTTGGTGTACGAGTAGGTGGTGCCGCCAGCGACGTACTCGCCGGTGAAGAACTGCTTGAAGGTCGAAGTCTGGCCGTTGGCCTCGGGGTAGAGACCGGGCGGGTAGGCGGCGTCACCGTCGCACGTCTCAAAGACGTTGTCGGCGTAGTTGCCGGGCATGACAAAGTTGCAGCCCATGACGTCGAGCTCGTGCTCGCACTCGAGCGCGGTGGGTGCCTGCTCGGAGCCGGCGATGCAGATACGGAAGCAGAGCTGGTTGTACGAGACGTAGTTCATCCACTCCTCGTAGAAGACGTCCTCGCCCGAGACGTTGGAGGTGACGTTGCCGCCGACGGGGTTGCCCATGTTGGTGGCGCCGTGCGGGTCGAGCTCACCGCCCTCGTCGCCGGCAACGAGACCGATCTTGGTGAAGTCACCGAGCGCCATGAGCTGGACGTAGAGGGGGGTCTTGACAAAGTGGGCACCGGTGACGGTTCCGTCGGGCTGCGCGCAAACAACAAATCAAGCAGGGTTAGCAAGAGGCCCAACATGGAAACTGTTGCGCAGGAATCGGGATGCTTACGATGACACGGGCGTTGTTACGGGGCTTTGTGCAGTAGGCGACGGTCTCGCCCTCTACGTTGCCGATGATGGTGCCGGGCACCTGGGGGCCGAAGGTGCACCAGTCGTCGATGGAGTTGAGGGTGGCGAGGCGCGAGTCGGAGGTCTGGTTGATGGGGGTGTTGAGCTGCGGGGCGGAGGGGTTGGTGGGACCGTTCCTGTTGGTGCCCTTGACGCCTGGGTAGTTGGCGGAGGGGGTGCCGTAGCGGAAGGCGGGGACCGACTGGGCGGAGGCGCCAGCGGCGAGGGCGACGAGGATGGCAGCAGCAGCCTTCATTGTGATGATCCGAATACTCCGATGTGGTGGAAGAAGAGAAGGAAGCAAACGAATGGATGGAGACTAAAGAGTCTGCGAGAAGGGAGCGCAAAGGGATGGTGATGGTGAGGAGGCAAGGATGGGAAGAGGCGGGATGAGAAGATGGAGAGGGGCGGAGGTCGAGTGAAGGCGGAGTGGGCGGTGTGGGCGCGGATAGGGGTTGTTGGAGAGTGTGGCAGCGCGTGTGTTTGCTTTGGCAAGCTTCGAGCGTGAAGCTCCCAGGCTCGGTGGGCTGCAGCGCCGGTTGGCGATGAAGCCAATGCCCAAATGAAGGCGGTGCAGCTGAGGTTCACCGTCGGGATTCAGCGGTGAGCGGTGAGGGGGGCCGACGATCGATTGGGCGGCGGGCCGTGGCGAAGCGCCGTTTCATCGCCCGCCCGCCCGCTCCGCCTGGCCGCTGTTACCGCGCGAATCCGCCGCCTGCTGGCCTGCCAAGCCCTCGCGTCTGTCTCGCAAAAAAAAGAAAACAGAGATCTCGCCTCGCCTGGCCGGCTAGAGCAACACTTTTCTTGCGAAGCGCCAGCGGAAATTTCAACTTTTCGCAGCGCGCACTGCTGCAGAGGTGCACGCGCGATGCCAGAGCCCTTGTGCATGACCGAGCCAGCTGCATGGGCGTTCGGAATGGAGGTGCGAGTGATGCAGCCTCGCAAACGCGCGCGCGTGTGCCCAGTCGGCGCTTCCGCTTGCACTCGACCCCTCTGCAGGCGTGTGCTGGCCTAATGCAACCGCACGCACCGCACGCACCGCACGCACCGCAACGCACCGCACGCAGCCGGCGTCCATCCGAAACGCACCGAATCCTTCGTCGCATTCTCATCCATTGTCTGCCAGCGGAGGGGGGCCGAGCGTCGGTGCATCCATCTGCACAGCGCGCATCGGTCGTTTCAGAGGCTGACGCTTGTGTTGCGGGCGCCACACACCCCGCCCGCGCTTGGTGCTGGAGCGCGTGCATTGCCTGCCTGACACCTCACTTTTCTCGCCATCAACGTGGCGTTCGCCTTGCCCCCGAAGCTTCGCTCGCATATCGGCTCTTGCTAGAGAAGATGCGCCCGGTGCTTTGCATGCACAAACACGCCAGCCATGCCGTCTATCTTTGCTCGCCTCTTTTTGAGCACAGTTTTCGAGCCTCCTTTTTGAGCTGCCATTTCTGTCTCACTTTTTTTTTCTCTTCCGAATACCACCTCAGGGTCCTGCATCAGCAGCGCATCTTGATCATCTTCGCTCTGCGATCACATCGGACATCAAATGCATTGCCATATCACAGTTTGCTCCGTAGCGATGCATGGCGTGGTGACGAGTGCTGTCGCTGATCTGCACTCGCCTGTCTGTGTCGCTGCGTGGGTGTAGCTGTTGTAGCTGGCACCTGCAGAGCGTCTTCTGCGGGCTCGGCTCGAATCGACTCCCTCCTCCACTCGCGATGCACGAGCGTGCTCGGAGCCACGCCGAACTGGTCGTCGATCCCCTCGAGCCCCCTCTCCTGGACGAGCATCACCCTGGCAAGCGCATAGTGATGGATAGCATGCAGCCCACAGAACCACAGCTCCCTGCCCACGGTGCTATCCATCTCCACCACGAACGGCGTCGTGGCACAAAGTCGCAGTGGCTGCGTATACAGCTCGCCCTTGGACGCTGCAAAGATGCGGTGGAGCCGACTGTTGGTTCGTTCGAATTCGCGCAGCGACGCCGCTGCTGACGTCTCGATGTGCGCGACCTTGGACGAGATGCGCGAATCGTAGTCGACGCGAAGCACGCCAGACGCGCGGATTTGCCACGCTTCGATCGAGTCGAGCAGGATGCGTAGGTGGTCGAGCACGTGTCGGAAGTGTTTGCCTGGTGTTGAACCGGCGATCACGCGGCTTGAGAATGTGTAGGATGCATCGTCGATCGCACCGGAGCGCAGGATCTCGATCGCTTGGTCGAGGATCTGCGCTGTGCATGAGACGATGTTCTCCTCGGCTTCTTGCCATGTGGACGCCGTGCGCACCATGTTGATCACACCTCTTGCTCGTTAGTAGCGCCGAAGGATGTATGAAAGAGTCGGATGGCAGAGTCGAGGGGGTTAGCGGTGGAAGCGTGAAAGACAGCTTGGCCTCATGCAAGTGTGCAGGGTCAGGGTGTGGGGCCGACTCAGCCGCGCATGCACGGCACACCCGCGCCCCCCAAAAAAGTCGTAGCCACGCCTCCTTGCTGCTGCCAAGCTGCGCCGCCCAATTTTCGGAATTCGGCTTCTCCCTTTCCTTCTTGCGCAGGTGGAGGTTTTGGCGCATCCTCGACCCTTTCTTGGCCCCCTTTCTTCTCATCACCTTGACTGGGAGGATGTCGGACCAACCCGCACTGAAGCGGCCATCGGAGCCATCCGACATGGCATCGGGATCGACACCGACAAAGCGCTTACGATCCGATGCGTCTCCTGCTGCCGCTGCAGCATCCTTGCTGGAGGCATTCGGCTTGTTTCGCGACGAGATTGACGACTACAACGACCGACGCGAACGTCTGATCAAGACCTCGCGCGACGTCACCAGTCTCTCGAAAAAGGTCATCTTTCTCCTTCACCGCTTCGACGTTCGCGACTTTGCCTCCACCCCTTCACTTGCTACGCAAAAGTTGCTCGAAGAAGCCGAATCCAAACTCAACCACATTGTCGGCGTGCTGGAACAGGCAGCCAAGGCGGAGGAACTTGCCCTGCCAGAGCGTCACGATCGTCACGAACGAAACATTGGCGGCGGACTGGAAGAGTTCATAGAAGCTCTGTCGTTCTATCACTACCTTGAGACTACAAACCTCATCACACTCGAACAGATTCAAGAACGGTTTGGAGATGTACTCAAGGTTCCGATCCATCGATATCTGCTGGGTCTGTCGGATTTGACGGGGGAGTTGATGCGGTTCGCAACAAACGCTGTTGGTCAAGGCGATACAGGCAAGGTAGTGCAACATGTACTAGGCATCACAAGATGCCTCCATGATACCCTCGACCCTTTCATCCCCCTCGTCAACGATCTGCGCAAGAAACAGGCCGTCACCAAACAGAGTCTCCAGAAAATCGAACACAGTACGTCCCTCCCCATCCCCCTCCGAATCAATCCACGCAAAGATTTCCCAAGACTCATCCGAATTGTCGAGACAGTCCTCTATGCTATCACCGTTCGCAAGGCAGAATTCGCAGCAGATCCAAAGGCTCTCCAAGAAATGCTCCGAAGATCCCTCGATTCATCCGCCCCACCACCTACCGACCAACTCTAGCAAATATCAACCCCACAATCGTGCGTGCAAACGTGCAGAAAGACTGTGTGCATTATAACCCAATGAGCGTAACTATCAAACCCCAAAACCAACCCCGAGATACTGTGCAATCGCATCGGCGCATCCGTCACGCCGGGTCCAAAGGCATTCCGGCGCGCAAAGCGAGCTTGGCATACTGCTGCTGGATCACCGACCCCAGCTCGCCTTCCTCGTCGGCCTCTTCGTCGCTCGCGTAGGCGCGCACCGGGCGTGTTCGCGAACCGCGCGCACACACGCCGTAGCCAAACGGCTTGACCGCATCGCCCACCGCCGTCGACGGCCGCGTGCCGCTACCGCTGCGCTCGCTTCGGCTGCTCTCGCTCGTCCCCACCCGTCGACGTGATGCTGAGCCCGAACGCGCCCTTTTGCTCGACACCTGCGTGCGCGGCAACGACGCCCGCGCGCTGCTCTCGTGCCCGAGCACCGTGCCCAGATCGCTCGAGCCATCGTCCGCATCGCTGCTGTGCCGGCTCGACGCCGTGTTGCCGCGCGCCGTACGCGGTCGCCCGTCCTCGATGAGGCTCGAGCCGCTGCCGTTGGAGTCGGCGCCGCGCGACGCAACGGCTCGATCCTGCGCATCCTGCTCCACCGTATTCAGAAACGCAAACAGCACGTCATCGTCCGAGGCCGGCGCGGTCGGCGCGGTCGGCGTCCGCCGCGGCTCCGTGTCGCCGCTGTCCAGCCCAAAGTCGCGCGGCATCACCGTCATCTGCGAGGTGATCGAGCCCGACGGCGAAAGCGACGGCGACGAGGCGTTTGGCGCCGTCTTGGGCCGCGGCGTGCGTCCCTCCTGCGTCCTTGGCTCGGTCCGCAAGAACGCCATTCGCGCCCCTCCGACATGCTGCATCCCGCTGCCCAGCACGTCGTCGTCCGCGACACGTCCTTCCGCACTGCGCATCCCGCTCCGTGGCGCTGGCGACGATCCAGAGGATGCCGCGTCCGACCCGGCTGACCGGATCGCCGAGGACGCGGTGGCCGGCCGTGAGAACGACTCGTGCAGCTGCGCGTGCCGCCCGCCGAGCCTCGCCGCGGCCGTGACGCTGTCGACGTCGTACACCTCCTTGCTGTTGAGCGCCACGCGCGCCGTCATGGGCGGCGAGGTGACAAACGTGCGGCGTCGCTGCTCCTCGATCGCCGAGCTGCTCTTCTGGCGGGCGATGGTCTTGTCCTCGCGCACCAAGCCGCCGACGAGGTCGGGCCACGCCTCGTGGCTCGCTCGACCCGGTCGATCGGCGCCCTGAGCGGTGCTCGAGCCCGCATCGTCGCGGTGGCTGGAGAAGGAGACAAGCGAGCCGCTGATGGCGCCGCGCGGAAGCGCCACCATCTCGCGGCTCGGGCTGGAACCCAACGACCTTTGATCGCCCGTGTTTGGCCGCGACGAGCCCGCCGAGCCGAGCCGGCGCGAGTAGGCGGGTGCAGGGCCATGCTGCGGAGTGGACGCAGGGGGTGGCACGAGCGTGTTGCGCGAAATGATGGTGACACCAGCGTGCTCGGCGTGTGGGTCGGCGGCTACGTGGCCCGCCTCCATCTCTCGCATCTGCTGCTGCTGTGTGTTGGCGCCGGACAAGGGTGTGCGCGGCACGGAGCGCAACGACTGGCTCGACATGGAGCGCGACTTGAGCTTGGGCCCGAACTCGCCCTCGACGTAGAAGGCGAGCGAGTCGTGCTTGTCGTGGTCGCGCTTGTTGCGTGCGTCCGCCTCGGTGGCTTCGGCACGTGCGTCCATTCCCGGGTTGGAGCTGGATCGGCGGTCGGGACGGGCGAAGCCGGTGGTGTCGCGGTGCTCTTCGGCCCAGGCGGGAAAGTAGGATGGGGGCCGGTTGAGGTTGTGCGGCGCCAGCTCTCGCGTCTGGCGCCATGCGCGCCTGAAGATGCGCCCGGCCATGGAGCTGGCCACGGCGACGCTGGCGACGATGTTCATCATGCGGTAGGCATAGGTGTCGGTGAGAACATAGACGAGCAGGGCCGAGATGAGGAAGAGGAACTGGATGGCGAAGAAGGCGGTGGTCTTTTGGACGAGCATGGTCTTGACGTCTTCGGCGTCCAAGTTGTAGCGGCTGGAGGGAAAGATGCCGTGGACGAGGCCGCGCCAGCCGGCCTTGTTGAGCTTGCAGACGGTGAGCACGAGGCAGAGGAGGTCGAAGAGCAGCAGGGCGCCAAAGACACCGACGACGTAGAGGCCGTTGAAGTGCCAAGCGCAAAAGTTGGAGGTGGGCAGCTGGTTGCCGTAGCTCATGACGGGGAGGAGGACGGCAAACGAGACGACGATGAGCCAAGCCGAGACGACGAGCGAGACGACCTTCTGCTTCATGTGCCAGATGGAGCAGGTGCGGAGGCAAAAGACGAGCATGGTTGCGCTGATGGCGACGCTGAACATGGCGGTGCTGCCCTTCATCCAGGCGTCGCATCGGTTGGTCATGATTACGCTGTTGGTGACGACGGTGATGAGCCATGCGAGACTCATGTAGCGCGAGAGGAGGTAGGCGACCGAATAGAGGGCGGAGAAGCTGCTGGACCACGAGGTCTCCTTGACGAGGCGGAGGTCAAAGTGGATGGTGGAGACAATGTCCCAGCCGAGAGCGCCCATCCACATGGAGAAGTAGATGAGCGCGACGATGGCGGCGTGTGCGCTCTGCGGGTTGACATGGCGAAAGATGTTGTCGCTCGAAGGGTTGACCACGAAGATCTGGGGCACCGAGGAGAGGTTGACGGGAAGAGCGAACTGGGTGCTGTTCAGGTAGGTCTGAGCCAGGGGCGACGAGGCTGCGCTCGAGTTGAGGTACAGATTGGCATAGTCTGAGGCGTGTTGATCGACGAGCGAAGCCAGGCTGATCTGGAAGCCCATGCTCGGCGGTGTGGAAGCTTGGAGGATGGGGGAGCGACTCGGTGGTGCGTTTGTCGCGTCGGCAAGAGCGACGACCGAGGCAAGCTGGGTCAGGAAGCTGGCATGTAGAGAGGCTGCGATGCAGCAATGAACAAGATGGCCTCGGAGATTATGTGGCGTGGGCGGGCTACTCTAGCCGCTCACGAGTTGTCGGGGCGAGGTTGCTTCTAGGACAGGGCGTCGTGCGCCTCAAGTATGCTGCAGCAATGTGTGGGCTTTTGGTTGCATGGACTGGGCGATGCGGATGTTTGCGCTTGACCCGCGGCTCTCGAGGGCAAGCGCGTGTGGCGAGCAGCAAAGCTTTGAGAAGACGAAAGGCGGGGCCGTTGCAAATGAAGATGAAAGCAAAGCCGGTTGAGCTTCCGAGAAATGCACCGAGTATATTACCGCAGGTGGGCGACAAATGATGTTGCCAAACGAAGGAGCAAACGGTGGGCAATGGTGGGATGAGCGGAATGGCTTCCGCCAGGATGGTCGAGACGATGGAGATGGTGGTTGACGGAGGAGCAGCTGACGAGGTCGCGAGGTCGTGACGGATGCCGAAGCAGAGACAGCAGCCGAGTGGAAGCCAAGCCTGCGGGATGCGGAAGGGTGCGCGTGCTGTACCGCAGCGCAGCGTGCAGTCAGGGTGCTGCTGTCGGGGGCCGCTGACGGGGGCCGCTGTCGCGAGGACGAGGATCGCTTCCGAAACCCAGACGGACGGTCCCAGGCTAGACGCGCTGAGACACTCACGGCTCAAGCGAGGCGGCGACGAGGCTGAGCGAGAGAGCAGCGTGAGATTTTGCAATGTGCCGAGCCGAGCCGAGCCGATAACTCACTGTCCAGCAGGATGAGAGGGGGCCAAGCGAGATGCGAGATGCGAGGTGGAATGCGAGGGATGCAATGATTGCAGGTGGCAACCTGCAGCACACCGCAGCGCCCCCAGGCTTGGCAGAGGCGCTTCTGCTGGCTCGCTCGCTCGCTTTCGCCGGCGAAATCCTGGAATCCTGCTCTGGCGCCTCCGCAGAAGGCCAGGATTTTTGCCGCGCCGCCGCTCCTGCCGCCCCGCCCCTGCCGCTGCTCGGATCCTGCCGTCTCTGTCGCGTATGGGCCGTCGTCGGAGGTTGCGACGGTGCCACGCAAGCCAGCCAGCCAGCAAGCAGCGACTCGGAAGAGCCGAACGACGGATGCCGCCAAGAATGTGACTTTGGAAGGGGCCATGACGGGCGCCGCATTTCACTCGACTGTCGACGGCGAGCCAAAAAATCTAGCGGTTCCGTTGGCGAGGCGAGACGAGGCGAGGCGAGGCGCGGTCACTGTAATCGGCGTGGCGCATCGGCGGCGAGTTTAGGCGGACCGCAGAATCCCGAGAGTGCGCGGCTTCTCCGACACCGCAGCCGCCGCGCTTTTGGTTGCGTGCGAAGGCTGTCGGATAAAAGCGTCGGCGAACAATGTCAATCGGACGAGCCGGCCACGACGCGACCTCGCGCCGTCATGTTTCGGACGGGCGGAGCGTTGATGCGTTGCGATCCAACTCGACGTCCGCACCTGGCTTGGGAAAGCTGAACCACCGTCGCTGGGACAGTGCAGTCGGACCTCGAACCTTGGGATCCATGCGCTTGGCCCACTCCGGCTTGCCTTTGCCGCTCTCTCAAGTTAAGCTCTGCATCTCCCACTCGCCCACTCCCACCCGCAACACAACAAGCTCCGGAACAAACTGAGAAAGTTTAAGAAGAGGAGCGTGCTTCGTTAGCAGTGCAGCGTCTGTTGCCCTCTCTGCGCCGAGCCTCGTTGCTGCACTGCCACGGTGGCAGCTCGAAGGGCGGAGCTGGATTTTTCTTCTTTTGGCGGGTCTGAGTTTGATTAGGGAGCTGTCATGTTGCTCATCCCTGCTTCGACTCTGCACAGCATCCGGCGGGATCGCCATGATGCTCTCCACGCCCATTGCCACGCTTCACCACCACCAACCCGATCTAGCACCAGCAGCAGCGGGATTCTTCGAGCGTCAAGGCGACACTGCTGCGCAAGCGCGAGACGAGGCGGCATTGCGCAGCAGCAGCAGCAGTCGCGTGCACAGTCCGCTCGCCAATCCACGCTAAGAGCGGAGAAAGGACACTTGACTGCACGCTACTGCAAAAATGGATCTGCGCTGGGAGCCTCTGCTCGGATCGCACGCCTCCGACACTCTTCCGCCTGCGTCAGCAGAAATCGGTCAGAAATACCGGAGCGGCCAGGAAAAGGCCTAACAACATTCCAACATTTTCGATCTCCCGATGTTGGAGCGTAAGGACGACCGATGAGATGCGACTTTCCGTAATTTCGAGCGGTGGCCAGAAGCGAGCCTTGCCCCGCACTTTTGCCGGCGTCTGTGTTTTTCGGCCCATACGGCCGCAACCCCGCAGCCCAGCGGGCGGATCTTTGCTCCTTCTTGGTTGCAAGCCAAGGCCAAACCAGCACCAGCACCAGCCAGCCAGGCACCGGCAGCCAAATAGGCCCTTAACCCCGCATACCGGCCTCGCAGGTTGCCGGGACTGCCCTTTGGTTGCCGGCATCCACGCCTTCCTGCTCACCCCCGCACATACTGCCACATTCGGACGACGATACCGGCGGCCGCCACCACATCGTATTCGCTAGCTCTTTGGAGCTTATAAGCGTCTTGCTCCCACCACCACGCCCCACCACGCCCCACCAAGAGACACAGCTTCTCAACACTGCGATCAACGTGGCATCATGAGTCAATCCGAAGCCTCCGCCAGCGTGTCACTCGGGCCGTTCACCGTGTACGACCGCAAGGCGGGCGTGTACGCTTCTCGGCTGCCTCCGCCCACCATCCCTGCCGAGTCGGTCTTCGAGTACTGCCTCGGCAGCGTGAGCCTCGACGACCAAGGCACCGCCATCACCGAGTGCGCTACCGGTCGCACTATCTCGTAAGTCGTCCGGCACGTCTGCGTCACCATCGACCCGCCACTGACTCTCCCGTTCTTCCTTCGAGTGCAGATATGGCCAGCTTAAGCTCAGGGCACAGCGCTTCGGGCTCGGCCTGGTCACCAAGGCCAAGCTCAAGCGCGGCGACACGGTGCTGGTGGCGCTGCACTCGTCGATCGACTTTGCCGTCTGCGTGATGGCGGCGCAGTTTGCCGGGCTGCGCGTGGCGCTCGCCAATCCGGACTATGCGCCCAAGGAGCTCAAGCACGTGTACAAGCTGGTGCGGCCCAAGAAGGTGATCGTGCACAGCACACACCTCAGCCGCGCCGCGCGCGCCAACCTGCAGACGTTCAACGTGATCCTCACCAACACCAAGCTCGGCCGTGGCGGCGTGCTGTCGATCGACGAGCTGCTTGCGCCGGAAGCCGAAGCGCGCGCAGCCAAGCCGTATGTGCCCGAGGACCTCAACACCACCGCCTACCTGCCTGCATCATCCGGCACGACGGGACTGCCCAAGGCGGTACAGATCTCGCATCGCAATCTGGTCGCCATGCTCGCCATGAACTTCAACACGCCCGGGTTCATTCCCGAGAGTCTGGGGGGCGAGCAGTTGCGTATGCTGAGCTTCTTGCCCTTCTTCCATGCCTATGGGCTGGTGGGGCAGTTGCACCTCATCCTGCGTCAGCGCGGACAGCTGTTCATCCTGCGTCCGTTTACGCCCCAGTCGCTGTGTGCCGCGGTGCAGCAGCACCGCATCAATCTGCTCAACTGCGTGCCGCCGGCGCTGACCAAGCTCACCAAGTACGCAGGCACGACTCGCGCGGCGTTTGCGAGTGTCAAGCGCGTGCGCTGCGGTGCGGCACCGTTGGATGCCGAGACCGAGGCCAAGTTCTCGCGCATGACCGGCGTCGAAGTCAAGCAGGGCTGGGGCATGACCGAGCTCACCCTCGCCGGCTTGGATCCGTCCAGTGGCCAACAGACTCCCGGTTCGGTTGGGTGTCTGATCCCCTCGACACTGGCCAAGGTCGTGGATGTGGAGAGTGGCGAGCCGGTGGAGCCGGGCCAGCGCGGGGAGCTGCTGATCAAAGGCGACCAGGTGTTTTCGGGCTACCTCGCCAACGAAGCCGAGACGAAAGCGTCCTTCACCGCCGATGGCTTCTTCCGCACAGGTGACGTTGTCATCGTCGACGCACGCACGGGCGAGTTCAGCATCGTAGACCGCATGAAGGAGCTCATCAAGTACCAGGGTTTCCAAGTCGCACCCGCGGAGCTCGAAGGTCTACTAGTCACCCAACCCTCGGTCGCCGCTGCAGCCGTCGTGGGAAGGTACGACAGGGAGGCTGCCACCGAACTCCCCTGTGCCTTCGTCGAGCTCTCTCCCAGCGTCAGCGGCCAAGATGCCAAGCAAGTCGTGGCGCAGATCGACGCTTTCGTCAGGTCGAAAGTGTCGCACCACAAGTTCTTGCGAGGCGGTATCCATGTGGTGGACAAGGTGCCGGTGAGCGCGAGCGGCAAGATCCTGCGCAAACAGGTCCGACAAATGCTCCAGCAGCTCGAGGCCGCCCATTCCACCCCACAAAAGGCCAAGCTCTAGCCAGCAATGGAAAATCGTAGTTTGCCTCGTGACATTCCTTCGCGCGTGTGTGTGTGTGTGTGTGGAGTCCGAAGGTGGAAAAGTTGTCCCATTTCGAACGGCAGAATCTAGGTGGACATACGAATGCGATGAGGCAGATCATTGTGGCGACTGAAAGTCCCACCCCTGCTGCTGCTGCTGCTGCTGCTGCTGCTGCTGTTGCTGTTGTTGTGTCTGTGGACTGAAGCCTTGGGGCAGATTCATGCCCTGCGCCTGGAGGTGAGCCATGTACTGGTTTCTGATCTGCTGCTGCAGGTGAGGTGGCAGGTTCTGAAAGTTGGGCATACCCGGCATACCTGGCATGCCCTGCAATGCCTGCATCTGTCCCTGCTGTGGCTGGGGTTGCTGTTGCTGTCCCGGCGACGCAGCAGCTGGAGGTTGAAATCCAAACATTGGCTGTGTGGAGTCCTGCCCCGATGCGGGGCTTTGCCCCTGCAACTGTGACGGATCCAACGCCGACGAAGTCTGCCTCGCCCTGCCACCCGTACTGCCCACCGACCCTGAACTTCCGGGTCTTTGTTGGAACTGCGCCGTGGGCGTGCCCGTCCCCGTCCTCGGTCCAGCGCCCTGCAGCCCAAAGCTCGGACTGGGCTGTCCCGGGCTATTCGAATGCCCACTAACGGGTCTCGCTGCAGGACTCGAAACACCCACACCTCCGTTCGCCGCGCTCGAAGGACTCGCAACCGTCGAGGGTTGTCCTTTTTGTCGCTGAGAAGCTGCGTTTTGGAGCGAGGTCATGTGCTGCAACTGCACCTGCAGAGGCATCGTCTTGAAGCCGGCCATATTCGCCTCCATGTACGCCACCCACGGATGTGTGCCCTGCCCCCGCAGATGCGACTGCAGCGCATGCAGATTCACTAGCGCATTGGGTCCGAAGGCCTGCATCAACGCCTGTGCCTGCGGATTGTTCGGCATGGCCTGCGCAGCCCCGGGTGGGACTATCGGCACCGGAGGCGCAAGCGATAAATCAGGCCCCTTGCCCTGCTCCTGACCCACTTGCGCTTGTTCACCTGACTGACTGGATGGTGCTGCAACCTGTGTATCAGGTGGGTTTGACGAAGGCGTACCAGCCGCCGAGACATCCTGCGAACCGGCACCTCTACTCGGCGCCCTCTTGCGCTCGTCATCCTCCGCACTAGCTCCGCGCGAACGCTTCTTGCCCTCCGCCACCGGCGACTCTCGCTGCGTCGAGCCCAACATCGCAATGAGCTTGTCGTACAGTGCTGCGACCGGCGACGCCGGCACATGCTCGCTGCGCGGGAACGGCTCGAGCTTCGGCAGAGCTGCACTGGGCGCTGCAGGCCGGTTTGAATCCGCATTCTTACCGCTCTTATCCGCGATACCGGCAAGATAGCCCAAATTGGCTTGCAGACGCACCGCCGCCTCGCGGTAGACTGGGTCCGAAACAAGCTGCTTGGCCTGCAACTCGACGCACAGCCGGATGAGCTCCTTGTTGATGCGCAGCAACAGCGCCACTCGGCCCTCCCGTGTGGGTGTGGATGGCACCGACGCTTCCGAGCCTGCTTTCTTTTGCGGTGTGTGCGGTGCCGAGGCAGGATTAGCGGCCGTATCGACGGGTGCAGATGCGGAAGCTGCTGCTTCAGCCGTGGAGTCGGCAGAAGCAGCGGGGACCTGGACGGGGTTGGATGCGTCTGTCGAGGCAGCTGGTGCGCTTTCGCCAGCAGATTGAGTGGCTTCAGCCGGAACTGCAGATACGGTTGTCGGCGGATGCTCGGGCTGCGTCGGCGCTTCCTTGGGTGCGCTCGACGCATCACCCGCCTGCTCGGCTGTGCTTGCGGTACCAGAAGCGTCGGCAGTAGTAGAGCCAGCGACTGGTTCTGGCAGCTGTGCCGAGGCAGGAGCAGCTTCTGGTTGAGGAACAACAGCGGGCGTTGTATCCTTGGCTGGGGCCGAAAGGTCCGCCGTCACTGCCGGCACGACTTGCGGCAGTGCAGTCGCTGTAGTCGATGCTGGCTCCTGAGTCGCGCTGGATGGTGCTTGTGGCGCCTGAGCAGCTTGCTGTGGAGCGTCTGCAACTTGGAGATCTGGTTGAGTGGCTGAAGCTGCGGCCGGCGCAGCTGCCAAGCCCTCAGCGGTGTGCGTGCTCGAGGGTTGCGGCAAGGAAGTAGGCACAGGCTCTATCGATTGAGCGGCTACCTGGGCTGGTGCAGCTTCGGCGGATGGAGGATGTGTGGTGTTGGCGGCAGGCGCGTGCTGCTGGAGTTCTTGCACGTTTGGCTGCTCGACGATCGATGTTACAGGTTGTGTTGGTGGTGCTGGAGCAATTTGTGCTGTGCTGGAGTCGACTGCAGTGGTAGCGGCGAGCACAGGTTGTGATGCCTGCTGTTCGGAGGAGGCCAAAGATGCTGTCTGTGCCGGCTCGGCGTCATGAGTCTGTGGCTGCGACGTGGCATCTGGAAGCTGATCACCAGTCGTGGTGGCAGGAAGCGAGGTCGGCTCAGAGACGGATGGATCCACGACGACATCCGCCGAAGCAGTGGCTGACGGAGCGGCAGTTTGATCTGCTGTGTCCATGGTTGGAAGTGATGACGGTGATGGTAGTGGTGGATGGCGGTCGAGGTTGGGGATGGTGAGGGGTGCGAAGGAACGCATGGAAACGTGGCCAGGGCGCGTCAAAGCCTGTCGAAATTCGCCGGATTGGCGAACCAAAAGGGCGCGCTTCTCTTGCTCGGCTGCCCTGACCATTTGCCAACAGCACCCAGCACGCGGCGGTCATGGTTCGAGCTATTTGCTTGGCCCTCATCATGTCAAGTGCAGCATTCCATCACATCCTTGCGACCTGGGCGTGCACCTCGCTGCACACTCCAACACACACAGCATCTGCATTGGACGTCGTAGAGATAGCAATGAGCGCTCAGGGCAGCGCGTTCTTGGGAGCGGGAGGCATGTTGAGTTGGCGTTCCTTGGTCTTGAACATGCGCTCGTTGTAGTTGCGCACGCGCGCAGCGTAAAACTCGCGATGGAGCGCATAGGTGGCGTGGAGCGGATGTTGCTTGCTCAGCTGCTCCGTAGCTGTGGCTGCTGTGGGTGTGGATGCAGCCGATGGCGCCGCTTCGTTGGGGATGGATACCAAGGCTGAAGATGCCAGCCCAGAGACAGTGGATGTGACGGTGGAGAACACGCTGCCGGCCACCGACATGGCCGAAAAGGGCTTGCTCTCGCTGCTCTTGTCCTTATCCTTGTCGTCCTTGTCCTTCTTTTGCTTGAGCTTGGCCTCGTACTCCTGCTTGATCTTGTCGATCTCCTGCTGGCTCACCTTGTCCGGAAGTCGATCCCCGGAAGCTGCCGCGGTTGTGGCCGCAGTTGTGGCGGTAGTAGAGGCGCCAGAAGGATCCGAGAGCTTGGTCGCAAAGTGTCGATCGGCGAGGTGCGCGTGGCAGACGTACATGAAGTCCTGCGTGGGTAAGGATTGGGATACGAGCACGTGCGTGGTCTGCTTGTAACACACGAAGCACGACTTGGCTGTACCCGCCTGCCGGTGCAAGTACACATTGGCCGGCTGCGATGTGAGATGCAATAGAGCAGGGTTGCAGCGACGAAAGGGTCAGCGGATTGCGTGCCTTCTGGTTCCGGAAGATATGGAACTGCTTACCTTGCCACCGATAGCCGCCATGATGAGCGTGCGTTGTCCCCCTGGCTAAGACCGTGTCGGTGTCTGCCGGGCAGGATGATGCGCTGGTGAGCACCGAGAGGCAACGAAGCCAAGCAGCGCCGCATCCACTCGATATGCACAGAGCAGCTCGCTCCCAACCGCGCACCGAGGTGGAGGCCCAATCGAAATCGGGATTCACAAACGACGCCATCCCGATCCAGAGCTGATGGGCAAAATTCTTCGAGCTCGGCCTCGGCAATTCGCGCGTCGCCACAGCTCAGGGCAGCACAGCGCGGCAGTCGCGCAGAGTATTGAATTCAGGGCCGCTGCGCATCGGCAACCAAAGTCGCCTCGAAAAAGGGTTCGTCCGCCTCCGCAAGTGGAAAAAAAGTGGCCACTTCCACCTCGTCTTCTGTGCTCAGCTTCCCAATCCCACCACCACCATCAACATACTTTGGCAGCGGCAACAAACACCTTCAACACTCAAAACAGTCTGTCTTTGTGTGATTCTGCTTCTTCTGGATTCAGCCTGTTCGACCCACTCGCCCACGTCCACATTCAACTTCTCTCTCTGCTCCCGAATCCAGCTGGCTAGCTGTGCATATCGCCAGCCATGGGTGTCCCCGCCCTCTTCCGATGGCTTTCCAAAAAGTACCCGCGCATCGTATCCTCGGTGCAGGAGGAGGAGAACAAGACCGCTCCCGGCCCCGATGGCACCACCATCACCCTGCCCCTCGACACCTCCACCCCCAATCCCAACGGCGAGGAATTCGACTGTCTATATCTAGATATGAACGGAATCGTACATCCATGTACACATCCAGAAGGCAAGCCCGCGCCTGAGACCGAAGAGGAGATGATGGTCGAGGTGTTTGCCTACACAGAGCGCGTCGTCAGCATGGTCCGTCCGCGCCGCCTCCTCATGATGGCCATCGACGGCGTCGCACCACGCGCAAAGATGAACCAGCAGCGTTCCCGTCGTTTCCGCGCCGCAAAGGAGGCGCGCGAGAAGCACGAGGAGACCCAGGCCGCCCTCGCAGAATGGAGGGCCAAGGGCCTGACCGCCACCGAAGACGCTCCCAAAGAGTCCAAAAAGGCGTGGGATTCCAACGCCATCACCCCAGGCACGCCCTTCATGGACCTCCTCGCCGCCTCGCTACGATACTGGGTGGCGCACAAGATCAACACCGACCCGGGCTGGAAAGACATCCAGGTCATCATCTCCGACGCAAGCGTCCCTGGTGAGGGCGAGCACAAGATCATGGAGCACATCCGCCGACAACGCTCCCACTCCGAGCACGACCCCAACACAAAACACGTCATCTACGGCCTCGACGCCGATCTCATCATGCTCTCCCTCGCCACACACGAACCCTACTTCAAGGTGCTGCGTGAGGACGTCTTTGCCTCGGACAACAAGCCCAAGACGTGCAACCTCTGCGGCCAACCCGGCCACTTTGCCGCCAGCTGCACCGGTGCCGCGCGCAAAAAGTCGGGCGAGCACGACGAAAAGGCGCAGACGCCGCCCGAGAAGAAGCCCTTCATCTTCCTCGACGTCGCCACCCTGCGCGAGTACCTCGAAGTCGAACTCAACATGCCCAACCTCCCCTTCGCCTTTGACCTCGAACGCGCCATCGACGACTGGGTCTTCCTCATCTTCTTTGTGGGAAACGACTTTTTGCCCCACCTCCCCTCGCTCGAGATCCGCGACGGCGCCATCGACACGCTGCTCAAGATCTGGAAGAAGGAACTCCCCGCCATGGGCGGCTACCTCACCAACCACGGCAAGGTCGAGCTCGCACGCGCACAGCTCATCCTCAACGGCCTCGCTTCCCAAGAAGACGAAATCTTCCGCCGCCGCAAGGAGGAAGAGGACCGTCGCGAGAACAACAAGAAACGTCGCGAAGACATGCAGAAGCGCCGCGAGAAGGAGCTCGACGAGGGCAACTTTGGCAACGGCTCCATGGTTCAGGTCATGCAGAAGAAGCGTCCGGCCAACGAGACCGAGAAGCCCGCCTTCAATGGCGTCTCGGCCAAAGATGCACGAGACCAGGCCAACAGCAACAACAAGTCGTACGACCCGCGCAACAAGGCCGTCGTGCTGGGCGGAGACAACAACCAGGTCGTTCGCGACCGCAACGCCGCCAGACAGGCCAACATCGACGCTGCCGAGGCGCTCAAGGCCGAACTCATGGGCACAGACGCCTCTACAAAGCCTGAGGACGAGTCAAAGTCGCAGCCTCCCGTCAAAAAGGTCAAGACCGAAGCAGGCGCCGAAGCTGCCGTCGACGCTTCTCAACAGCCGAGCTCTGAAGAGAAACCCTCGGACGAGGCTGGCGCTTCAGCAGGCATCAAGCGTAAGGCCGATGACGTCGACACCGCTGCCACCGATGCGGATGCAGTGGCAACCGACGATGCCCAAATCAAAGCCGAGGACGACGCCCAAGTCAAGGGCGAGGACGACGAAGCCGACGAAGCCGACGAAGACGAGGAAGACGACGTGGGCAACGAGGACGTCGATCCCGTAACCACCGTCAAGAAGCGCAAGGTCAACGCAGACGGCACCGTCGACTACGAGGACACGGTCAAGATGTGGGAGCCCGGCTACCGCGAGCGCTACTACCGCGAGAAGTTCGGTGTGGATCTCTCCGACACCGACTTCCGCCGCCAGGTGGTCAAGTCGTACATCGAGGGTCTCTCCTGGGTGCTCGCCTACTACTACCAGGGCGTGCCTTCATGGCAGTGGTACTACCCCTTCCACTTTTCGCCCTTTGCCGCCGACTTTGAGGACCTCGAGTCGCTCGACATCAAGTTTGAGCTCGGCGCGCCGTTCAAGCCGTTCGAGCAGCTCATGGGTGTGCTGCCCGCCGACTCGCGTGCGTCGATCCCGCCGGCGTTCCATCCACTCATGACCGAATCCGATTCGGACATCATCGACTTCTATCCGAGCGAGTTCGAGATCGACATGAACGGCAAGAAGATGGCGTGGCAGGGTGTGGCGCTGCTGCCGTTCATCGACGAGAAGCGGCTGCTGGATGCGCTGTCGGACAAGTATCCGCTGCTCACCGACGACGAGGTGCGCCGCAACGGCTTTGGCAACAACACGCTGTTTGTCGGCGACGAATCGAGGCTCTACGAGTTCCTCTGCGAGCAGATCTACGCCAAGAAGCGCGAGGGCGACGACAAGCCGTTCGAGCCCGTGCCGATGAATCCGGCGCTGAGTGGCGGCATCACGGGCTCGGTCAAGCCCGACCCCGTGTGCGTGCCCGGCTCGACGTTCAACTCGCCGCTGACGAGCCAGGATCTGAACGACATCCACAACGATCGCTCCATCTCGGTGCTGTACGACTTTCCCGAGCAGAAGACGCCGCACCGCTCGGTGCTGCTCAAGGGGCTCAAGCCGCCCAAGCGCGTCCTCTCCGCCGCCGAGATCGACTGGGTCAAGCGGGGTAGTCCCGACACGCGCGGACGCGGGCGCGGTCGAGGCGGTCACTTTGGCGGCCCCGGTCGCGACTTCCACCGCAACGGCGCCAACCAGAACGGCAACTCGAACTACAACGAGGCACCCCAGCAGGGCGCCAACAATGGCTTCCGTAACGGCGCAGGCGGCGCGGGTGGCGCAGGTGGCTACGGCGGCGCATACGCCCAGCAGGTGTACCAGCAAGACTATGGACATTACGGCGCCAACAACGGCTATGGCGGCAGTGGAGGTGGCTATGGCGGCTACGGCGCTGCGGGCTACGGCGGCCAGGGCGGCGCGTACGGCGGAGGCTATGGCGGAGGCTATGGCGGCTACGGCTCTGGTGGCAGCGGCGGAGGCTACGGCGGAAGCGGAGGCTATGATGCGTATGCCGGTTACAGCGGCGGTGGTGGAGGCGGATACGGCGGCGGCTATGGAGGGTATGCACCGAGTGCGCCTGCCAACGCACCGACCGGACCGAGGAGGGACGACCGATACGCAGCATACACCGCGCACGACGGCTATGGCGGTGGTCGTGGCGGCGGCGCACGCGGCGGCGGACGCCACGGTAATGCTGGTGGTGCGCCGGCCGCCTATGCGGGTCTGCCCAGCCTGGGCGGTGGAGGTGGCGGTGCGCCAGCCCCAGCCCCAGCCCCATACGGCGGGTACGGCCAAGGTGCTCCTGCTGCTCCGTACGGTGGGTACGGCCAAGGCGGCGGATACGGTGGCTACGGTGGTGCAGGGTACGGAGCACCCCCGACCCAGCCCTCGCGCGGAGGCGGCCGCGGCGGTGGTCGAGGCGGCGGTCGTGGTGGCAACCACGCATCCTACGGCGGTGGTGGAGGAGCCTACGGTTCGTTCTACTGATGGTGCAATCATCTTCTATTGAAACGGTTTAATATCATTCGCATTGTAATCTTGGTCTGGAGAGTGTGCGAGTGGGTGTCGGATCGAGTTTGGGTGGAGGTTTTCGTCGAATCGAGTGGGTGTTGCTCCTGCCGAGGGGACGTTTTGGTTCGGGCGGGGTGATGGTTATGCTGGGCAGGGTGGAGGGCATGGTGTTGCTGCGTCGACGCGGAGTGTCTAGTGAGACCGGGAAAGGTGGGGCGATTTCATCCGCATACGTCCAGTCCGACTCCCAGTTCCATCCCCATCCACTCTGCTGCTGCTTATCCACCACACTTTCCCCCGTGCTCGCGATGGACGAGACAAACGATACCGCCGTACTAGCTGAACTCGACGAAGCTCGTGAAACCGATCGCTGTGTTATTGGCCGCTTTTGCTTTGAAGGTTGGTGGTGCAAGAGCTTCTTGACCCGACTTGTGGCGGTTCGTAGCGACTCGATGGTGCGCTCCCACATGGTCTTGGATATGGACGACTCGACGCAGGAGGGAGGGGGCTTTGTTTTGGAAGCGAGACATTCGAGTGCAGCTGAGACATGCTCGTTCTTATACTCTTATGCACCGCGCTGGCGGCGCGTGAACCCGGAGTCGAGGAGAATACACCGGCCCAAAGCAAGGGGGGAGCATACAGCCCTTGGCCTTGGGCATTGAAGCGACCAGGCGAGGCGATACGATGCAGCTTCCCGCTGCATATCAACGCCACGCGATCGCAAACACCGATGGAGCGCCAGCAACCAGCGCGGCTTTGGGCAGCGAAAAGAGAACGCGGCTTCAGACGGGGAGAAAGGGAAAATAGAAATTGCGCAAAAAGCGGGCTGGCCCGGTGACAACGCCTTTCCCGCTCCTCGAAGAATTTTCCGGCTCTCGCCCCCTCTCCCTCTCTCCCTCTCCTCTCTGCCAAGATTGCCAATTTTCCATGGATAAATATGGCGCGACACGAAATCGGTGCTGATGATCTGCCGTGTCGGTTTCAGATTTGAATATTTAGATTGGCAACGAGGGCGCTCAACATGACAGCTCTGCAGCCTACTGTAAGCAATGGCGACTGAAGACCAACATGCCGTCAGTGGTGGGGAGGAGGGATGCACTGTTCGAGCAGCTTCTTGACCACGAGCTCTGCCAAGCCGAGCTTATCTCGCACTGCATGGAAGAGTCGCTTTTCGAGCGCGATAAGTGTGCACCACGACTCGCGATGCTCGCCCAACACCTCGACCAGCGATCGTACTACCGGCTCGGGGGTGGTTGGAGATGTGGCGAGCTGGGCGAATCGCACGAGCGCCGCGAACTGTTGGATCTCCTTGCGCCGCATGCGCATCTTGCTCTCGGCCTTTTGCCGGTTCTTGCGCATCTCGCGCGTCTCACCCGCCACCACCACCGACGCCGAACTCGATCCGTCTTGCCAGCCGTCGTGGTCCTGCAGCTGAAGCGCAAGCAGCTCCCCCGCAAGCTCGGACGCACTGTCGAGCGCATACTGTCGACGACAGTGCTTGTATGCGCCCTGGAGCGAGGTGACCACCTCGTTCAGCACCGCACGCTGAAGCTTGGTACGGTGGTGGTGCATGGCGATCTTGGCTCGACCTTCCTCTGCCTCGCCATCGTGCTTCGATCCGATGCTGGCGAGGGTGGGTGTGCAGGGCGGAGAGAATGTGCTGCTCGTGGGTGTGTTGAGCCCGAGCGAGAAGTCCGACAGCGCGGGGGAGGCTTCGGCGGGCTCGATGAATGCGTCGCGTGCGGTGAAGAGGCTAGCCAGACCGCGATGAGGCGTGTGGGAGCGCGAGCGCGCCGATAGCGACGCCATACGTCGGTCCACGAGGCTGGCCGATTCAACGGCCTCGGCGGGGAAGATGGAAGTGGCGGTGGGTGCGCGTATGCGTCGGCACGGCATCGAGTTGAACTTTTTCGACGCCGACAGTCGCGGCGATGCCGGAAGCGAGTGTTGCACTCCCGGCGAGGGCGCCCTGCACGCACCGAGCATCCGCACCCTGTCCACCACGCACGACGCCGCACTCGGCAGACTCCCCACAGTCAAAGACCGGCGTCGACTCCCACTAGGCTCGGCCAGGAAGCTCGAGCTCGACGACGCTGTAGAGGCAACGGAGGGATTGCGGTACGGTTCGTAACGCGTGCTGATGGGACACGTGGCGGGCATCGTCCACCCACCCGTCCCTGCGTCGGACCATTCGCTGTACTCGAACACGCTCGGTGGTGGAGCGAGCGTCGACGCGTAAGGTTCGACGGGAGCGAGCACCGAGACTGATTCAGGGTCCAACCACCCCGGCGCGGGGATTGCCACTTGCGTAGCCATGTCCATGTGCGAAGTCGATGTCGCCGTGCGCGTCAACGACGCCGAACACACGCACCCTCGTGCCTGGCTGGGTTGCGTCGCTATCGACGCGTGTTGCTGAGCGTAGGCTTGCGTGGTGGTGGTGTGCGGGAAGTTCGTAAAGTCAAAGGCGCTTGCAAGGCCCTGTGCGGGAGCGGCGAGCATCTCCTGATACGCCGTCTGCTTGTTCGGCTCCACCAGACTGTCCGTCTCGATCAGAGACAAGTTCGTCGGTGTTGCAGGTACCGACGGTGCTGATCCGACCGACGACACGGTGTGCGCGCTGAAGCCTACGGCAGGTAGTGCCTCGTACGTGCGCGCGCTGGCGGGGGAGTGCGTCAGCCCCGGCGTCGGCAGCGAGTCGTGCCTCGAGATCGGTGTGGCCGTCACGTCGTGCGTACCAAGCTGCGCGAGGCTGGGGATGCCGAGGTCCAGATCGATCGCCATACCTGGGGGGAGCAGGTCCATGTCAACAAACGCCGACGCGCCCCACAGACCATCGACGGTCTCGTTCTGCGGCAGCCAGGATGACGCACCACCCGCGGCGTCTCGCTTGGGCCCCATCCCTGCCAGCGTCGAGGTCGTGGGTGTCGAATACGCCGAAAGACCGAGAAAGTTGTCGCCGTCCGGTGCGAATGCGTACCCGAGGTCGCAGGTGTTGGCTGCAAACCCGTCGCTGGTGGACCAGATCCACTCGCCCTGACGAGCATTGCTTGCTGGTGCAGCTTGCTGCGCGGCCGTGTCGCCACAGTGGCAGACGTGTGTACAGCTCGACTGCATCGTTGCGTGTATAGCAGACAAGGGCGGACGTTCGAGACAAGCGCGTGCGATCGGGAGCAACAATGCAGGCGCTTTCGAGGCGCACAACGTATATATGGCGTAGAAGCGTCTGCGCGCTGTCGGGGTACGTCGAAAGTAAATCCCTGCCCTGGCTTCGGTAAGTGGGTAAGGCGGCTATGGAATCCATCTGCCGGGACGAGCGGAACAGAAGCGCTTCATCTGTGGCCTCAGCCCTGCCGAGAGCCTTTGTGGCAGCCAAGCGAGATGCCACTCTACGCGCACGCAGAGTGTGGCACTTGCAGCAGCTAAGCGCCTGCTTCCACAGCACCACGAAAAAAAAATCCGAGTCGGTCAGAATGCGGAGAGCTGGCGCCGACCGAGCTCAGTCCGTCTGGATCGTCGACGCACGAGCAGCTAGACGCAGCCAATACCGTCTTCGAACAGCGAGCTGCACGGCAGATGCACGCTCGCTGCGCGATCCACATGGAAGCCTCTAGCACCGCCGTCAAGGTTTGGCGTCTGGCTCGGCCACTTGCTGTTTGCGGCGACAAGCCCCGCCTCCCGTCTGTTCCGGCTGACCCAAGCCAAAAATCCAGCCTGCGTCACGCCTTGCACTTGCACACGTTTCGTGGTTTGGCAGGCGGAGCTGGCTTGGAGGGCTGGAGATAGGATTCAAGGTCAGCGGGGTCGCACTCTTACCCATTGTGCCCGCGCTGTCTGACCAGCAACGCGCTGGCGACCCACTCGCGACGACACCAGGTTGCAGGGTTCGAACGAGGACGGCGCACTAACGCAACACTTGCAGCGGTACGATCGCAGCGGACATTGTGAGCTGCAGCGCCATGCTCTTGCAAATTCACCGGCTTGGGTGGCCTCGTGGCTGTGAAGCGCCTCGTGGGAGAGGTTTTGGCACGGTGCGAAACCCTGTCGGCTCGGTCAGCGTAACTCGTGGCTGTCTCACAGTGCCCAGCGCCCGGTCTGGCCCTCGACGCTTTTGCCGCTTTGCCGCTTTTAGAAGGAGAGGCGCAAGTTCTTCCAGTGTCTCACGTCTGGGTTCGGTGCATGCGCTGAGTCGTAGTGGCCCAAATTGTGCGCACCTTGCTTCGTACCCCATGAATTGCGGCCCGGCGGAAATGACCACAGTAGCGTCCGTCCTGACCTCATCCTCCGCACTGGTCTCGCATTGCTCGTGCACTGCAGATCATGCACTGCAAGCGCCACTTTTTCTTGGGCTGCCTGCTCGCGCGTGCTGGAGTGGCTTGATGCACGCCCTGCCCTGCTGTTGCTGTTGCTGACCGTTGGCTGGTGGCATCTGCGCGTGATCCTGGTTGGTCGCCGACCCACACATGCTCGCACGCTACTGCACACGCGCGCAGTCTCACAACAGCGGTCCTGCAAAACAGCTGCGCGTTTAAGATTCTGCGATCGTCGTCGTGCACCGTTGGCCATGCATCCTTTCGCCTCTCAACCCCTGTCGGCTCGCTTAGCGCGATCTGCAGGGTCCCCCTGTCGATCCTTGATCGTCTCCATGCGGACACGGAACGGTAGTGCAGATAAGCCGACACCGGCAATTCAACCGCACCGGGAAGCGACGCGGGCCAAGAGAGCTGCGGTTGACCGAGCTGGTGAGTGCACCGAGCTGGTGGGTCGCGACGATCGCATAAGCATGAAAAAAAAGGGCAAGCTCCAACCGCGATGATCACAGGCCTTGGCAGTGGAAGAAAGGGCAAAGGCGCTTGCTAGACGCCGACGGGATCGAATTCTCGGGCCCGAAGCTACCAGTGTACGAGGTGGTGGAGCATGAATAGTGGGCGTGCGATATGACCTCAGCAAGTGTGGCAGCCATTATGCTCCAGTGCCACGTTGCGCAACAGACGACGCTTGGCGGTCCCATTGTATCAAATTTTCTTCATCCGACGCTTGCTTGACACCCCCCCCCCCCCCCAATCTTTGCGTCTCCCTGCGTCCCCGCCAAACCTGTCGATCATCCAACCGGCTTTTACGGTCCCGTTTCCGTACCGCTGTACCTTGCTGACCGATCAAAGGCGCTCTTGTCCGAGTCCCGTTCCGATCGTAAGGGGCAAGGTTGCTGTTGATCGGGGTGACATCTACGGCCAATATCGTCGAGCTTCTGATGCTCAGTGGGTGCGCGAGGCATTGCGCATGAACAAACCGCGTTCATCTCCGCCCAACTCCGACGAGACACTTGGGCTCACCCACGACTTTCTGAGCATGAAGGCCTTGGCATGCTGGACATCAGCAGTGTTGAGGCTCGTGTGCACAGCGTCGGGGAATGAAAAGAGCGACCGCGTGGGAAGTCGCGGTACGAATCCACCGAAAATTTCCATCCATCGCGCGCAGGCGGAGTGCAAAGTGCCCACTGCGAAGGTGGGCTCGTCGTTTGTATTCTTGTGTTGACCGGGCTTGGCACGCTCTATTGTTCGGTCGCTCTTGCGCCCCAACATTCAATATATTCCATTTCGCCGCCTTCGAATCTCGGCCTGGGCGCAGCTCTCGATGATGCCATCCTCCAAGGTGCGAGTAGCAGTAATAGTAGGGTCGACCCAATGCGGGTGCTGCGGTTTTGGACAGTACGGATCTCGCTCTGCCGAGGTGTACGGGCTCTAGCCGAGTCTATTATTGACGGCTCGGAATTCGATCGTTCCGAGAGTTGCTCGTCGTCCGTCGTCTTTCCGCGGATTTGAACCGCCCTAGCTCACCCGATACCAGATTCCTATCCCGATCACCGTGTACGAAGCTGTCCAGCTCGCCGCAACCGGCGGGTGGACTTTCCAACGACATCGGACCTAAACACCGCTTCCCCAAACACCGGTTCGCCAGCACGGTCAACTGGCTCACATTAGCTAAGGGTCGGGAACGGCTCCGAACACCGCCGCGCAAGTGGTTGGTGCCACAACCATGTTGATAGAGTGTGGGTAGCGCACGCGACTCCGAGCTCAACGCCACCCATGCCTGAGCGCTGAAGGTTGGTGCGCTGCATCGCACGCCACGGCCAGTGTCATTGTGCAGGTCCCCAGTGCGCCACAGCCACCGCTTCTTTGCAGTTGACTTTCGTAAATACGCAAACATGTCCGAGGGAGGACACGATGCGGCTGGCTCGGGCTCATGTAGCAGCAAAGGTGTGGATGTTCCTCTTGGCATTCGTCGGCACGATGTGGGGGTTGTCATTGTGAGCGAGCGTGTTTGGCATTTCGAAAGAGGTGTTATGAAGAAGGAGATTCATCAACATTCTGGACGCACAGCGCGATCTGCTCACTACGAGCAGGTAGACGCTCAGAGTCGGACGAGAGACCGGCTGATGAACATGGTCACGACTCATCCAAGACAAGGCCATGGACGGAACGGGAGAAAGACGCGCTCAACCCCAAGGTCAGCGCAAAGAAGCGGCGAGGTGACGTACGAGACCTCTGCTGTCGAGGTCGCGGTTCATAAGCAGGGGAGAAGTGGACTCTGCTGTTCCTACTGTCTACATTCGAGAGCCTCAATGCGTCCTACGAGCAATCGAGTCGGAGCCCGCATCAAGGGAAGCTGAACGTCCGCCTGGGACAAATGAGCTGCCGACAACCTTTTGCGCAGGTCCACGTGAGCGGGATCTTGACTCCGGATTCATCAGCGTGATGACGTGGTGATGTGGACATACACGAAAGCGCATGTGTCGTACCTACCGCCGGATTGAGATCAAGCCCACACTCCCGCTCTTTTTCCGCAACGTCGGCCTGCAACGTCGCGAGGACCGCAAGCTTCGACTCGGCCTTTGGAACCGGGCCGGAACAAGTGCAGTCAGCGTATCGGACATCGTTCCGAGCCCGTGAGGCTATCTCCGGAGTAGACCGAAGCCAGTTAGGACGTATCTCATGACCAGCATCCTGCGTGTATTGCTTCGACTCTGCCTCTTGCTCGTGGTGGTGCTGCAGCTGGGCAGCGAGGACGAGGAAGGGGGCTGCGATGAGCGTGAAGGGGCTCCCCAAGTACAAACGCCTCCGGGCTTTGTGATTGGGCTTGCAACGCCCTAGCCTCTGCGCCTCTGCCTCGTGCTTTGCGGCCTCCACGAGCATCTCGCCGTGCCTCGCGGTCTTGCACTGTAGCATGGGCTTGAATACTAGCACGAAGAAACGCGATTCGGACGCGAGTACGAACAAGTACGAAGGACGCCGACTAGCAAACGAGCATGAGTACAGAAACAATGGGGCGAGAATGCGCCACAAGCACAGACTCAAGCGTGAGGCTAGTGAAGAGAACGACTTGGAACATGCGCATGAGGACGAACACGACCTCGATTGAGCACTGAGACGAGGACGAGCATGTTCACGATCTCGGGCACATCAAGGACCGCTTGGGCTTGCTTAACAGATCTTTGTGGTGAGGAGATGGTACAAGCTTTCATGGGCGCGAAATCGCGAGGCGTGGCAATCACGCAGGAGCCTGCGTCTTATTTTGCCACCAGAAAGACTGGAATGTGTGCAACCACTCCAGAGGGTGATGCAGAGGCGATGTGTGTGTGAGTGTGTGAGTGTGTGTGTGTGTGTGTGTGTGTGTGTGTGTGTGTTATCAGTACCGGAGCAGGCGCGAACACAAGGACGAGCAAGAAGGACGACAAGGCCGAGCACGAGCACGATCTGAAGCGCAAATGCAAGGACAAGCACTCGAAGGAGCGAGAGCACAAGGCACTGAGACGAGGATGGCGACAGGGACGAGCACAAGCACAAGCACCGAGTTGTACGCACGTGCATATGCCCACTGGAAAGAGCGCGAGCAAGAGCAGCAGCACGAAGCACAAGAACACCGACACAAGTGAAAACAAGTACTAGCGAGAGCACAAGCACGAGCACAACAAGCCCGAGGCAAGGACGAGCGCTCGAACGAGCACCAACACCAGCACAAGGACACTGAGACGAGGGTAAGCCCGTGCACGTGCACGAAGACTAGCCGCCCACTGTCCTACCTCACCACGGGATCACCACTTCTGTTCGCTATAGCAAGAGCCAGACAGGAGCCAAGCAAGAGCACAGGCACAAGCACGGAGACCAGCACGAGCGCCACACACCGAGACGGGGATGAGGACAGGTGCGTCGAGCATCAGCGCGAGCACGAGACAGCTGAAACAAGCACAAGAACACCGAGACGAGCACGGGCACGAGTACAAGCTCGAGCACCGAGTCGTACGAGGCCGCACCTTCCTCTGCCTCTTGCACGCTCTGACACATGCTGGATCCCCTCGCTCGGGCAGCACCACCTCCTCTCCTTCGAGCAAGAGCCAGGCCCCTCATTTTCCTCCTCCCTGCCACACCCTGCTTTTTCACACTGACAGGCCTGGCATCACGCATCCTGACCTCCCACACGCACTCTCGCCACACATTGATTCCCTTGTGCCCTGGTCTACTGGCAGCATCACTCGCTCGACCTAGAGCACCAGCACGAGCGCGGGCCCAAGCCCCGACTCGTGCACCGCCTCACCTCGCCTTTCGCACACATCTCTCTCAGAGCATGAGCACGAGCATGAGCATGAGCACGAGCATGAGCACCAGCATGGGTACCAGCATGAGCACCAGCACAAGCACAAGAGCATTCAAACCAAGACGGACGAGGGTACGAGCACAAAGACGAGAGTGAGCACCAGCACAAGCACAAGAGCATTCAAACCAAGACGGACGAGAGTACGAGCACGCGAGAGTGAGCACCAGCACAAGCACAAGAGCATCCAACCCAAGACGGACGAGAGTACGAGCACAAGGACGAGCATTCGCCTGCGGATGAGCACGAGCACTCGCTCAAGGCCCACCTGCACTGGCCCTCACCCCGCACTCTCACCCTCTCTCCGCCACCGAACCCTTCTTGGCACCATGGCAGCGCATGCCACACTGCCCCTCACTTTCGCCTACCCATCCCGCCGTACACTCCTTCACACAGTCACCCGATCTACACACTTGCAACACCTGCATTAGCACACGGCTAAGTCTCGACAAACGCCCTGGCGAGCCTCGCCTCGCCCTCTCCCGTATTCTGCACTGTCACCGCGGTGCCTGCAGCCACAAACACGACCTGGCCCTTTCCCACCCGCACTCCCTCCTCCGCCTCGATCTCCACCTTTCCTTCGAGGACCAACAAGATGCTAGGCCCATCAACTTGCGCCTCCTCAACCTGTGCCTGCTGGGCTAGGGTAGTGGTGACTACGCTGAACTCTGCGATGGGTGGGTCGTACAACCACGCTTCTGCCGTGCCCTTTTTCGTTATGCTTTTGGCCCACTGGGTGGGGTTGAGACGGCCACGGTTGGAGCCAGACTGGTAGGTGCACATGCTGATGAGCGTGTCGGTGTCGCGCAGTTTCGGCGTCAACCCGGCACGCACAACATTGTCCGAAGCAGCCATGCACTCCAGAATCTCGCCCTCGAGGTAGGCGTGTGGTTCGTTGGCCTGCAAAAACAGCGCCTCGCCCGGCTGCAGCGACGAGACATTCAGCAGAAACGTGCAAAAGATGCCCACGTCGCGCGGGAATTCTTCGGCGAGCTTCACCACGAGCTTGCGTTCCACCTCATCCACACTGTCGACCTTGCCGCATGCAAAGCGGTCGGAAAGCGACTGTGCGAGGGGCTCGTAGGTGCTCTTGGGTGCGTTCATCAGGTTGCCAAAGATGGTCTTGAGCATCTGCTTGACCTCGTCACGCTCAGGAGGCGATGATGCGAGCGAAGCCGCACGTGCCAGCTCGTCGTCGTCAAGCTGGACGAGCTTGGCGAGTTCCGGGATGTTCTTGATGTAGGCGACGATTTCGGCGAGAGGTCTGAATCCGCAAAAGCCACGGAAGGCAGTAAGGGCGATGGCCATCTCGGGCTTGTGGTTGGGGTCCTTGTAGACATCGGGCCTCTGAGCATGGAGCTTCTTCCCGAGCGTCTTATCCGGATGCGCCTGGATGCTGAGCGCCTTGCCCACGCTGAGCACCTTGAACAGAAACGGCAAAGCGCCCGGTTCGTCGTCCGAAAACTTGGCCCGAACGCGCTCGCCAATCAGCTCGGGATGCTGCGCGAGATACTCTGCCAACGGCGTAAACTCGCCCGATGCGCTGGATTCGGAGGAGATGATGCGCGAGGGCATAGACGGATGTGTGCCCATCCACAGCTCCGCATACGGCTTGTCGTCGTCGGCGGTAAAGTTGAGCTGCTTGGTCGCCGCTGCAAACTGAGCGACTCGAGGCGCTTTGGAGCCTGGAATGCCCCAGTCGTACGACTGAACACCTGGGATCAGCTGAAACACGCGCGCCGGTGTGCTCATCTTGGTTGGTGTTGGCGAGGAGAGATGGTGGGAGAGAGCCTCGATGCGGTCGCGAACCATGGCCGACGAGATATGGACGTGCAGAGCCAAAGCGCGTGAATGGCTTGCAATTCCGGCCTAAGTTAGTAGCCTTCCTGGCCACAAAAACGTGCAGCCGAAAGTCACCGACCAAGCCCGTGCGTTGCTGCGTGGCTGCGTCGTTTGCGGCCAACGCTCACTCGCCCTCGGCACTCCACCCCGAGCCGACCGAGGCAAGCCAGAATTCATCATTGGCTGGCCGGCTGCGAACCTGCATCGGCCTTTTCGCCCTCCGCGTCCCGAGCTCGCCGAAGCACATGCTCTGTCGCCTCACCATCCACAACGCCGCTTGGCTGCTCCAATCATCCACACCGCTTAGAGCTATCGATCTTCGGCACACCATCCGAAACTTGCGTTGCATTCGGCTAGCTTGGCCGGTACACAACGGCTCGCCGGTCAAGCCGAGTCGATAGCTGAAATACGAACTTAATCATAGCACACAATGGCGCACGTTGGCGCTAGCGAGCGGCTCAGTCGTCGCCGTAGCGCTGCGGTGGATGCCGGTGCCGCACCGGCGGCGTGCGTCTCGCGGGTTGCTCGGGCGGCGGCGTCATCTCCGCTCCCCAATCACCGTCACCGGGCGGCGGAGTGTCTGCAACCGCCGCTGCACCACCCGCTGCACCACCCGCTGCACCACCCGCCGCCCCACCTTCATTTCCTTCGCCGGTAGCCGCAGCGGCGTGTCCCGGACGCGCCACCTTGATTTTGATCTTGCGCAGTTCGACGTATCGCTCGCCTTCGGTGTTCTCGACGAGTCGCACCTCTTCGGTCTCCTCGTACAGCTCGAGTCCGTCGCGGTCGCGGTCGGGCGAGCCTCGCAGCATGTCCTGGTCGTCCCGATCGCGCTTGCGTCGGTCCTGCTCCACCCAGTCGCATCGCAGCGCAAGGTAGAGCGACAGCGTCGCATTCCCGCCGAGCACAGGTGAGAGAACGAGCAGCGCCACTACCACACGTGCCTGCGTCTCGATCCAGCTTCGATCGGCCTCGTCCAGCCGCAGCGTCTCGGGCTTGGGCATGTCCATGGCATCGTCGTCGATCTCGGGCTCAAAGTCCCACGGCTCGCCCCAGGCCGCGCTGGGGCTCGCGCGAGCTGCTTTCCACAGCCACACGCCGCTCTCGACGAGCACAAAGGCGGCGACGCTCAGCGCGACGCACACGTGGTCCGAGCTGATGGAGCCCTGTGCTGGGTGGCGCAGAAATGTGGTGGGGAAGAGCAGCTTGAGCGTACGCCATGCGCGCTGCAGCGTCCAGCCATCGTCCTTGGTCTGAGAGAAGCACGCCGATGTGAGCCAGGTTCGCAGAACGACGCTCGCCAAACCCAGTCCGAGATAGAAGGTCTTTGCGTCCTGCAGCGCCCGCACGTCAGGGTTGCTGCGAGCCAAGAGCTTGCGCAGCGCCTGCTTTTTGGTGAGCAGCATGGTGGGCGGCGGCGAAGGAGAGTGTTCGACGTTGCTGCCAAAGCGCGATCGAGGGCGGCTGCGAGGGCCATGCTCGGCGACGCCGATCTGATCGTAGGCGGGGTACAGGGAGATCAGCAGCGGGAAGAGATGCATGATCATCACCTTGGTGAAGCTGTCCGGATGCTGCAGCACCGAAGACAGGCCAGCGAGAACAAAGAGGGGCAGTCCGATTCGTTCGGGGATGCATCGCTGCAGGATGCGGCCGACCTTGTCCATGAGCGTGGGGACGGGCGGCAGCGGCTTCCGCTGCACCATCACGTTGGTGGAGATGATGCGCATGTCTGGATCGGGCGAGTCGCGCGGGGTGGGAGGCAGGCCTTCACGCGAGGCAAAGTATGGTCTTTGGCGTTCTGGTCCCACCACCATGACGCGAAATGGGCCTGCATCTGGATCATCTTCGGGCGAAGGTTCGGGTGATGGGGATGGCGATTGGTCGAGCGGCTCAATGACGCGGTGTTTGGGCTTATGGACCTTGTCTGCGCGCGCGGCGAGCATGTCGCGGGTGTCGAGGCGGTAGACGACGGCGAGCTGGAAGAGGTTGAGCGCAAAGCTGATGGCGACGAGCTGTCCGAGCGCCATGACGATCCACACGTGCGGCATGCGCAGACGCTTGGACTCGTGGCGCAGGAAGAGCGCCCATGCTCCGACGGTGACGATGCAGATCTCGCTGCTCCACCACCACGCGGGAGCGTCGCGGATGACCTCCATCCATGCCTCCTTGAAGAGGCTCAGCGACCCCAGCCACTGCGAGATACGCAGCAGGCGCAGGTGCACGGCGGGTGCAAGCAGATGAGGCGCATCGAGCTGGAAGGCGGGTGGTTGCGGCGGAAGCAAATATCCGGTGAGGTGACACCGCTCAAGATAGGATGCGTACGAGTGGCGCAGGAAGGCGATCATGTAGTACCACGTCGAGCCTAGGCTGAGCAGAGCGAGCAAGGCAAACAGCAGCTTGACACGGGCAGCGTCCGACTTGAAGGCCCAGGTGGCAGTGCGAATGAGCGCGTCGGCGGCAGGGGTATCGGAGCGCTTGCGTTTGCGGTGTTGCGCGGGATGGAAGAGGGTATCGTGCGCTTGCATGCATCTCTCGAAAGACATGTCTCCGTGCTCGTTGAGGAGGCCCAGCTCGCCTGACTCGGGCGGCGTGGTCCTGAGCTCGCCGTGCCTGCGTGTTGCGAGTCGGATGACGCGAAAGGCGAGATAGAGATTGATGGCGAGGTACGTTATGAGGATGAGAAAGTTGGGTTCGAAGAGGGAGCCCAAGAGCGAGCGCAGGCTGGGATCGTGCGGCGACATGGTCGGTGTCAGATGCCGATCACCCAATGATGGCATACTCGAAGGTGTGGCTGCGCTCATGGTGGGCAGAGAGCAAGGTTCAGGGCGATTCGTGCTTTCAGCTAGCGGCTAGGGATGGCGGAAGATCCACGACTCGCCACGCCAGCCTTGAAGCTGAGCCGCCGATGGAGTGTGACTGGCGAGACGCGCGCTGGTAATGAGTCAGCGTGATCTTCGGGACGTGCCGAAAGGAGCGGTGCAGACGGCTCTGCTGAACGTGCCGGAGCTGTGCCGGACTGGCGCCGAAGCTGCGACTCTGTCCGAAGAGAGAGGGATGGCGGGGCTTAGCTCGACTGCGGCCTCTTGTTGGGAGAGCGAAGAGCGAGGTCCGAGATGGTCTCTCAGGGTCCAACTCGAGCTTCTTAGAGCGTGAGAGAGTGGAGGCGGGTTGGCTCGTCGGCGCAATTTTTGTTCGGGACTCGGCGCGTGCTGCTCCCATCCTCCCTCACTTCCTCTCGAGCCTCTTCGACCTATCCTCGCTCTGCCTTCGGATCATCCGACTTTCTTCGTTCGATCCGGCATCTCTGCAGTTAAAGGAAGAAAGCGATGGAGTCGATATCGCTGCCAGGGACGCTGCCGGGGCCGCTTCAGCGCGTGCATCTGGCGCACTTTTCGCAGCTCCACCCCGACACGCAATCGGCGGGCATCATCCGACGCATCATTGCGGCCTCGCAGCTTCCGACGTCGACAGACACGGGAGCGTCCGAATTGGAGGTGCAGCAGGCAGATGCAGAGCGAGCTAGGCTCGACTTTGCGTTTCTCGACCCGACCAAGCTGTGCTCGAAGCAGCATGTGCTTACGGCGGTCACGCAGGCGGCTGTTGTGTGTGCGCGCAGCTGGGACGCTGACGCGAAACGATTCCGCGAAGGAGAGGGAAGCATAGGTGGGATGAAGTCCAAAACTCCGCATTCCGAGGTGATCTATATGCTCAATCCGGGAAACAATGTAAGTCACACCCCCCGTCGTGACCGTTCAGAGTGGAGAGATGGGCTGACAGGTGGTTGCAGGTGGGCGAGTCGTTGAAACGGTTCGGTCTGTCGCCGAAATCAACATCGCTTCTGCTGGTCAAGTTTTCAGCGAGCGATGCGGATCCGGATCAGATCCTCCAAGCGATGACCGAGGTTGTCGGTCCCAACCTCACACTTCCCTCCACTCAGGCCGAGGAATCGCTGGTTCTAGACCAGGCCATTCGATTCGGAAAGTACCTCCCATCCGAAGGGCAAGGGAAACTAGTGACCGACTGGAAAGAGCTCAACAAGATCTACAAGCTCCAGATCGATGCCAAGCTGCTCAGCAACGCCGACACACAATCGTGGCACCAGAGGTACGAGGACATCATCTGCACATGCGTCGCCATGAAGCTCGTGGCCGCATAGCCGGAATCACCAGCGACACTTGGAATACTTCGAAAATTGCGTGGATTGCCGGCGCGAGGATTCAGCGCGATGAAAGCATGGCTGTGGCAGAGCGGTGCGTGGACGGTCTACTCGTCAGCCTCGGCCTTGGCCTTCTTGAGTTGTGAGAGCTCGCGTTGTCTGCGGATGAAGCTGTTCAATGATCGTTGTCAGTATCGATTCCAAAGCGTTGTTGACGAGGGCGAGGGTGTGGGTGGAAGCTTACTCGTCGTATTGGCACTTTTCGTATGTGTGACTATGCCACGCAACATCATAAGCCAAGTGAAGAGAGAGTCAGTACCGGGCCCATCAACCGTGTGTGAGGATCTGAGTGAAAGGAGAAGGCCTACCGTTCGTCCTCGCACTTCCAGGGCGCATAGAGTGTCTGTTTCCTGCACTTGTTGAGCGGGATGAGCAGGCTGTTCGCGTGGCAAAGCGGGTCAGTTCCATCTTCCTGATTGCTATTCGGTTGGCACCAGGTGTGTACGTGGGGGTTTGGGGGAACGTACGCAGAGCACTGGTCGCGGTATCCGAGTGGGAGACGGGCGGCGTTAGCCTCGTCTACAGAAGCGGTATGTGTGTCGGCCATTGTGTGAGTGCTTCGAGTGTTGGTATTGAAGAGGTAAGGTTGGTTCGAGGAGTAATGGCGACGGACGCTTGGGGGGAAGCTCTCGTCACGTGTAGCGCTCGAATTCCGTACGAAAAAAACAGTCTTGTTCGGTGTAACACGCTGTGCGATTTTTTTGGTTATGACGCCTGTGGAAAGAGCCGAGAGGCTCGGCACGAATCGGACGCTCCACCTTCCGATTGACCACCATCTCAACCATGTTGCGCACACTCGTTCGACGTGCACATGTGCACAAGCCTGGATTCAGGTTCCCAGACCGAAAAGCTCCCAAGCGTAAGTCCCTTCTCCCTACCAGTGCGTGTGAAGATGGATAGCTGATGTTGTTGTTGTGGGGATAGAATCGCATACGCCCCACCCGCACCCCGAGGCACCAGCAAGCGTAGTGTCCTCGTTCGAGCATTTCCAAAAGGTGTTTAGTTCGGGTCCGCATTTCCACCCGGAAAAACTTCAGTCTCAACAAGCAACCACCAGTGGGCAGCAACAGGGAGTGGATATGAACGGAAGAGAGGCCGCGGAGGATATCCATCTGCTGCCCGAGAGGTTCTGGAAGACTCCTGCGCTCGCCTTCTCGCCAGAAGAAATGGACGCCGTCATGGTAAGATCCTCATCCTAACTCTCACACAATGAACACAAAGCTAATCAGTCTTGATTTTGGGTACAGACTGGAGGTGCCAACTAGACTAGATACGCAATGCACTTTCGAGGTTACTTTGCACGGTTGACTGCAATCGCCTAGTCGGTGAGGCTCTTCAACCTGCGGCGGAGTCTGTCGAGCTCCGAGGTGGCGCGGGTGTCGGGTTTGGATTTCCAGGTGCATCGGCCGGTGGGGCTGATCATTTCGGTGATGCAGAAGGCGACTTCGTATGCGCCTGCGCCGGGGGCGCCGTCTTTGCCGCGACCGTTGCGGCTCTTGCGCCAGAGCTGGCGGCGGATGTAGCGGATGCTCTCGTGGCGCGCGAGGGTTTGCATTGCCGTCCACTCCCAGTGGTGCAGTGCATGCAGCACCGCCGCACGGTGCGCGCAGTGGTTGCCCGCGTAGAATACGTGCCCCGAACGACCTTTTGCGTCCGTCCCCGGCTCGCGCCACGTCTCGTCATCGTCGCTTCGATCACTCGCCTCCGACTCCGACGACTCGGTCGAAGAATCGTCTTGGGTGGAGAGGGGGGCGAGGGTTTGCTGGTTGTATCGAGAGCCCGAGAATGTGACGCGGGCTTGGGGCTTTTGCGAGCGGCGGTGGCAGATGCCACAGCCCTGCTTGGCGAGGCTGCCGAAGCGGTCGATCTCGTCGGTGAAGAGAGCTTCGACGTGCATTTTGGGGTAGTTGATGAGGTACCATTTGAACTGGCGCCGCATGGCTACGCTGCCGACGCTCTCTTCGGTGGAGCGCGTGCGCGATTTGAGCGCCGCACGGTTGCGCTCGAGGCGTTCGCGGTCCGCGGGGCTGAGGGAGGACCAGGTGACGAGCACACGCGCGACGGCCCACTCGAGCCAGTCGAGGCACAGCTCATCCAGCCCCTTGCGTGCGCCGAGCCCGAGCCCGTGCGCGGCCAGCACGGAGGACGACGAGCCCGACATGGCGGCGTGTGAGTGGATGGGCATGAGTCGGATGCGTCCATCGCTGTCCCGCTTATACTTGCTGCCGGCTTTGGGCAGGTTCGCTGCCGCAGCTGCCGCAGAGGGGAGAGGCCGTGCAGGCTCAGCATCTTTCGGATCGAAGCCTTCGTCGTACTCGATCTGGTCGTCGCCTACGATAAAGTCGCCGCTCGACGAAGAGTCGCTCGAATCGCCGCTGCTCGTGCCGCTGCCCGAACCGCTATCTGAGCCACTGGAAACGGACGTGGCCCGACCGTTTGGGCGTGATTTCGATGCAGCTTGATCGGATTCGGATGCGCTCAGACTCTCGCCGCGCTCGAGCTTGGCTTTCTTGCGCGCCTGGGAGAGCGCGGCGAGCTTGGTGCGGTACTCCTCCTTGTGGCGTGGGCCGGTGGAGCGCGCAAATGCGTCTTCGTTGAGCTCGGAGTGCAGATTCTTGATGTCATCGCCGCGTTTCTTGCCCGCACCCTCGTCGCGCACACGCTCGACCGACCGGCTGCGCTTCTTTTCTCGACTCGACGCGGGCGGTTGCGCGCCAGCCGACTGCGACCGGCTCTTGTCAGACTTGGAGGGCTTGGAAAGTCCGTTGGGTTGCCGTCCGTTGGCGGCGGGTTCCGCTTTGACCTTGGGTTGTGAGACCGGTGGTTTTGTGCGGGAGGGGGGGCCGTTGCGCCGCGCGTCTTCGTCGTCCGATTCGCCGTGGAAGAAGAGTGGTCGAGTCTGGTCCGGTTGTGCGGATGCGGTCGAGGGGCCTGCATGGCTGCCGAGGAAGAGGTCCTCCAGTCCATCGTGTGGTGGCTGTGTGGGCCGGGGTGTGGACGCGGTCTTGCGTGGTTTGGGCGGCTTGGGCTGGAAGGCAAAGAGCTGTCGGCCGTCGGACTCGTCTCGCAAGTCCTCTTCGGTGAAATGGAACGGATCGACTTTGCCAGCAGAACGATCGAGATCATGTAGCAGGGCCCCTTCGCGCTGCTTTCCCTTGGCGTTCAACTCTGTGATCGTGCGTGGCCGTACGAACAGGAGCTCGTCCTCGGTCGGGCGGGGGTGCAGGGGCGGAATCTCGACCCAGCATGTCATCTTTGGCGCCGAGTCGGCCTCCCATACGGGCGATAGACGTGCGAGTGCATCTTGCTCTCGTTTGACTGGGGACTTGCCGGTCTGTGTTTGCTTGCCCTTTCCTTTTCCCTTCTTTGATGCGGGCGGCGTGGTGGTGGAGGCGGCGGGTGCGGCCGAGGTGGAGCGCGTGCGGCTGCGGGTGGAGGAGGTTGAGACGGGCTTTGTGGATGCGCGCGTGCCGTCGGAGAGACGCTGCTTCTTCTTGGGCCCCATGGTGCGACACCGCTGCTCCGAAGCGTGTGTGCAGCCAAGTCGGTGGTGGTGGGGGGTGCGGACGAATGCGCAAGGGAGCGGGAATATGAAATCGCGAACACTCGCCCGCGCCAACCAACACTCTCTCTGCCGCAATCCGGCTTCTATGACGCGCCCTGGCTTAACATTCAGGAACCGCTCCAAAATCCCGATGCAGGCACCGCACGGACTCTTGTGACTCTCGGTGGAGTAAAGCTTGGCTGCGAAGAGCCACATCTGCCTCCTTCCCACCCGCTTGCATTCAGCATCTTTCTCGAAACCCTGTCAATCGGGTTGGGTTCTGACGATGGCGGCGCACTATCCGCTGGGCTCGTCGTCCACGCCTCCGCCGTATGCATCGGGATCTTCGGCAGCTGCAGCCGGATCCTCGTCGGCATCCTCGTCGTATCTGGGTCAGACACGGTCGCGCACGCTTCTTTTCCTCTCGTATCGCGAATCGGCCGGACCATCATCACGCGCGCGCGACCGCACCTCCAGCACAGGTGATATCTACTTCCAAGCGCCGTACACCGACTCGGATGATCCGCTGGGTTCTTCATCGCTGAACCAGCCGGGGCGGGGCGAAGATTCCGAGTCGCATGGTCTGCTTTCACGCCGCTCGCGCGAAGGCCACATTGCACTCGCCGTTGGTGGAGAGGGTGGGTCCGAGTTGCCGCCCAAGTGGATGGATGTGTCGGATCAGGTGGACCAGATCCTCGTTTCGATCCGGCCGCGCATGGATCGGCTCTCGCGTCTGCATGAAAAGCATCTGCGCCCCGGATTCGCCGACAAGTCGTCCGAGGAGCAGCAGATCGAAGCACTCGCACTCGACATCACCAAGGACTTCCGACGATGCTCTCGGCTCGTTGCGGGTCTGGCGTCGTTCACGCAGCATCTGATGCGCGAAGCTCAGCGCAATCAGTCGGATGTCACGGTTCGCCAAGTCGCCCTGGCACAAAACGTTCAGACTGCACTGGCTACGCGCGTGCAGGATCTCAGTGGAGCATTCCGAAAGCAACAATCGCTGTACCTCAAGAGGATGAAGGGGATGGAGGTTAGGGATCGAGACATCCGTGCCGCGCGTGGGCTAGCTCCACCAATGACCAAGGACGATAGCTTTCGTGATAGCGAGTTGGCGGTACGGGAGGATGTCGAACTGTCGCGGCAGCAGCTGCTGGAATCTCCGTCGCAGAGCAATCTGTTGATGTTGGACGAGGAACAGCAGCTGAGCAGTGCGGATCGAGAGATCCAGCAGAGGTCGAGGGAGATTGACGAGATCGCCAAGTCGATCCAGGAACTCGCACAGCTGTTTGGAGATTTGCAGACGCTCGTGATTGACCAGGGCACCATGCTCGATCGCATCGACTACAACGTCGAGCTCATGAGCCGCGAAATCAAGGGCGCAGTACAGGAGCTTCAACAGGCCACGACGTATCAGAGGAGAAGTGGAAGGAGACAGTGCATCCTCTTCCTGTGCCTGCTCATCGCCCTCCTTATCGCGGTCATCATCATCAAACCGTTCTGGAAGCTGTTCGCACAGTCACCACAGTGATCTCCACTCAATGCCAGAGCTTTCTCACACTGCCCGCGTGTGGGAGGGATGAGGTACATCCGTTGGATTCTGACTCGATGTCCGTGACACTTCGACGTGCCTTTGCGTTTTATCCGTGTGCGGTGGGAGTCTAGTCGTGCAGGGGCGATTCGCGGTCGGCCTGGACGACGTCGGCGGCCTCGTGCGCCTCTTGGTCCGCATGAGCGTCGAGCTGTGCTGCCGAGCTCGGCTCGTGCGGTGCAGCCGACGAGGCCGCCGATGCCGCAGCGTCCTTGACCACGGGTGCGGTTCCTTCGAGCATCACCTGCTCGATCTGCTGCTGATCCAGACCCGCCGGATCAGCCGCCTTGCCCGCCGCCACTGGATCGTGCTCAACCGCTGCGCCCAACCCGACCTTGCCCTTGACGTACTCGACCTCGTGCTGGAGTCCGTCCTTGAGATGCTGGTACGCCTCGGCTGCCGACGACTGCATGGCACGCAGGGGCACATGGTCAAACGCATGCCTTCCCGGCTCAGCCACCCCGGCGCCCACCTCCTGCGTCACATTCGCGCTCGCGTCGACCAGCGCCGCATGTGGCGCGTCCTTGCCCTGCGCCCACTCGAGCGTCTGTACGCTCGGCGGGAAGTTCTTAAACTCGACCAGATCGCGTGGGAACTGCGCACAGTTGAAGTCCCACCCCTTCCTCCAGCGCGCCTTTTCGCAAGCCTGCAGCGTCCAGTCCGACCCGTAGGTCAGCGGCGTATACCGCAAGAACCCGGCGAGCACCACGACGGTCACGACGACGCTGGCGATCAGTCGGAAGCGCGGCCGCAGTGTGGAGGTGGCAAAGTCGAGCACGACGGCGGCGACGAGGATGGAAAAGTAGAGCGCGGGCAGGTAGTGGTGCAGGAAGAGCTGGCGATGCATCAGGAAGAACGGCAGATAGTGCAGCGCCCAGCCGAGCACGAGAAATCCGCACGTCTGATCGTAGAAGCGCACGCGGCTGTCCTTGAGATCGCCGAAGCCGCGCTGCGCCCGAAGCATGAGCAGGCCGCGTGCGCCGAGGTAGGCGAGCACCGAGGCGAAGGCACCGAACCACACAAACGGATTGCCAATCAGGTAGATCTGGCGGTGGTCCTTGGTCCAAAAGTTGATGCCGCGCTTGAGGAGCGGCCAGGTCTGCGGGCGCGAGTCGTAGGCGTGGCGGTCGGTCAAACCGGCATTGGTCTCCCACATGACGTTCTGCAGCTCCCAGAAGCGCTCCAGGAACGACGGACGGCGGTAGTTGACGCGGTCGATGTGCGCGTTTGCCTCCTTGGGATGCTCGAGCAGCGGGTGCGTGTTGGTCTCGACGTACCACAGCGAGTTGGGCATGGTGGGGTTCTTGTTGCACGTCACCTCCTGCTGTCCGAATCCCCAGTCGGGCAGCGTGACCTTGTGCGAGAAGAGGTAGCAGCCGGTGAGCGTGTGGCGCAGGCGGAAGTGGGTGCGCAGCGCACGCACGCGCGTCGACGAGTGGCGGTCGCGCTTGTCGCCCTGGACGATCTCCACGTGGAAGTTGTCGTTGGCATCGCCACCGAAGCCCTCGAAGCCGTAGGCGGTCACCTCGTTCTGGTAGTCGCTCTCGGTCACGGGTGGGCGGTTGGTGTCGTGGCTGTGCAGACGCTTGTCGGTGGCGTTGTGGATGAGGCGGATTTCCATGCCGTGGGTGAGGTAGCGGATGGGTTCCTGGTGGAAGCGGCTCACCTCGTCCTCGGGGCGCAGCGGATGGCCCTTGTCGTCGAGCTTGGGAGCCGGGTCTTCGGGCCCGGGCGCCTTGACGATGAGCCAGTTGTTGTTGTCGTCCGAGTGCGGATAGAGCGTGATCTGCTGCTGCTGGCTGCCGGCCGGGTAGACGGCGGTGTGCGAGTGCAGATAGCCGCCCTGGGTGTTGAGGTGCTTGATGGCGACGGTGGAGCCGAGCGCCACGTCGGCAAAGGTGTCGGCCATGCCGTGTCCGTGCAGCGTGTGCTGGAAGGCGCTGCTCATGAAGGGGTCGCCCTCGCCGCTGCGATGGAGGAGGCCGAGGTGGATGGCAAAGGTGAAGAGGTAGACGAGGATGGGCAGGCCGATGAGGCAGATGGCGCGTGCGCAAAAGTGACGCGCGACCACCCGCACGGGCTGGCGAACGTTGCCGAGATGCTCCCAGAGCTGTGCGATGACCGAGATGCCGATGGTGGCGATGGTGAAGAGGCCGACCCACTTTGAGCTCGCGACGGCGCCGAGGCTGAGACCGGTGAGCGAGAGGAGCGACCACCAACGGAGCGAGAAGGGCGCGCGCTTCTCCTCGTTGCAGAAGGCGACCCACAAGTAGATGGTGAGCGCGGTGAAGAAGACGAGGATGGAGTCGAGGAGGATGAGGCGGCTCTGTGCGGTAAGCGCATTGTCAAAGAGGACAAAGAGCGCACCGAGCGTGGCTGTGGAGGCGCGGAGGGAGAGACCTCGGAGAGTGAGGTAGGCAAGCGGAACGGTGGCGACGCCGAGGAGGGCGTTGAGGCCGCGCATCATGACATAGGGGACGGGCGTGTCCTTGCCATGGAGATACTCGCGTCCGATGTCCTTAAAGTCAAAGTCGCCGTTGAAGCCGCCGAGCCAGGCTGCGAGGGTGATGAGGAGCTTTGCGAGCGGCGGGTGGACGTCCATGAAGAAGCGGCCGTGGATGTACTTGGACGCAAAGCCGCCAAAGTGGACCTCGTCAAAGACGACGCTCGAGGGCTGACCGAGGCGGTACATGCGGACGACGAGGGCGACGATGACGAGGGCGGCGATGATGCGATGCTCCTTGGCCGAGACGACGTTGGTGGCCGCAGCGGATGCGCCTGGTTGGGCGCCGATGCCGAGGCCGAGGCCGGTGGTGTGCATGTTGGCGTGATTCGAGTAGAGCTTGCCCGACTTTGTCCGAGTGGAGTCGTTGTTGGCTGATCCGAGCTGCGTGCCGCTGGTGTAGAGCGAAGGCTTCTCGGAGTGAGGCGGCGGCGGCGGCGGCGGCAGTTCAGCGGCAGCGTGTTGCTGTCGAGAGCGCATGCCGCCGGCTGTCTGGCCGAGAGAGGCCATTTCGGATGATGATCAGCAGCAGCTGCTGGCAGAAGCACACGAGAGCAGCGGATCGATAGGACCTTCCGAGTGGTGTAGTCAGCGCATCGGCTGTTCCGGAAGAGCTGATGAGCGATGGGTGTCGGATGAGCCGGGCAAGGGAGGGAGGATCGTTATGATTTGGCTTTGGCTTTGGCTTTGGGTCGGTCGTCAGCGTTGGCGAAGGATGGCGCGTGCGGGCGAGCGAGGCAGGCTTCAACTGGAAGAAAAGCCGAGCCCAACACTCGTCGCTGCACTGCACGGCACTGCACTGCCCTGCTGCTGCACGCCGCCGAGCCAACCAACGCGCCGAGCCTAAATGTGTTGCTGTTGACGATCTTACACTCCAATTTCGAGCTTTTGCGCGCCGCATCGTCATTGCTTTTTGGATGGCCAGCTCGCTTGGCTACGATCTCGGCAAATCCTCGCTGTCTTTCTCTCTGGCGGTGTTTTGCGGCTCAGACGGCCGACTCAGGCTCGAACCGCTCGGCGAAATCTGACCTGTGAAATGCACGCTCGCCCAGCCGTGCATGTGCGTCAATTGCCAGCTGATCTGCAGTGCGTTCCTCAAACACACAGTCACACACACTGGCCGCAGGGATCGCCGTGCGTCGTTTGCCCCCCCACCTCCATCTCCTATACTTCTCTGCAAGCATGTCGGGCCCAGCACAAGGGGCCGAGCGGGGCGCCAAGTCGGCGCGCAACGAGAGCGTGCTCATCGACGGTCACCTCGTCAACCACGACACCGCCGCAGCCTCGGCGCTGTCCGACTTTCTGCGCTCCAACACCGAGCCCATCAGCCGGCCGTCGTCGGCGGCGAGCATGCGCATCCGCGTCGACAAGCCGTCGAGCGAAGCCATCAGCGGGCGCGCGCTCTACACGCACGTCCCCACGGGCTTTGAGGAGGATCCGCTGCTGCATCCTGACGATCAAGACGTTCAGCCCGGCTCGAGCCGCTCGCGCTCCTCGTCGTCCTCGAAGGCATACACGAATGGAAGCGCCAAGCCTGGGCATCTGAATCGGCGTTCGACGCGCGATAGCATCTCGACGACGTTTGCGCGCAGAGGAGGTGCACCTCCCTACTCGCGGCCGACGCTGTACTCGCGCGCGCGTCTCGTGGTGACCCAAACCACCGCCAACGTGCTCTCTTCGTTCTTCCTGGTGCTCGTGGTGGTGTGGGCGCTATCGGTGCGGCTGCTCGCTGCGGTGCCCAAGTTCTTTGCCCCCTCAGTGGCCGAGCAGAAGCAGTGGGACGATCCCAAACGCTGGCGCAACGAAAAACTCGTCAAGGACGTACGCTACTATGCGGCGCAGTGCGGGTTCGAGATCAGGAACGAGACGGTCGAGACGCAGGATGGATACTTTCTGCGCATGAACCGGATCATTGATCCGCAGACCACGCACGTCAAGCATTCCGATGGACGAGGAGGGTTTCCCGTGCTCATCATGCACGGCCTCTTCCAGTCGAGCGGTTCGTTTGTCACGTCTGAGGAGAGGTCGCTTGCGTTCTGGCTTGCAAGGCATGGAGGATACCAGGTATTTCTGGGGAATAATAGGGGCGTGTTTGATATGGGCCATCGCACGTACAAACGATCCGATCCGAGGTTTTGGGACTACAACATCCGCGAACTGGCGATCTACGATCTGCCCGCCATGGTGGATTATGTGTGCAAGGAGACGGGGTACGATCGCATCGCCTACATCGGTCATTCGCAGGGCAACGGGACGATGTTCATCTCGCTCTCCAAGGGCATGGTGCCGGAACTTGGGGCGAAGTTGAGCTATTTCGGGGCGTTGGCGCCTGCGGTGTATGCGGGGCCGCTGACGTCGTGCTTTCCGTTTACGACGTTGGGGCAGTTGGAGTGGGGCCGGTGGAAGAGGTTCTTTGGAGTGCTGGATTTTATTCCGCTCATGAAGATCTCGTACGACTGGACACCGGCGTATCCGTATGCGCTGTTGGGGTACCAGATGTTTGCGTTTCTGTTTGCGTGGACCGATGCGAACTGGCTGCTCAGGCGCAAGGCAAAGATGTTCCGCTTCACCCCGCAGCCCGTGTCGTCGGCGTCGATTTATTGGTGGGCGGGCAAGGATGGCTTCGCCACGCGCGGATGCGTGCTCGACCCACAACTCGAACAGTGGTGGGACGAGAACTTCCCGCCTCTGGCAGTGTTTAGTGGCGGTATGGACTTTTTGGTCCTCACGGATCCGCTGATCGAACGCATCGAAAAGAGGGAAAAGACAGTCAAGCTGCTTAGATTCAAGAGACAGGACGAGGCCGAACACTGCGACCACTTCTGGGCGGCCGATGCAGTCGAGTGGTGCTTCCACGATATCTTATTGGATATCGAAAAGACAAGACCAAGGTATCCAGAGGAACTCGAACAGGACGCCCTTGTAGACGTTTAACATTCAGGCACACCAAATAGAATACACAAGGTGTCAACCTATAGATTGCAAAGCTGTGGTTGCTAGACATGCTTGGATGTGAGTTGCGAGAGGATTTCAGTCGGAATCCGAGTCGGAATCCGAGTCGTCGTCGTCGTCGTCATCCTGAACGTCGTCGTCGGTGGCGCTTTCGTCGTCCGACTCTTCATCCGCTCGGGTGCTGGGCTTGACCTTCTGGCCCTTCATGAGTGCCATCTGGCCGGCGAGACTGTCTTCCTCGGGCTCGCTGATGTCATCCTCGTGGTCGTCAGCCTCGAGCACGCTCGCATCCTCGACGCGCAGCTTGACCATGCGCGATGCATCCGATCCGAGGAACGAATCGCTCTTCAGAATCGCCTGGAACGTATAAAGCCCTGCCTGGGGCGGTGCCTGGAACTGGACCGAATACGTGCGCACCTGGTCGGCACCCACGTCGCTCACCTTGGTAGGCTGTACAATCACGCGGTCGAGCTTCTGGTCGCCGATCATGACCCACCAAGACGGCTTGCGCTCGTCCCAGAAGTACGGCGCACGTGCGAATCCGATGGGCTGCTTTCCATCGTCCTCGCCGCCCGTCGACGTCTTCTTGTCCGAAGCTTCTTCGTCGTCGGGACGAACGCTGCTGTCGTCGTCCATCCTCTTGGCATCCAAGCGGCGGCCGTCGCGCAGCAGACTGCCGTCCTTCTTGGGAGGCAGCAGACGCAGCTTGACGACAAACTGCACGATCGCGCCCGTCGTCACCAGCCGTTCGCCCGACACCTTGAAGAAGGCATCGACGAGCTCGATGCGCGGCCACGCACTCGTCACCGCCACCATCTGGTCGTACTGCTGTGCCGATACGCCAGCGCCCGTGAGCACCGCCTTGCGCTCTGCATCCGGGATCTTCCAGAAGCCCTGCACGCCGAGCTTGGCGAGCGAGTTGGACTGGTGCAGCTTGGCGACGAGCTCGGGCGTCATGTGCGGCAGCTGGAGCAGTTCGGCCGCCGACGGGTCCTGCAGCGGCACCGCCTGAACCATGCACTGCGTGATCTGCATGAGCAACAGCGTCGTCTCGAGCCAGTTGTGCGCGAGGCTGATGGCCATGAGTCCGTTGAGCAGCTGCACCGCCTTGGCTGCGTAGCGCAGCTTCTCCTGCTCGATGCGCTTGTCGCCGCTATCGATGCGCAGCGTATGCGCGTAGAGCAGCACGAGCGCCTTGCGGATCGAGGCGTTCTTGAACGAGTCGATCAGATGCCACTGCGGTCCGTACGCGTCCAAACGCCTGCGCGCCTCGGCCTCGAGCTTGGCGAGCGTCGCCTCGTCGCGGTGGCTGGCGCCGAGCTTGTCGAGCTTGGCATCGCTGAATTCGTCCGAGATGGCGAGCAGGGCGAATACGCGCGAGGCGTCCGTGTCGTCGCGCAGGTGCTGGAAGTAGGTCTGCGCGGTCGAATTGACGATGCCGTCCTTGGTCTTGGAGCGCGAGCCGTACCACCAGCGCGCCACGAGGAAAGGCAGAACGATGCCAAAGAGGATGGCGTAGATGCCGAGCACGTAGACGTTGTTCTGCGACTCGATCACCCAGCGCGGCAGCGCGATGCCCATCGACATCTCCTGCTTGCCGTCCGGATGGCCGTAGAGCTCAAAGTTTTTGCGGATGGTCTCGTCGGTGAGCGCCTTGTAGGCCTTTGTGAGTTCGATGTAGTGCGACTCTGCCTCTTCCTTGGTCTGGTTGTCGGCGAGGACGAGCTTGTCTGGGTGGAACTTGACCGAGAGGCGCTTGTAGTGCTTCTTGATCTCCTTTTCGGTGGCGGAGGCGGCGATGCCGAGGATGTTGAAGGGGTCGTACACGGCATGGGATGAGTTGGTGGCGGTATTGAGGATGGTCTGGAAGAGGTAGGCGACGACGCCCCAGCCTGCGAACACGAACACGGCGCGCGGGCTGATCTGCGGGTTGAGCAGCGAGCGTTTCTTGGAGGAACGGATGAGGTCGATCTTCTGGCCGCGCGCATCCCACGAGCCCTTGGCGGAGCGGTGGGAGCGCGAGGGAGCTAGGAGCGAGTATGTGAGGGGCACGAGGACGAGCAGGAGGAAGGTGAGGACAAAGGTGAGGAACTGGCCTCCCTCCTCGTCGTACTTGTACTCGGCCATCTTGGCGGCGGCTTCCTCAGCAGCTCCAGTGTATCAGCAGGAGACAAGAATGGTAGGACGCCTTTGTCGCCGTGTGTTGAGAGTACGCGCTGCAGGCGTTTCTTGAGCTCCCGGTCGATGTGCTTGAGGGTGGTCGTGGTGGGAGGGAGGGGAAGGAAGTGCGAGGAGGCTCGTGCTTTGGCTGATGCGTTGCTGGCTCTCACGCTGCCTCTCTCGGTGCGCCTGGAAGAATGGCCGACGAGGTGCGGTGCTGCAGTTCTCATTTCTGCCGTTGGCGCTCTGCAGCAGCGATGAGCTGGAAGCCCATCGGGAATATTTCCAAAATCGGCAAGGAAGAATGTCCGCATCGCCGATAGTTGCCCTCCTCTCGAAAGAGGACGCGCGGCTGAGCGGCTGCTGACGCGTCGTGCTTTTTTGGGCTGGCGGACGCAGTGTGAGATCAACACTGCAGCTCCCACCATCATCATCCTCATCATCACCATCAGCGCCGCCTGCACGCCTCGGCTGGATGCGATACAACACGCAACCATGAGCTGCAACACCGCCAACGAAGACCGCGACAATCGCGACCCCGCACCAGCACCCTCTGCCTCGTCTGGCCTCTCCGCCGTCGATGGCGATGCCACCAGCCTCTACGAGTACATCAACCGCGATAAGGTCTGGGGCGCCAACCTCGATCCGCCCGAGTCGGCCAAACACGTCATCAAGCCCTGGGATCAGCGCCTCACCGCAGAGCCATCCACGCAGTCCAACGTCGACGACCAGATCGCCATCACCGTCCCCTTCACCTGCCCCGTCCGCCTCAAGTCCATCCTCATCAACACCGGCACGGGTGACTTTGCCCCCACGCGCTGCCGCGCCTTTGTCAACCGCCCGGATGGCGTCGACTTTGACGATGTAGAGGATGCCACCTCCCAAGACCATCCCGCTCAGCTCTCGCCGCTCGCCGCCGCTGCTACGCTCGGCAGTGTGGCGAGTGGCAAGGCGCAGGCCGACTTTGCGCTCTTGCGTGGCCAGGACGGCGTCGTCGAGTATCCCGTCAGCGTGGCGCGCTTCTCTCACACCACCTCCATCACCATCGTTCTTTCCCACTCCAACGCCACCACCCTGTCCCGCTTCTTCTACCTCGGATTCCGAGGCACCGCGCTCGTTCTCAAGGCCGAGCCCGGCGAGAGGCTCAACATCGGCGCGGCCAATGCAGCCGACCGTCCCGTCGATGGCGTCCGTGAAAAGCGCGGCGCAAGCCAAGGTCTCGCAGGCGGTAGCGGCCGGAGTCCGCGCTACGTCGTTGCCAGCCCTCGAGCGGCAGGTCGCATCGCAAGGATGGCCGAGGGCCCTGCATCTCCCAACAGAAGCAGCGAAGGAACGCCGCGACGCTCACCGAGAAAGAACAGGCACGCTCAACACGCCGACTCGCCCTCCACAACGCCCACGCGCAAGCGCACACGCCAGTCCTCGGGCGCAGCTGATGCCGACGACGACTCGACGACGTCCACGCCTCGTGCCCCTCGCAGCGCAGCCAAGACGCGCACTCCTGCCAACCCGCCGGCTCCACTGCGCGCGCCTCACACCGCACCATCCGCTCGCGAGCGTCCTTCACTCGCTGCGCCATCCGCATCTGCGGCCACATCCTCGAACGCCGACGCAGAAGTGCGTCGAACTGCGTCAACAGCATCGACGAGCGAAGGCGCACCGCACCGCCGCCGCTCGCTCTCGCAGCCGCCACCCAACGATGTGCTCCTCCGCCAGCTCCAGTCCAGCGCCATGACGCCCTCGGCAAAGTATGCGTTGACCAACACGCCCGCTCGTCGCATCCTCGGCACGCCTCGACGCGCGATCCCCGGTTCCGCTTCCGCGTCCGCTTCCAATCCGTTTGCGGCCGACGTGCAGACGCCCGCCACGGACAAGCGACGCAAGCGCGGCAACGATGCGCTGCTGGCGAGCGCGCAGCGCACGCGCGAGCGACGCCAGTCGGCACGCAAGAGCTTGCTGTGGGGCGGTGTGGGCGGCTGGGCGGGCGGGCGCGAGGAATCGCCCATGGACCTGCTCCGGCGTCTGGCGCGCGCGCCGGGATTCGTGGCGCCACCTACGCCGTCGCTGGACTCGATCGCCATGCCTCCGCCGGGTGCACGACTGGGCAGGGCGAGCAGCGCCAGTGAAGTTGACGCCTCGACGTCCAGCCTCGGATCGCGCGCACGGGATCGGGCGCGAGACAGCATGGCGAGCAGCTCGACGCGCTCCAACCGCTCGTCGCTCGCGAGTCGGGCGACGATGCTCGTGCCCGGTGAGAGTGTGCCTGGCGACCTGACGCGCGACAGCAATGTGAGCGACTCGCTCGACGTGGACGAGTCGATGGCGTCGATCGGCTCGCCCGACGAGCGGTCAAGGTCGCGGTTGTCGGATATCGGCATCCCGCGCAGGACGTCGGGCATGGGCATGGTGCGCGGCGGCATCTTTGCCGCCATGGCGGAGCGGCCCAAGCAGTCGCGTGTGTCGACGGGATCGCGCGTCTCGTTTGCAGACCAGCTCTCGCCCGCCTCGATGCGCTTCGACGACATGTCGAGCCGCAGGGAGGACGAGCTGGAGCGCTCGCTTCAGCAGTCGCGCGGCGCGGAGAGCTTTGTGTCGGCGTCGGGTATCGACCTCGCCACGCAGCGTGCCATTGCACGCCTCGACGATCTCACGCGCCGCAGCTTCTTTTCTGACGACGGCGGACTGCACCTCGACGAGGACGACGATGACGCCAGTGCAGATGCAGACGCGAGGCGCAGGACGAGTGTGGGCAGATCCATGTCCGAGCCGCTCGAGGGCGAGGCGGATGGCTCGATCGTCGTGTTTGATAACGTCGACGACGGGTATGGCATGCATGTGGAGGAGGACGAGGTGTCGGATAGCCTGGCGATCGAAGGCGACGACGATTCGGACGGCGAGGTACGCAGGCTGGAAGATGGCTCGTTGTCGCGCGAGGCGATGGGACGAGAAGACGCATCCGGAAGTGGCGATGACAGCCGCGTGTCGCGCGTCTCGTTTGCCGACCAGGACGAGGTGTCGTTCCAGGTGGACGATGCCTACTCGGACGACGACGATGTGCAGTACGGTCTGTCGTCGATGCAGGAGGAGCTGGACGACGATGACGAAGAGGACGGCGATGAGCGCGATGCCTCTGCGCGTCGACTCGACCTGCTGGACGCCAAGGACCTGAATGCTTTGCTCAAGCGACGTATCGTCAAGAAGCGGCGGGCGCGCAAGTCGCCGCACACGGGCAACGCGGTTCCGCCGCTGCCGGCGTCGATCATGCGCGACATGTTTGCGTCGTTCCTGACACCTGCTGCGTCGTCGTCGGCCTCGCTGCTGAGCAGCTCGGGCTCGGCACCGGCCAAGAAGGCCAAGCTGGACGCGACGGTGTTGGACGAGCTGGATGCGGCGGCGCACGACTTTTTCGCCGACTTTGCGGCGAATCTGTTGCAGCAGGCCAAGGCTCGCACGAGCCGACGCGCGGGCGAGGGCATGTCGATCAACGAGGCGGATGTGGTGGGCGTGCTCAAGAGACAGGGCCGCGTGACGCAGAGACACGACGCGAGCTCGCTCGCGCACAGGCTGATGCCGAGAGAGCTCACGGATCAGATGGAGCTCAGCAGGTGGGCCAAGACGGGAACCGTGCAGACTACGCTCGGCTTCAGCGCCAAGAAGAAGAAGGCGAGGGCGGATAAAAGCATGGCCGATACCACGGCGGCTAGCAGTGCGGTGCTCGAGGACGAGACTATGTAGGAGACCGCCAGTCGATTGAATGTGCATCGCTCTGTGTTCGAAGAATGTGTGGCGTGTGTGTGGGGGCGCGGACAAAGCAAGGAAGGGCCTGGGGAGACATGTTGGCGCTGCCCTTTCATAGAGACAAAGGGGAGGAGCGGAAAAAACTGAGCACGTTTGCTCCACCTCTCTCTCTGGCTCTGCTGGAGCGCTCAAAAATTGACTTTTCTTTTTTGTTCTTGAGGTGGCTCGATCGCGGGTTGTTACTTTCCAGGAAGCCACCATCATCGTCTGCAACATTCATCAACATGATCGCATCTACGCTCACACGATCTATGCTGCGTGCAGCCTCGCGTGCACCGGTTGTGCGTGCTGCGGCTGTTCGACCTGCGCTTTCCGTTTCGCGCGTGGCCGTGGCGCCCGTGCGTGCGTTCAGCCTGACGCCTCTCGCTCGCGGTCAGGGCGAGTCCGACTCGGAGCTGAGCGCCAAGCTGGCCCAAGAGCTCGAGTACGAGCAGGAAAACTCGAACCTCTTCGTGGGTGACTCGCCGACCAACGAGCCCGGGTTCGTGACCGAGTTCAAGCAGGCGGGTGTGTGGAAGATCAACGACCAGCCCGGATTGGACGAGGTGACGCTGTCGCGCGAGTTTGGCAACGAGCACATTTCGGTGGTCTTCAGTGTAGGCGACATCGACACCTCTGAACAGCCCGCGATGGAGGGCGAAGAGGCCGCACCCATCGAGGTCGAGGACGACGAGGAGGGCCCGCAGTTCCCCGTGCGCATCTCGGTCACCATCACCAAACCCTCCGGCGGCGCCCTCATGATCGACGCATTCGTCGTCGACGGAGAGGTCAACACCGACAACATCGCGTTCTACAAGGACCAGAAACTCGCCACCACCATCGATGCCGAGGCCGACTTTGCAAGGAGGGGCACCTACCTAGGCCCCCAGTTCGACACGCTCGACGAGAATCTCCAGAGCCAGTTCGAGACGTTCCTCGGCGAGAGGGGCATCGACGCAAACCTGGCGCTCTTCATCCCCAACTACGCAGAGTACAAGGAACAGCGCGAGTACTGCGATTGGCTCTCGCACGTGCGCAACTTTGTCGAGGCTTGATGCTGGAACTTCATTTGGTCCGCGGATGTTGTGCTGTAATGTCTAGCTACCCTCCTCTCTTTATCATGATCTCTCCGTGTGTGCAAGCGAGAGACTGTGCAAGAAGGACCGCTTTGGATGCCGCGATACGACAACAGCTTCTGCCTAGGCGAGTGTGTCTGCGTGTGCAGGGCGGATGATGAGACCACGACAGCCAGCATGCTACCTCGTGGTGCGAATCTAACCAGTGAGATTTTTTTTTTCGCAAGGCCGAATTCCGACGGCGGCGTCTTCGAAAAATTTGGGCGGATTTCTGTGCGTTTTCCAGGGTCTTTTTCGCGCTGCCTCTCTGACGGCTCTTGCTTCCTGCTGCTCATCATCCACATCCTCACGCAACATGTCGTCGAACGAAGCAGCGCCCGCAGTAACGACGGCGGACACGGAGCGACCGCTCACGAACAAGGAGAAGCGCCAGCTGGCGGTTGCGCAAAAGCGTGCTGCCAAAGAACAAGCGCTGGCGAGCAAGACGGATTCGCCCGCCAAGCGCAAAGCCTCCGCCACCTCCGCAGAAAATGCAGAAGGCGAGCAGGTAGAGGAAGGTGCAGAGGAAGAGGAGGTAGAGGTGCTCTCGCACAAGGAGCAGCGTCGACGCAAGAAGCTCGCCAAGCATACTGCTGATGGTGAGGAGGAGGAGGCGGGGCCGAATTCGCTCATGCACCCGACGCGGGCACTGGGCACATCGGCAGCAGTGCAGCCTCGGAGTGGGTTTAGCATCTGGGTGGGTAATCTGTCGTTCTTCACGGCGCCGGCGAAGCTGGTGGATTGGTTCGAGCAGAGGGGCGTGGATGGGATCTCGAGGGTGAATATGCCCAAGGGCGCAAGGAGGGCCGAGATGAACCGCGGATTCTGCTACCTCGACCTGCCGTCCAAGGACCTCCTCACCGCCGCACTCAACCTTTCGGAACAGCCACTCGACGGCAGGAAGCTGCTGATCAAGGATGGCTCGGATTATACGGGTAGGCCGGATATCAATACGAGCGCACTGGGGATCGCGCGCAACTTGCCCAGCGCTACGACGTCCATGCATACCGCCAAGGACGATGACGAGGAGAAGGAGGAAAAGGAGAGACAGGTCAAGGGAAAGACTGGATTGACAAAGACCGCGCAGAAGGTTCTCAGGGCCCAGAAGAATGCGCCGAGCATGACGCTGTTTTTGGGCAATCTGAGCTTCAATACCACCGAGCAGGGGGTGAGGGAGCTGTTTGATGCAAGCGCACAGAGGCGCAACCCGCGCACCAACAAGAACAAGAAGCAGAAGAAGGAGCGCAAGCCCAAGAAGGCCTCGTCCGAGTCCGGTTCTTCGGATTCGTCCGACTCGGAGTCGGAGTCGGACTCGTCGTCGTCATCGGACTCTGACTCTGAGCCTGACTCTGAGACGGAACCCTCTGCAAAGGACGACACGAAGGACGACACGAAGGACGGAGTGAAGAGCGTTTCTACGGGCGACGTTGTTCCGTCGGCGGCGGGCATCCGCAAGGTGCGACTGGGCACGTTCGAGGATGCGCCGACCAAGTGCAAGGGGTTCGGATTCGTCGACTTCCACACGCTCGACCAAGCCACAGCGTCGCTCATCGACCCGCGCAACACGTTCCTCGATGGCCGTAAGCTGTTGCTCCAATACGCCGGAGCCGACGCCACGCGCCGCGGGGCGTCCAAAACCCAAAAGACACGTCTGGATGCTCCGCGCGAGAACAAAAAGGTGGGCTTCATGCGTAAGCGTCCGCGCGACCAGTACTCTCAGCCCGAAGAGGCACAGCAAGAGGCGCCTGCACCCGGATCGTTTGATCCAGACGCACCACTGCCCAAGAAGCACAAGGAGACCAAGGAAGAGCGTGCGGCACGTAGGGCGGGCCCACAGAGGAGGGCCAAGCCGGGTGCAGCTCTGGCAAATGCTCCCCGAGCGAGCGTGGGCATCGTACAAAGCACAGGCACCAAGGTCACCTTTGACTGAGTTTTCAATTGCAGATTGTTTCGAGTGGGATGAGGGTAGAGTGGAGACCGGTGGGGGTGAGATGTTGCAGCTCGATGTGCGGTGAGGACGGGGTGAGGTGGCGACCGATGATGAGGCGGTACGTGTAGCCGGTGAGATCGGCATCGGCGAGTTTGGCACCCAGCTGGGCGCGGCGATCGTCGATCACCACCTCGTGCGCCTCGTCGCTCGACCAACCGACATCATCTTGAGTTGGTTCACCCAGGATGCCTGCGAGGACGGCGTGGATGGAGAGATCGTGCGTGCGCGCCTTTGTGATGAGACCATCGTACACGCGAGAAGCTGCATCGAGTTTCGCCGCATCGCGCGTGTCGGCAACCAGGATCGCGGCAGTAAAGGGCGAGACGTGGCGGGGCCAGAGAAGGCCCGGTTTGGACGTGGCCTGGGTAAAGTCCGCAGCGGCTTTTTGGGCCAGAGCACCCAGGATGCGCGATACGCCAATGCCGTAGCAGCCCATCTGGAACGGCACCCTCCCATTGCTCATCGCCGCGCCGGAGGTGGCTTTGAGAGCGGCGGTCGGGAGAAAGCCCGCTTCGAGTGCGCGACTATACCGCTCGCCGAGAAAGAACGTATGCCCTACTTCGATCGCGCGCGTCTCGTGCAGCGAACCAACGCTCTTGCAGCTAGAGCAGGTGTCGTTGGCTTGTGCCGTGCGCACGTCGACGAGGGTAAGTGCAGGTGCCACGGGTGCGTCTCCATTGAACTGCGCGGGAAATATCTCTCCAAGAGAAAGAGACGGTGAGGATGGAGAGGCAGAGGGAGAGGAGTATGTGGACAGGGCGGTGGCGAGGGCATCGTTGAGTTCGGCGGGGTCGAGCGATGCGCATTCAAAGTCGGCCAGGACGGCGAGTGTGCTGTATCGGATAAGCGGACCCTCTGGACGGTCCTTCCAGTCCCACTGTGCCGGTGAGGGTGAGGCAGAATCGTATAGCAGCTGCGTTCCCGGTGCGAGCGAGGATGAGAGCTTGGCCGCTTTGACGGCGTTGAGCTCGCGCGTGGCGGGGAGCACGAGTGCGTGTATTGTTGTATCGTGCACGTCCGGGTCGGTGCAAGCGTACAGCAGCACGCGCACGTCCGAGGCGCTGATGGGCATGTGTTGTGGATCCGGCATCGACACGGCCTTTTCGGTGTTGGCCGCATAGCCGCACTTGGTGCATGTGATGAGCGTATCCTCCCCCGCTGCATCCTGGACATGGTACTCGTGCGACTTGTTGCCGCCTATCGCGCCGGTATCCGCCTCGGCTGCCACCCACCTGCGTCCATGCGCACCGGTAAAGATGCGGTCAAAGATACGTGTGTATGCCGCGCTCACGTCGTCATACGCCGCCGCGGCGTCGGCAGCACTCTTGTCGAACGAGTAGAGGTCTTTCATGAGGAACTCCTTGGTGCGCAGCAGGCCCATGCGCGGACGCGGCTCGTCGCGGAACTTGCGTGTGATCTGGTAGACGCGCACGGGCAGCTGCCGGTCGCTCTCCACTTCGCCCGCCACCAGCCGCGTCACTTCCTCCTCGTGCGTCGGGCCCAGCACATAATCGCTATCGCGACGATCGCGCAGTTTGTACAGCTCGCTGCCCATAATCTCATACCTCCCCGTTTGGCGCCACAGTTTGGCAGGGAGGAGGGTGGGCATGGCGAGACGCGATGCGCCGATGGCGTGCAGCTCCGAGTCGATGATCGCGGTGAGCTTGCGCACGATGCGCAGCGCATTGGGGAGGAGGGTGAACACGCCCGAGGAGGAGGAACGGATGTAGCCGCCGCGAAGGAGGAGCTGCAGCGACGCGAGCGTGTCGTCCCCCGAGGCGGTGGACGAGGCCTTGTGCGTGGGCTGGAAGTAGGTCGATAGCCGGATCGGATGCAGCTGCCTGCGTTGGATAGGGGTCGACGAGGAGGAGGCGCGCGCGTTGGCAAATGTGCGCAGCGGGCGAGATGCCGGTCGCGCCGCAGCGCAGCCTCGTGCGTAGCAGGCCATGGCTGTGCCGCCTGGATGGTGATGGAGTGCAAGCGGTTGGAGCATCGCTCGAACAGGGTCCAGACACACAGCGAGGCGCTGCACATTCTTCTCGGCTCAATCCTCCACCTCAGATTAGTCATGCTTAATAAAGAGGGAAAATGTTCGGCCCCGAAAGTCCGGCTGATCTTGGGTGTCGAAAAAAAAAGGTTCGGACCAAAACCAGCGTTGGCGCGCGTTGGGGACGAGTCGGAAGCCGTCGAAGCCGATTAGCCGGAGAGGAGAGCGGGGCGCGAGGCAGCTTAGCTGAGCTTTGTCGCTTTGAAAGCAGACAGCCTTGCCGACGCCGCCAGGCCAGTTTGGGCTTTGCTCCGGTCTGGCCCGCCCGCTGGGTTGAAGCGAGACGAAACTCCCTGCCAGCTTCGTTTGACCGTTGGGAGTCGAGCAACAGCCGTGAGCCTCGTTCGATCATCACGAGCATGGGGTTAGAACGGGAGGATGGAGCGTTGGATCGTGGCAGGAGAGGGAAATGGTGAGGTCACGCTGGTGCAGAGCGGTGCGTGCGGCCGTCAACACCGGTGCGAAGGGCCGAAAAGGCGAAGAGGGCGCGTGCCAGAAATTGCGCCGCTCCGGAAGCGCGAAAAAAGGAGCGGCCGGTGCAGCGCAGTGCAGTGCAGACAAGCAAGGACGGTTGAAGCTGAAAGGGCAGCAGCCGTCGATGCGCGCGCATCCGCATCAAACAATAAATACTCTGGGCCCCCGCATATCCGTCCCCGCAACTGTTCTTCACCAACATCATCCCCCACTTCTCCCCATACACTTTCTTCACCAAAAACATGTCGCTCCGATCGTCTTCGAGCCGCCTTCTGGCGCGCACTGCCAAGCAGGCCGTCGCTGCTCCGCGCGCACCGGCGCTCGCCACCGCACGCGGTCTCACCACCGCCTCGCGCACCGCCGCCTGGAACGCCGTGGCGACCAAGCCCGCCGCGCAGAAGCTCGTCTCTGCCGTGCGCGCATTCTCGAGCTCCTCCGCCGCCGCCTCGGACTTTGAGTCGCCATTCGGCGTCAACTCGCTGAGCAAGTTCACCGAGGAGGAAGAGATGCTGCGCGAGGCGGTGCAGCGATTCGCCCAAGACGTCGTCGCCCCGCGCGTCGAGGCGATGGACGAGGCGGAAAAGATGGATCCCGAGATCATCAAGGGCCTCTTCGAGCAGGGCCTCATGGGCGTCGAGACCTCGGCGGACCACGGAGGCGCAGGCTGCTCCTTCACCGCCGCCATCATTGTGATCGAGGAGCTCGCCAAGATCGACCCGTCCGTGAGTGTGCTGTGCGACGTGCACAACACGCTGGTCAACACGGTGATCCGCAAGTACGCCAGCAAGCACATCCAGGACAAGTACCTGCCGCAGCTGAGCGAAAAGTCGCTCGGCTCGTTCTGTCTCTCGGAGCCGGCGTCGGGATCGGACGCTTTTGCGATGAAGACGAGCTGCAAAAAGTCCGAGGACGGCAAAACGTGGACGCTGAATGGATCCAAGATGTGGATCACCAACTCGGCCGAGGCCGAGTTCTTCATTGTGTTTGCCCAGAGCGACCCCGCCAAGGGATACAAGGGCATCAATGCTTTCGCGGTGGAGAAGAGCATGGGTGTCGAAATCGCAAAGAAGGAGAAGAAGCTGGGTATCCGTGCATCCAGCACGTGCACGCTCAACTTTGACGACATCAAGGTACCTGCCGAGAACCTGATCGGCGAGGAGGGCAAGGGGTACAAGATTGCCATCGAGATCCTCAACGAGGGCCGCGTGGGTATTGCGGCGCAGATGATCGGTCTTGCGCAGGGTGCAGTGGACAAGGCGGTGCGCTACGCGGCCGAGCGCAAGCAGTTCGGCAAAAAGATCACCCAGTTCCAGGGCATGCAGTTCCAGATCTCGCAGATCATGATGGAGATCGAAGCTGCCAAGGCGCTCACGTACAACGCTGCGCGTCTCAAGGAAGAAGGCCGTCCGTTTACAAAGGAGGCGGCAATGGCCAAGCTGTTTGCATCCCAGGTGGCCCAGCGCGCAAGCGGAAGTGCCATCGAGTGGTGTGGCGGTGTAGGCTTCACGCGCGAGACGGGCATCGAGAAGTTCTGGCGCGACTCGAAGATCGGCGCCATCTACGAGGGCACGAGCAACATCATGCTCGAGACCATCTTTAAGCTCGTCGAGCGCGAGATGGATCTCAAGTGAAGAAAAAAAAGCAGCTTTTTAGCAAATGGCAATTGAAGAGTGGTTTTGGCTAGACGCAGCGACCGCCGTCGACGGGAATGTCGATGCCTGTGATGAAGTTGGATGCGGCGTCGGCGAGGAATAGACAGGCGTTGGCAATGTCGCTTCCCTCGGAGAGACGGCCGATGGGGATCGAGGCGTGGAACTGTGCCAGTTGTTGGGGGGACATTGTATCGCCTGCTTCGGCTGAGCCGGCGAACTTTGACAGCCTATGAAAAAAGAGAGGAAGAAGAAGGGTTGGTGAAGTGTGCTTTGGTGTGGAGAGAGTCGGATTGACTTACAGGGGGGTGTTGCCAGCGACGGGCGAGACGGTATTGAATCGGACCTTGTGTGGGGCGTATTCGACGGCGAGCGCCTTGGTCGCTGTACTAACCGCCCCCTTGGACGCATTATCTATCGCACCCCCGCAACCAAAAAGGTTGTCAGCATCAAGTTTTGTTTCAGAAGGTTAGGTCCAACTTACACCAGACGAGTTTCGGTCTGGGCCTAATAGCGGCAGTGCTGGAGACGTTGACAAAGACGGCATCGTCGAGTTTGGCCTCGAGCATGGCGGGGAGCACGACGTCGGTGCTGAGAAAGACGGACTTGACATTGATCGCAAACACCCTGTCGAAGTCTGCGTCGGTTACGTCGAGCGTCGGCTTGTTCGAGTAGGTCCAGCCGGCGTTATTCACCACCACGTCCGGCACCACCGCCCACAGCTCCTTCACCTTCTTCAGCGCCTCCACCCACGAATCTCGAGATGTAATGTCGGCGGCTACAGCGTAGATGCTGGTTGTGGCAGAGGAGGGTATGAGAGAGGTGCTGTCGGGGCTGGGAGTGTAATACCCAGCCGAGGGAGTGAGAAGGTCCAAAACGAGGATTCGGGCACCGTGGGAGGAGAAGAGCGAAACGATCGACGAGCCGAACCCCCGCATTCCGCCCGTAACGATACACACCCGGTTGGAAAGTCGTGACATCGCGCGCAAGATAGATTGGTGATGGTGGTGATGGAGACAAGGTGGAGAGGTAAGTTGGCGCAAGACAAGGCCGGCTTTATATGGTCAGTGCGGCCAAAAGGTGCGGGGTAAAAACCCGCCTCCCCCCCCCCACTCCCAACACCGCCCGCGCGCGCAAGCAGTCTAATCCCGACGCACAATATCGGAAATATCAACACACACCCCCTTTCCCCCACACACAAACACTTTTGGACAAGACAAAAAAAAAACACTGCACAAAGGCGATACCGATTGGGAAGGGGGGGGGGGGGCCACTGAAGATCTACATCCGCCTGGCCGGTGCTGCTCCTCCTCCTGCGTACGGCTTGCGGCCTCAGCACCGACACCTTCCTCACCCCGCCCGCCGCCGCTGCTGGTGGAGGGGCGACTTTGGCACGCTGCGCCGCTGCGGCTGCTGCACGCGCTGCACTCGCCGCCGTCGGCGCAGTCAGCCGGCTAGAGCCGCGCGAGACGGTGGCGGTGGTGCTCGACGTGCTCGAGCTGCTCACGCTGCGCGAAGAGGGGGCGGCGCGCAGCTCGGCGCTGCTCTTCTGTGCGCGGACTGCGCGTGCCACCGGCACAGACGGTGTTTTGGCAGATACACTGCGCACACCCGCCCCTCCACGTCGAACTCCAGCAGTGGTGCTAGTGGTGGTGGTGGTGGTGGGGAGCGTGGGCTTGGATCGGACTGTGCGCAGCACTTTAGGGGCGGCGACGGGTGCGCGCGCATTCTCATCCACCACCACCGCCGCCGCGGCGGCGACAGGCTTGGGCGCAGGCTTGGGCGGCGAGGCGCGGTCGGTTTGCGGGATGCATGCGAGGACTCCAAGCACCTCGGCGTCGGTGGTAACGCGTGCGACGAGCGGCGCGATCTTGACGGGGCTGGGATGGCGCGAGGTTCGTGTGGGCGGCGTGGCGGGTGGGGGGCTTTTGCTGTCGCGCAGGCCGTACCGATCGCGAATGCCCGGCGAGGCGCGAACCACCTCCCTCGCTGAGCTGGCGGGGCTTGGACTGCGGCTCGAGGAGCGCACGGGTGTGGCGATGGCGATGGAGCCGACCGTGCTGGCGCGCGGACGCTCGAAGCCTCGTACGCGCGCGACGGGGGATGGCGTCCCCACCGCTGCCTTGGGCGACGCGCGCAGCGGAGTGGCTACGTTGATGCGCGCTTCGACCAGCACGCCCGCTGTGCTCCCGCCCGTAGCACACGCGTCGAGAGAGGTGTTTTCGTCCAAATCCGAGTCGGTGTCGACGTGCACAGCGTTGGTGGCGCGAAGCAGGTGCTGGCTGAAGGAGGAGGCGCCCGTCGGGTAGCGGCGCGTGTTGAGTTCCAGCCGCGCCACTGTCGCGGGCGCCTGGATGGCGGGTCGCTTGCGAGAGGGCGACGGCGACTTGCGCGGCTGCCCCACACATGGTGCCGGCTTGACTCCTGGTGCCGCCGACGCAGGCACGGCGCGCGACCCCCCACGCTGGGCGCGTGGCGTGATCGGCGCCTCGTCCGCCTCGCGCTTGTGCTTCTGCCGCGGCCGCGCCACCTCCTCATGCTCCTCTGCGTCTGTATCCGAAGCTCCGTCCTCGTCCGCCACACTGTCGTCGCCCGCCACCTTGGCGGCGTCCGACCCGGCCGCACGCCGCTTGACCGCGCGTGTCGTCGACGGCGGCGTGCTCGGCTTGTACTGCGCCTCGAGCCGTGCCTTCTCCTCGGCGAGCAGCTTGCGCGCGTCGGCGAGCGCGTGGTCGCGCACACCCCACTTGACCCACTCGACAAAGTTCTGGTACATGAAATGCTGCTGCGGCCCCACCACGCATCCGGGCCGCATGAAGCGCATGAATCCAATCGCCTCGCCCGCGCTAAAGCCGTGCTTCCACACGAGGTAGGCGCCGATCAACACGCCGGTTCGACCGAGCCCGGCCTTGCAGTGCACGGCGACGACGCCGTCGTTGCGAATCACCTCGTCTGCGCGCGCGATAAAGTCGGCGAGGATGTCGTCGGTCGGATTGGAGCCGTCGTCAAAGTACATGTCGGCATGCTGGATGCCCGCCTGCACAAAGGCGTCGCGGTCGTACAGCGGATTGTTGAGGCGCACCACGAGCTGGACACCGCGCTCCTTGAAGTAGCGGATGGTGCGGCCGAACAGCTTGTCCTCCCCGGGTGGGCGGAAGGTGTAGTTGGGAGGCAGACGGCCATCGCCCGTGCGAAGCGCCTCGACGTACGTGCGGTCGTTGGGCGAGGCGAATGCGATAAAGTTGGGCGTGATCCAGTTCCAGTCGCCGTTGTGCACCTGCTCGTACTTTTCGTACTCGTCCAGGTTGAATGTGGTGAGGTCGAGCAGGCCGTGATTGATGGCGCGTTGGACGCCGTACAGCACGTCCTGGATGGACAGATTGTAGTCGGCGCGCCCGTAGCCGGCGTCGCGGAACGGCTTGAACTCGAGCTCCGAGATCGGATAGAAGGCGTCGGCGGGCGACACCTTGCCGATGATCATGGCGTACAGCGTGGCGAGCAGCGCCGCATTCGCCTTTTGCGCGGGCGCGTGCGTGGTGTAGAGCACAAGCGTCGCATCCTGCATGTCCGGATCCGTAAGCATGTGGTGCACGTGCAGGCAGAACCGATAAAACATGCCGACGTTCAGAGGGCCCCAGTCGAACCAGAAGCTCAGGTACACCAGGTCGTGGTCGATGTTGAACCAGTGCAGCCGCGCCGGCTTGGTCTCGGCCGCGTCGACGTACTTGCTCACCTCACCGTCGTCAAAGTTGGTCCAGGCCGCGGCATGGCCTGCGTCGAGGTTGAGCTCGTCTTCGTTGGGCAGCGAGGCTTCGAACCAGGTGAACCACAGCCGCTTGTGGATGCGGATGAGCGGATGCGCCGGCCACAGCTTGCCCCTGGCTGCTGAGCGCGCACGTCTTGCGGGCGACGAGGAGGAAGAAGCAGCGCCCGGTGCGTCGTGGAGCACGGCCGACTCGATGAAGTGGTCGTCCGGATGCGGGGTGCCCTCGGCATCCGAGTCGAGGAAGTCCGAGTCGTCCGGTGCGATGATGTGCTCCTGCTGCTCGGCGAGCGCAAACGCAGATGGCGAAGACATGATGCTCCCGGCGTCACTCTGAGCGCTGTCTAGCGTGCGGCTGTGAGTGATGAATCGTTGGAATCGAGATGTGAAATGCTGGCAGCTGGTAGCATGGATCGGAAGCGATGCGGGCTGCCAGCGCAGAGCAAAGCAGAGCAGAGCTAACCTAAAGTGGTAGGTTGTTGGTTATGCGATAGCTAAGATGGGGAGGGTGAGAGGTAGTGATGAGGTGGGGATGGGGGGAAGGAAACAATCATCTCGAGTTCTCTCTCGCCCTCGGATATCGGAGCCTCGAGGCGGACGGGCTGACGGGCGGAAGGGCCATGTTTTGGATCCGATTTGGGCAGCTCGCAGATTTCCAACCACGCGTTTTTCCCCAGCAGGCACGCGTGACCTGTGCCTCCCTGCGACCCTGCGCCGGCTCTTCTCCACAACAACACCCTCGAAATCTCCACTTTTCAATCTAACAATTTGATGCCAAACGCACTCTGCTTCCTCCACTTACAAGGCCCTAACGCAACCGATTCGCATGGCAGCAAATCATGGCATTTCTGGTGGCTCTACGACAAAACCAAACAACCAATTCGAGAAAAGCATGAGCGTGAGGTGTTTACTTGACCTTGACGGCGACAAAGGGCACCTCGACATCCTCGCCCTCGCGGTCGTCGGCCATGATCTCGACAATCACCCAGTGCGCGTGCGCCGGGATGGGCTTCTTGGAGACCGTCTCGATGAGCGTCGACATGTTCATCTTGAGCCGCTCCTCGCGCTTCTTGGCGGGCAAGAAGGCCGAAAAGAGCATCGAAACACCCGAGCTGAGCATCGACACCTCGAGGCCGTGCTCGTTCTGGAAGATGTCGAGGAACTCCTGCAGCGTCACGTCGCGCTCCACCTTGAAGCGCGACCAGAGCGTCCATTCGGTGTCGTTGTACTTGAGCTTCTGCGCTGCGATCGGATCGCTGAATGCAATGAACGGAAGCGCAAGGTTGACAAAGGCGTTCGAATACGCCTCGATGCTCTTCTTCTCGTCAAGCAGCTTGTACAGCTCCAGATTGACCAGTCCCGTAGCGAGAGCGGTCGTGGTGGCGATGGCTGGGATGATCTTGCCCGCAATACCCTTGGTCTGGTGCTTGTCGGCGGGAGAGATGCCGTAGTTGGTCGCGCGCAGGTTGGACGCCGCGGTGATAAAGTCCATGTGGTGGTTCAGGTCGTCGTCCTTCTCCATCTCGATCGGCTGCAGTCGGAAGCCGGCGAGCGACGACGCCTCGGGCAGGCTGCTCGTCACGTCGGTCAGATCGCCATCGCCTCCGCTGCCGGCGTTGTTCACCGCCTCGTTGTCGTTCACCTGGATCTTGACGTTGTCCTTGGGCACAAACTCGGGCACCGTCATCGAGCCCAGCACCTTGCGGAACAACGCTGCGTCCGCCTCGCCCTTGAGGCCGTAGTTCTCGGCGTGCAGCAGCGCACCGCTCATCACGTACTCGAGGTGCATCGGATCGTCGACATTAAAAGTCAACGGCTTGGGCGCACGCTTGGGGCCCGACCAGAACGGCTGGCCGCTCGACGTGACCGCATCCGCAGGCAGCGAGTGCAGCAGCTGGCGGATGACGTTGCTGTAGTTCTCCTCGAAGCGCATGCGCGCCCAGTAGATGCACTGCTCAAACGTCTTGGGCCTCTCGTCCACCAGATACTGCTTGATCTGGTCCAGCTGCTCCTTGGCGCCCGAGCCCGACTTGAGCGTGGTCTCAATGTAGTCCGGCTGGCTCAGGTACGCGTTGACGTTCTCGGCGGGCTTGAGGAAGAGCTCGTCAAACTGCTCGCGCGCCCACTGGATCGTGTGCTCGATCGCGTTGGGGAAGTTCTTGAGCGTGCACACGGGGATCGACTTCTCGGGCGGATCCTGCGACGACGAGTACGACTCGGTGAGGTGCGGCACCACCACCTGCGTGTTGGCCTTGGTGCCCAGCGTGCCCGACTCGAGCAGCGGCTTCTCGTAGTACACGCAGCGTCGGTCCATGTACTGGCGCGCCTGCACGTTGTCCAGCGCGTTGGTGACGCCCGTGAGCGACGCAAAGAACTCGTCGCCGTACACGTCCTCCGTCTCGGGACCCACGCGGTTCTGGTGGCTGTGGATCTTGCCCTTGAGGTCCGGGTTCATCTCGGCCACCGCCGCCGCCGCCGTGTCCGCCTTGAAGTGGCCGACGTCCTTTGAGCGGAAGAGGAACTGGCGGTTGAGGTTCGACTTTTCGATCGTGTCCATGTCGGTGACGTGGATGATGCCGTCGGGCCCGCTGCCGAGCCCCATCATGCTCCAGTTCTTGAGCATCTCGCATCCGATCGCGCCCGAGCCCACCAGGAACTGGCGCGCGTTGGCGATCTTGTTCTGGAACGTGCGGCCGAGCACGGCGATCTGGCCGTCGTACCTCGAGTTGGCGGGCGCAAACTCGCTCTCGGGCAGGCCGGGCACCGAGTCGGGAAGCGACTCGAGCGAGTCGACGTAGAGATGCTGCACGAGCGGGTGGAACTTGCCGCTGCACGCCTTGAGCACCTCCTGCGCCACAAAGCCGCCGACGTAGGCCACCATGGGCGAGACGTCACCCTGCGCCTGGAAGGCGAGCTCGCGCACCACATTTTCGGGCAGATCGGCGGCGTCGTGGCCCGAGGCCTGGAAGATGCGCTTGGTGAGTTCGAGCACCTGGTCGGCGTCCTCGGCGTTACGCGGACGCGGCAGACGGCCGTTTGCCTGCTGGAACTGCGAGAGTGCCTGGAAGCCGGCGTGGAGGGCGGCGGGGCGGTCGAATTTGGCAAAGTCGGCGATGAGCATCTCTGGCTGGGCGGTGCTCTCGCGCAGCGACTTGAAGGCGATTTGCTTGGGCATCTTGACCTGCTTGAAGATGCCGCCGCGCTTGTACTCGCCGAGGCCCTTTGTGCTGCCGATGGTGAAGGTGTAGGGGCCCTTGACGCTGACCTTGCGCGGCTGGCAGCCGTTGATGGCGTCCATGCCCTGCACCTCGGTGAAGGTGACGTAGTCGCCGTCCTCGAGGCCGTGGCGCGTCTCGTCGAGCGTGGTGACCAGACCCTCGTCGTCCTCGCCGGCGATGGAGACGATCATGCCCGAGAGCGGCTGCTCGCCCGTGGGATCGTTGCAGAGAAAGTCGGGGCCAAAGTCGTTGAACACGGAGCCAAAGAGACCGCGGACCTCGGCACCAATGAAGTGGGTGGAGGTGGCGTGGGTGAGGTCGTTGATGCGCAGCTGCTCTGCGTAGAGGGCGTCGGTCATGGCGACGACCTGGAAGCGCGCAAGCACGTCCTTGGTGAGCTCGGACTCCTCGAGCACGCGGATGGGGACGTAGGTGTTGAGTTCGGCGAGGCGAGGCTGGGTAGCATGATCCCTGCGGACGGCGGCGGCTGCATCCTCTGGGCGGAGGAAGAACTGTGTGCTGAGGTCGGAGATGGAGACCGGGGTGGGGTCGAAGATGGTGATGCTCTTGACGCCGGCGAGAGCGACGTTCTTTGCGATCTCTGCGCCGAGGCCGCGGAGACCGACGACGAGCACGTTGCTAGCGGCCATGCGCTTCATGGCATCGTGACCGAGCACGTAGAGCTGACGGCTGTAGAGGCCCTCGTCGATGGCCTGCTCGGGCTGGTCGACCTTCATGTCGTCTGCCGCCATGGTTGCGGATGTGTGCAGCGCGCGGCCGGAAGGAAGCAGCGATCGATGTCTTTCCTCGTGTGTGTGTGGGAGTGGGTGTGGACAGAGCGAGGCGGCGATGAGAATGAAGATGATCTGCGTGTGTGTGTGTGTGTGTGTGTGTGAATGATGGGGATGATGAGGGTGAGGACACAAGCAAGGAAGGAAGAAGGGGACCGCCTTTCGAGACGTGGAGGCGTGCGGCTCAGCAGCGGCGCGCCGATTCGAGTTGGAACGGCAGAGAGTGCGCCCGTGCGTCGATCGGTGCTGAGTAAAATTAAGAGTGACGCACAAATCCAACCAGCGCGTTCGCCCGATGCGCCGCGCTGCCTAAAATCCGAATCGCCGTGCTCTCACACTCTGCTGCGCCGATCGATCACGCTGGCCACCACCATCTCAGCTCAAATGATCAGACGGTCCGGTTCGGCGATATGAATAGTGTATATGCTGCGATTCCTAGAGTGATACAAATGGTATGCTGACTAATGCTTGCGAGCTGTTGCTCGGTCTACTGAGGGTCCTGGTCGGGGGCACGCAGAGTACCGCGCGAATCGTCGTTCGACACCACCGACGCCGCCTTGGAGTGAGGGCGAGACTGGGCCGAAAAGTGCTCCCACATGTTGACCAGGTTGGCGGCGGGACCGGACTGTGCGTAGTCTGCGCCGTTGGCAGCATCCTGTGCGCCAAAGCCGTACGCGCCCGATCCGACGCCGAGCGTGGATGGCGGCGCCGAGTTGGTGCTGGTGGTGCGGGCGCCGTCGATGCGCTTGGCGGTGCGTTCGCGGAACTTTGCGCTCGAGTCCGGAGGCAGATCCGCCGACCTCCTCGACTCCAGCCCCGCCGAAGCCGACTGGGGAACATGAGCGGAAGCAAAGTGCTGTGCGAGGTTGTCGGTAGACATGGCGCGCGAGCTGGCGATCGAGTGGCCGCCTACGAGCGAGCGCGCGCGCGATCGTGTGCCCGTCACAGTGCGCGACTCGGCCGCGGGTGCGCCAAAGCGGAATCGACTCGGCGAGGGCGCACGCGAGCGCGAGATGGTGTGGAACTCACGTCCCGCCCTGCCATGGTGCATGTGCGGATGCGTAAACATGGCCTCGGCCTCTTGCTGGCTCACCTGATACTGGCTCGAGTGCGCCTCAAGAGCGGTCTCGGTGGATGCGCCGGGGATGGCCTTTCGCAGCAGGGCAGACGAGATCTTGAAGCCCTTGGCGATGGCCCACGAGACGAGGAATCCGACGAGGCGACGCTCGATCGAGTAGATGAGCGACGCAAACGGAATCACGCCCTCGATGGTCTCGCGCAGGCCCCAGGTGTCTTCGTGGCGCACAATGAGGCCGGCATCGTTGAACTCGAGTCGACTCATGACGCGCAGCTGGATGCTGCACAGATGCCGGAGCACCGCACGTGGATGGAAGAGCGACCAGAGCAGCGTACGCAGCGTCGCCCTACCCAGCCCCTCGCTCGTCCAGTGCGGCGTGAGCGCATCGGCAGGGATGGCCGGTCGCGCCGCCAACTGCTGCTGCACCAGCTCGGCGTCAATGTAGTGGTGCGCGCTGCTGCCGTTGGCCAAGCTGCCGAACGGATGCGCCGAGGCACCGGCTGCTTCGGGGTCGTCGCCATTGACGCCCGGCGGAGTATTGGTGGCGTGCGCCGAGAGCGGACGGATGCCGCTGGGAGCGTTGGGAGCATGACCGGGCGTATGCGGTCGCGAGCCGCCCCAGATGCTCGAGATGCTGAACGGCGTCGTGGGGCTGTGCGGATGGCTGGCGACGCGCGAGTAGGCGCTGTTGGCCGCGTAGTCGATGAACGGATGCGGCGTCATGGGGTACGCCGACGCCGAGGCCGAGTACGGATACGACGCGCGCGGGGTGCGGTTGACGTCGCTCGCGCCCGGGTCCGGCGTGGGCTTGGGCGTGGAGGAGCCAAAGAGCGCGGGGAGGAAGGTGACGGTGATGGTGTGGTCGATGATGCCTGCGCGCGTGCCGTCGAACTCAAAGTCGGAGCAGATGACGTCGCGCAGCTCGGACTGGACATCCATGCCGGGCAGGGCAAAGGCCATGATGAACTGGTTTGCGATCTGGTTCCTGCCGTGCGCCGAGAGGAGGGGCGACTCGAAGACGGCGCCCTTTTCGTAGTATCGCTCGACCATGTGCTTGACCTCCTCGGGCTTGCGCTTGCACGAGTAGAAGGTGTTGTGGAGGCCGAGGATGACGTCGGTGAGCGTGCTGGGGCTGGGCGGACCGGCGCTGAAGCCGGCGGTGGTGCCCATGCCGAGGCCGTGCATGGCCGGGTGGTTGGCGAGGCTGAGCTGGCTCGCGCTGCTCGAGCCGGCGTGGTGCGAGGCGGTGCCAAAGGCGGACTGGAGCGATGCGCCGTCGACGTTGGGAGGAGGAGGAGCAGCGCCGGTGTTGAGGCTCATGGGGTGCGGCAAGGCGCTGCCGGAGCTGCTCTGTGCACGACCGTGACCGCGCATGGAGAAGCTGCCGGGCGTCTTTGGTGCGCCGCCTGCCGAGACGGAGCCGGGGAAGTAGGATTCCGAGTGGGGCCCGGGCTGGCGCGGATGGTGCTGCCAGCCTGCAGGATGGGCGGAAGCCGACTTTTCGGCCATGGGCTGCGACGAGCTCTGACGACGATGTGCGGGTGATGCGGCTGCGGAGGCATGGTGGGAGGGGTCGTCCTTGGTGGCGTTGGCGTTGCGGGGGAGGTCGATCTTGAGGTCGGCGGCGTATTCGCCAGCCTGCGCCGATTGGCCGGGGAAGGGGAGCGATGTAGACATGGCGTGGGAGTGGGGGTGGTGGGTGTATGCGTGATCTAGTGGTGGTGGGTTGTTGGCAGCTCAGACGATGTGGGTGATGCGCATGTACGATGAAGAGTGGGCGCGCACCAATTGCACTGCGAGGCGTGTGCAAAGGAGGGCGGCGATGGTGGTGCGGGGAACGTATGAAGGTGGTGGAGCGAAGGGAGCCAAACGTGGACGGCGTGTTTGTCATGGCGTAGGACAGGAGGCGTAGGACGAGGGCGAGCGTCAGATAGTGGCTCTGCTGCCCTGTTTTGCTTTGTTGGGTGGGCGGTGGCCACAAATCGGCGCTAAAGAAGCGAGAGAGAGGCAAATCAAAGACTGCCGTTTGCGGCGCCGCACAAAATCGGGAGCATTAATTTGGCGGTGACGTGCATTTCACGCTCGACCTTTGCTACTGCATGGCCAGCCACTGTCTCTGTATGCCACCGAGTGACGACACGGCCATCCACACCAACCTTGACCTTCACACCGCTGTCTCACGCCATGCATGTCTGGCACCCGCGTGGTCGCCCTTGCACTTTGCACCTTGCAGTGGTGCCGTGGTGGGAGCAAAAGAGCGGGGAAGCACGCTGCAGGATCGACACACGATCGGCATCGGCGTACGGGTTTGCGCCTCGCTTGCGGCACGCCTGCTGGTATCGCACTGTCATGGCCAAAGCGTATCAGCAGTGGCGATTGGATTCGGCGATCGAACCCTGACTGTATGCGGCGGCCTCGTGTTGGTGGTGCGGGGGAGATGGGCGCGTGGCTCCGGCTGCGCTTCCTCGCTTTTCTGCGTATTTACCTGGCCGCTTTTGCCCCAACACCTCGTCACCTTTGCTCGTTGCCAGAAGCCAGCATCTCGATGGGACCATCCGATCAATGCAGGCAGATACGAGCTTGACGAACCGACGATTCATCGTGCTCACACTTGCAAGCTGATGGCGCTGGTGGCGAAGCTGCACATGGCCATCGCCACATCCAGCCAGGGCTCGGCAGTGTTTCGCGTGAAAGGCGGGCGGTAACGCGGCGACAGAACAGCGTGAATTCCGCCCAGCTTTTGCACAAAAAAGTGAGGACTGATGGCGATGTAGATCTGACATTTTATTCCAAAAATTCGCGCAAGTCGGATCGACGCGAGGCTGTCCAGCTGCGCAGCACGTGCATGCTGTTGATCTTGCCCCTCCCCTTTGTGTGCCGCTCGCTGGGCCTCTGCGACGATCGGCCCTTTGTATTGGCCGTCACTTACAGCCCCTCGAAGATGGATGCGATGCGTTCGGCCGATCAGCCGGGCAGTTCGTTAGATACAGCCACATGCACCGGTAAGCACGATTTTCCGCCATGGCCCCAGCATGCGCCGACATCTGACATGTCTCGATCCACAGTCGGAAACTTTAAGCGCTCACCGTCGCGCCAACCGCTCAACCCCACTTCCGCGGCTTGGCGGCTATCTTGGTGACTGGCTTGGCTGCGGGAGGCGCAATCCAACTTCTAGTCGGGCCGGTAAGCTTCTCAACATCTCGCCCGGCAAAAAGACGCTTGCAGCCCCGGCGTTGAGGCTCAAAGGCAGTGCGGTGACTTTTGGCACTCAACAGGCTCGGGAGAGTTTTTGGGTTGCAGAGCCAAGCTTAGCTTGCCGCGCAGCAGGCTATAGGGGCTCGAGAGTTAATCTCTTCGACGCTAGCTCGAGCTTGCTTTGCTTCATCCATCTCATCCATCCTTTTTTGCGAGTGCGGATCACGTCCAACTGCGTTGGCACACTCTTTTCTTCTTCTTCTTCTTCTTCTTTCCGGGGGTCTGTTGATCAGATCCGTTCTTTTCATCCAACGAGGCGCATTGCTATAAAGAAGGCAAGCTTTGAGGAGAACCGGCTTTTTCCTCTTGGTCCACTCGTCGATCGAGGGACTCTTCGTTTTCACCTTTTCGATACGGTGCAGGACACCACACCACATTCCTTTTTGGCACAAGAACAACAACAACAACGATGAAGTTGGTTTCACTCGTGCTGGCCATGGCCAGTCTCGTCGCTTCGGTCACGGCAGCGCAGGATACATTTCCAATGGTTCAGGTGTCGCATGTGGGCAGCACAGCGACGACATCCGGACCGAGCATCGAGGAGCATAGTCGAGGGCTAAAATTCCGTGCGGATCGAGCGGACTTGACAACAGCACAGGCGGCGGGTAGGCGGTCCATTTGGCAGGTACTTGTCGGCAGCGAGGGCAAGAAGCGGAGGGCAGTCCCTTCTCGTGTGCGTCGTCGTCGAGCTGCTACCAAAAAGCGCCAGGCCGGATCGTGCAAAGCACCAACATCGACACAGACCTCTTCGTCAACCACCAGTGCACCGAGTCCTTCAGCTACGGGCGTCGACACCAAGACGGCCACCAACAAGATCATGGCCGGATACTGGCCCGACTGGGTCAACTCCAACTTCCCACCGGCGCAGATCGATTTCACCAAGTTCGACATGCTCAACTATGCCTTTGCGCTGCCCACGGCGCAGTTCGATCTGTCCATCCCCACCGACCCGTCTGGCGGGCTGTTGCGGTCGTTTGTCAAGGCGTGCAAGGCCGGTGACACCAAGGCGCTGCTGTCCATCGGAGGTTGGGGTGGTTCGACGTACTTCTCTCCGGCGGTGCGCACTTCGGCGTCGCGCAAGACGTTTATCACCAACATCCTCAAGGTGTACAACCAGTACGGGCTCGATGGGATTGATTTGGACTGGGAGTATCCCGGTCAGACGGGCGCGGGGAATCAGCTCGATGCGAGCGATACGGCCAATTTCCAGACGTTCCTCACCGAGCTCCGGGCAGCGTTGCCTCAGGGCGCGTTGATCACGGGTGCCGTCAGTCACAACCCGTGGATGGCGAGTAACGGTCAACCGGTGCAGAGTGTGGCGAGGGCGGCGGCGGCGATGGACTACGTCATGATCATGAACTACGATGTTTGGGGCAGCTCGAGCGTGCCCGGTCCGAACGCGCCGCTGGCGAATCTGTGTGGCAACTCGACCCAGCCCGGTGCGAGTGCGGCCGCGGGCGTCAAGCAGTGGAGCGCAGCAGGTATGCCGCGCAACAAGATCCTGCTGGGCATCCCATCGTACGGCTACATCAATACCAGCGGCAAGAAGACGCTCAGGACAAGAGCGGTGGGACTGTCGAGTCTCGATGGAAGCTCCGGGTCGGGTCAGATCAACTTTAACATGCTCGTGCAGCAGGGTGCGCTCAAGAAGGGCGCGGATGGCCTGTACGATGGCGCGGGCGGGTTTACAAAGTACTGGGACGACTGTTCCGATACGCCCTTCCTGTCCGATGGAAGCAGGGTCGTCAGCTACGACGATACCAGCTCCACTTTCGACAAGGGCGCCTTTGCCAGTGCCGCAGCCATTGGCGGCATTAGCATGTGGAGCATCGATGGAGATACCAAGGACTGGGCGCTCGTCAATTCGGCGATTGCAGGTATGAGCTCCACCACCGCCTCTTCATAGGCCGGCACCATCCCCCACCGCGCGGGTAATTTCATTCGTTGTACTGTTTTTGTATGGTGTTTGTGTGGGGAGGCGGTTCATGTGAGGGCGGTTGCAGTGCTACACGCGGGGCGGGTGTGTGAATATGAACGGGCACTGTTGTGAGAATGAAAGGCGGGACGGAAAATGTCGCGCAGTGGCAAGCTGCCGTCTTGGTACGAGTCATTGGCATGGTGGGGCAACGCGATGTCATGCCTCATATGCCGCCAGCGCTGCCTCTGGCCAGGAGGACGGTATAAGTAGATCGAGCTTCGTGTGTGTACTCTGGGCTGGGATGGTCGTCAACCATGGTTACAGTCGCCTTTCTACCTGCTGCGCGCGAGCGGTGTTGTCTGGACATCGACTCGCTCATCCGCACGCTTCCTGCGTCGATTCGCGTCACTCGACACGTGGATGCAGCCACCGACGCGCTGGTGTGGCTTCCCAACATCGCGCAGGGCAACACGGCGCCCGAAGTCGCAGCGCTGCTCGAGGGGAGTAATGTCAAGTGGGTGCAGCTGCCCATGACGGGGGTCGATGACTACACGCCCATCATCCGAGCCACGCGCGGTAAGATCCATTGGTCGTGTGCCAAAGTAAGTCACCTCCCTTTCCGGGTGTGGTGGAAGCAAAATCTGACATTGGGTGCAGGGTTGTTATGCGGTTGTGGTGGCGGAGCATACTCTGGCGCTGGTACTCAGCATGATGCGCGGGCTGCATCTGCAGCCCCCGCCCGATACGACGCGCGTCGATACCCTGCATGGTAAACAGGTGGTCATGGTGGGCAACGGCACTATCGCCACGGCACTCGTCAAGATGCTCCCGCCTCTAGGATGTGTGGTCTCGCCGCACGATTCTGCTTCGACTCCAGAGTGGGAAAAGGCAGACATTGTGGTGCTCGCGTGTCCGCTCACGGCCACGACGATGCATCTGTGCAACAGCGCCATGTTGAGGCAGCTGCGCCCCGGTGCTCTGTTGGTCAATGTGGCGAGGGGAGAGGTGGTGCATACGCCTGCACTCATCAGCGCCATCCGAGCAGGATTAAAGGCTGCCGTGGATGTGCTGGACGAGTCCCAACTCGACGCGGAACAGAAGGAGGAGATGCAGAAGCTTGTGCGCGAGGGAAGACTGCTTGTCACGCCGCACTCGGCTGTACCCATGCGTATCGTCCCGCAGGTGCTTGGCGAGAGGATCAGGCAGAATCTCGTCCGCATCGAACAGGGAACTTGGGACGATTGCATTGGCACCGTCGATCCGGACAAGGGCTACTAGCCCGACCTGTGGCGTAAAAGCGCCAATCCTTCCCGAGAATTGCTCCCATCGTGGAGATACCGCAACTCGGTTCCAGATTTGAAGACATGGCAATGCAATCACTTTCTCGTCCTGTTGGGTTTGAAGCTGCCGCGACCGCATCTGCATTGACTCATGTAACGAGCCGAAACACCGAGGTGCGACGTCAGTGTGCACTCGAAGCTGAAGTGCTCTTTCCTCCGCGCTCCGTTGCGCCCAGCGCCCTGACGTCCTCCTCCTTCCGCGACGTCCGACTTTTGGCTTGACCTACCGCCGTCGTGCGGGTTTTCGATCTCGATGGTCAGTGGCAGTGTTCGGATGCCTGTCGTCAATGCAGTACTTGGCGGTCGTGTGTTGATCAGCATGACCTGCACCCGGTTCGATCGAATTTGACGGAATCGCATCCGCGGGAGGGGTGTCTTCCACCGCCCCCGCAGCCAACTCCTGTTCTGTCAGGTCCAACCCTCGTGCATCGTCGTACAACGCTCGCCGTGCACTTGACCTGCACCCCGCCTCGCCGCTCACTCCTCGAACTGGACATACGATAAGATTGCAATGCATTGACGATCTCTACTCCTTCTGCTCCTTCTGCTTCTGCTTGGCAGCGTCCCTGGCGGCATTGGGCCTGCTGACAGCCAAACCGCGCGTCTTGACCCTATCCGCTCTGAACTTGTTGAACCTCGCGCCGTGTCTTCCTCTCGCATCGTCATTGCCTAACAACCGCGCCGCGTCGTCATCGTGCGCGGCAAGCGCGCAGTGCGCAAGCACCCAGCGGTACGCGACGGGAATCGCAAGCCCCAAAGCTTCCATGTCGAGCAACAAGCGCACGAGCATGGGATGCGGATTCAGCGCGCTCCACCGTCCGTGTGCGTTCCACTGCACGCGCGCTACCACCGACTCCAGCATCTCGCTGGTCGTCCACGTCGATACGTCCGACAGTCCCAAAGGTGCTGCGTCGCAGGCCGAATCTACTGCGCTACTGAGCGCCGCTTGATCATCGCCCTTGCTGCTGTAGTGTCCGCCTTCGAGATTGGCGGTGTCGGGATGCGCCGCCTTGTGCTGGTTGTGCTGGGCCTGCTCGAATCCACGTCGCAGCTGTGCCAAGACAGTCGACTGCGAGACATTGCTCTTGCTGCGTTGGGCCATGCCGGGGCGACGGCCAAAGACGCCCAGAAGCGCGTCGTAAAACCGACTGTCCGGACACGGCTCCGAACGCTGCATATCGCCACTGGTGCAAGCGGTTGGCGCCTTGCTTCCGGAATCCAGCCAGGCCTGCAGACGCTGGCGACGCCAGATCGACAGTGGGCGCGACACCTGCCAGTGATGCACGAGGAAGGCATACTCGCGTTTGGCGAGCACCCTTGCTGCTCTCCATCGGACACCTTCGCTTTGCTCCGCGGTTGTGTCAAGCCGCTGCGGCGCAGCTTGCAGCTTGCTCGATGGCGACCGACCGCGCACCGAAGCAAGAATGTTCCAGCCTCGTGCATACTCCTTCTTCGCCGCCATACGCAGCTTCCTGCGCGTCGCTGCTCCGCGCGGTCCCGAGAATGCGTGAAGCCGATCCAGTCGCGAGGGCTGCCCCGCCTTCGGGGCGCGTGCGGCCTCGCTGGCCAGAGTTTGCATGAGGATCGTGGCCGCTTCAACGGGCACCTTCCACGGCTTGCTGGCAACGTCGACAGATGACGACTGCAGGGCACTTTGCAGACTCGTGCGCTTGATCAAGCGCCACACGCGCAGCAGCAGCCCCGTCTTGCCCGCCTTTGATGCCAGGTTGAGCGCAGCAGTCAGCACATGCGGATGCAGGATGGCGTGGCGAGAGGCCCGGTTAGCCTTGGGCCGTAGATCGCTGCCCGAGCTGGGCTGCGATTGCGACGACGCTCCAGCCGGTGCATCCTCGTCTGTGAATTTGTGCCAGTGGCGCTTCTTGTTGAGCACGGGATAGATGCGCATGATGGCCTCCTTGACGCCAATGTGGCCCGGCTCGTGGCGGAAGCGCTTCAAGAACAATCCAGATGATGTGACGTACTGCAGTAGCGCTGCCAGACGATAGGTGTCGGCCTGGGCGATCGCCGAGTCGATCTGCTGGATGATGGGTCGAAGAGGTCGGCTGTCGGAAGCAGCTGGCGATGTGGCCGCAGAAAGATCTTGTGCAGCGACTACGCCCTCGGCCGGACCGGAAGCCTCCGGTACTTGGCGATCGGCGACGGCGTCCGGCTCTGCAGCTGCTTGCGAGTTCTCGGCGTGGCTGATGGTAAGCACTGCGCGAGCAAGCGACTGGTGGCGCTGCGTGGTGGCCTGGCGGAGGATGGTGTTGAGCGTGACGGCGTCCGGCTGCAACGGGGGCTGGCGCTGCTGAGTCATGTGCTGGAAGACCTCTTTGCAGATGGGCGGCGACTTGAGAACAGACAGGGCGTAGTGGATGAGCTGATTGTAGACAGCGATGCTGATGGGCGGGCGGACGACAGGATCACCGCCGAGCAGGATGTGTGCGCCTGCCTGCGGCTGTCCGTTCGGCAGAGCCTTCATATACTCGCGCAGGTGGTATCGGATGAATCGCGCCGCACCGTTGAGTTTGTGTCTGTGATCAGCGGCGGTAGAGCCATGCGTCGAAGCATCGGGCATGTCGGGCTGATTGAGCATCATTGTGGTCTCGAAGCGGCAGCAGGCGGAGAGGATCCAGGCGATCTCGGACGCACTGGGCGTGGGAGGCAGAGGAAGCTTGGCTTGGCGCACAAGGCGGAGCAAGTCGACCAGACACTCTGCGTGCTCCAGCTGCTTTGCGCCGAGTGCGTGCTGCTCGCGGGGCGAAAGCTGCGCCCACAGGTCGGGCTGAACGCGGTTGAGCAGATCCTCGGTGCGCCGCATGGCTGAGGTGATCTCGCGCAAAAGCTGGGAGCTTGGTTTGCCGGTCTCGACGATGAGCGCAGCCTGGTGACGCATTGAGGAGCGCGAACGCCTGGCATCTGTGTTGGCCTTCCACCATGCGCGGACCTCTGCTGCGTAGGTATGAGCTGCAAGTGTAGTGTGACCGGCCGCGAGCATGGCGCGGATCACGGCGGACTGTGACAAGGTGGACCTAGGCACGTGGGCGATGTGCATGGCAGCGACGAGAGACACGGCGGCGTCGAGGTGGTGCTGGGACTGGAAGCCGCGAACGGGACGAGGGCTGGACGCCGACGGCGCCATGGTAAGCTGAGAGATGGCTTGCTGAGTGACAAAGACGAGGCGGGGCAAGTCGGATGATGTGGTTGCGGCCGCAACAGGATGGGTTGAGTGCTGGCGGGAATCCGAGTTGGCAGTAGTGAGGGTATGCAGTGGCGAGTGCATGTCTGCGATGGAGCGAGGGCTCCAGCCAAGCTTGACCAAAAGATGACGCAGGACCTGGCTGGCGGCGATGGGTTGTGCGGAAGCGATGAGGTAGACGGCGCAATCAGCGACTGTTTCGCAGGCGATGGTGCGCGCCAACTTTGCATCGAGCTTGGGCCGGATCCTGTGGGCTCGTAGGACGAGACGACGACACTGCTTGACGAGCGCAGTGTGGTCGAGGGTAGCTCGTGTTTGAAGAGAGCTTCTGAGATCTATGCTGTCCTGTCGGAGCGAAGCTAGAGAGGCGGCCGCCTGAACGGCACGAGCAGGGGCTGACGAAGCGGTTTCGAGTGGTGCGGGTAGTTTCTCGGCGTCGAGACTGGTGGAAAGTGGGGGCGCTTCGTCTTCGAGGTGGCTGTCTGCATCCTGGCGCAAGAGCGCATTGGAGCGCGGATGGCTGAAGAAGAAATTTGGCGCGTCGTGCTCGTGGCGGAGGAAGGTAAAGTCTGGATCGGCCTGGCTGGAGAGATGCTGCTGGCGATCGGAGTCGTCGTGCGAGGCGGCAAGCTGACGAGCGGCAGCTGTTGCGGCAGCAGCAGACACGGCTTTGGTAGGAGCCAGAGACGACTTGGCTCGGACGAGTTGGCGGTGTCTGGACTGCAGGGCATGTTGCGTATCGTGAGTGAGTTTGAGACAGGAGGGTGGGTAGAGAAAGTCGAGATGGGGATGGAACGAGGGTTGGAAAGGCGCGGGTTGAGAGAGGGCGTGTGATCTATGAGTGTGGATTCGAGATGCGGCCGACGAGGATGAGGGCGCGGAGGATGATGCTGCTAGTTGATGTGTGATGTAAGATGGTCGTGCAGTCGCTGTTGGTATTGGTGGCGCTGACGTTTGTGGTAGTGGTGGTGGCGGTATTGGTGGCTGGGCTGCGGCGAGCGTGCGAGGCGGCGAGGGCCTGGACGGACCTGCTGCCTCGTTGGGAGGTAGCTGGACGCGAGGCGTGGGATTGGGCCGCCATACGCTGTAGCTCCACGCATCGCCTGCGCCGAGTATCAAGCGCTTGTGACGCATGAGCAGCGTATCATCTGCCGAGGACAAGAGGCCGAATGACGCCTCTATGTCGCGGGTGCGATGATGCTGGGATTATGAGCGGGAAAGAGAGGCTATGTGAACGGCTGCATGGGATGTGGATGTGCACTGGCGGCCTGAGCTGTGGTCAGGACGGCGATGGTGAACGGTGGTTGGACGGTGCGGTCGGATACGGGACGCCGATCGAGGCGAAGCAGTCTTGTGACAGTGACCAGAGGGCGCGAAGTGAAGAGAGGTGCAGCGGCGTCCAGCGGCGTCCAGCGGAAAGAACGGTGCTTGGTGGGCCAGCAGCTAGGGCTCTAGGTCGATGCTGATGCTGATGCTGGTGTTGGTGGTGATGACGTTGGTTGAAGGTTGAGTGCAGGGTGTGCTGCTGCAACGTCTAGCTAGTACAGAGGATTGAGAGTGTGATTTCGGAAGTGATTGGTTGGTCGAGCTCCGAGCTCCGGCTTTGCTTGATTGATTGATTGATTGCTTGCTTGACTGACTGACGATGAACCGCAGCCCAGCACGAAAAAAAGTCGAGCTTGCGTTCTTCTTGGTCGACCCTGACCAGCCGAGCACGTCCACTCTCTCTCTCTCTCGCGCGCCATCTCCAGCCTCGAAATTCCGCACCTGACCTTTGACCGACTTCCGCCTTCTTCGCGCTGTTCCACAATATCCAAAACCTTGAGTCGGACGCAATTGTTGGCCGTCTAGATATCTACGGGGGTTTAGCTCAGTTGGTAGAGCGTTCGCTTAGCATTGTCTAAATTGCGAAAGGTCGCGTGTTCGACTCATGCAGTCTCCAGTCCTCTTTTTCAGCATTTTTTGGTGCCGCTTTTTTTGCCTTTTGAGCCGGTGCCTGAATTGTTTTTGCCACAGTTGAGCGTGGTCGATCTTCCTTCTTCCTTTCCCTGTCATGAACGTCTAATTCGCCGGCGAGATCGGTGCTAGTGTCGAATACGAGTCTGGTCAACAACAGCGACCGAGAAGCAAGCACGTCGGCTGGAATTAGATTCTACAGCGAGGGCCAAGTGGGGGCGAGGAGGAGATGCCGATGTTCCTCCCGATGCTGGCCTATGCTACCGGCAAAAGGTTCGGCGGTTGGAAGTTTTCTGCATCCCATTTTTTTTCGGGAGAGGCAATTTCTTCTTCTCCACTCATGCACCTCGACCTTAGAAGACGCGAAAAAATTTCCTGACGAGCAGCAGCAGCAGCAACAGCAGCGGCGGCGGCACCACAAATTTTGCTTCTGGGCGCCCTCCGTCAATTTTTCATCCTTTGCGCCGCGGCGTCGAGGCCAAGGAGCAGTCTCGGAAGAGGCAAAAGAGCGCAGGGTCTGCTTGTCCAACTGAGCACATCCGGCCGCGCCCTAAACCTCCCTCCCTCCCTCCTTCCACCAACCAAGTCACCTTCGTGCAAGCCCCTCTCCTGCTCGAAGTCTTTTTCCCCCTCTTCCTCCCTCATACACACACCCGCATACCCCCACCCCACCATAATCAAAATGGGCAAGAAGGACAAGTCCACCAAGGTCGCCGCCGCCGCACCCGTCGTCGACGCCAAGAAGGAAAAGAAGGACAAGAAGGCCGCCAAGGTCGTCGAGGAGCCCAAGACCAACGGCGTCGACAAGAAGGAGAAGAAGGACAAGAAGTCCAAGAAGCAGCCCACCCCTGAGCCCGAGTCCGACTCGGACGACGACTCTTCCTCCTCCGAGTCGTCTTCGTCCGAATCCGAGTCGGACTCCGACTCTTCGTCCTCGTCTTCGTCCTCCTCCTCGTCCGACTCGGACTCGAGCGACGACGAGGAAGTTGCCGACGCCAAGAAGCCCGCTGCCGAGGAGCCCAAGACCAACGGCAAGGCTGCCGTCGAGGCCTCCTCCTCCGACTCGTCCGACTCGGACTCGGACTCTGACTCTTCGGACTCTTCGTCCTCCGACTCGTCCGACTCGGACTCGGACGACACCCCCGCCGCCGACTCCAAGAAGCGCAAGGCCGACGACGAGGCTCCCGTGACCAAGAAGGCCAAGACCGAGGAGACCGCCGCCGCCGCCCCCGCCGAGCTCCAGGAGGGCGAGACCAACCAGATCTGGGTGGGTCAGCTCAGCTGGAACGTCGACAACGACTGGCTCAAGTCCGAGATGGAGGCCTTCGGTGAGGTCACCAGCGCACGCGTCCAGCTCGACCGCACCACCGGCAAGAGCCGTGGCTTCGGCTACGTCGACTTTGCCACCGCCGCCGCCGCCAAGAAGGCCTTCGAGGAGGGTCAGGGCAAGGAGGTGGACGGCCGTGCCATCCGCATCGACCTCTCCACCCCCAAGGGCGACGTCACCGACAACCGCGCCAAGAAGTTCAACGACCAGCGCTCCGCCCCCTCCTCCACCCTCTTCATCGGCAACCTCTCGTTCGACATCTCGGAGGACGATGTTTGGAACGCCTTCTCCGAGCACGGCGAGGTCTCGGGCGTGCGTCTGCCCAAGGACCCGGACTCGGGCCGTCCCAAGGGCTTCGGTTACGTCGAGTTTGCCGCGCAGGAGAGCGCACAGGCTGCCATCGACGCCATGACCGGCCAGGAGCTCGCCGGCCGTCCTCTGCGTCTCGACTTCTCCACACCGCGTGACCGCGACGGCGGTGCGCCGCGTGGTGGCGGACGTGGTGGCGGATTCGGCGGCGGACGTGGCGGCGGACGCGGTGGTGGATTCGGTGGCCGCGGTGGCGGATTCGGCGGTGGACGCGGTGGCGGACGTGGTGGCCGTGGCGGTGGAGACGGCTCCTTCCGCGGCATGCCCCGTGGTGGCGGATGGGGTGCCCGCGGCGGCAGCGCACGCACTGGTGGCGCCGCCGACTTCTCGGGCAAGAAGATGACCTTTGACGACTAAACGTCTGCTCCTCCTCTCCCCCACGCATCCAATCCGGTCGTTATTGGCGTCGAGGCCCCCACCCACACTCCCTAATTCTTCCCTGCCACTGTGGCGGTAGACTCACTGCCGCCTCAACGCATCAAAAGCGCCCATCCTTGTTTGTCTGTCCCTGAATGGATGGCGAAAGGATGCGGATCCTCTGTCGCACCGTCCGGATGTCTTTCTTTGCTTGTTTCCCAGTGTCCCCGTGTTTCTCCATTTTTGCAGCATCTGTACATCTCGAGGGCCATCTCTATTGTAAATTCTCTCTCCCAGTCCATCGCTCTTTGCTTGCTTGTTGCTTTTCTGTCCAGCTTGTCCTTGGCGCACATGGGCCGCAGAGCTGCGATTCGTATGTCATAAAGTGCAAAAGTGCCTCGATCTTGTTTGTGCAGCAGTGATGGCATTGTGCGAAGAGAAGGCGTAGCGTGATGGTGGGCGAAAAAATTGGCAGGCTGTGAAGTCGGACACGGTGACAGGGTGAAATTTGGAAAAATTGGGGATGACGTGCGACCGGAGAGGCCGGCTTGTATTGCCGAGTGGAGATTGGCGACGTCCGAGTGCAGCAGGCTGTCGTGTGTGTGGTGTCAGCACAATGCAGCTCGAGAGGCGATCGAGACAAGTCGCCGCACAGTCCGCAGCTTGTCGCTCGACCACCAACTTTGTCTGCATTCTTCCACTGCTAACGCTGGGAGGTTCCTGCATGTCTAGGCTCGTTGCACGTGCTCTACCTGCCGTCCGCATCCAAGGCCCCAAGCATCTCGTCGCGTCTGCCACCACCCGCTCGCTCTTCAGCCTACCAATCACCACCCGACCGCATCGAGGTTTGCGTCGAGCCGTCAAGATGGCGACGCAGGCGGGCAGCTTCCCGTCGTTCACCACGGTCAACTTCTATGCCGGCAGCAAGTTGAACCGGCTCTCGTGGTTGAGGACCTCGACCGAGTTTCTCAACTCGACCATTGCGTCGCCGCACACGCGCTTCGTGCTGATGAAGCACAACAATCCGCTGTGCCACGGCTCGGGCGACAACGAGGGCATGCTCGCCACATTCTCCTGGGACGAGGTGAAGAAGCATGTGCTGCAAAACGTCAAGGCCTCGGGAGGAGTTAACGGCGAAGAGGATGCGTTGGTGTTTGGACCTCAGGCGTACGGGCTCACCAACGGCGCGGGCGAGAAGGAGTTTGCGCGCGCCACCGACGGCGTAGGACCGAGCAGGCTGGCTCTGGTGTTTCTGGGCATCGACGAGTCGGAGCTCACGCAGACGTCGCTGCCGGGCCAGATGGCCAAGGACGGCGACAAGCCGGAGGGCGCGCCTGCGGGCGTGCCGTACTTTGCGCTCTCGTTGACGTACCGCCCGGCGTTTGTCGAGGGCGAGGCGCCGATGCAGGCGCTGCTGGACGAGATCGAGGCGCAGGGTGACAAGTACGACTTCTTGGACCTGCGTGCCTCGTCGCGCGCCTCGGCATGGCCGCGCGAGCACGCCGCCATCGTGGCGCAGGCCAAGAGTCTGCTCGACTGGAACGAGCGCCACCAGTACTGCCCCGGATGCTCGCGCCAGCAGTACTCGCTCTGGGCGGGATACAAGCGCGGATGCAGCTCCTCGCTCGGCCTCGCCGCACCCGGCTCGCACTTCGCAGCGGCTTTTCTTGCGGGAAAGACGTCGTTCGAGGAGGATGGCAAGGGCGTTTGTCCGTCGACGCAGGTGCTGAGCAACTTCCACTATCCGCGCACGGACCCGGTGATCATCATGGCGATCATCTCGCCCGATGGCGAAAAGGTGCTGCTGGGCAGGCAGAAGAAGTGGCCGGCGGGATTCTACTCGTGCCTGGCGGGCTTCTGCGAGCCGGGCGAGTCGTTTGAGGAGGCGGTGCGGCGCGAGGTGCTCGAGGAATCGGGCATCCAGGTGGACCAGGTGATCTACCATTCGTCGCAGCCCTGGCCGTACCCGACCAACCTCATGGCTGGCTTCTATGGCATCGCCAAGACCGACGACGCCGAGTCCATCCGTCTGGACCTGGACAACGAGCTGGAGGATGCGCGCTTCTACACGCGCCAGGAGATTCTGGATGTGATTGAACGCAAGAAGAATGCGCACTTTACGCGTGCCGAGCTCGAAAAGATCGACAAGGAACATCATTCTTCTGATGGGGAGGACAAGGCCAAGGACAAGGTGCAGATTCGTCTGCCCCCCGACACGGCCATTGCAAGAGTGCTCGTCGAGGCTTGGGCCAAAGGTCATGCGGTGCTGCCTACTCACATGGACAACTTCCAAAAGACGCGCATGTAACTTGCTCCCCGTTGCCATACAAGCCGAGATTCTCGAATCAGTGAGCACGATTACGAGCGAGATGGGGGACAAGCATGACGTGGAAGAATGCGAAAGAACGAAAGAGGATTGAGCAGGTGCGAGCTAGACGACGCCCCAAAAGTCCTCGAGGGCGCAGCAGAACTTGCCGCACGCCACCGAGGCGCTGAGCGAGTACTCGGAGATGGAGATTTTTTCGTCCACAACGCCGTCTGCGAACGTGTCCTTGCCATGCGCCATGGCACCTACAAACACGGCGATGCTGTGGTTGTCGGGGATGGTGGGGAGGTAGTTGCTCAGACGCTGTACGGGCGAGTCGAACGAGAGCGTGATCTTGTGCGTGTTGGCGGGGAAGTGGTCGGTGACGGGGTTCTTGATGACGCGCAGCAGCTTTTCGGAGCCGCCCATGGAGCGGATGCTGAGCTTGTGCAGAAGCTGCACCATGAGGCCCGAGAAGCGCTTAAAGGTGCGTGGGATGCGCACGTGCGGGTTCACCTCGATGAGCACACCCTTGGCCGTGTGGATGTACACCTGCAGCAGACCGGCCTTGTTGAGCGGCGAGTCGAGCAGCGTGAGCAGACACTGGTGGGTGATGTCCGGTCGGGCCTCGGCAATGTCGCGGCCCATCTTGGCGAGCACACGCTGGTGGTCGTCGCAGTTGAGCAGCGCATACTTGTCGCCACCGTCCTTGTTGTTGCGTCCGCCACCACCGGGTGCGCGGCTGGCGGAGCCGGTGGAGACCTTGTAGGTTTCCAGACACGCCTGCTCGAGCACCACGATGAGACGCGGCGTGTTTTCCTTGTCGGCCGCCGTCTTGGGCACTTTGGGCACCTGGGGTACGAGCGACGAGTCGACGCGCGAGCGCTTGGCGCTGTTGGCCTTGGCGGCGGCGGCGGCGGATGTGGACGAGGAGGCGGCGGCGGCGTTGGAGGTGGAGGCGGATGACGATCCAGGCATGGTTGTGACGGGCTTGGGTGGCAGCGCGTGACGCATGGCCGGGAGCGACTTGCTAGACGACGAGCCGGAATGCGACGAGCCCACCGACGCCGTCTCGGGGTTGAGGCGCGATTGGATCGATTCGACAACAGCAGCCTCGCGCTGGCCCGGCTCTCCCGAGGCGGTGGTGGATCGCGACGCGGGCGAGGTGGCTCGAGGCGATTGCGGAAGCGGTGCGATCGGGCGGTATGTGGTGGCAGGAGCAGAGCGTGTGGTCATTCGGTCGTCCTCCGAATCCGACGCGGCAGATGAGGCCGACGACATTCTGGCAGAGAGTCACGCGAGCCTAACTCTAACCTGGCGGGTGGGTTCGTGATTATATGAAGTCGAGTTGCTCCTGCGGTCCGCTCAGTTGTTGCTGCTGTGTGTATGAGAGCGGTCGAGAGGCGGCAGATGGCGGAGCGAACGGTGGAGTAAGATACTGATTGGCTCGGATCATGCTACTCATGGCCGAGGCCTGCCTTTGACTGTGGACCGCTGCTCAACTACATTTCACATCCTCGACCAACGAGCAGCAGCAGCAGCAGCAGCCGCCCAAAGAGCGCGACCCTGAAAGGCCCAAATTTTCTCTCTCTTTTTTTTTCGAGTCGCATGAGCTGGGCCCACAGTCAACCTTCCTTCCGAAAAACAAAATCAAAGCGCCCGCTCGGCTGACCAGGGTTGCAGATAAAAAAAAGGCAGCTCAAAATTGCGGCTGAGCTCGAACATCCGGTGGCACTGTTTCGGCCGAAATGCGCTTGTGAGTGCAATGTTAGGTTGATCATGCGAGACGCGAAACCGGAAACCAACACTCGGCCGCAGCGCCTCTCGAGTCGCGTCACGAAAACTGGAGCGCAAAGAGCCAGTTAACACCACGGACATCCCCAGTCTGTGAGTGCCAGGCTGGGAGGCCAAGGCGCCGATGGCGAACGCACGCTGCTGCGACGGTTCCTGAGCCTGCGTGCCTGCCAGCTGCATCATCCAACACGAACGCCGTCCTCCCTTTGATCCTTCATCCGCTTCTTGTTCCACTCGTCCCACTGGTCCGCTCGCTTTGTCACTCCGCCACTCCGTCACTCCTTCGTTCCGCTCAGTCTCTTCCCTTTCCGACTTGATTGCTACTGCAAGACAAAACACCCACTTCAACCGCACGCGCGAGCTCGCTTCGCCAACGCGCCATCACCATGAGCGCCGAAAAAACCATCTTCAAGGTAAGTGCTTCCTCGCCTCATCGCTGCCTACGCGATCTCCACCGCAGACGAGGCTGACCCACCGCTCCTCTTCCTCGCAGGCCACCTACTCGGGCGTGCCAGTCTACGAGTGCATCATCAAGGACGTCGCCGTCATGAGGAGACGCTCCGACAGCTGGCTCAACGCAACCCAGATCCTCAAGGTCGTCGGCCTCGACAAGCCGCAGCGCACGCGTGTCCTCGAACGCGAGATCCAGAAGGGCATCCACGAAAAGGTGCAGGGCGGCTACGGCAAATACCAGGGCACATGGATCCCCCTCGACATCGCCATCGAGCTCGCAGAGCGCTACAACATCCAGGCGCTCCTCGCCCCCATCACCACCTACGTCCCCTCCGCCAGAGACTCGCCCCCGCCCGCTCCCAAGCACACCATCTCCACCTCCAACCGCTCCAAAAAGGTGCTCTCCGCAGACGCAGGCGCCCTCGGCCGCTCCCGTCGCGCCACCAGCATCGAGACCGAATCCGAGGCCATCGGCGCCACCCAGAACAACGCCTCCGAGGGCAGCATGAGCCCCTCCCCCAGCGACATCAGCTCCTCCTCCCGTACTCCGAGCCCCATGCCCGCCGATCGCGCCAACGGCCCTTACGCTGCACACCACGCGGCAGCGGCTCACCACAACGGCAGGGAGGCCACCAACCAGGCGCGGTACGCCGACATCATCCTCGACTACTTTGTCACCGAAAACACCACCGTGCCTTCGCTCCTCATCAACCCTCCGCCCGACTTCAACCCGGACATGAGCATCGACGACGACGAGCACACCGCCCTGCACTGGGCGTGCGCCATGGGCCGCATCCGCGTCGTCAAGCTCCTCCTCTCGGCCGGCGCCGACATCTTCCGCGTGAACACCAACCAGCAGACCGCGCTCATGCGCGCCACCATGTTCTCCAACAACTACGACCTGCGCAAGTTCCCCGAGCTCTTTGAGCTCCTCCATCGTTCCATCCTCAACATCGACCGCAACGACCGCACCGTCTTCCACCACGTCGTCGACCTCGCCCTCAGCAGAGGCAAACCGCACGCCGCGCGCTACTACATGGAGACCATGATCAACCGTCTCGCCGACTACGGCGACCAGCTCGCCGACATCCTCAACTTCCAGGACGACGAGGGTGAGACGCCGCTTACCATGGCCGCGCGCGCACGATCCAAGCGCCTCGTGCGGCTGCTGCTCGAGCACGGCGCCGATCCCAAGATCCGCAACAAGGAGGGCAAGAATGCAGAGGACTACATCATCGAGGACGAGCGCTTCCGATCCTCGCCCTCGCGCACCGGCCCCGCAGGCATCGAGCTCGGCGCCGACGGCCTGCCCGTGCTGCCCACCGCTTCGCTCCACACCTCCGAGGCAGGCCAGCGCACCGCCGGTCGCGCCGTCACGCTCATGAGCAACCTCCTCCACAGCCTCGCCGACAGCTACGACTCGGAGATCCACACCGCCGACAAGAAGCTCACCCAGGCGCACGGCTTGCTCAAGCAGATCCAGACCGAGATCGAGGACAGCGCCAAGGTGGCCGAGGGCCTGCACCACGAGGCCGAGGGCGTCGACGACGAGCTCAAGCGCGTCGACTCGCTCCAGCTCGCGCTCAAGCACGGCATCAACAAGCGCACACGCGACGACCTCGAGCGCCGCTGGGCCGAGGGCAAGCAGGCCATCAAGCGCGCACGTCTGCAGGCGGGGCTCGAGCCCGGTGCTCTCTCCTCCAGCTCGGCGGCCAACCAGCCTGATGGCGCGGCGGCGGGCGATGCGGAGCACGAGGCAAAGAAGTGCCTCGATGCGCTGCCTGAGGGCAAGGACGTCAAGACGGCGATCGCCGAGCTCAAGACGCAGCTGGGTGAGGTGCAGAAGAAGCGCAGCGAGCTCGTCGACATGTTTGTCTCGCGTGCACGCGAGCAGGGCACCGGCAAGACCATGGCCGCCTACCGCCGGCTCATTGCGGCCGGATGCGGCGGCATCGCGCCCGACGAGGTGGACGCCGTCGTCGGCGTGCTCTGCGAGCTGCTCCAGGAGGGGCACGCAGGCTCGGGAGGCGCCGGTACCAGCGATGGCGCCTCGGGCGGTGACCGCGCGAGAGACGCTGCCATGATGCTCAAGGGCGCTGGCGCGGCGGCTCTGGCTGCCAACGCAGGTGCGGCCTGACCAATTGATTCCAACTTGTACTCTAGTTCTCCTTTGTCGTAATGATCTCATGTTTGCTTCCACAATGTCTCTGAGTGGATCCGTGGGCACGTGTCAATGAAAGTCGAGGAAGCGGCATGGCGAGAAGGGGGATGAGGGGGAAGGATGGTGGTGGAGAGGGTCACGTGACGCGACTCTGGGATTCCAGGTTGGCGGCGAGTCAATTTTGGACTTTTTGGTGAAGCACCACCACCATTCTTCTCATCACCATCTTGACCGGGGCTAGAGCACGCAAATCATCGCCAAGGGGAATCGACAAGATGCTGCGCCGGACACTAGCACTATTTGCGGAGGCGACACGATCGTCGTCCAAGGCGTCGAGCTCTTCGGATGTGCTGACGTCGCACTTTGCCAAGGCGTCGCTGCCTCCTACGCTGGCGAGGAGTGCGCAGCCGCACAAGAACCTGTACCAGCTGCTTTCGACGTTGCCGCAGGACGGTGTGGGTGCGCGTGTGAGGCAGCGTCGTTGGGCCGCCAAGGGCTTGGATGTGCCGCACGATGTGAATCTCAAGAAACACCTCACACAGATGCACGCCAAGGGCGACAAGCCGCTCAAGGACGAAGACCACCTGTGCTACTGGGAGATCACCAAGGTCAGGTTGAAGGACGGCGGAAACCACGGAAAGGCCTGGGGAAGGCTGGTGTGGAGAGGTAAGTTCTCGAAAGTAGCGTACGTGCAGGTCGGATGCGATGGCTGACAATCCTCATCTCCGCTAGGCAAAACCATCACCGAGGCCGAAACGGGCGAACGCATCCCCGGCGCACTCAAATACTTTTGGGCCCCAGCAAAGTGATGTCTCCCGCTGCACACCATGGGTGTCGAAAAGAGGTGCTGGCGCTCCACACTTGACCGCATCTCATCACATGTACTATAGAACTGCTGTCTTGGCTCGTGCTGCTCGCGCGAGCTTTGCAACCCGTCTCATTTCATCTTCACATCCCGCGATCGCACGGTGAGATGGTTCAGGACCTGTTCGGTGTGCCGGTCATTGGCATCAACATGCGTCGAGAGCAGTGTCAAACGTCAGCGAGCGAGAAGGAACCGGTCCATGCGATGAGGGGCAGATGCAGTGAGTCTTCTTCGCCCGACACCCTTTTTTCCCCGGCAGACTACCGATTTTCGTACGTCTTAACATCGAAAATCGATGCGAATTGGTTTTTGACTCAGCTTCGGTGCGCGGCAGCGGCGGCGTCGGGAAAAGGGTCCGACTGCCTCCACACGCTTCGAGTCGCGACACGCGACTAGCCAGAGCCAAGTGTGCCACCCTCAAGCTTCCTCTCTCTCTCTCACACACCACCTCGACCCAGCACGAACAAACAGCCTTGCGTCGCATCCCGTCCCCAAGCGGGCTGGAAGCGGCGACGAACAAGCCACACCATGCCATCACATTCTTCCTCGCATCCGCACGCCAGACACGCCTCGCCGTCCACGAGCAGCTCCGTCAAACCCACCGGTTGGATCAGGTCCTCGTCGGCCGCGGCAGGCTCGGCGTCGAAACCGCGCGTAGGCGTGCTTTCAGATCGAACCAACCTGCCGTCCTCCAATCATACGCCGCTGAAGTCGCTGTCAAAGCCGCCAAACAGGACGCTGGTGCCATCGCGACTCGTAGCCCAGACGCGCACTCCCGCACCGTCAAACAGCACAAAACAGCAGACTCTGTCGAGATTCTTTGCGCCAAATACTGCCCCTGCAGGCCCTTCAAAGAGCACATCACACGCAGATACATCCTCGCCGAGTCTGGATCGGCCGCGCCTAAGCTCCACGGACGTGAGGGGGGCCGTCAGCCGCGTGCGCAGATCACCACCCGAGCTTCAGGGTGCGAACAACGACGCTTTCAACGACGACGATCTGGAAGCACGCGCGGCGTGTCTGCTTCGCGGTCGCTTCGGTAGCGTCTCTCGCTCACTCAGTGCCAGTACGTCTTCGACACCTCCAGCACCCGTCTCGCCCCCCACACCACCGTCCGACGCGCCTCCACGCTCGCCGCCCGTCCGAGCACGGTCTCGCGTCGAGCGCGTACGTCCGCCAAAACCAATGCTCCCGCCCGCTGAGCCGCGAACACCTCCGCGCAAAAGACCCCAACCAAATCCGCCGTCGTCTCCGTTTCAGCCCACACTCATGGCTGAGTCGCTCTCCAACTTTACGCCTCCCGCATGGGCCAAGAGCATCGACCGCAAGTTAGCGCTGTTTCAGCGCATGGCCGGTGTCCAAGACGACGTGGTTCGCGAACAGGAGAAGCGGCAGATGGAGAACGAGCTGTCTAGAGCGCACAAGAGGATGCAAGGGTCCTCGCCGGTCGCAGCAAAGAGCAAGAGACCGCCGGCGCCGCGGCAACGCACCAGCTTCGCCGAGAGGGTTGAGGCAGTGCCAACAGGGCGCGCGTCGGCAAGGACTGAGCAGATGCCCGAGACGCTGCTCAGATCGCCCACGACCAACAGGAGGATCTATGCGCTCGAGACGCAGTTGATGCCGGTCCAGCGCGCGGCTCTGCACCCGGCATCGAGGACCAAGAATCCGTCCGAGGTGGTTCAGAATCGGCCGCTGTGCACGCGTACAGATCCGGTCGCGGCAGCGTCGGCAGAAGCGACGCAGGACGAGTCGGAAACGCTGCCCTTGGCTTGGCCTGCGGAAGGCGACGACGAAACACAGCCTCTTGCGTGGGACGACGGCGACGACGACGCTGCCCAAATCCCGACGGAAGCTGTGCATCTCTCAAATCCCATTGGCAGCGCTGGCGAGGTGCCCACTTCGGACGACGATGACTTTCTCACAGAGCCGGGTGCGGCGCTCGAGGCTGCGCATGACAGCACACCTGCATCCAAACGGCGGCGGGTGAGTGATTCGCCGCGCACGGTCAAGGCGAGCCCCGTCTCGCTCACGTCGGCGAGCGGGGCGGGCCGGTTCGACAGCGTCGTTGCCGCGCTGCGCCGACAAGAACGCAGGCAGAACTCGGGCATGCAGCTCAGCCTCGACCGATACGTCACCAAGCCCACTCGCAAGCTTGACTCGGACGACGAGCTCGACGTCCTGTCGGATGACGAGGCGGAAGACGAAACCCAGCCTCTGGAGTGGACGACACCCGTCAAAAGACCGACACTGCAGCTGGCATCGTCGCCGGCTGCGGCAACACAACTCAGCACCAGCTCCGGTGCGAGCGCGGGTGCGAGCGAGATCAGTCTGCCGAGTCAGACGGCGCTCAATGACGCGGATACGCAGACACGCACGTTCTTCGAGCAGCTCTGAAAAGAAATTCAATGCATTTGTCGTTGCTTGTGCGAGAGCGGTCAGAGGATGGAGCCTAGGATCATGGCTTTAGCCCGCGAGCCGGCGGGCAGCGAGCGAACGGTTGCATTGGGCGCAAGCGGAGGAAGCGCGATGAGGGCGTTGGCTGTTGACATGCTGTGCATCCCTCTGTGCATTCAAAAAAGAGAAAAGTCAGTTTCGTTGCCAAGTCTGGAGTGTGTCGGTGGGTGGAGTTGAACTTACGAGGAGCGTTGGTTTCCCGTGCTTGTGGCGACCAGACCGTTGGTGCCGGTGCGTACCGAGGCGCGGTGGAACTCGGCGCGCGAATCGAGCCGCATCTCGCTGCCCAACACCACATCCACCTGTGGCAAACTCCACGCATTCGCGCCCGAGCTGGTGGGCAGTGTACCCGAAAGCTTGCGCAGAGCGGGCAGCACAAACACGTAGAACGTCACGAGTGCGGAAGCCGGATTGCCCGGCAGCGCAAAGATCATCTTGTCCCCCGGAAGCGTGGCGAACGTAGTCGGCTTGCCGGGCTTCATGGCGACACGGCCGAATACAATGTGGCCGTGCAGCTCGCGTTCGATGAGCGGCTTGAGCAGGTCCGACTCGCCCATGCTCGTGCCCCCCGTGGTCACGATCACGTCTGCGCACTCGATGCCTTTTCGAAGCGCAGCCAGCGTGGTGGGGACATCGTCGGTCACAATGCCAAGATCCACCACCTCGAATCCAAGACCGGCAATGGCGGCGTGCAGCCCGGGTCGATTGGCGTCGTACACGTTGAATCCCCACGTAGACGAGGAGGGAGCAGAGCTGGTGTCGACCAGCTCGTTGCCCGTGCTGAGGATGGCGATTCGTGGCTTGCGGTATACCAGCGCCGAGGAGCGGCCAAGGAAGGCGAGTGTACCGATCTCGCCGCCAAGCGCGCTGATCGTCGTTCCCCGCGGTAGCACTACTTGGCCTGCGGAAACGTCCGAGGCGCGTGGGCGGACGTTCTCACCCACGTCTACCTGGGCAAGCACCCGGACGCGCACCTCTTCGCCGTCGGAAGACTCGAGCAGCTCCGTGTCTTCAACCATAACTACAGCGTCGGTGCCGGCAGGAAGGCCCTGCCCCGTGTTGATGCGGAAGATCTCGCCGTCTGCCAGCGCGCGCTGCTGCAGCGTCTTTAGCGTGACCACCCTGTAGTCGCCCGGTGGGGTGGAGGAGGCGGGGACAGCGTAGCCATCGACATTAGTGGTTGGACCAGGCGGCAGGTCCGAGGCTGCCGAGACATCTTCTGCCAGAACATGACCGATGAGCGCTGGGCTCACGCCGATCGTCTCGGTGGCTGGTGCGCCCGGCGTGTGCTGAGCGATGAGCGATAGCGCGTCGTCGAGTTCGAGCAGCGGGTACGGTGAGATGCGATGTCGAAGCGAAGGACCAGATGAAGGGTCGACGGTGCGGAACTCCGCATGGTCGGCCGAAGTCGTCCGTGGTTTGGGCGCGGAGTGGCTGTGGAGACCTCCGCCTCCCCCGCAATGATGATGATGATGATGATGGTGGTGGTGGGAGTGCGCATGGCCGGTATCAGTGGCGGTATCGGCGTTTCGATGCATGCTTCCCTGCATTTGTTTGTGCTTGGTTTCGCCCGATCCGCCGCTGAGCAACTCGAGCGCGTGCTGCAATAACCCGTTGGCGAGCAAGAGCTCTATGCACTCGTTGACTGCCTTGGGCGATCCAGGCAGTGCGACAAGAAGCGTCTCCTTGCCGCTGTCGGCCCTCCTGATGCCCGTGACACCGCGGGAGAGCGCAGCGAGCGGCGTCTTTGCGAGCGAGTGCGCGGTGAGTGCATGCGTGAGCGCGGGCGTCTTGCGCGTGATGAGCGGCTCGAGCGCCTCGGGTGTGTTGTCTCGACGTCCGAAGCCAGTGCCGCCCGTGGTAATCACCAGATCGAGAGCTTCGGTGTCGGCAAAGCGCCGAACGTGCTGCTGGATCTGAGCGACGTCGTCCGCGCACACGCTGCGCACGACTTGGTATCCAGCTGTGGTCAGATGCTCTTGGAGCATGCTGCCCGATCGGTCGGCAGTGGCATCCGCCGCGGCGGTGTCCGAGATGGTCAGCACGCCGGCGCGGAAAGAAGGCATGGTCGCAAGTAGGATCGTCCAGTGCCTGGTTTGACGAAGCGAAACGACAAAAGTGGTGAGAGGTTGCAAGATGACGGCGGCACGGTGGGAAGATGCCGACGCACGAGCCTCCACGCTTTAAATTTTGGCGCGCTTCTCAGGGTCTTGGTCGCGACCAAACAATACCTTGAGCGGAGTTTGTCGGCCAAAGATCCACCAAATGCACGGCAGAGAGATGGGGATTGTGGTGATAATTTCAGAGTACAAGGCGGATAGGCAGAATACAAGATGCTAGTATCAACGGGTATAAAGATTGGGCGCGAGATGATCTTATGCAGGCAGAGGCGCCGACCATTCGAGATAGGTTGCAGGCACGAGGCCTTTTATGCTCGGGTCGTGGCTGCTGATCGCGATTGCCCAGCCGCCTTCTATGGATCCTACGACGTGGACGACATCGCCGGGCTGCACGGCGAGTTCGTGTTCCGAGACGGGCTCGAATTCGTACAGGACGTTGTAGACGCCCTCGGGCACGCTGGCGGAGTCGCCGTCGTCTCCGTCAAACTCGTTCTCGTCCTCGGCACCCTCGATGTAGAAGTCGTGGCCGGCGGCGTCTTCTTGATGGCTCTGGTCCGCGTCGTGCGCATGAGACGAGTCTTCAGGCTCGTCGAGCCAGACGCCGAAATGGCGCGGATCGTCGACTGGGAATGCAAAGTCACGCACCTTGATGCTGTGCACCGACTCGGCGCTCGCATCCATGGCCTTGGCAGTGTGGTGGCTGGCACTCGAGCTCGGGCGGTGCGCCTGCACGCTCGACCGGGCGCTGGAGTCTGGCTGGTGTTGGGGAGAAGCGGGTTCATGCGGCGCGTCGTCGGTGCCTTTGAGAGAAGCTGCGGCGGCTGCGTCTGCCGAGGATGGCGCCAAGGGCGACAAGCTGGCGGATGCAGTGCTGAGGCGGTGGTGTGAGCTTGTGGAGCCGGAGGCGGGTCGGAGTTGAGGAGAAGCGACTGAAGTGGATGCCTGGGAGCTGCGCCGTGAGGACGCGCTTGCGATCTTTGCGGCAGTGTGGTCGGACGAAGGGAGCGATGGCGGGCGCGTGGGCGTGGAGGTGTTGGAGGCAGCGGCAGGACTGATTCCCGAAACAGGACGGATGACGCCCTCGGCTACGGGAGAGAGGGGGCGAGGCGATGCAGATTGCGGCGATGCGGTGGATGGTGCTGAGACGGCGGCAGATGAGGATGCAGCGGCAGCGGCTGCGGCTGCGGCCGCGGCTTGGATGTTGCGACCTGGTGGGGGAGGTTTGAGGCGCCAGTCCTGACCTTCTTCGGGCGAAGGAACGAAGCCACCGGAAGGGCTCGGATAGAGGGTGTCGGCGGGACTAGGTTTTGGCGGAGCGACGGTGAGCGGAGATGGCTCGTTTGGCGAGTCTGCTAGCTGGGCGGATGCGGATGAGGATGCTGAGGGCTGCAGGTTGAGCGCATCGATGCCGTCTGATGAGAGCGGTGTGGAATTGACGCGGCTGAGTTCCGGGGTGAGGCTGGAAGCCGAGAGGAAGACGGCGTCGGCGGATTTGCGATCGTTCCTGCTGGATGCAGCGTCGGCGTTTGCATTGGCAGCTGATGGAGTCGAGGCAGGCAAGGTGAGGTAAGTTTGGCGTGTCGAACGCATACCGATCTATCTGCACTTACACTTGAGCCTGGCTTCTATAGACGGCATGCCGTTTTGGTCGGCGGAAGGAAAGCTGAGGGATGCGCAGATGTGGATGTGCTTGGCGGAGATGTGGATGTGATGAGGGGAGAGCGGGTTGGCGAGGCAAGAGCCAGAGCAAGAGCGGTCGTGTTGGATCATGGCGAGCCCAATCCCGCGGCGTCCAATCGGGCATGAACTGGCCAAACTACTGTAAACTGCACCACAGCCGCGTTGCATTCCGCAGCTGCTGGCGCCGCAATTTTCATCCACCGCCTCTCGACCCTCGACTCTTGACCCTGCCGCCTCTGCCGTCTGCATATCATCCTTTTGGGGCGCGTCCCCCCCGCCAAACAAAAAGGTCGCGCTCGGCAGACCCGTTCATCAACTTTACGGCCGGATCAATTCCCATTTTTGAGATGCTTATGTTAGACCTCACATGTCACCGGCCCCCACCGAATCGACCCGATGAGAGAGATTCAACGCCGACCGCTGGAAGAAAAGGGCAGAAAAGATTTTGAGACGGCTACACGATCAGTGCCTTGAGCGCCGTCTCAGCTCATCGTTGGCACCATCGTCCACCACCACGTCTCTCCGTCGCTCGTCTCCACCAACGGCTACGCCTGCGCCAACGTCGTCATCACAATGGCCGGCTCTGCCACATCAGGCAGCGTCCTGCGCTCCCTCCGCCACCTCAACCCACCTACCAAGGGCTCCAAGTTCGCCATTCGAGCCCCCTCGCACGCCGCACACACTCCCAAGTTCGTCCAGCCCAAGGACCGCATCCCGTTCTGGAACATCGTGCCAGGCGACCATGTGAAGCTCAAATCCGGCCGCGTCGGCCAGCAGGAAGGTCTCGACTCGGACGAAAAGATCAGGGGCGAAGGTATCGTCGTCCGCATCGACAGGGAGAAGAACTGGCTCTGGCTCCGCGACGTCGACGACAAGAACAAGCTCGCTCCCAAGGCCATCCGACACATCATCCCGCGTCTCGTCGACCCGCTTGCGCCCGAAAAGGGCTACGGCCCCAACGTCACAGAGATCCCGCGTCCCGTACACTACTCCAACGTGATGCTCAAGCTTCCCGGCTCGGACCAGTTTGCCGTGCGCCTCTCGCGCTCCGCAGCAAAGTACGACAAGCGCAAGGGCATGTACGTCTGGAAGCGATACGCAACCATCAAGGCTTCCGAAGAAAAGCTGCTCCAGACGGGCAAGGCGTTCGAAAAGGTCGAAGTACCCTGGCCCTCTCTGCCGGGCAAGCGCAGGCTCCGCGACTCGTCCATGAGCGACCGAAACATCGTCGAAGGCGAATCCTGGGCTCCGTGGAGGCCCGAGGATCCCGTGCTGCTGCCCGAACGCAAGGGCATCACCTCGCCCCAGTCCGAACTCCGCGCACAAATCCTCGCAGACGAGAGGAGCCAGCGCAATGCCGAAAAGCAGGACGAAGCCGGACCCTCGGCTCCCTCGGACGCGCTCGGCACCTATGCCGGTTTCAAGCAGGGCCGCGTCAAGCCGCCTCCCATCGCGCAGCCTCCCACGCCAGCAGAGATCATCCGAATGCGCACAAAGGCCGCATCCGACTGGGCCAGCGGCGAAGCGATCGAGGCGCATCGTCAGGAAGGTGGCCTCTCCTTCCACTGGCGAGACTACCTCGACCTCGCCCCGCGTCAAGGTCCCGCGAGTGGCGGCGACTGGAGCGAGCTGCCTGCGAGCACGCGCAACGGCGGCCTCGACGCACCCAGAGACCCGCGCGACGGCCGCATCACCGACGGCCTCAGCCGCAACGACGTCGACCGCATGCCCGTCGAGCTTCTCATGACGCGCGACCTCACAAACGAGCGCGGCCTCAAGTGGAGGATGAGGAGATGGAAGGAAAAGCAGGCCGAGATGCAGCAGGAAGCCATCCAGGAACACCGCGAACGATCCAAGCTGCTCAAGGAACTCGACGCGCTCAAAGTTTAGCCTCATCATCATCACCATCATCGCCTCTCACTTGCAATCTCATTCGTCTGGCACTCGGGTCGAAATTTGTGGATCGGCTTGGGCGCGATGGCGCAAGCCTTGAATCGTGTTTGACAATTTTCTCTAGGTTGTGAGCGTCATACAGCTTCAGCAACCAGCTGCTTGGCAGAGGCAGGTGCTCTGCGAAGGAGAGCCTGTTGGAGGCGCTTGAGCAGGCGCAGCATGAGCAACGGATCGCCTCGGCCCGTCACACGCTTAAAGGCGTACAAAAAGAAGCTCGACACGAGCGCCAGGCTGATGATGTCGAGAGCCAGTCGAGCGCCCAGGTTGACGAGCGCCACCAAGACGCGCACGGGCGAAGTCAAGAGGTGGAAAGCAGCGCCACTGCGGTTGGTGGCGCCACCACCCTCGGCGAGGAAGCTGGGAGCGAGCGCTTCGGAGCGAGGCCCGCGTGCGACGGCGTTGAGGCCGATGAGCTGTCGAACGTCGTCGACGATGTTCATGAGCGCGTGATAAAGGCGTGCTGTGGCGGGTTGGTTCGAAGAGCTGGGATGGCGAGCATCGTCGGCGGCTGCAGATGAAGCGCGACCCTCTACGCGATTGAGACGCTCGTGCAGCGCCGCGAGCGATGCTTGGATGGACTGGAGCGCCATCTCCATCTCGGGACGAGGCGGTTGGTGGGAGGAACCGGCGTTGGATGGCGGGCGAGGTGGATAGACGGGTGCAGGCCCGGTTCTGGTGCCGACGGAGCGACCGCCGACGGAGGAAGCGGCGTAGGTGCTGCGCTGGTAGTGGCCTGGTTCAGGCTGTCGAGGATAGTTGGAGCCGGCGACGGAGGCGGCGGTGGATTGGGGCGCGTAGGTATGACGCGTGTAGCCTCCCTGCAGCGATGGAGGGCCGCGCGGTCGAAGCGTCGTGGATGCGTCGTGGACCGACGATGTAGGCACGTTGGAGCGAGAGGGAGGAGCTCGTGCGTAGCCTTCGGTGGCGGATACGGAGCCTGGACGAGGCTGAGGACGGTACGAGTGGATGGAGGGAGGGGCGTGCGAGGCAGGATGGCGTGCGACGCTACGGAATGGACCTGGTTGGGAGCCGAGATGATCGTCGTCGGAAGAGTCTTGTTCCGATTCGGAGGCCAAGGGTGTTCTTTGGGTGGAGATGGCGGAAGCGGCGCCTCCGCCGCGGGTGGCAGCGGTGCTGGTGCCCGTGACGGAAGGAGGATGGGGGGCGAGATGAGAGGGCAGCTGGGGCGGAGGCGGCTGCTGTCGAGAAGGGCCCGAGGGAGGCTGGTGGAGGCCGGTTGGGTCGAGACGCTGCTGGTCATCGGTGTCGGATTCGGTGAGCGATTCGTCGTCGGAGTCGACCTGGGCCAGGGAGCCGTCCATGACGCGCTGTGCGACCTGACCGGAGAAGTTTTCGAGTTCCTGGATGAGGGCGGCCGCCTGTGGACGATCGCTGAAGCGGCGGAGGATCCTGAGCATGGACTCTACGTACATCTGCTTTGCGTCTCTAGGAGGCAGGCCGCTGACTTTGGACCATGCGTCCCACTTTGCCCTGCCGAGCATGTCTAGCATGCCTGGACGCTTGGAGTGGACGTCGCCCTCGGTGGCTTGCTTGTAGAGGCTGTAGAGTGCGAGCTTCTCTTCGTAGGATGTCTGTATTGGTCCCGATTTGGGGAGCGACTGGACCATGTCGACGGTCTTTACGAAGAGCGCATCGATGACGTCTGCGCTGCTCATGGTGGGCGAAGGTGGTGGCAGCGTAGGTGGTCTCGGGGGTCAAGGGGGAGAGGAGACGAGAGCGACACGAAAGAGCTTGTTGGATGGTGGTGGTGGTGGCGGTGGTGGCGGCGTGTCTGTTGATGAGAAAGGTGGGCGGGGATGGTGGTGACTGGGCATTGGCGAGCGAGTGGAGAAGCGTCGAACCCCACACGACGACGACGCCTGCTGGCTCAGCTCGCTCGCTCCTCTCGGCTCAGCGCCGGCGGAGATTTCTCGCTGATTTCCGGTTGGAATCCTCGGCGAGACGCGTCGGCAGCGCGTAACTCTCTCTCTCTTTCTCTCAGAGACCCTCCGAGTGCAGCAGAAAGCAGAGCATTCCGGCTTTCAACTCGCGGCGCTTTCCAGTCGTAGCCGGTTAACTTATCCGACATCCAAAATCCCACAAAATTGCCGCACGAAAGGCTTTCTTGGTGGAGCCAAGGAGGGCCAGGTCCGCACGGCCATTTTCCTGCATTCCTTCCTTCCTTCCCACCCCGCCCAAGCCATCCGTCCTCCCCTCACCTCGTTCATCGCCTTCGACATCCACATCCAGCCCCGAAGACACCCTCCCAACATGACAAGTTGGTGGAGACGCACGTCCAGATACCTCTCGTCCCACTCCAACTTCTTCGTCGTCACCGGCGGCCTCGTGGGCGGCGCCTACCTCCTCTCGCAGTATGCCATCTCCAAGTTCCAGCAGATCCAAGAAAAGCTCGTCAACGACAAGAATGCAAAGGAAAAGTAAGCTTCTTCGTACATCTCCCGAGCTTCCTACACAGCTTGCTGACCTCTCCGCTCGACAACAGCCTCCGACGAAGATTCGCGCAAAATCAGGAGGATTGTACCTTCACCGTCCTCGCACTCCTCCCAACCCTAGGCGATCAGCTTTTTGCGAAACATGACGTAGAACAACTCACCGAAAGCTTGCGCTCGCAAGCAGCACCTCCAGCTCCAACCACGATCACCTCCGACGCACCGCAACTTTCAGCAGCCGAACCAGCTCCTTCAGCATCGATAGCCGCTTCAGCCTCCGATCAGCAGGATCCACAGCCGTCGCAAACAGCTCAGCTCCCGGCTTCCGAACCTCAACCAACGCCTGAAACCTTGCCTCATCCAGACGCTCCTTCGCCCCAACTTAACCCACTCGCAAAGACTTTTGTTCCAGGCGTAGTACCCGCGCCTGCGCCGTCCTCGCAGCCTTCCACGGACGCTGCGCAAGCCAATGGCCTCGAAGCTGCTCCCGACGCTCCTGTCGTCCCAGGGGCGACGCAACAGCTCCCTCCAGCCCAGTCCCCCGACGCACAACCCACTGGTTCGCCACAAACCACAACCGATAACGACGCAGAGCAGCTCGCGCAAACCCAGTCGTCGCCAACAGTATCGGCCGTCCTTCCTCCATCCTCGGAACAACCCCATGTCGATGCTCAGCAGCAACGCTCCAAGATCATCGCAGACAGGCACGCCAAGCTCCGTCTCTGGAACGATCTCAAGCTCACCTCCTTCACCCGCGCCATCACCTCGCTCTACTGCGTCGTCCTCCTCACCCTCCAGACACACATCCAGCTCAACCTCATCGGCAGATTCGCCTATCTCGCTTCCGTCGAGGCGCTCGCTCGCGAATCCGACGACCCCTCCGTCCTCGCATCCGCATCCCATCTCGACTCGTCTCGTGTGCTTGACCACGACACCGAGCGCCTCTACCTCACCTTTAGCTGGTGGTTCCTCCACCGAGGCTGGAACGCCTTGTCAGATCGCGTCGCCGACGCCATCGCCAGGACTTTCTCGCCCCTCTCCGTCAAGGCACAGCTCTCCTTGACCGACCTCAAGGCTCTCGTCAACGATGCCCGTTTCATCATCGAACACGAGCCATCCGCCAACGCCACCAATACCGCTGACCAGCCCGCCTGGAAGCGCTCCCATTTCCTCGACGTCCTCTTCCCCAACTCCACAGACCACGAGGCAGACGTCCTCGTCGGGGCAGGCGCACTCGATGGCGACGCCGCAATCTACGCCCTCGCCACCAACGACAAGCTCAGAGCCCTCTTGGACGAGACAAAGGACATCATCGAGTCCCAAGACTTTGGCACCATCCTCTCCCTCTGCTTCGACCGTGTCTTTGAAACCTTTTTCGACAGTCTCTGCCCCACCTTTGGCGTTCAAAAGTCCGGCAGGACCGACTCGACCGTCCAGGTGGAGCCACTGTCCGCACTCGAGTCGCGATTCCAAGAGATCACGGACGAGATGCAGCACGGCAAGCGTGTTCGTCTCGCCTCCCTCTTCCCCCTCGTCTCGAGGCAAAGTCAGATGGCTATTCGCGGCGTACCAAACGAGTACATCGAGGTCCTTGCCGACGCCAAAGAGCTCCGGGCTTTCTCCGCCGTCTTATATGCAGCCTGGTCGCCCATGTAGTTGTACGCTCCTGCTCGAATCTTAATCCGTCCATCCATCATCACGTCCACCCACTCGATCGTTTCCCGTCGCAGAACCATGAGACATGCTTCCACATGAGTTGGCAACCCATCCCGATGCGAGTCTTCTCGGCGCCGCTAACAGGTGAGCGGAGTCGCGCTTCAATGATCGACCGAGTTGACAGCGGCCGAGCTGACAGCAGACACTCATCATCCGCAGCCTCAAGCACAGTGTCGGGGCACGACCACTGATGGAGCTTGCTGATCGTTTGCGGACGATCGGGGCAAGACAAGCGTGCAACAAGTTTTGGTGGTTCTACAAGTACAATTCGGGATCGAGCATGAGCCAAGGCGAATGGTGCCAAGTCCCACCTCAAGACGTCTCCATCGGCACCGCCTCGGCAGTCTCGCTGGTCGCCGTGAGCACCTTTGCGGATCGTCGCGCGTCCATAAAGAGCTCGTTGGCTTCCGCCACATCTTTGGTGGTGATCTCGGATCGACCTGCGGTCTTGGCGAGGATCGAAGACGGGCTCAGAAGTTGGAGCGCAAACCTGTAGGCGTTGAAGCATGAGCGGAACGCGGTGCATCGGAAGGCAGGGATGGTCAGCGATAGTCGGAAAAGGGAGGGAGACCCATCAAGGATTGAAATGGATGGTACTTACCTGAGCGAGCTTCGTACGCCCTCTTCCGTGAGTTTCTCGAGCGCATCCTCGGCGATCAAGTGGCCTTCCACCTTGGTACGCAATCGCAGCACCTCTCGGATCTCGTCCTTCTCGTACGGCATGGTGCGCACGATCATGCATCGGTCGAGCAAGTCGAGGGGAATGCCGTGCGGAGCCACAATGCCAGTGCCCGAGGCAGGACCCTCGTACTCGGTACCGCGCACCATGCACTGACCGCGGTTGGTGGCCAAGATCACGTGTGGGCTGATGGTCGACTCGAGCGCTCGGTTGAGGTAGGTGAAGCACTCCATGTCGAGCATGTGCACCTCGTCGATGAACAAGACACCGGGCACCAGTTCGGCGATGCCCTGCTCGATGTACTTGTCCACGACCCTGTTGATCTCGCCACGCAGCTTGTCGGTCACCTCTGTCCTTCGACCCTTGACGAGCTGGCCGACGACGCTCATGATGTCCTGTCCTCCCTGGGGCTTTGCGTTGGCCATGTCGAGGTCGTGAAGGGTGACGTCCTGAACCACTTCCTTGCGCTTGTGGACCTCTCCCTTGGGCAGCGGCACGTACTCTTCCGCCTCCAGGTCGAATTCGGTGGCGTATGCATCGCTTCGGCCAACTCGCTTGACGGCACCGGTGTTGGCCTCGATGTAGATGACGTCGCCGACGCTGATGCGCTCCTTCATGATGCTCTCGTAGATGCTGGGGTCGAGTCGGAGCTGCTTGGTGCCCTTGACGGTCTTGAGTGCGATCACAACGTGGGCGATGGTCTTGCCATAGCCCGAGAGCGGGTTCTCTGCTTCCGTCGGCGTCAGCTCGGTGATCTCGCCTTCGTAGACCTCTTTGGTCTCGCGCACGCGCAACCCGATGGCCCTTCGGAAGTTCTCCATCAATACCTCGGTCTTCTTGACCTCGGAGCTGTAGACTTCCGAGCCGACCATTGGGCAGAAGGGCACCTTTTGACCGAGTTCCTGCGACACCGCCAGAGCGAGAGCAGTCTTGCCCGTACCAGGACCTCCGGCGAGGAGGAGCGCCTTGCCCGCGAACTTTTTCATGCGAATGAGGTCGAGCACGAGACCGCAAGCCTAATGCCAAAAGTCAGAATACAAGTAGCGTTGGTAAGTGCCAGAATCCTCTACGTGGTCCTTTTCTGCTGGGCCGCCTTACCTCACGGGCCATCTTCTGGCCGACAAATCCTTGCGCCGAGGGGAGCGCAGTGCCATCGTCGCTCAGACCAAGTCCTTTGATATGCGAGTGCGTCGCGATGCGCGCTTCGCGAAGAGCGCCGGAGGCGGATCCATCCATGGTGACTGGTCCAGCGCCAGGGGCAGCGCTGGTAGGCGCATTTGCGGACGACATGGTGGTCGTCACAAGCGGGTCGCCGTGGATAGGAAGAGGTTGCCGTTGAAGAGTCTAGACCGCACACGTGCCGCTGTGTTGTGTGTCTTGGGGGCGCTGTTCCTCGGTGAAGCGGCAAGTGGATGAAGGTCTCGGTGGTTGCTAGTGGTTGGTTGGTAGGGAAGAAGAAGGCCAACACGGCGGATGGCAGAATTCCCAGCAGCGCACAGTTCAGGATTTGCGGGCAGTCGTGCGTCTTCGCGACACGTGATTGAGAGCCTGATAAGCTGTTAGATTTACTGCTGGCCTGGACCCCCGTCGTTCTAGCCTCATGCTCCCGAGCCGCTAGAGTTTCGTGTCCGCCGAACTTGGCGGTGGCCTCGAATCGACCTGTGCTGCTTCTGCCTCTCATAGCTGCGAGCATGAGGCACAAAACACATGAGGCACAGGAAGAGCCTGCTACAGTATCACCTCATCCATCTGGGCACGCACTTGCGCACGCACATGTCACGCGCCCCATCTTGCATCGTCTTGCACCGCGCTTTTAAACCAAAGATCATGGTTGAAAGTCATCCCCTCGGAGCATGAAGCAAAAAGCTGGACCACACAGGCCAACGATGCTGAGCACTGTAACTCCGCACAAGGGCCATGAGATCCTGATGACCAAGATTCGCGGTCCTATCTGCGATTCGAGGGTTTGTTTTGTGGAGGAAAAAAGGTTGCGTCCTTGTCACGCACGCCTCTGCCCTTCATGCCTCAAGCACTTGGGTCATCTTGTGTCGTGCATGATCGGCGTCTTGGGGTTTCGACGGACTGTGTGAAATCTGTTTGGTCATAAACACACCACAATCACGAATCGGAAGATCTTGTACGCGTCCACTTCACTAGAGGGTGTACTGGCAGCTATGAGCCACAAATCTGAGAATCACGAATGATGCATGTGCAATCATGAATGCTTCCAGCCTGTTGTGCCACGGGTTCAGCTCCGCGACTGGTCTCCCGGAACCCTTCGCCAAAGTCAGATCTCAACGAAGCCATCCATTCTAATTTGATGAACGGTCTAGAATTGGAAGAATCGAGGCAGGATAGTGACATGGATTTCGATCTGCGAATGCGGAATTTGTGGAAGTGAAAATGTGAAAAAAGTACGAAGTCGAGCATCCCGGGAGGCACCTGACTGCGTTGAGATTGCCTTAAATCATAAAAAATCGCACTGTTATTACGCGAACTAGCCAACGTAGACAGACATCAGCTAGGCGTCCTGGATGCTTGTCGCAATTTCGTGTGATCTGGAGGCAAAGCGCGCAGAGGCTGGAGTGCGGGCTAGACCTGTTTATGGCCTGTTCCATTTTTTGCCTTGCGTGTCGTATTCTAGTGCTCATGATTCATGATGAGAAAAAAATGACGGCTTGCTTGCCGCTCGAGACCAATCACCTACCCTGTTGATTTGCCAACTTCGGCAAAAGATGTCCGGACTTAAATTGCGAAGCCAAAATTGTCTTTCAACTCATATCCTGAAAAGACGGGGGGGTGGCGAGGGTCAGCCACCCAGCAGCCACCCCGGGTGGCTATTTGGGATCAGCCACCCCACAGCCACCCNCGAGACCAATCACCTACCCTGTTGATTTGCCAACTTCGGCAAAAGATGTCCGGACTTAAATTGCGAAGCCAAAATTGTCTTTCAACTCATATCCTAAAAAGACGGGGGGGTGGCGAGGGTCAGCCACCCAGCAGCCACCCCGGATGGCTGTTTGAGATCAGCCACCCCACAGCCACCCACACACACATGGGTGGCTGCTGGGTGGCTGATCCCGAGAAGCCACCCCAGGTGGCTGATGGGTGGCTGCTAATTACCAGCCACCCCGGGTGGCTGTGGGGTGGCTGATCYCAAAYAGCCAYCCGGGGTGGCTGCTGGGTGGCTGACCCTCGCCACCCCCCCGTCTTTTYAGGATATGAATCTACTTGAGAGCTGACATTGTCACCAGGAGCACCACAAGAGGCCTCCGGGTGAACTTACCGTTTTCGTGATTTTTGTTTCACTAACGGGCCTGTTTCAGTAATGGGCCACTTACATCGTGTGAATGACACGCAAACACCTCTATCTGATGGAGGACGACCAAGATCCCGCATATGATTTGCCGAGCCCGAAGTTGGCATGCAAACTTTACCCCAGTCTGAGTTCAATACGGAATCCGAAATGGACAATAACAAAGTTAAATTAATGACCAGAATGATGGATGCGAGATGCCACTAGAGAGAGCTCCCGAAAGTTTTGTTCTGGATTTCGACTTTATCAAGACATGATTCGTCAAATATTAATGACTTGATCAAAAAGCGGGAAAGCCAGTCACATGCTTGTTCCCGTCCAGCATGTCAAAATCTCTGAAAACTAGCAGAAAAAGGTTGATTTTGCAGACATACTGTACGTTGAAAAATCAGTTTCCATCGAGCTGGTGAGTCTATGGATGTAAGATGCCGGAAATAAGACAAAGTCGGAGCCCATGTGTCTTACGCTTCCAGGCCGTCGTGTGACTCAAAGTCATAGTTCGACAATTAAATGCGTCCATCAGATGGTCGCCCGTAGGATGATAATTGGGATCTTCGTAGCGCATGAACCATGAACGTAGATCTGTCGACGGTTCACAATAACTTAACTTAACTTAACTTAACTTAACTTGAATTAAACTAAGTTAACCTAAGTTATCAGTAGTTCAGCATGATTTTACAATATTAAGTTATCACGATGCACGCTTATGCTGAGCTATCAAGGTTGTGATGACTTACACTTTGAAATCATTCATGAAATTATGAAAGACCGCAGCCGCCCGAGATGACCAGGCGTCAGACAGATCACCGAGAGATGAACGTCATATTGGGCAAGCGAACATGAAGCCGACTATGAGCCAACCTCGCACAACTTAGATTTATGATTTACGAAACTCGCAGAAAGCAATTTCCTGATCCTCGACGGGAGGTGTGCGCTTCAGGCAGCGTTTTGAAGACCTGAAATCATACATCTTCGTGTCTCACATCGACGTACTCGCTCGCGCGTCTTGGTCTCTGCCCCCAGCCTCCGCGTCTTGGAACGCCTCGAGATCATTTTCGCAAGCGCACTCCACAAAGCATCGGCTCAAGTCCACCATCCAGACCTGCTTGTATCTGTTGAAGCGCACGACAAGCGCTGGGGGTCTGAGCACCGGGTACGATCAGCTGGAGGCTGGGCGCAAGTATCGAGAACAGGACGCTTCCAGTTTGTTGCCGGAATCACACAGGATAGCGGGGAGGTCAAAGTGTGTCCTACGCTTGAAAGTGAATTGAACACAACTGACAACCAGAAGGAACAGGGGATCGGGGTAATGTGGGCCTGTTGCAGGCGCAATACAGGGGAAGGATCATTGCCGCAGCTGACCGGCCGCCCTTGGACGAGGCCGGGCGGATGATAGGAGGCAGCCCACCGGGGCCTCGCACAGTGGTCCATAGCCCGGGCAGGACCGGGTCGTTCAAGAGCACCAAACGAAGTAGCCACCATGAGCCCATCCTGATACCGACCCTTATCGTGATCAATGATGTACGACTGTGGCTCATCATGCAAGACGCATTCATGCTTCCGCGTATGATGACGGTGCACAGTCACGAGTGGCGGTCAGCAACCATTCATGATTGCAAGCCTGAAGTCACCTGAGATGGCCAGAGTACCGAATACTTGCATCTTGCAAACCAACCTAAAGCTCATGCCACACTACATCACTTCACTCACTATTTTGCGATTCGGAAGCCATCGATGACGCTCGGTGTGCTGCCAATCGTGCGGGGGTCGGCTAGCCCGGAGGCTTTTATGTATGGCGACGCATCTCGCAGCTCATATTCGGCGAGCGACCTCGACCATGCTTGGTTCTCTGCCACACAAGCATGGAGCAAGAAGCAAGAAGCACGAAGATGATTGACTGAACCCGTCTGTATGGGTCGTCACTGCCTGAACATATCTTCACGAAACAGTAGCTGGCGACGGGCAGCCTGGTAGCTGCCAGCTGGCTGCTCAGCTTGGTTGCCTGCATGATGGCTGAAATCGCCAGTTTGCGATTCCACAGGTTATGGAACGGGAAGCTGGCATCAGGATACAGGTTCCGCTTGACTCGTCTCCAATAAGGCGAAAAAGTGGCGCAAAAGGATGCAACGGCGATGATTGCTGTCCGTTGCATGAAGTTTGACTTAAAATTATCTTTACTAAGTGGTGAGGAGCAGTCCTATCTGGGCCTGCAGTACGATAGGCAGGTACGCCATGCAAAATACGGGCACAGTGGCCGCTTGGAAGAGCGTGTAATGGGTCACCAACGACCGCGCTACCGCTGCTCCCGTCTGCGTCGGACAGATCTGCAGAAGCACCGCCCATGTTGCCGGGCTGAACAGCGCGATGGCCAAGTATCGCGCCAATGTGGACAGTACGTTTCGCGGGGAGCGGGCAGAAGACGCGGTGGCGAGCGCGGGGTATGTTAGTAGAGCGAGCACGGTGGCCAGCGCAAAGTTGAGGACGCTCAGCACGGCGACTAGCATGCCTGCTTGTAGGTACGCGAACGCAATTAGTAGTGAGCCGATCCGTCGCCGGCGCGGAGTAGAGCACTGCGATCGAAGGTACAAGGCTTCGGCCGCTTGAATCAACGTCGACCCTACGAGTGCTGCAACTGGGAAACTCTTCTGTGGTGAAAAGCCAAGCGTTCTGTCAGTACCAACACTTGTTCATACGATCCACTTGAAAGGGAGGGAAAGCTTACCTTGCCGGCATCTGGGCTCGTGATGCTATCCGCCAACGACGCGCAGTGGTGCAGCATGCCCATTCCTACCACGATCGTCGAGCCTATGCAGGCCAGCGTGGCTGCACACGGCCGCATCGACTCGACCAGCGAGGCCGCCGTGCGATCTGCATCGGCCACCGTCTCTGCGTCCGATCCGCCCGCGAGGCTCTTTTCCACCAACCTCTGGCGGTACCATGACATGGTCGGAGCCTCGGGTTGAACATCGCCCGCGTCTTGCTGAGCATCTTTCAAGGTTTCCAGAACCTCGTCGCGCAGCTTCTTCGACTCGGCTTCTTGTTCGAGCCACGACGCGAAGCCGCTGATGGTGAGCGAGATGGACAGGAAGAGAGGCACCAGGATCGCGACACCGATAGGTACGAAGCGGCGCGGACTGAGGAGCAGGTAGAAGAATTGCGAGTGATGCAGGCGCTCGATCAGGTTCGACATGGATCGCACAAACGATTCGACCAGCCTGCCCATGTGGAAGAATCCGTACGGCCCGGTGGCAGGGACGGCGTAGAGGGTGATGGCATCGACATGATGGCGCTGGAAGAAGCCATGGGGACCGCTTGCGTGCCCCGCGATACCGTGTCCGAACTGACGCAAGGCTGCACGCACGCCGTGCTCGTAGCTGTCCAGCTCGTACTCGACGTCGGCACGGAGCGAGATGCCGAGTCTTTGCGCCAGTCTTTGCGCAGGCTGCTTGAGCAGCGACGTGGACTTGCTCTGCTCGAGATCGATCGGGATGCTTCCTGCGACGCTGTCGGCTATGCGCACGATGGTATTGACGGCGTCCATGTTGGGGAGCTGTCCATCGAATCCTTCGTACTGCACGACTAGCGACGAGAACGAGTCGGCAGGATAGTCGATTGAGATGGCGTTCCACACCTGCGAACCGCCGAGCACGACGGGCTCTACCTCGAGCCCGGCGGCGACATCGCCAAAGTACGCCGAAGACCAGGCATTGATGCCTTCGAGATGGCCGTCGCTGATGACAAAGATGAGGTCCTTGCTCAGATGCGCCTGGGTGGAGAGGTACCTTGCGAGCGCGAGGACCGAGGCGATGCCGCGCACGTTGACGCGAGCGCCATTCGATGCTTCAGTCGCATTGACGTGCGCAAAAGGATCATCTTGGCCCTTCCATCGACTCTGCCAACTCGCCGTGATGGCAACAGCCTCGCGACCATCGATACGAGGTGTAGCCGAGCGTGCGTAGACGTTTGTGCCGCTGTGCGAATGCTCGCCTGCGCCGGATCGATACTGATACTTTTGCTGCTGGACCTCGAGGCCGTAAGACTGGAGCTCGGACCAGACAAAGTCTGCGCGAGCGTCGCTGGACGCGGAAGTCAGGAAGGCAACCTTCTCCGAGAGCATGTCGGCGTAAGTGACGTCAAAGTAGTCCCAGTAGACACGAGCCTGTCCCGGTTGGAGGGCATTTTCATCGACGTAGGTGCCCTTGGAGACGGGGGAGCGAGGATGGGGAATGACAAAGATGAGCGCGAGGGCAAGCAGGATGAGGAGCGAGCGAAGGAGCAGGCAGACTCGTCCGAGGAGAGCAAGGAGTTTGCGGCGCGTCTGGATGCGGCGTCGGAAGGCGGCGCGGATCTTTTCGTCCTTGGCTTCCTTGGCGAGTCGTGCTTGTGCGATGCGATCGAGAGCGTCCTCGTTTTCGTCGTCGCTTTGAGAGTCTGTTGCTGCGGCATGCTCGGGGGCGACGTCGTTGGAGAGCAAGAGATCCACCTCGTCTTCCTCGCGGCGAAGGGCGCGCTGAGCGAGGACATACGAATCTGCGAAAGCGGGAAGTGTGAAGCAGGCGAGCACGAGCAGAATATGACAAGCCAGCAGCACCAGTGACGAGGAGTCTGTGGAGGGGAAAACGTTCCAGCACCACTCGAGAGCCACGGGGAGTGCCAACTTGAGGACGAGCGGTAGCTTGGAGAACCAGAGTACGAAGGGGAGCTGGTGGAAGTACCACGAGTAGAACTGGTAGTGGAGGCTTCGGGAGCAGAGCACGCCGATGAGGTTGGATGCGAACGCGCAGCCGAGGATGGTGATCTTGGCGGAAGGCGAAAGCGTGGTCTTGCGTTCGGACATGTTTTGCACGATCCAGGCGGGGCCGTGGGTCAAGATGGGCGTCCAGCGACAGATGCCAAAGAGGGCGAGCATGACGAGATGAGCGGCAAGAAGCGCTTTGGCAAAGGTGGACGACAGGAAAGTCTTTTCCGACACGAAACGCCAGTTGACGGTCCAGACGTAGAGAAAGGCTCTGGAAAAGTCGAATGCGCGCACGAGGTATGCGTGGGGATCGTGCAAGGTGAAGGGCAGCGAGATGATCGCCTGCACCGCCGCGACGATCGAGACGTACGAGATGGTGCCGTTCAAGCCTGTATAGGCGAAGCATGACGCTGCGATGCCGGGCAAGAAGAGGAGCACGTTCATCTTGACTCCGAGGCCTACGCTGAAGAGAAGAGCCGAGAGCGTCCACCTCGCCTTGATGATGGCAAGAAGAGAAAGGTAAACGAAGAGGATGGCGATGGGGTCGTTGAACATTCTGAGCAAAAAGATGGAGGCGATGCGCTTGGAGAGGATGAGTGGCAGGAGAGCAATGGGCGGCATACCTGCGTTGCGGTAGAGCCAAGCAACGACGAGCACATTGATGGTGAATAGCGCAGCAAAGACATTTTGGGCAGGCAGGATGTTTTGGCCGCCGTTGGTGAGCCAGTGAAAGAAGGCGTAAATGTAGATATGTGCGGCGGGATAGACACAGGGGCCGCTGCCGCCTGGTGGGTCGAGGTTGGTGTAGGTGCGTTCGCCCTTTAGGAAGAGGTTGGCCTGTGCGATGTAGGTCTGAAAGTCGATCTCGGTGAAGGTGATGCGACGCAGCACGGCTTGTGAGAGCACGGCGGATGCGATGGCGAGGGCGGGCAGCGCGTAGTTGTAGCCATGGTCGTCGAGGCAGACGCGGCGAAGCCAGGCTCGCGCCGCCGAGCGCTGCATGGGGGAAGGAAGCTAGGAGCGCTGCGGACGCTGAGGAAGGGCAGATGGCGGTGGGAAAGGAAGAAGTGTTGGCTTTGCATTGGCTTTGCATTGGCTTTGCATTGGCTTTGCATTCCTCTTCTGGTCAGTGCGCGTCGGAATTCATGATTTTGCGGCGGCGCGTTTGCACTCCACACCGGGCTTTCATGCTTCTCACCAGCTTCTCGCTCGGCTCACAAGAATGGCGCATGTCGATAGGATGGATGGTGGTACAGTTTGATTATTGATGGCAGCTAGTGCGCCTGCTTGGACTTGAGAAAGTGGTCATCGCCAGCACGTATGCGATAGAGGAGCGCGTCTCCACTGCCGTGACCTGCGCCTGCCCTTCGTTCGTACTCGAGCGCAAACAGCGCGTCGCGCAGCGTGACTTTGAGACGAGCCTGGCGTTCCTCCTCGTCCTTTGCAGCTTGGCGAGCGGTGACGTCGCCCCAAGCGCCCGTGGAGGCGTTGGATGATGGTGCTGCACCGGCATCGCTGGCGCCACCACTCCAGTTGGACACGGCTGGTTGAGGCGCAAACTTGGGCTTGGGCAGACGGCTCGCCGACTTTGCATCGTCGGCTTCTGGCTTTGACTTTTTGGCACCGAGCGGGCTGAAGCTGCCGGGGAAGGAGGAACCGCCGGAGAGCCACGAGTATTTGGACGAGCCGCCGCCGAGGTTGCGCATGGCGGTGCTGTCCGCCAGACGTTTGCGCACGTCCTCCGACATGTTTCGCGCCGCCACACCGGGGCCCATCTTCTTGGGCCGCTTCCTGCCGTCCGCCTTGGTGGTGCCGTCGTCCAGGTCCATGTCGGCGTCGAGACCGGCTGCGGCTGCGGACGACTCTTCGTCTCGAGCGAGTCGTTCGCGCCGCCTTTTGGCTTCGTCGCCTCGTTCGGCCTTTTCGAGCGCGGCGAGCTGCTTGACCGGATCGGTGAGGATGTGTTCGTCGTACATTGGCTGCGAAGTGGATGCGTAGAGCGGAGGCTCATGGTGGTGCGACGACCAGCTGCGGTGGCGCGACGAGGCGATCATAGCCTCGAGCATGTTTTTGAGCCTGGTGCGTGCTGCGAGCGAGAGGTAGTTGAGCACGGCCGCGTCCACGCTGAGGCCGTGCTGCTGTGCGAGCGTGTGCACCTTGTAGGCGAGCGGGTAGATCTGGAGGAAAACTTCGTCGTCGTCGGGCTGTGCGCCCCTGTGTTGTGCGGTTCGGGATTGCTGCATGAGCTGCTCGCGTCGCTGAATCGCCTCCTCCTCTGCCTGCAGATCCACACCCGATGCACCCATGACGTCGACCAAGCTGTCAAAGTTGTCTCTCTGCTCGGGCGCCGCCGCTGCTGCCGTGGTGGCTGGCTTGGCGCCATTGATGGGAGCATTGACGCTCGATATTGCTGAAGCTTCGGCGTGGTCGAGCTTGAAGCGTTTCGCCAGCGGTACCGACGAGTTGGAGCGCTCGCGTGTTGCGCCTGCTGTGTGTGATGATTGTGCATCGTTGGTGGGAGTCTGGGGAGCATTTGGGCTGCTCGCTGGTGGTGACGACGCCATGGTTGCGAGTGCACTTGGATCCAGAAGATCGGCGCTGTGCAATGCGTCGATGCCGGGCAATGATGATGATGACGCTACTGTCGATGGTGGTGGGTGATGTGATGTGAAGGCCCGGATGTGATATTTCGGATTGCGGGTCTCTGTCTCTCTCGTTCTCTCAACCGACCGACCAACGACGCGTCTAAGAATTTCGCCCGGTTTGGCAATGTGAGATCGCGCCGTCTTTCACTTCACATGACCGGCCCGAGAAGCTCAGCAGGATAGCATACACAGCTTTGGTCTCACGGCGGCGTCATAGCACCGAGTGCAGCTTCTCGACTTGAACCGACACAGCTTGACCCGACACAGCTTGACCCGACACAGCTTGACCCGACACAGCTTGACCCGACACAGCTTGACCCGACACAGCTCTGGGAAGCCGTAGGAGGCGGTGGAGTATGTTTTGTGCTGATTGCGTGGCTTCCGAAGTTACAATGCTCGATCGTTGCGAGTCTGGCTTGCGTACCTATGCGTGGGCGAGCAACCCCTCTCTTAGACAGCCGATTGACGTGCACCTGCCAACCTATCCAGCACCTGTTCAAAGCGACGATTCGAGTCAGTACGGACACGCTCGCTCCATCGTCTGCTTGCGGTGGCGAACTTACATTTGCGACGCCTGGAAGCGAGAGCACGTTGCCAATCACGGGAAGCTGCCTTAGGAAGTTGAGGATGACGGGGAAGAAGTCGCCGAAGAGATTGAGGAATCCGAATGCCTCTACCAGCATGCCGATCACCGCCCACTTGCAGAAGACCAAGAACATGCCGGCGAAGAAGCAGATGGTGCCGCGGATCTTTTGCTTGCGCGCGAAAAAGTAGAACGTCTTTTGCGGTCCGATGAGCAGCGCAATGCCCGCCGTGAAGAGCACATTGCCGAGCGCCAAGAGTGCGGCATCGAAGAAGAGCAGGATGCCCACAAAGATGAAGAACGTCCCAAACGACACGAGGCCCGCACCGATCTCTGGTTTCGCCAAGTAGCACAAGCGTCAGCTAAGCATTCCTTCCAGCGTGGATGTTAAGCGAGTGCACGACTTACTCTGCTGATCTGTGAGCCACATGGTTGCAATGATCCCAGCCGTGGTTGAAGCGTGGTTGTAAAGAGTGATGGAAGATCGAGAGCAAAGTGCGCATTGCATTTCCGACGCGTTGGATCTCCAACACCCAAATCCACCACCGCCGCCTGCAGCCGCGTGCAGCCGCCTTTATTTTTCATTATTCGCGCAATTCCACTCCGCCTCCCGAAGAGCCACGTCGGCAGGAATATACGCACCCAACGATACTCGCGCCACAGCATTGCGAATGAGAATACAGCTCTGGGCAGAGGTGACGTGGGAAATTGCAGGCTACACCATCGACAAAGGATACAAGTACAAAGAACAATCAAAAACGAACACAGCCTGGGGGGGGAGGGCGGCTCACCGTTGCCTCTTGGCTGGGTTGGCGGTGGCCGCCAGCTTGGGACTCGGACTGGGTGCCGTCTTGCCCTTGCGCTTCAGGCTCGTCACGCCGTTGGCAACCACTGGAGATGCATGGTTCGAGCCCGTTCCGTTCTCCAGCGGCCGGCCGTGTGCGCTTGGCGATCGTCCCATCGGCGGCGGCCCTGGCGTGGCGGCCGAGTTGACCGCTGGCTGCTGCTGCTGCTGCTGAGCACTCGCTGCATTGCCATTGCCATTGCCATTGCCATTGGCGTCGCCCAGCGCGCCGCCCGCTGCTCCCACTTGCGCCGTGGCTCGGCCCGATTGCATATCGCGATACTGGCCTGCAAACTTGCGCAGCGCATCGATGGGGCCCAGCTTGTCGCGCATGCTCATGTCGATCAGATCGCGCAGCTGGCACACGCTCTCCGTAATCTCCAGACACCGCATGGCTCGCAGGCTGATCCCATACTCGTTGACAGGGTAGTCGGGCACGAACGTCCTTTCCACCGCCACGCTGAACCCGCTCTGGCTCTTGGCATCGTCGTCCGAGCTCGTCCCCGTGCCCTCCTCGAGCTTGATCGCCGGCGCCCCCTCGTCGCCCCGATTCGAGTCGTCCTTGGCCTCTTCCTTGCGAGCCGCAGTGCCTCGCGCCTGCCCCTTCTTGGTGCCGTTGGGAAGCGAGCTCCCCGCCTTGTCCGATGTGCTTCGAATGCTCGCCACCAGGCTCGAGGGCAGCGGGTGATCCACCTTGGACATTTGGATGGCCACGCGTGGCAGATAGCCTGCATGTGCATGCACCGTGAAGTCGAGCGACTCCAGACGCAGCTGCACATCCATCTTGCCCGGTTCGCCCGGCTGCTCGAGCGCCCAGGGCACAAACGACGCCCGCAGCCGTCCCGACATCTGCACCTGCCATCCGCTCTCGAAGCTCGACACAAACGTCGCCTGCTTCGTGTCCACGTGATGCGTCACGTTGGCCGACGGAAAGCTGTTGACAAACTTGTGCGACGCCGGCGGAGGCGGCAGCGGCTTCACCGGTGGCCAGCCCGTCTGGTACTCTCGAGGCGTCTCGAGCTGCAGCTGCGACGAACGCAGTCCGGAGACGTAGTTGGTCAGCATGAAGCGCGGCAGCACGCACGTCGGGATCTCGAAGCCCTTTTGTTCGCGCGAGGTGGCGTTCCAGAGGATCAGACGGTACACGCCCGTCGGCACAAAGAACTCGTTGACAAACGTCTGCCAGTAGTCAATGTCGCTCCGATTCGCGCCGCTCCCTAGCGCTTCCGAGTATTGGAGCAGCCTCAGCACGCCCGCTCCCGGTGGGAAGTGCGACTGGAGATGCGGATTCGGGCCGGGTGCGCCCGCCATGCTATCCACGTTCGACGAGCCCATCGAAACCGCACCGTTGGCGCCTGCCGGGACAGGCGTGGCGAAGGCTTGAGCGGCAGCTTTGTGGAGCATCTGGCTTGCGTTGGGCGAGGTGCTGTTGGGTCGCGGCATGGGCATGGCCGACGCCGGTGGATTGGCGGACTGGAGCGCGGGCGTGGGTGCAGCCGAGGGAGGGCGGGTGTGCGTGGGAGTGGGAGGTCCTGGGTGATTGAGCGGCACCGAAGCCTGGCGGAGGGGCATGGGAGCGTTGACCTGTGGGCTGGGCATGGAGGAGGCGGCGTTGGGAGGTGCCGAGGCGGCCGAGGCGGTGGACTGCATCGGATGAGCGGCATGCGAGATGGGCGTCGGCGTACGATGCGGTCCAGGCTGTGCGGCGCGATGGGCGAGTGCCGAGGGGAGAGGCGAGTTGTTGGCGGTGGCGGGCTGCGAGTTGTTGTTGCTGTGATGTCCCTGTGCAGATGGTGGCAGCGAGTTTTGACGATGCAGCGAGGGTGCGGCCAGAGATGCTTGCTGCTGCTGCGCTTGCTGTTGCTGAGCCTGCTGAGCCTGCTGCGTCTGAGGATGGGATTGCAGCGTGACCTGCGAGTGACTGGGCATGTGCTGCTGCGGCTGATGCTGCTGCTGAGGCTGCTGAGGCTGCGGTGTTTGGGGCTGTGCGGGATGCTGATGAGGATGATGGAGTTGTTGCTGTTGCTGTTGCTGGCGTTGCTGTTGTTGTTGCTGCTGTTGCTGCTGATGCAACATGACTTGCTGGTGTTGGTGCTGAGCGGCGTGTTGCTGTTGCTGCGGCGTTTGCATTTGGTGCTGCTGCTGCTGCTGCTGCATGAGCTGCATCTGCTGCTGGTGTTGGAGCTGGTGTTGGTGCTGTTGCGGTGTGAGTGCAGAGCCTTGGGGTGGACGCTGCTGCTGCTGTTGCGGGTTGCCGAGCTGTGGCTGAGACGCCTGTGCGATCCTGGCCATCTGTGCCTGGTGCTGCTGCATGGTGGGGTGATAAGCGGAAGAGCCAGCGGACGGGTTCGCCATGTGCACGGGTTGGTTCACCGAGGCCGCAGAAGGAGGTCCGCCAGCGTAGACGACCGAGGGCTGAGGCTGATGCTGATGTGGATGATTCGGTTGCTGCTGATGGTGTTGTGCGAGGTGCTGCTGATGCTGCTGCTGCTGCTGCTGCTGCTGCTGCTGATGCTGAAGCTGCTGCTGCTGCTGCTGCATCTGGTGTTGATGGTGCTGCTGCTGAAGCTGGTGTTGCTGGAGCTGCTGTTGGTGCGATGGCGGAGGCTGCATCTGCTGCGATTGCTGCTGTGCATAGACCGAAGGCTGCATTGCAAAGTTGGCGGCGTTTTGCATGGCGCCTGGATGCTGCTGCTGTTGCTGCTGTTGCGACTGCTGCTGCTGAGCCATGTGCGGCTGCATGTGGAATGCGTTGTTGGGCAACATGATTGCGAGAGCACGAGAGCACGAGGGGCCGAGGGTAGGACTAGGGCAGGTGGACGTGGAGGCTTGGGCGTAGCATGAGCGAGGCAGAAACGAGTCGACACCCGCGAGAGAGAGGGAGGTTGGAGTGATTTGCGTCAGTAGCCGTTGGGGCAAGCCATGGCGCTGTCAAGGAAGAGAAGGTAGAAGCGGCAACGATTGGTATGCACGAAGCACGAAGGACCGACTGCCAATCGAGGCGCGTTCGCCATGTGAGCGCTGCGCCTCGTTTGCCGCCTCTCCGCCTCTCCGGCCTCGGCCTCGGTCCTTTTGTCGCGCCAATCGGGCATCGGCACAGATCGGAATATCGAAATTGCAATTTGGTCAGATGGGCGCCGATGGAAATTGCGATCACGCTCTCAACCCGATCTCCCTTCCAACCGCACACGCGACTCTCTCTGCTCAACCCGAGGCAGAAGGAGAGAGAGGCGAGAGAGATCGCGTTTTGGAAGGATTCAGATTGGAAGCGCAAAGGCCCACCTCAACTCTCGACCACCACCTTTCCCCCCCTTCATCCATCCTCACCGCACTCGGTCCCACTCTTTCATCAAAAACACCACATCCTCCATCGACGTACAATCTCGCATCCACTCACCATTCACCACCAAAATCGGCATGGACTACAGGTCCTCCTACCGTCAGTATGACCGCTCCGCACCCGCGTCGGCTACAGACAACCACCACGCACCACCCACAGACGAATACAACAAGCACAACCTAGACGACTCGTACGATCGCTCCAGAAAGCGAGGCCGCTCCCCTTCTCCGCCCTACTATCGCGACGACAGACGCGCCAGCGCCTACAACGACTACCATCCCTCCGCAGACCCCTGGGACCGTCCACGCGACTCGCGCGACTACCGTGACCCCGAGCCCTACGCATCGCGCTCCTCCGCCGCCGCAGCCTACGACCACTACCGCTCCGCAGATCCCTACGACGACCGTGCAGATCGCTCGCGCGCCGCAGAGTGGGATCGCTACTACCGCGAGAGGGATCACAGAGACCACGACCACCGCCCCACCTATGACGATCGCGAGCGCTACGAGGCCAGATCCAGGTACGACGATGCCCCACCCGCTACATCCGCAGACAGGGACGACCGTCCGCGCATCCGCGAGCGAGAACGCAACTATCCTTCCTACGACTCACACCATCGCAGAGACGACCACGCTCCGCACTCGGATCTCGCGTCCAATGCACCCGACCCCATGCAGTCCGACACGCTGCTCCCCTTCCGCCAGTACGCACAGATGATCCGTGCCGCGCATCCATCCGCACGCGACAGATCCATCGACCAGCCCAACACCCAGGAGATCTACGACGGCTACCAGTCCTACAAGGCCGCCTTCAACAAAAAGGCCATCGCTACCTTCTTCCAGCAGCGCAAGCACGAAGCTTGGTTCTTGGAGAAGTACTCGCCCCTCGACCCCTGGCTTAGCGCACGCATCGAGCGCAAGAAGGCCGCACGTACCGGCAAGAAGCACGCCTGGCTCAACGAGCTCCAGCAGGGCAAGCTCGACAAGCTCAACTACGACATCATCGGCACCGACGACGACTCGGCTTCGCGCCGCGACGAATCCTACGACGGCGGCGACCATCACGACTCCCGCGGTCGTGCCGAACCTACCGACGTCACGCTGCTCTCGCGACACGGCGAGCCCGAAACGCTGCATGCAGAGCAGGCCATCATCCCCGCCTGCTCCCACCAGATCCTCGTAAAGACCTATCCCGCCGACGTGCCGCGCGAGAAGCTCGAGGAGCTGCTGCGCACCAAGCCCGGCTTCCGATACCTCGCGCTCGGCGAGCCGCACGTCGGCAAGCGATGGCATCGCGTCGGCTGGGCCATGTACGAGCCCGACATCGACATGGACGACACGCTCAACGCGCTCCAGGGCAAGGACGTCGACGGCTTTGCGCTCAACCTCGCTCCGTGCTCCAAGCCCACCTCGAGCAAGCTGCGCACCGTGCCCGAATACGCAAACTCCTTCCACCGCCTCCTCACCGACCTGAGGCAGTGCAAGCAGCTCGTCGAGCGCTTCGAGTCCGAAGACCGCCAGGTGCTCTTCCGCGACTTGCTCGAGGCGGACGCCAGCGCGGCCTCATGGCTCGACACCAACGCCTCGGACGCCATCCTGGAGCGCATCAAGCACACCGACCCGGAGCTGGTGGACGACGACCTCGAGCGCGGCTACGACGCCGACGAAGACGCCACCAAGCGCGAAGAGCGTCGGCGCCTCCTCAAGCGTCAGCTCGATCTGCATCTGGACCTGCTGCGCACCGTGTACTTTTGCGACTACTACATCTCGCTCTGCTGCGAGTTTGAGGAGGAGCTTCTGCGACGCAGTCCGCGGCATGCGCGCAAGCAGCCACCCACGGGCCAGCTCGTCGAGGACGCGCGCGAGGGGACCAACGACGAATCGTGGGCACGCAGTGTGGATCAAAAGACGTTGCTGCTGCTCGCCGATGAGCGCACGGATCTCACCGAGGCGGGCGGCAAGAGTGTGGATGCGGAGCTCATGGCTGCTGCACTGGCGTACGTCAAGGAGGAGGACAAGGAGAAGCATCGATGCACGGTTGATGCCGGGGCGGGGCAGTGTGGCAAGCTGTTCAAGGCGGCCATTTTTGTGCAGAAGCACATCCTCAACAAGCACCGCGCGTTTATCGAGGCGCAGGCGCAGACGACGCTCGAAGAGGTGCACTTTTTCAACAACTACGTTCGCGATCCGTGCCGTGCTACTACGCAGCTCGGTGTTGCGCGCGGCGACGGTGCGCCGTTGGCGCAGCGTATCGACTCGTCCAACGGCATGTACAGCAGCGGCGGACGCATGGGTATGATCCGGTTCGGCAACGCCAGTGCGGCCGATTCGCCGCGTCGCCAGCCAGGCGCCGGAGCGCCCGCACTGGGCATGCGACTCGGCGGAGTGGTGACCCCCGATGTCGGCACGCCCATCAAGGCCGAACCGCTGCCTCCGGCACCCAAGCCGCTCGATCCACGTGCACAGCGTGCTGCGCCCAAGTCGTACCAGGACCTCGATGGTGCTGCCGAGGGCGATGTGGATCTCGCCTACTAAGTGAGCCGTGATGCACATGCACAATGCCAAACTTTTCTCAAATCCACGCAAAAGCAAACCAGAGAGCCTGACTTTGTCACTTTGCATCAGAGTTTGATTTTGCGAGTGTGCGACACACACACACACACACGAGAGGCGCGGCAAAGCAGAAATGTTGCATGAGCAAGACGTGAGATTTTCTCCTTGCGGACGTGTGGTGGTTTTGGGTGGTGCAGTGGGACTACTCGGCGAGCATGTCGATGGCTCGGAGGAGGATGTCCTTCTTTTCGTCGTGGCCGTGTTCAAAGCAGATGGCGAGTACAGTCTGCTTGTTGTCGAGCAGCTGCCTGTTGAAAGTCCTGACGAAAGCGGTGTACCAGCCGTCCACCCACCACTTGTTCCAACCTTCTGCTTTGAGGGCGAGGAAGCCTTGGACGACGGTGAGGAGCACTTTACGCTGTTCGGTGCGGATGGCGTCGAGGCTGGCGCGCGCGTCGTCGGCCGATGGCGCCTTCTCCTCCGGCCTTACTGGCAGTGTGGCGGTGGTGGGGAAGAGCGGCATGCCGGGCTCAGCCTTGGCATCCTCTTGTTCGAATCCGGCGGCGGCGGCGGCTTCCTGTCGCTCGAGTTCCTCGGCCTCGAGGCGCTGGCTCTGCTCGAGTCGGCGACGCAGCTGGTCCACACGTCCGTTCACCTTGTCGAGCGTGAGTTTGAGCAAGCCCCACGTGTTGAATCCCGCCCAGCTGCCCACTTCGCTCACGCCCGCGGTGAGGATGGAAGCCGGCTCGTCGCGCGGCGGATTAAAGATGAACTCGACCACATCCGCCGGTTCCACAATGCGGTACTGCAGCAACTTGTCCACGACAATGTGGAGCCATTGCGGCGATCGGATCCAGAATCGCACGGCTGCAGCCAGCATGGCTGCACGCATCCTCGCACTTCGCGACAGCGTTCGCAGCAGACCGTGGTAGCGCTCGACAATGTTGAGCAGGTGCGAAAAGGAGCGCGAACCCACCTGGAGCACGCACTGCACGACCAGATCGCGCACCACCACTTCGGCCTCCTCCATGCTGCCCACCATACCGTCTTCGGGCATCTGCGAGATGATGCTCGCCTTGAAGGATTCAAAGTCGGCGAGGATGACGTCGGCGGAGGCCTTGGCGCGGATGGAGCTGAGCAGCGCCGTCGCAGCCGCGTGGTAGGGATGCTCTGCGCCGGCATAGGTAAACACGGCGCCCGGCTCTTCGTCGGCCATGGCGAGCTGTGCAATCTCGGCGGGCAGCGTCTGCTTGATGCGGTCGTAGTAGGCCAGCCTCACCTCGAGCTCTACGATGCGCCTGATGAAGACCACCTTGGCGCTGTTGGATTCGAGTGCCGTGTCGGCGATCCACTCCTTCCATGCCCAGCCAAAGTTGAAGTTGCTGAGGTGGATGGCGAACCAGTCGGCAAAGCGCTGCACGGCCTCTACGTCCATCTCGGGCTGGGCGAGCGCGTTGTAGAAGGTGCGGATGGTGCGGCCGAGCGAGGGCGCGACGGAACCGGGCGTGAGCGAGACGATCTCGCGCAGCAGTGCGGTGTAGTAGAGCGGATTGCGCGGTGGCGACGGCAGCACGAGCGCGGTGGAGAGGATAGACTCGACAAGCAGGTCGTCCAGGGACCAACCCGACTCTTGCGGCTTGTCGTCGAGTTCACCAAAGAGGCCTGCTTCGGGCGAGATTTTGCCGGTAAAGGTGCCTCGACGCAGCCAGTTGGGCAGATCGAGCAGCAGCCGCGCGGCCTCTTTGCGGTTGACTTCGTAGAGGTCCATCATATCCGCCACCACGGCACGCAGCACCACAGCGGCGGGCGATGCGAGCGCCGGCACGGTGGCCGCAAACCAGCGCGGCTCGAGGCTGATGCGTTCGGGACCGACGGCGGCCTTTTTCTCTTCGAGCTCGCCCTTGCCCGTGTCGACTTTGCGGCGCTTGACCTGGTGCTCTCCGAGCTGGGCATAGGCGACGTCGAGGCTGTGTTCCTCTGCATCCTCTTCGGGCGGGACGAGGACGTCGGGGAGGAGTACGCTGCGCTGCGCCTCGGGGACGGCTGTGGCGCTGGGCGAGATGGCGGCGGGCAGCAGGTCGGCGGGCACGGGGAGGAAGGCGGGGCGCGCATAGTCGCGCGCACGCAGCTCTTCGAGCGCCTGCACTGCCTGCGGGAAACCTTCGAGCCAGATGGCCTCGACGTCGTGCACGGGCTGGGTGAGCTGCACCTCGACCTTGCGCGCAGCGTCGTAGGCGACGACTCGCTGAACGAGCTGGTCGAGTTCGGCGCGGGCGTGGTCTCCATCGGCGAGCAGATCGTGTCCGGCACGGCAGAGGGTCTGGATGATGCACATGGCGGCACGGTCCGCACGCGGGGCGGCCACGGCGGGTTCGTCGAGCACGGCGGCGAAGGCGGTGAGGAGGGCGCGGAGCGAGTGTGCGGGCACGATGTGGAGCGGCACGAGCGCGGCGAAGAGGTGCAGGCTCAGACGCGTATTTCGCCAGAGACGGGCATCGAGGTAGGAGCGGAAAGCCTTGATGAGGTCGTTGACGATGAGCAAGCCGATCGACTGTGCGGGCTCGGCGGTGGCATGATTGTCTTCAAGGGGCGTGTTGGCATCGTCGTGGCCGTCGTGCGCGGGGTGTTGGCGGCTTCGTGCTGGATCGGCGTTGGGCTGAAGGCAGAGGAAACCGATGAGAGCGGCGATGAGGGGGATCTTGTGGGGCTGTTCGGTGACCATGACTCTGAAGGCGGCGGTGATGGGATCGAGGCCGTCGTTTGCCTTGTCGTTGATCCAGCGCGCCATCTTGAGCAGGTCGGAGGGCGGATGGAAGTCGTTGTCCTCGCCGAGCTTGAAGAGGTGGGAGCGAATGTAGCGGATGCGGTTTTCAATTCTCTGTTCGTCGGACTGCTGCTGGTATTGTTGTTGTTGTTGGTGATAGTTGTTGTTATTGTTGTGGTAGTGGCCTCCTCCTCCTCCTCCACGATGACCGCCGCCACGGCCGCCGCCACGACGGGGCGAGTTGGCCCATCCCGCCGCGGCGTTTGTTTGCGGTGGTGGCGGAGGTTGCGAGTAATCAGCAGGAGTGTCCCAGCCGTCCATGATGGTTGAGAGAAAGTGGTGGTGGAAGAGAGTGAGGAAGGAAGGATTGGTAGGTGGAATGTGCGCCGATTCTGCTCTTCCAAACGCGCCTTTTTTGGCGTTGAAAACGCGGAATTCGGGCGACAGGCCCTCGACCGGGCTCAGCCATCTATCTGCCACGCCGCTCATCCAAGCTGGCGCTCCACCACCACCACCACCCTCTGGCATCACCCTCCACCATGGCCACACGAAAGGAGAAGCTGCGAGCGTGTCTGCGCTGCCAGTTCGTCCAGTCGCCGCGCGATTTCCATCTCAAGGGATGCCCCAACTGCGAACCGGTGCTCGAGGTAAGTCTCCACCATGGCTCAATACTGCATTGCCGTGCTGCCTACTCAATCATCCTTGTTTACTCTTTGGCACAACAGATGCAGGGCAGTCAGGACCGAGTGGCCGAATGCACCACGTCCAACTTTGACGGCATGATCTCCATGCTGCGACCCGACGAGAGCTGGGTGGCCAAGTGGCAGCGAATCGGTGAGTTGCTCCCACCCACAATCTGTGCTTTTCCACCCACACTTTTTGCTCATCCTTGTCGCTTTGGTATTGCTTGCGTATTGCACAGAGAAACGGCTGCCGGGGCTGTACGCGGTCAAGGTGGTGGGACGGCTTCCCGAAGGACTCGAATCGTAGCGTGTTGTGATGGACCAATGTATTACTACTGAAAGCTAGCGCCGGTGTGCGTTGGCGGTGACGAGTGCGGTTCGGCGTGCGTGGCGCATGCGTTCGAGCAGCTTGACCATGCCCGGACCATCGGCGACGAGTTTGGCGGCGTGCGATTGGCGCTGGTACGCCTCGAGCAGGCTCTGCACCACCTCGGCGAGCAGCGGGAGCGAGACGTTGAGGCTGGCAAAGAAGGTGAGCGCCTCGCCGCTCGGAGGCACGATTTGCTCCATCTTGGCCACATCGGCTGGTGTCTTGGCGGCGTCTGTCACGATGGCATCCAGCGCAGCCTGCTGGTGTTTTCGGTGGTGCTGCATGGACTCGAGCGTGGCGTTGATTCGTTCGTATGCGGGTGTATGCAGCGTGAGGGCGATCCACACTGCGGCGAGCGCGATCATGTAGGGCGGATAGAGCAACGGGATGTTGCTCCTGTATGCATCGTTGAGCACGAGCCAGCTCATCTGGAGCACGTGTTGGTCCAACTCGGCCAGCCTTGCCTCTGATGTCGTCTCGATGGCTTCCAACCCACGCACACCAAATGCCTCTGCCTCGATGCCCAGCCCGGCTGCCGCGGCGTTGGTGTCGGATCCATGTGCGTCGTAGAGCGCGAGTAGCGAGCGGTAGGGATGAAAAAGGATCATGTCGAACTCCATCTCTTCCAGCAGGTAGAACTCCATCTCGGCCAGACTCGAGTTGTCCGTCGGCATGGCGCGGAAGCCCACCTCTTGGAAGCTGCGTGCCGCCTCGGCCACGGCGGACTTGATGTGGATGGGCGACTCTTCCACCTTGGCGGCGACATAGACGCACGTGGCGCACACAAGGAACGGCTCCACCGCGCTGTAGCTGTTCTTGCAGAAGAAGCGCGAGAAGAAGACGCATGCGCTCGCCACCACGCGCTGGCGCAGGTTGAGGCGTTTGCACACGATCGCTATGACTGCGGAGCGAGCGTGGTGAGCCAAGACGAGCGTTGAGCGGAGAAGCAGTCAGTACTGGCCCTGCAGTGTGGTTGGGGGGGGGGGGGGGGAAGATAGGCACTTACGGTTGGCGAAAAAGATGGCGATGGCGGCACACTCTGTCTCGCTGGCATACTCTCGATCCTCGTGGCGCGCCAGCTCGAGCTGGGCTCTATCGATCAGCCAGTTGTTACATTGAGTCGACGCCCAGTAGTTGGCCGACATTCCGCGATGATGGTTGCCGGTCGACAAGCGGCTTGGATGCACGCGCCATTGGGCCATTCTGCCAATTGGCCAATTCAGGGTCCACTTTGGTCGCCACGTCCCTTTGTTCTTCTTATCCTCTTTCCTTTCTTTTGCTTGGCTCGGGAGGGGGGGCTTTCGGCGCTTGGGTTCACGCCACCATGTCGATGCTCACACACCTTCCTGCACCCTTGGCTCCGCCCGTGCTGGGGCTGGGGCTGGCGGTGGCTTCGGCGGCGTGGTTTACCGTTTCGTACGTCGGCTCGCTCTACCTCTCGCCGGCGGGTAGGATCAACGGTGCGGTGGATGCAGACGGGGTGCCGCTCGACCGCGACCATCCCGTCGTGATCCGCTCGCGCATCAAGACCGCTTCGGCCGCCACCGCGCTGTCTCTCGTCTGTGCAGGTGCGCTACTCAAACGTGCCATCCCACCCAGTGTAAGCCCTCAACCCCATCCCCCCACACACGAGGACTCAAGCTGACACAATGATCGTTGATCTGCAGGGCTGGTTGCTCGACACACTCAATATCGGTCGCCTGCTGGGTCTTCCGCTCCCCGTTCCCACCCTTCTCACCTCCAAAATCATCCCAATCTCACCCCCTCTGCTGAGCTACATAGGCTCAATGAGCGTGCACATTGCTGCACCTGTGCTGCTCACCTCGCTTCTCTACCTCGGCCCACTGCTCACCCGCTTCCTCGATGGCCAACTCCCCTTCCAACGCCAGTTCAACTTCCACACGGACATTGTCGAAAGGTTCACCTCGCTCGCCGGCGTGCGCAACTTTCTCGTCGGCCCGGCAACCGAGGAGCTGGTGTTTCGCGCCTCCATCCTGGCTCCGCTCTACTTTGCCGGGGTCACACGCGCAAAGTTGGTCTTGGCAACACCGGGCTTCTTTGGGATTGCACACGTGCATCATGCCTACAACGTCTACGTCTCTGGCGGGCGCACACGCAGCGCTGCCATTCGCGGCGCCATCACGGCCACCGCCCAGTTCGTCTACACCACCGCCTTCGGATGGTACGCCAACTTTCTCTTCTTGAGGGCTGGCAGCGTTGTGGCCCCCACCGCGGCGCACGCGCTGTGCAACGTGCTGGGTCTGCCCAACCCTGCGGCCGATTCGCAAAGCCACCCGACCAAGTCCACACGTAAGTCCTACACCCMTCTTCCACACGATCCACGCAGCTTTACTGAATCTTTGGGCATCGTGGTGGCGTGGGATTGGCACAGTGATATGGACAGCCCACGCTGTGGGTGTGGCCCTCTTCGCCCGCAACCTCTTTCCCCTGACCGCACCGGCGCTGTTTGGCGGTTCACTGTACTGGCTCGAATGAGAGTGCGGTGTGCTTTGCGATTTGCACCTCTTGCGGGCCGAGCAGCAGCCAGCGTTCGTAGTCGTCGGTGGTGAGCCAGGATGTGAGTCGTGCCGAGTTGCGTGTGCTTCTGCCCCGTGCGGGCGCGCATTCGAGCGGCGCAGATGCAGCGTTCAGGTCGCGATGGATTGCCGCCAGGTCGTCGTCGACGACCGCCATGAGCCGCACCATGGGCGCATAGTCCAGTACGATCGCCGTATCGGTTTGCATTGCCGAGCGCGACAGTACCGGCCGAACCATGGTCCACAGCCGATCCACCGTCGAGTCCACCTCCCGCTCCTCCACCGGGTTTGGCAATGTCGCACTATTGTCGGCACAGTGGATCTGGTCTAGCGCGGCGCGGTAGTCGTCTGTACCGCTGTGGCGCATACGCAGCGTGTCGAGCGGCTGCGGTACGAGCTGGGTCCAGCTACCCCACTGTCTGGTCGGATGGAGTTCCACACCCACATCTCCCCACTCCTCTATTCCAGCACTGCCCTCGACCACATCGGCCCAACTGCTGCTTTCCGCCGCCTCGGCCACTGCCCTAACATCCGCACCCTCTTCCACCATCCCCTTGACCGTATCTGCCGCCATTTGCTTTGGTGGCACGCCGAGTCCGAACTGAAGCTGCATCAGCGCCTGTCGCACATCCACCTCTTCCCTCCCCAACCATCTCTGCACCGCATCTGCGCTGATCCACCTCCCTGCGCGCGCAGCGACCGTCTGCAACCACGGCACCGCCACCTCTGCGGTGGGTTTTTGGAACTCTAGCACCTGTTGCACCGGCAGATCATGCAGGGGCACGAGATCGGGCTCGTTGCACACCACCACGACGGGTCGCTTGCTTTGGCCCACCAGCTCCACCACTGCGCTCCAGAATCCCTTGTCCTCGTCGAACAGCACGTCGGCCTCTTCGATCAGGATCAGCGACTGCCGCACGCTTGATGAGGCGGCAGGTTTGAAGCTGGCGCCGCCGCCGATGCCGCCGGAGGAGACCATGTGGTTGCGAGCTAGGTCGCCGACGCACGTGAGGATCTCGCGCCTGCCCCGCTTGCCCATGCCCGGGTACAGCTCAAACACCTCGTATCCGAGCTCCGCCGCACACGCGTATACGCACGCCGTCTTGCCCGCCCCACTCGGCCCCGCCACCACCATGCAGTTCGTCAGCCGCTCCAGCGATTCCCACCCGGGCGCCTCTATCGAACCCTGCCCCGCGCTCGTTTCCGTTTCCGTTTCCGCCGTTTGAATGGTGCCGAATTTGCCGAACCACTGTTCGTCGTCTAGCTCGGGTGGCGGTTCGGGATCTTGCTCGTCGTCGTCGACGATGAAATCATCCCACTCGTCGTCGCTCGCACTGCGGGCACGGCGTCGCTTCGACCGGTCTACGCGTCTCTGCACCTGCTTCCTCTTCGCTGTTGCGGTGACTGCGCCGGGGGCGGCGACGAGCAGGCGACGCAGCCACTCGAGCAGCAACGCCGCGTTTGGCTGGTTGCCCACACACTCGGCTGCCGCGCGCGGCCGCCATGCATCGCACCACAGCTGGCCCTCCGCCGGCTCCACCGCGCGAGTGGCGAGTGTGAGCCGCGAGATGTCGACGTGCTGCGCCGTGTAGTCGTCCACATTGTCGAACTCTAGATCGCCCAGCAGCGACATACCCGCCAAGCCAGGCCGCGGACGGTGGTCGTTGAGGCTTCGAATAAAGTCAGGCGCAGCGTGCGATGTCGACGCCACCTGTCGGAGCCTCGGTGTGCGAGAGCCGTGTTGCTCGCGAAACGCTTCGAGCCCCGCACGCGCCCTGTCGATGGCCTGCCGTTCGTCCTCGCGCAATCCGACGACGTGCGTATCGTATTGCGAGGGCCAGAGCGCATGCACTGGCTTCGATGGCCGCGTCGCCGGCTGTCGTGGGGCCGAAAACAAGCTCCACGCTGCCGGTGCCCCGCTCGCCGCCTTCGACCCACTACTTGCCTCGCCGCTATCCTGGGCTGTATCGTTCGACGGCGTGCTCGGTGCGGGCTTGGACTTTTTCGCGAAGAATGGATGCGCTGAGGTAGCTGCCGAGCTGGTCCCCTTGACTGCGAGGCTGAGCGGTTTTGGCTCTGCACTCTTGGCCGCGGGAGTAGGGGCTACGCGAGTTTCTACAATCTCAAACTCCTTTGGTCTGGACTTGGCCGCCTTGCTTCGCCTTTCCGCCTGGGCCTGTTGCGCAGCCTGTCGCTTCTCCTCCTTGACACGCGCGGCTTCGTGCGCCGCATCGGCACGCAGCACCGCCTTCAGGTCTTCGCGGTACGACACGGGTGCCTTTACTCTGCTCGATCTTGCGCGTCTTCTCTCCCCCTCCTCCTCGTAATCTGCCGGGGAAGGCGCGGCGAAGAACGGATGCAGAGGTCGCGGTTCAGCTGGCGTATCGTCGGAGGGAGCCATATCCTGCGCTTGCGGCGGAGGTGCTACCTCAGGCTGTGTAGGCGGTGGTGTTGGAGTGGACACATCAATCACCGCGTGCGCATCGGCGTCCAGCAGCGCCGGATCGATCTGCTCTTCGTTTGGTACCGCACACGCAGGCGGTTGCTGCACGGTCGCATCGTGGGTCGCATGCAGATGTAATGGCGGTGGAAGAGCGGGGGTGGGAGGCGCCCATGGCAACGTAGCCTGTCTCATGGCACCATGTGTGGCGTTGCTCGGTCGAAAGAGATATGGTGGTGGTTGCTACGATCCAGGTGCGAGTGACCGTGGTGGGGCGGAAAGTGTCACATTCGAGACTCGGAAGCTGCTGTTTCATCTCATCTACGCGACGCGTTGCCTTGAAAGGTTGGGGCGACGAGTGTTGGTGTTAGATTGCGCGCCAAGCGGGATGACGTCGTTGGCGATTCATCCCCAGGGTCCTTTCACGCTCGGGGCCACGTTGTGCCATGCTGCCCAAGAGCTTGGCTGACACCATCGTTGCTGCTGCCTCGCTACCACCACCACCACCATCCCCCACCGCCGTTACACCAAAGATGAGCAACACAGACAACTCAGGCAGCACAGGCAACAAGATCGGCGACACCATCAAGGGGTATGTTCCCCCATCCTTTCTCCCTTTTCTCCCTCATGCGTAGTTTCACTGACCCTGGTCTTCTTTGTGCTGCAGCGTTCTGAACGCCGGGCATGGCGCAGGCGAGACGATCCGGGGCACGATCAACCAGACGCTCGACTCTGCCGGCGAGGGGCTTCGTCAAGGTAGCAGCCACACGCACACTGCGCGCGACGCACCCACCGACGGCAAGAGCGCCGACTACGCCGGCAACCACTCGCAGCGCGACGTCACCCAGAACGGCGCCGACGAATTCAAGCGCGGCATCGACAGCATCGCCGGCGCCTTCAACAAGGACAAACCCCACTCGTCGGCCTAGACTTCACAATGGAATATGATTGACTGGTTCACAGCGACTCTACGCCAAAGCCGAGCACCTTTTTCACCGGCGTGGCGACCACTTTGGCAGGCGCCAGCTCGGTGCGCGTCCAGTGGCCTTTGAGTGTGGATGAGCGCATGCTTGGTCTTCTTACCGCCGCACGAGCAAGCGGACGCACAGCATCATCCGCAAGCTTGGCTTCGTCCTGCGACGTGTCGCTCGCCTCGTCGTCCGAAGACATGTTGCTCGACAGCCCCACCTCGTCTTCCGCCTCGTCGCTCTCGCCTGCACCGTCCGAGCCCGAGCCACTCTCCCAGCCCTCCGCCCCGCCATTGTGCGCATCCAGAGACTCGGCTCGACTGCTGCGTCTGTCTTGCTTGGACTGCTGCGTGGTGCGCGCGCGTTTGGCCTCTACAAGCTGCTGCCGACTCGTCTGGATCGCATCCACCACCCCTTCGTCCAGACTCACGTCGAACAGCTCCCACACGTACCTGCGCACCGCCACGCGAAAGTTGAAATGGTCCATCAGCTCCACCGCCCTTGCGAGCACCGCCATGTCCTGGAACGCACGCGCATGCTTGGCCTTGAGCCGGTTCAGCGAGCGCGACGCATTCGCCGCGAGGATCGAGTTGCCCAGGTTCGCAATCGACGTGATGATCTTGTTCACCACCACCGTCTGCGGCTCTTCGAACTCCAGATACCCCAGATCCGCCACCTGCTCCACCTGCCATCGTGGCAGCGACACCAGCCGATTCACATTGTCCGGGATGCACAGTCCCATCGGAGCACCCAGCGGAGTGCATACCGACTGCCATCCGTAATCCTGCAACACCTCCGCCCCCGCATTGGTCGACGAAATCAGCCCCAGCACAAAGAAGCACGTCCCGCGCACCGACAGCACTGCCGACGTCTCGGCAATCTCCACAATCTGGCTCACCACATCCTCGGCCTCGAGGAAGGGCAGTCCGAGCTCGTTGGCACCGATGCTGCCGACCGCCCACAGCACGCTCTTGAGCTTGCTGATCAGCTCGCTGTCCGACGCCTCGCTGCCGTGCTGCCGGATGAGGTGCGCAAATTCGCCAAAGTGGCCCTTTTGCGTCAGGATGTGGCAGCCCTCGCGCGTCTTGGTCAGCTCGCCGTAAAAGTGCGCCGGCACCACTCCTTCCTGCATCGGCTCCACGCCCCACGTCGCCGGCGTAGCAGCCCAGCCCGACTCGCCGGCTGCCTTGTCCGCCGCGCCGCCAGCGGGAGATTTGCGATCCATGCTGAAAAACTCGGCGAGCATCACCTCGACCTCGACGACGTAGCGCTGGTTGCGCTCGTTGAACCACTCGTCCATCTCGCGGTCGATGTACTCGCCGTGCCACAGGTAGCGGATGCCCACGGACGTCGAGAGGAACTTGAGCAGCAGCGGATGGCCCAGCTCGCCCAGGTGGTCCAGCGTCGGCCGCATCGCCACCACCTTTTCCAGCATGTGGGCCGAGGTGCACGCTTCCTGCACCACGCGCGTGGCCAGCTGGCGCACCTCGACCGACGGATCGTACAGCTGCGTGAGCAGCAGCCCGATCGTCCAATCGCCCTGCACTTCCGCTCCATTCTTGGCGTTGGCAGGCAGCGTCTGTTGCCGAATCAGCTCGGCCAGGTGTCGCGTTGCAAACAGCCGCACGTCGCGGTAGCTCGAGGTGAGCGCCTTGGCGAGCACGATGCGCGAGTGGCCCTCGATGCTGTAGTCTACGTTTTCGATCACCGCCTTGACAATGTCGTCGCGGCTGCGCAGCTCGCTCAGATGGTACAGCGGCGTGAAGATGCGGCAGCGCTCCAGCAGCTTGATGCCCTCGCTGCTCTGCGTCAGCACGCCGATCATCTCAAAGTAGCCGCAGGCGAGCGTCTCGGTCATGCGCTTGCGCGAGAACAACGCATCGGTGCCGGACTGGCCGGACAGCGGATCGAGCTGGTCGAGGCATTCCCTCAGCTCGCGCAGCAGCCGATCTTCCGCCAGCACGCGCAGCCCCTCTTGCGTGGCCGCGAGCGTGCTGAGCAGCAGACATCCCAGACGCACGAACCGCCGATTGGCGTTGAGCCTGCGTATGCTCGAGAATCGCAGTGCAAACGGATGGTAGAAAGCCAGCACGCGCTTGAGCAGCTTGGAGCCCCTCACCACGTCCTCGAGCCGCTTCGGATTGAGCAGCGGGCCCTCGAGCATGTCGGTGAGCGTGTCGAGGTTCCACTTGGTGTGGTCCTTGGTGACGAGCACCTGCGTGTCGACCATCATGTTCCGAAACTGCACGTCGTCGATCTGCATCCCGATGCGCATTTTGGTCTTCTCCACCTGCCTCTGCCCACGCCGCATGGACTCTTCGATCGAGTTGGACCGGTCGCGCGCCGTGCTCTGCACCGTGCCGCTCAACGCCGCCGCGCTGGTGACCGCCTCGTGATGCGCGCGGTGCCGATTGGCGCTGTCGATGGTCGAGAGCGCCTGCGCCGCCGCCTGCCGCTCGTCGCTCTTGTCCAGCCGAAAGTCGGCGGCGAGCGAAAAGAGGCGCGGCAGCGAGTGGATGCTGCCGCCCATCGACGGCGGATGGACGCGTTTCGAGACTTGCAGCAGCTCGCCCATGAGCATGGTCGCCTTGCGCGCCATCAACGGCGCATGCTCGATCACATCGATGAGCGCATCGACCAGGCCACACTCGAGAAACACGACGAGCAGCAGCGCCAGGTAGTGGTCCACCAGGTTGAGCCGGCTGCGTGGCTGGTCTCCAAGCTCGCCGAGCGGAGCCATGTTGGCGTGGTGCGCCGCGCCCGAGGCGGCGTCGGCATCCAGCTTGGGCGAAGACGAGGCGGCCTTTTGGCTGCTCTCACGCTTGCTGGCCGGGTCGACGCGGCCGGTGACGCCTCGGACGTTGAAGAGGTCGTAGAGCATGTCGAGCAGGACGCTCTTTACCTCGATCGCATTGACGCGGAGCGCCTGTACGAGCGACTTGATGGATCGCTTATCGTCCATGCACAGGTAGATGAGGCCGGCCCAGGAGCGCAGCAGCACGGTGACGACCGAGGCGGTGCTGCGCAGAAGCGCGTCGTACGTGATGGGTTTCTGCACGGGCGCCTCGGTGAAGCCGGACAGCGCGATCTCGAGGTCCACTCCAGGCCGCAGGTGGTGACGTGTGCCGGGCATGTCGATGAGGTAGATAAAGACCTGGACGAGCGCGGGCGAAAAGTCGGACGCGCCTTCGGTGAGCGCCTGCAGCGTGGTACGCAGGCCGCCCGCCTTGATGAGCAGACGAATATCAAACACGGCGAGCTCGGCGAGCGTCTCGAGGCAGATGTGGCGCAGCTTGTCGTCTGCGTGGTCCGCGACGGCGGCGAGGGCGCGAATGACGCCGGTGGCCAAGAGGTCCTGGAGGTCCATGGCGAGACGGTCGGGCGAAGCGGCGATGGAGCGGAGAGCGGCCATGTCCATGATGGCGCGGATGAGTCTGATGCACTGGACCTTTTCGAGCTCGAAGCGGTTGTCGCGGATGAGGCTGCGGGAGAGGTAGATGTCGAGGCCCTTTTGGCGGCAGCGCGAGACGAGCGGCCAGAGCGGCTGGACGAGCGCGTAGCGCAGCAGACGGTAGGTGGCGGCGCGGATCTCCTTGCCCGCCCTGTCGCACAGGTTGGGCATGGCGGCATCCACGAGGTCGTCGAGCGGCAACTCGTAGCGCACGCGTGCGTGGCGCTTGAGGATATCGACGAGGCGGTTGATCTGAGTGATGTGATGCTTGGCCTGGTCGCCGAGGCCGGCGGCGTTGCTGGGGGTGCGTGCATGCGAGGAAGCACCCGAGGCGATGGCGGCGGCGCGGGAACGAGCGGCGGTCCTGCGAGTCATGCGCGGCAGCGCGAGGGCACTGTTGAGCGGCGAGTCGGGATCGGTGGTGGGAGCGGGCAGAGGGTCGGCAGTATCGGTTGCGTGCGGTTGATGTTGATGCTGCTCTGCGAGGGTGGGGAGCTGTGTCGGCGGAGGCATGGGTGAGGAAGGACGCAAGGAGCGGATGAGCATGAGCGCGAGCGACCTGGACGCTCTTGCATCCTCGACCTCGCGATCATGGTTGTAGGGCAGCTTGGAGGTGGAAGCGTGATGGCTCGGTTGGGCGGAGGGCTGCTGGAATAGAAGCGGAGGTGGTGGATTGGTGTGCGAGTCGAGCGACTGGGCGTTGGCTGCATTAGAGAGCGCGAGAGGGGCATGGGCATCGAGGCCGATTCCGAGGCCTCCGAATGGTTGCGCATTGGCATCGACGGCCGAGGCTAGGTGGTTGACATAGTTGGTGGAAGGGGGAGAGCCGTTGCTTGTGTCGGGGTGGTGGTGGTGATGGTGATTGGCTAGGTGGTCGTCACTGTCGTTGTGAGCGGGTGGAGGGTGGCGGGCGGCGAAGAGAGGCTGACCGTCGTAACCGAGAGCCGACTGCTCGAGGCGGGATACGGTGGAGTGGGGTATTTGCCAGCTGGCGGACGAGGTGGAGACGGGAGGGCTGCTGATGGCGTCCGATGCGTAGTTTGAGAGGTGGGGGGACTGTGCGTCGGCGTGGATCTGACGCCATCGTTGGAGCTCGGAGGTGAGCGATGCAATGTTGGCGTTGGCGGAATCGAGCTCGGATTCGATCTGCCTGCGGAGGTCGTGCTTTGTGTTTGTGGCGAGCTTGAGGTCGAAGACGCTGAGCAGGTTCTCTGCGCCATCCTTGATCTTTGTTTCGATGTCGATCTGGTTCTGGATGCGATGCACCTCGTCGTTGGGGTGGTTGGAAGCCATTGTGGAAGCCACTGTGGAGTGGTGAAGCGATGTGGCTGACCAGGTTTCACGCGGCTGAGGAGGGCATGGTTCGCGGCTCGTTCTTGAGCGTTGCGTGCGGTCCAGCTGCTGCGTAACGATCAAAGTAGAGGCATGGCTTAGCGCAAACGAAGCGGAAATGGTGGTGGTGGTGGTGGTGAAGGCAACGCACGACGAGGAGGGCCGTGCGAAGTGGAAGTCGACGTCAGTCAGCGAAAAACGAAACCCTGCAGCTCGAAAACACAAAAAAAGGAAGCCAAAAAAGATGGATCCAAAAATCACCCCAAAAATCAGCAGTGTTAAGTCGATTGTCGGCTGTGCTGCGATGTGCGGTGCTGTGCTGTCGTGCAGCTGTCGTGCAGGAGAAGAGCAAAGATTCCGAGCTCAGCCTTTCCGTGCTTCCAAGAGGACCCTGACCGACCAACGCTCAAGCGGTGCTCAGCTCCTCCATATCTTGCCATCATCGTCGTCGTCGTGATTGGGTAGCAGCCATGCGGTTCGCATCGATATCCTCCGCACGCACCGCCGCGTCGTCGTACGCCTGGCTCGTCGTCGCCGCTCTGCTGCTCTTCGTACTCGCTCCCACTGCTCGCTCCGCCGCTGCCGCCGCCGCTTCCTCCTCGGACAAGGCCACACACGACGGCCTGCGCAAACTCACTGCAGCCAACTTTACGCTCACCAACCAGGGCGCCTGGCTCATCGAGTTCTTCTCTCCCACCTGCATCCACTGCAAAAAGTTCGGCGCCACCTGGAACGAGCTCTCCCACAACAAGGACTCGCTCCGCACCCAGTACCCGCACGCTCCCTTCACCCTCGCTCAGGTAGACTGCGTCGCTCAGTGGGACCTCTGCAAGGAGCAGGGCGTCACCTTCCTCCCGCGCCTCACCATCTACCAGGACGGCAAACAGCTCTCCGAAGAGTACAAGGGCGACCGCAACTACCCCGAAATCTCGGCCTACATCGACAAGTTCGCCGCCGACTACCGCAAGTCCAAGGGCGTCGCCGACGTAGCCCCCGTCGCTCAGCCAGATGCACCCAACAAAGCAGCCGATGCAGCCAACGCTACGGCAGCCAACGCTCCAGCAGCTACCGACAAGCTCGACTCTGCTGCTTCCACCAATGCACCGGCTCCCGTCAACTCGGCGACATCCTCCTCGTCTTCCACTTCGTCGGCCATGGAGGCCATCAAGGAGGTGCTGCCCACCGGTCCCAACCCCAAGGGCGAGCTGCTCAGCTTCGGCTCGGCTCCCATCCAGACCAAAGAGGAGCTGCAAGCCTGGCTCGGCAAGGCGTCCGGTCAAGGTCCCACGTTTGTCAAGTTCTTTGCACCGTGGTGTCCGCACTGCAAGGCCATGGCGGCCGCCTTCCAACAGCTCAGCAGCTCGCTCAAGGGCCGCGTCAACGCCGTCCAGGTCGACTGCGAGGCCAACCGCGCGCTGTGCGCCAGCTACGACATCCGCGGCTACCCCGTGCTTCGCCTCTACGACCAGGGCCACGCCAAGGAGTACAACGGCGGCAGGAACCACGACGCCATGCTCAAGTGGGTGCTCAAGGCCATCTCCACTTCGGGCCTCAAGCCCGTCGCATCCGCATCGGACCTCGGCGCCATCGCAAAGGACAACGACGTGCTCTTCCTCTACCTCCACTCGCCGGGAACCCCCACGGAAGAGGTGCGTGCCGTCGAGGCCGCCAGCCAGATCCTCTTTGGTGGTCGTGCACCCATCTTTGTCTCGGACGAGCCGGCGCTGCTTGACCGCTATGCCAGCTCGCTTGCGCAGGACAAGGCCGTCTCCGTCCCGGCCAAATCCGCGCTGCTTGTCTTCAAGGACCATTCGATCGCAGAACCGGTCGCGGTCATGCATCCGTCCAGCCTTCGAAGCACCTCTTCCGCCGACGCCGAATATAGCGACGATGCCAAAGCGCAAATCTCGCGCTTCCTTTCGAAGCAGAAGTACGCGCTGGTCACCGAGCTCACAGCCGCCAACTTTGAGGAGACGGTGCGCAACGCTGAAGACGCACTGGTTGTGCTCGCGGCGCTTTCCGACTCGATCCACGGCGACGAGGTGGCCAGCACGGCTTCGGACGGCATCGCGCGCAAGGACGCCGAGATCGCCGCGCTGCGTTCGGTCGCACTCGAGTGGAGGTTGAAGAAGGAGGCGTCGTCGCCGCGCCAGGTGGTCTTTGCATGGATCGATGCGGATCGTTGGAAGTCGCCGCTGCGCAAGCTGTACGGCATCCAAGCCGCCCACTCGCCCTCGGCCGTGCTTGTCGACGGCAACAAGTCGCTGTACTACGAGCTGGCCCACTACGCCGACGCCAAGCCAGCTACATTCGAGCATCAGTGGATCACCCCCAACAGCATTTTCGCCGATATCGACCGCGTTCTTAGCGGCGACGCTCCGGCCAAGTCGTCGCGCACACTCCTGCAGAAGTCCGTCAAGGGCGCAGAGGTGTACATGAACACCTTGATCGACACAAGTGTCGACCACCCCGTCGCCGCGTTCGGTTTCCTGTTCGCCGTGCTTGCCGCGCTCTTCTTCTACCTCGGGCGTGCGAGAAAGAGCACGCCGTCGTCTCTGCCCATGTACTCCAAGGTATCCACGGTCAAGGCCGACTAGTTTCTTGCTGTTTCCTGTGTAATTCTCTGCTCGTACGTCGTCGTTTCCTTATTGCAAGCGTGCATGATAGTTCCGTTATCCCGATTTGCCGTTCGCCGCATGTGCTGCCCGGTATCAGCTTCTTATTGAGAGGGCTGGGGTTTGGCAGGGGCAGCCATCGGGGGCTTTGGGAAAATCGGGCTGAGCCGCCGCCAGCCGCCCGCCCCAAAAAAATAGGGTTGGCGCCTCCACACGTCAAGAATGGCACTCACTCCTCCAAGCCGCCTTTCGTTCAACCACCACTTTGCCGCCAAAAAATGAGCTCGACCTCTGCATCCAGCGGCTCCTCGGGGCTTGTTCTGCACCACCTCGAGCTGAGCCGCTCGAACCGCATCCTATTCCTGCTCGAGGAGCTTCAGGTGCCGTACGAGATCAAGCACTACAAGCGCGACCCTGTGACTCGTCTTGCCGGTGACGACCTGAAGCAGGTGCATCCGCTCGGACGGTCTCCCGTGCTCACGGATGGGGCGCTGACGATCATCGAGACGAATGCGATCATCGCGCATCTGCTCACGCACTACTACGACGCTGCGCGCGTGGCGTTGGGTCCCGGGCTGGGCGAGAAGATGCAGGCGAGCGTGGACGTGGGCGGGTGGATCCAGTTCAGCGAGGCGTCGATCATGCTGCATGCCATCCCGCTGTTCTACGCGCTCAAGTCCGGTGCTTGTACTCAGGATGGCTCGGCTGGGATTGAGCGTGCGTCCGCGCGCGGAATCAAGGCGGACCTGGCGTACGTCGAAGAGACGCTGCAGCAGAACAACGGTCAGCTCGTCAAGGGGCACGGGTTTACAGCTGCCGACTGCGCCATGCTGTACAGTGTGGACATGCTCGCGCACATTCTCGCCACCCGCACCCCCGAATGGCGTCAGAATCTCGGCCTTGAGGTAGGACCGGCCACACTCGCGTGGATGTCGCAATGCAAACAGCGCGCTGCCTTCCAAGCTGCAGTCCGCAAAGAGGGGCACGAGGGTCAAGACTGGCTGTCCAGCTTCTTCGCCCGGCCCGCAGCAGCACGAAAGAGCGTCTTCCGGCCGTGCATCGACCTGCACGAGGGCGTAGTCAAGCAGATCGTCGGCGGCACGCTCAGCGACACGAACTCGACGCTACGCACCAACTTTGTCGCGACCCACTCGCCCTCTCATTTCGCCTCGCTGTACCGCGACCACAAGCTCACGGGAGGACACGTGATCAAGCTGGGTCCGCGCAACGACGAAGCTGCCACCTCTGCGCTCTCCGCCTGGCCACAGGGCTTGCACGTTGGAGGCGGAATCACGGGGGAGAATGCGCAGGAGTGGTTGGACAAGGGGGCTGAGAAGGTGATTGTGACATCGTGGCTATTCCCTTCGTGCGAGTTTTCGCTGTCTCGGCTGGAGGAGCTCAGCCAGCGCGTGGGGAGGGAGCGGCTGGTGGTGGACGTCAGCTGTCGCAAGCGCGGCGATCGGTGGGTGGTAGCGATGAACCGCTGGCAGGACATGACCGACATGGAGGTGAACAAGGCTTCGCTGGATCTGCTCGCTGCCCACTGTTCCGAATTCCTCATCCATGCTGCCGACGTAGAAGGCTTGTGTCAAGGTATCGACCAAGACCTCGTCCAAAGTAAGTCCCCTCCTTCAACCCCCAATTCTTCGGAGCCCCCAACTGACACTCTTTTGTGCTTCTAGAGCTGGGTGAGTGGGTGACGATCCCCACGACGTACGCTGGGGGTGCACGTCATATGGGCGACCTCCAACTCGTCGACCGTCTGAGCAAGGGCAAGGTCGACCTCACTTTCGGCAGTGCGCTCGACATTTTCGGCGGTCAGGGCGTCACCCTCGACGAGCTTGTCAAGTGGAACCACGCCGCCACCAAGTAGACTATGTGCCATCCCATACACACAACTTCACAGCCCTCGCGTGCATGGACTTGTGTACAGCTATCAGCTCGAAAGATGACCCCCCGCGGAGGTGTGAGCATTGTTAGATCTCGTTGGTGATCGACCCGCGCCAAACCGAGTCTGTTGGCGGTAGCATCCGCGGAGCGGCACAGCATGGATTGCACGTCCGACATGGAAAGCCGATGCTGACGTCGGGATGTGCCAACGACGGCCGTCTCCGAGGCTTCGAGGAGCTCGAGATTGGCCGGTGCGGACCCTGGATTGCTCGCAGCACTGTCGTCATGGAAGCTCGCGCGCTTGCTGTCCGATCAGACCGGCGTGGGGGGATTGGGGGAAGGGGCTTTCGATCGCTCTGGTGCCAGTCGGCGGCGCACTGGCCAGCATTGAGAAGAAACTGTCGCTTCCCCCCGCGGCGTGCATGTTTTGTAATGCGGCACTTTGAACTGCTCAACATCCCCCCATTTGAATTGAGCGCACGGCAGGGGGGAAGCGCGTGTGATTACTCGAAAGCGCGATTTCTCCACGCCGGCAGGATTTGGGAATTTCAAACGGCGCAAATCGAGCCTCGACAGCTGCCCCCCTTTGATGCCTTGCTTTTAGGGGCAGCGCATGGCAGTGCAACTTTGGATCCACGCACGAACCCACGGCCAGCACACGCGTGCAGCCAACAGATGTGACCGGTTGGAAGGAAGGGATGCGACGAGCACCGCACAGGGCACTGCACCCGTCGCCGGGGCCACCCTCTTGGAAGTTCGGCAGAGTAAGCGCCGCCACGTCCCCAGCGCATCGCCCGTCGAGCAGAAATGCACCGCCTGCACCGCCGAGCTGCACTGCCAGTGCTGGTCAGTGCTGCTCAGTGCTGCTCAGTGGCTGGCCTGTGCTGGCCGGAGCTGAGTCCCTTTCTGTCGCCTCGCCTTGGCGGTGTGCGGTGCGGCGCACGCTCGGCCTCGCCCCTGTCCATCTCCCTCTCTCTGCTCGCCCCCGTCTGCTGTCCGCCTATCGTTGGCTCATCGGCTTCGTCTTCCCCTTTTCCCCCCGCCCCACCATCTTATACAGCTTCACGCTACCCTCTCTCTCTTCTTTTTCTTCACCCTTCACACCAACAGCCCCACACTAGCCAAAATGGAGGGTGAGTATATTCCACTCCGCACGCCATCCTCTCCAGCCCGTTGCAACCACTCCACCGAGGAGCCTTGTTAGCTCGCAAAGGCTGCCGGCGTGGATGGATAGCAAGCAGTCCTCCTCTCGTCGCAGCCATTGCGCCCGCTCGTCGGATCGCGGCGGGATCGTCGCTGCCACGCGTCAGATCCGGCGGCCACGCTGGCCGGATGCATCCAGTCTACCTTCGCCGCCAACACCTGCGCAGCTTCGATGACATCCGGCGCGCCGCTCGACGCGATGCAAAGCTACTACTGCTTCCCAGCACTTTGCTTCTAGCTCGGCTTTGCGCTCGAGATTGCACATGAAGCTGGCGAGCAGCCGTAGGCACTTGCGTAAAATCCCGACCTTCAGACAAGTTGATGCGGCACTGTCCGCTCCTTGCTCGGATCGCACTTGCGGTGCGACGGGTCCGCCTGCCCCAATTTGGCTGCAGCTTCGCCAATAGTGGCACAACGCCGGCTGATTCCTCCTACCCAAATGTTCTCGAACTGACCCCGCTCCTCTTGTGCCGTTTCTGCTTGCTTTTGCAACTTGCGCGCTGGATTTAACCTCGATCAGACGAAGTCGCTGCTGTAAGTGTTTTCCGTCTCACGTCTGAAGGCTCGGGCATCGGCACTGCAAGGCGCAGTGCGGTGACGAAAGCCGAGTGCCGCGCACACACGCTGCTTTTGAGCGCAATTCGCTGACTTGCATCCTGACTCGCTCTTGAACTTTCTACCCTCACAACAGCTCGTTATCGACAATGGTTCCGGCATGTGCAAGGCCGGTTTCGCCGGTGACGATGCTCCGCGCGCCGTGTTCCCCTCGGTCGTCGGTCGCCCCCGTCACCAGGGTGTGATGGTCGGCATGGGCCAGAAGGACTCGTACGTCGGTGACGAGGCGCAGTCGAAGCGTGGTATCCTCACGCTCAAGTACCCCATCGAGCACGGTATCGTGACCAACTGGGACGACATGGAGAAGATCTGGCACCACACCTTCTACAACGAGCTGCGTGTGGCACCCGAGGAGCACCCCGTGCTGCTCACCGAGGCCCCGCTCAACCCCAAGGCCAACCGCGAGAAGATGACGCAGATCCTCTTTGAGACGTTCAACGCGCCCGCCTTCTACGTTGCCATCCAGGCCGTGCTCTCGCTGTACGCCTCGGGTCGTACCACGGGTATCGTGCTCGACTCGGGTGACGGTGTGACGCACACTGTGCCCATCTACGAGGGCTACTCGCTGCCCCACTCGATCCTGCGTCTCGACCTTGCCGGTCGCGACCTGACCGAGTACCTGGCGCGCATCCTCACCGAGCGCGGCTACCCATTCACCACCACGGCCGAGCGCGAAATCGTGCGCGACATCAAGGAGAAGCTCTGCTACGTGGCGCTGGACTTTGAGCAGGAGATGCTCACGGCCACGCAGTCGTCTGCGCTCGAGAAGTCGTACGAGCTGCCCGACGGCCAGGTGATTACGATTGGCAACGAGCGCTTCCGCACGCCCGAGGTGCTGTTCCAGCCTGCCTTCCTGGGCCTCGAGGCTGCGGGCATCCACGAGACGACGTACAACTCGATCATGAAGTGCGACCTGGACATCCGCAAGGATCTGTACGGCAACATTGTCATGTCGGGCGGTACCACCATGTACGCCGGCATCTCGGACCGCATGCAGAAGGAGATCACGGCGCTGGCGCCTTCGTCGATGAAGGTCAAGATTGTGGCTCCTCCCGAGCGCAAGTACTCGGTGTGGATCGGTGGATCGATTCTGGCGTCGCTCTCGACGTTCCAGCAGATGTGGATCTCGAAGCAGGAGTACGACGAGAGCGGACCCTCGATCGTGCACCGCAAGTGCTTCTAAGCGTGCGCAAGCGAAAGGCGAGCGCGGCAGCCACACGCTGGACGAGCGGGCGCGTGCCGACGGGTGCGGCGCCGAGCTGCACGCGGCGGACGATGCGCCGGTGCGGTGCGCCACAGTCGTTCATATCGAAATATGCTAACGAACCCTCAATGAAATTCCAAGATTTGCCATGTGTTCTATACAGCTAGCGAGAGAGGGGCGGAGGATTGTGAAAGGGGGGTTGGGTGATCTCAGTCGGTGAAAACGAGAGGACGGTGAGCGGGCGACGGTATGGCGTTGCGGTTTTGGGGTGGGGCAGACGAGGTGGCGAGCAGGGGTTGGTGGGCAGCATTTTGGCTCGCTCTTAGGACTCGGACTGCCGAGAAGCTTGCTCCGAACGTCGGTGGCGGCGACACGCAGAGCTGAGCTGGCTTGGCGAGTCCATCCAAGTCGAGTGCAAGATGCGCTGGTGAGGGGCCGGACTCTCGCTCAGTGCCATGCGCATTCAAGTCGAGTCGCGTTCAAACTCTCGCTCAGTGCATCCGCGTTCAAGTCGAGGCAAGTCGAGATCAGTCGAGTAGCACATGCGCTATTGCGCTGGTTTAAGCACCGCGTTCTCACTCGGTGGATCTATTGAAGCTGAGTAGCAGATGCGCTGGTGAGAGACTGCGATGGGAGCGAGAGCGGGGGGCAGCTGGGACGCAGATCCTACGCATCATGACCGCATTGACCGCTCGTTTCTGGGCAGTCAAGGCTAGGCAGGCTCGTGCAGCTTCCTCCTTCCAGCTCGTGTAGGAGAAGACCAACGACAGGCCGTCCGAGATTCTTCGACTCATGCGATTCAGGACAAAGAGCAGGGATGACGAGCGGATGGTGGATCGGGGTGTGCTTATGGATCTGGCTTGTCTTGATCCCGATTTGGATGGATAGGGCGGGCGGTGCTGGCCAGAGCGATTTTTCGAAAAATGACAGCGCACCGGCGAGTGAGGAGCGCAGATCTGCAGCTCGGCTAAGGATTTGCGCCGAGATGGTTTTTGCGCGGGCTGGCGGCGCATTTCCACAGTCTAAGTCCATTAGGTTACAACAAAG